CGGCGATCTTGAGCGAGATGGAGCTTGACAGCAATAACCTTGATGATGAGTTGGCTAGAGACAAAGTCAAAGCGCCAATGCAATTCAGAAACCCTGGATAGTTGTAGAATATGCATTTGCTGCCTCGTAACAACGTAATCGTTGTTGGTCTTGAGTTGAATGGAGTCGTCTCTGCAAATGCATGATGCCCAAGTCTAGACATGTAAGTCAAAGTTTCCACGAGAAAAGAGACAACTGGGAATACGAACAGCATATGCATCTCTCACTGGAGCATGGTGTTTGACTATCAACGATCTCGACGTTCGTAGGCCCTGGCTTCAGAAGTCAGTGGCCCCTTTGAGCTAGGAATTCTTCCGGAAACCGCTGCATCTCGAGTATCGGGAGCCCCAGAGGCTCACAACAGCTTCATGGTTGAAGTCCCATAAGTGGAAGTAGAGACATGCATTCAAATAGTACCGAAAAGTATGCCCAGTCGTGGACTCGCTCTCACAAGGTGTTCGGTCCTTACTGGGCAGGCATTGAATGAGGCCCGTTGCAGCTTTGGGACGAAAGCAACTGGAGACAGCTATCATAGGATACACGTGGAGGTTCGATAAGATATCGATAATGACAGGGCAGCAGTGTAATAGTCAGTGTGTACTTAGTAGGCATCTTGATTTCTGCTACCCACGAACAAGGTATAGCAAGCTCTTGGAGTATGCCAGCTGGCGATGCAGGACCCCTTCGACTTTACATGAAGGATATCTTCGAGACCTGAGAAGTCTCTGCAGCAATATGGATGACAACAAAGTTGAATGGACCGCCACGTTCGACAGCTGCAGTTCCTAACCGTACTTCAATGATGACAGATGGACCCAGTACTCACGTAGCTCATCAGCCAGACAATCATGCTTGTCTCCAGTATACGAATATTGCCAGTCCAAATACCAACATAACATGAAGTAGGGTAATGGAATAACATTGATGCTTGTCAAGCCCAAATTTTGTTTCACTAAATTGAGGTTTCAAACTCCTCTTACAAACAGTAGGATCATGGTAAGCAGAACTCTTGTAGGTAGCAAGTAAACATCTATTCCAAACGTCTAATGAATCTATATCATGATCTATCTCGATCCCGAAGTTTTTAGATCGACCGCCAATATTCCGCTTGTTCAATCCAGGGGCCAAGATCCCTAATCCCCAAGCCTCACAATGACAATAGGTAAATGAATTTGGTATAGCAATATGTTTATAGTTTTGTGTGAGCTATGTCAGGTTAGTTCGTCCCATTGGTGTCCTGATTAACGTCTTCGGCCACAGTATATGGGCCATCCGTAAAAGCCCAAGAGACGACCGATGGTCATTGACTGACAAGTGACTTTCTGACTGGTGTCATGAGATCCGGTTCACTGCCGATCATTGTTCTCCGTGATCTCTGAATCCGCAAGTCTATTTTGTTAGCTCAAAAACGAACTGAAAATTGTCCCCAAATCCATAACTTCAGCTAAATGAGCTATAGCAGCTTGTATGAAAGGCTCTATGGTCGAAAAGGACGCCATCCGTGTATACAATAAACATCGTTTCCCGGCCTGGTTGATCTGCGGCCTTCCATAACACCCAACTCACCATCTTGTTCCGCAAAAGCGCCATCTAGTAATCGCTTAAGCGCGCATGATCATGGCCTCACGGTCAGGGCCGGTGCCAATCCACTTGACCTAGGAGATGTCAGCAAAAGCCTGTCAAGCGGAAACCTTTGAGAATAAACCTACCTTAACTCCAACATACTTCTCAATGTACTGAGATCTATTAGCAAAACCCAATCTCACAATGTCGCTTATCCTACCTCGATGTATTCTCTGGCTTGCTTAGGGAGGTCGTAGAAAGTCTTCGCGCCAGTTGTGGGCTTCTGCCAGCCGGGCATCTCGTGGTAAACTACCTCGGCGCGTTCCAGGAGGTCGAGGTCAGCGGGGTAGTGGTCGAGTTCCTCACCATCAACCTTGTAGGCAATGGCAATCTTGATTGTCTCAAAAGTGTCGAGGACGTCGAGCTTCGTAAGGTTCAGAGCGGAGTAGTAGTTGATCGAAGCGCTGTACTTGACAACCACAAGGTCGAGCCATCCACATCTACGGCGACGGCCAGTCGAGGTTCCCCATTCTCGTCCAATCTCCTGGAGCTGGGTTCCAATCTCTCCAGTATCCTCAGTCTTGAAAGCTCCCTGACCAACTCGTGTCGTGTAAGCCTTCACAACACCGATTGTCTCAGTGATGTTCTTGGGGTTCAAGGTAAGACCGCCAATGATGCCACCGATCGTTGTGTTGGACGAGGTGACGAATGGGTATGAGCCATACTTGATGTCGAGCATCAGGGCGTTAGCTCCCTCAACAATAATGTTCTTGTTGTCCTCCTGGGCTGCCTTCATGAAGGAGACACCGTCAACAGCGTACTTTGCGAGTTTCGGTCGGTATTCGTCAAATCGAGCGATTTCCTCCTCGAGGTCGTATTCGAAAAGGTCTCCGAAGCGCTTGCGGTAACCGGCTTCGAGGCGGCGAAGCTTGGAGTCAAATAGCTCCTTGTTGAAGACGTCAACGAGACGAACGCCCTCTCGCTATGAAGGGTTTAGTGAACATTCAGTTGATACTTAAACCGAATTTATCTTACTGCCGCGGCCTTGGAGTAGGTAGGGCCGATACCTGTTATCAATGTTAGTAAAATCCCACCACATAGTGATTCCAAGGGTGCTAAAGCACACAAGACTAAGATTCATCATGATAGTAGATATCCCGATTATCCTTAGTCTCGTGCTTCTCTGGCAAGAGCCCGAGGAAGGACGATAACGTGCCTCTGCCGGTGGTGCCGATCTTCTTGTCTGTCGAACTGTTAGATGTGCATCGCGCTCGATTACTGTTACAGGGACAAACCTCCGAGTTCCTTCTCTTCAAGTCCATCGACTGCGATGTGCTGCTGCAAGATGATATGTACTCGGTCCGACACGAGCAGGCGATCCTCGACTGAGGGGAGACCCTTCTCTACCAATGCGGCCATCTCCGAGAAAAAGCTTGGACTGAAATTAAGTTAGCATATCGAACGCCCACAAGAAGCATAGTAGATGATAACATCAAGACTTACACGTGGAAAACGACGCCGCTGCCAATGAAGTTGAGGCTTGATATCTTAGCTTCGGATCTTATAGGTATCGCATCTTGGAAAATTACCAGTTGGGGTTGATAAGTCCACTGGGCAGAAGGTGGAAGCTAGATGCATGTCAGTAGCTATCAGGAGACTCTCATGTTTGCTTCTGCGCACCTGTAGGAGACGCCATTGGCGCTGTAGAGAAGAAGTTGAATATTAGTTAATAAGCACAACTGGCAAAGGGATAGTCGACTAACACAATGGAGTGACCAGCTAATATAATGCGTTAGTATTCGTTGCATATTGAAGCGACCTAGTCGTCTTACCATTGTGACCTCCAGCAGCACGAGCGCAAAGTTGTGCCTCAGGGGCAAGGATGTCGGTCAACTTTCCCTTCTGTATAACAGCATATCGTTAGAAATCAGGCCAGTAGCAGTATTGATAGAAAGAGGGATTTATTGAGTTCGAATCGCAAGGGAGTACGTACGCCCTCATCGCCTATGATTCAACAAGTTAGTATCTGGCCCTCATGAATATCGTAAATAAATCACCCCATGCTGGGTACTTGAGAACGCCAGAGCAAACCAGCAAGAGGCAATGCAGAGAATAAGACGAAACTCACCCCATTGAGCACCAAGAATAACCTTTATCGTCATATTGCGCGACTGTAAAATCTGTTGAACACGATGTTTGTCGATGTTGCAAGATAGAAAAAAAGGCGCGGGGCATGACGCGGGGCATCATCGGAGCGGGGCAGAAGCTTGCATGAGTTACGGTAGCACCGGCACCGGGGCTGTGAATCATTCCAGTAATTTAAGGTACAATTGTTAATACCCCAAGGAACCAAACAACAGCCCCTCTAAATTTATGGTTGCGCTCCATACCAGTATTCTTCTTAGTCACTATGGATAGCAATGCTCAATGATTTATTATACTAAAAGAGCACTTATGACGTACTTCCTCGATATGGGGAGGGAGTTTGCAAACGCCATCGTTGCGAGGTCAGTCACCCAGGAAAACCTACTATTTTTGTTCGTCTTTAAGAATATCATATGCCAAGCTTCAAGTCTTCATGGCATAAGGAGCCCTAGCCCTAGATAAGACTATTAAATATACCTGACGAGTCTCAAAGCCAGATGTTGAAAGCGGGTCCCAATGATCAGCAGTTTTTTTCTAACATTTGCTATAATTGACCAAAGAACAGCCCAGAGGATGATGTGATTTGGGGCTTGGACGGCTTTGACTAAAGTGACCAGGTGACAGAGACTTCTGCACATAGATAGATTACTGTTGTCATGGAGTTGAAGGCGAGTGAAATATTTCTCAACCTAGTAAGTTTTGATCTATACGTTAATTGGTATGGACATCAATCGCATTGCCATTGCTACCCATCGTGACCAGTCACGGGAAATACGAGTTTATCTGCTTATTTGCTTCCTTTATCCAAAAAGTTCTTTATCTACTACCTACCACAGGAAATACCATGTGAGATGCTGATTGGTTGGAGTTGTTAGTTGTAGTCAAAGTCTAGGTCAACGCTGAAAGCAGCAGTGTCTGAGCATTATCGAAGCCATTTTTCGATGCTGAATGGGATAACTTTAACAAATAGGTCCATCTAATGAGGCTACTGTTGTACTTTAGCGTCACTTGCTAGATTCACGATCCTTAGTCAAGTGGTTGGGGCAGCAATTGATCAATTCGAGGTTTAAGTGCACGTCACGTGCTGTCGCGTCACGAACGTTCGCAGTGCCTTCCTCTCTTTGTTTCCTTTCCGGTCAATTCACTTCAATTTAGCCGCAAGGAGACTCACTCTCTTCATTCTACTCCTCCGATTTTGCAGCAAGTTGTCTCCTCGTCTCAATCTTCACCTGGAAGATGCGTGACTCACCAAAATGATGGACTCCCAGTTGCTTCAAGCAGGCAGCAATGAGTCGCAGGATAGCCAGGCCATCATTGAGGCCTACAGGGCCGAGTTTGGCGTCGGCACGGTACGTCGACAGTGCAGCTGAAATCACTTTACACTGGGGTTTGCACCCATTCAACCAGGATGCGCTAACACTTGTATCGCTTCGTACAGCTTAGTAGTTCGCCTTCCAAAGTCGTGTCGTCCTCAAAAATGGGCATGTCAACCCCGAGACAAATACCTTCACCCACAAGCGAAGTCGTCGTGCTATCATCGGATCCGATAACCAATGAAACAGTAGTATCCGAGGCCGTTACTTCTCACGACGCGTTAGCAGATGAGGCGCGCTCAGTTAGACCCGCTCCTATGAGTGGCGATCCGTCGCACTGGGACGAAGCAGGGTTGGCACTGACACACCCAAAAAAGCAATGTACTTCGAAGGCCGGCATACTAAAAGAAGATACCCAGGGCCTCGAGAATCGCGTGAACTTGAGTACTGACAGGGACAAAACTCGAGGCCACGACACTTTCATTAAACCTCGAGATTTGAGCGACTTACAGGCGGGCCATGACAGCGCGAAGCTGCAAGAAGTGCAAAACGATGCACCCAAGCCTCTGATCGGGAGTACGAAGCCGCCGAATAGCGCTGCGGTCGGCGCCTTGCACAAAATGGACTTTTCTCAGCAAACCCCGACGCAGGTCAATTTCGACCGTGATTATAGCGAATTCTGCGATATTATACCCTCGAGTCCTGTCAATGGTGATACACAATCTGGATCTCTCGAGCCCCGGACTCTCCAAGATGACGACACAGGGGCCGTTAACTTTGCCAACTTAAGCGAGCTGGGTCGACCTTCATCCCAGGTCTCAGAGGATGCAGGCTTCGAGAACACTAGAGGTGACTGGAGACATCCTGATGGGACATCGCAGTTGAACAATGGCCAAACCCCGCACCGCCCCAATGCGCCGACATTCGAGACGCCCGCTGTCCCCAAGAACCCGTTTGCTGCGAAACCGAATATTGCTGCCCCTCTAGACGGAAGTCAATTGTTCGGCACGACGCAGTTTTCCTCAGCCGTTAAACACATTAGCCCAACATCGTCGCGACCTTCTCCGAAGCTTTTCAACTCGAAATCATCGAATCTTATAGAGACATCCCCGTTGAAGAATAGAGCCAACGTCTCATCGCCAACCGATATCCGTACATCGAGTCCTCAACGCCTGCACGAGATACCTGAGACATCGTTGAGAGATGAGCATGGGGACTCTACACGAGCGCAAACGCCACTGGGTACTAGATCTGCTGGTGGCGACATGATACCAGAGTCCCCTTCCTCCTCAGACCCTACACCTCGTGCCCAAGCACCCAGGTCATCAAGTACTACGGAGCCTATGTCGCATTACGAACCAATGAAGAAATCACAAGAGAGGAAGATCATGGGATCAATCGTGATTTCCCCCATGAACTCTGATGACGACTCCGACGACGCAATCCGACGGATGGAGAGGCGGAGGAGGATTGAACGAAAAAAGGCAAAGGCGGCAGAGGAGCTTGGTCGTGTTAGTTTCACGCCAAAGATCAGGCAAGACCCGACAGAGCAGCCATCAAGGAAGAAGAGAAAGCTTTCGCCAACTGAAAATTCGAAACCAAGTCATGCACAGTCCAAGGCTGGCAACGACCTCAACAAGGGTCAGGATTTGCCTGCCCTCGTGGATGATTCTCAAAAAGGAGTGGTGGCTTCCAACGAAACTCTTCCGGTTGAATCTACCAAGGCCACCCCTGGGCATAGCGCTCCCGAGAATCAGCAGATTGACCACGATGGTGACGTCGTGTTGATGGACGCCGATAAGGTTGTGGTAGATGAAGATATGATACCTGCCACCAGTCCAGCGCCATCCATACCACCCACAGCACCTATCGAATACCCAGAGCCATCAGAGCCTGAGCTACCCCGGCTCCCCATGGACGAAGGGGACTTGCCGGAAGGCCCTAACGATCACTCAGAGCCTTCATCGTTACCTCCGCCACGTAGACGAACCAACAGGACTTATGGGCGTGCAGTCCGGCAAAAACGCAAGAATCCTTTTCTTAGTTCTTCTAACTCGGATGGTTTGACGGGTGACTTCGAGTCGAAACCGGTGACCATGTCATCGCCTTTGCATAAGGTAGCTGCTGTTTCCATGATAGAAGAAGAGTCGGAGCGGGAATTACAGCCACCCCAGGAGGAGACTGTTAAGGCCGAGAAAAATCCAGCAGCACGGCGTAAGAAGACGGCCCGCGATGCTTACGCAGACCTCCCCCCACCGATGACAACTCGATCACGACGCAGTGATATACCTGAAGCTACTCCAGTGACTCCACTGGCCAGTCGCTCGGCTGGTCGGACACTACCAACATCATCGAGCTTGAGTGTTCTATCAACCACACCAGCACTCTCTTACAAGACCACACCCGGAACGCAAGACTCACCTGGCTCTGAACGACCAGAATCGGTAACACTTCCATCTCCAGGAGTTAATCACAGCTTGCGCAGGCAGCATGTCCGATCAGGAACAAAGTCAGAATCGCCCCAGCAGGGAGGGAAGTTGAGAAGGATATCCAAAAGACACCCGCGTCTTGATTCTGAATCTACCGATGAATTGCACCCTTCACCTGCCGCAAGCGTGCTAGAAAGGAGTATAGTACACAAATCTAGTAGGTCCTTCAAACAGAGCTTCGCTTCTGTACAGAAAACAGGACGGCTTTTTGATGGCATGGTGTTTGCCCTCTCCTTTTCAACGCAGTTCAAAGCCCAGGAGCGTAAGAAGATAGAGACGAAAATTACGCAGTCAGGGGGGACGATTCTTGCAGACGGATTTCAAGACATGTTTGAGCACTCGTCCATTATGAACACTATGAGTCCAGTAATGGACGAGGAAGACGCTTTGAGGCTTACCAAATCAAGCTACGATAGCGGATTTACAGCACTTATTGCTGATAATCACTCGCGAAAGGTCAAATACATGCAGGCATTAGCACTGGGCCTTCCATGTTTGGCTCCTCAATGGATCACGACTTGCCTCACCAAAGGGGCTATTGTGGACTGGGAACCCTATTTGCTTTGTGCAGGCGCATCTACTGTGCTCGGAAACGCGCTTCGGTCTCGAATCTTGCCAACATATTCAGCAGACGAAGCGAGACTGGCCGAAGTCATTGAGCAACGACCACGACTTCTGGATGGGCAACGAGTCCTTGTTGTTGTAGATTCAAAGAAGTCGCGCAACGAGGCCAAGGAGCCCTATGTCTTCCTTGCCAGTGTTTTGGGTCCATCGATCTCGAGAGTGTTTTCCACACAGCAAGCACGAGAAGTGTTGCTGGAACACCAGAAAGCAGGAAACCCGTTTGACTGGCTATATCTTGATAAAGGTACCGGAACAGTGGAGGCGGTTCTCGCGCCTGCGGAAATAACAGGCAATAAAAAGCGTCGGAAGTCGACAGCAGCTCAGGCCAAGCTTGACAATATCCGTGTCTTGGATGACGAGCTTGTGATCCAGAGCTTGATTCTGGGTCGCATGGTGGAAGCAGATGAAATGTATACATAACACCTATCGGGGTTTCTTTGTTTTTACACAGGCGTTGGGAGACCATAATTATTTTGGAGGATTAATACTGCAACTACTTACCTAGGTTGGTGCATTGGATGGCGTTGCAAAGCGGAATCTGAGGGGAGGTAAATACCTAGTACTGGCTGGCAGGCGTAACTAGATGGCCCCTGGCGTTTATATGAAGTTGTTTTGATTATATTGTTTTGCTTGCTGGGTGATATGCGGTAAAACAGAGCAAACGAACGGTTGCATCATCATGTCGTTATTCACTGGCCGGTAGCCTCTAACAGACGGGGCAGATATCTCTAGGGTGACCCTTTGGTTCCCACTCTAATCCCAAGCTTACGACAGTATCAAGGAATTTGGGCATCAAAGCTTGTTAGGCGAGGTGTTGGTGATCCATAGATTATGGAGTGGTTTCGAAGGTGCCTTCGCAAGGTAGGAAGGTAGTCACGGTAAGGTAAGTATGAGGGCGAGATTCAATAGACGTCCAACTAGCCCGGACCACTGAGTATAGATCTTATTTATTTGTGATAAATAAAATTGGTCGCATCTTGAGCTGTTTTTACTCATTTCACTCGAGCATTTGAAAAGAAAGCAAAGTTTGCTTTCGTGTGCTGTTGTTACCTAGTGTGCAATGCACTCATTCAATCGTCAATATTAATCATGCAGGGATCGATCGTTTCCAAGGGTACTACTGCAAGTCCCAGACATCCATTGGGCCTTTACGATGTAGGGGTCTGGAGAAGTCAGGATTAACAGCTGCGCCTGAATCAAGTAGGGCAATCTAGAAAGCCAAGAATTAAGCGCTTTAGATTTCCCATGTCTCGGCCTCGTGGTGGTTCCTTCCATCCATACCTAGTTTGCTAGTTACCAAACAACCGCAATTGTTTCCGCCTCCTCCATTCATCGCCACTATCAGTCAATCGATGGAGAATCGACAAACAATCTAGAACACAACTGTCGACCGTTCGAGACCTTGTAGATCTGCCGACACCCGGAGCATGGCCGGCCATTTGCGAGAACGGTACCTGGTAGCGGTAGGTCATTTCACAAGTTCACTTGGCGGTTCGTTTTGCAGATAGACTAATGAATCTGTTTGATGGTGCAGGATTCGTGTGTTACCACACAAACTTTGAAGCAATTCACTCGCAATACTTATAAACAATCGATTTGCTCGTGGTGATTCCCGAGAGCCTAAAGTACCCATATCGCCTTTTGGTTCGCTGGTATATACGTATCGTGTACATTGAGCACCAGTCCCTGCAGATCGCCACTACAATCGAGAACATAGTCGCTTACCAGAGATCAAATTCTCTTCGGAATACTCAAGTTTTCCTTCTGTTCTTCACTCTTAGGACTGTATTTCGAAGACAGGCATTAGCATAGATGGGGGTCAGGTAACGGTCAATTACCAGTCCTAAAAATGGCCTCATGCCCACCCAAGCTGGTTTCGGAACCAGCTCGTGAGAGGGAATCTTTCAAGTTTGTTCTCCCAATATTCTACCTATCCATGGTCGCATAGCGGGGCTAGTATATCCTTTGCACAATTACTCACAGGTTGCTAGGTATGGAGCGTCGCTGCTCAACGACATCACAGACTCGCCAAGTGAAGGCGCCTCTCCCCCAGGCCAAAACACTCCCTCAGATAACCCGTTCGAAGATGCTATTAAGCAGCAAAAGGCCTCAAGAGATACTGTACTTGCATCACTTGCACAGCTGGGCTTATGGAGGACAGGCACCGATCGCGCCCTAATCTCTCTGTTCGATCGCAATCATCAATACATCGTTGCGGAAACGACGCAAAAGTCATCTCTTGCACCTGGACCGATTCGATCGAGAAACGACCATGGAGAGTTTTGGTTGTATCCTGGGACATTTCCCCGGCAGCTTTCAGTGTGTGATCGGGCTCTTATGGCACAGAAGAATGACCCCTCTGCTCCGGAGACCGAGCTGCCCCTCACCCTGATACCCGACCTTGAAGCCGATGCTCGACTTTCGAAACTACCGCACCCCTTATCAGGATGTCCCGCTCGATTCTATGCTGCTGTTCCTATACGATCACCTTCAGGTGTCGATATTGGTGTATATTGTGTCGTGAATCCACAGCCTAGGGCAGCTGAGACATGGAGCGACAGCGACACTCAGGCTCTGCGAGAAGTCTCTTCGAATATCATGGACTATCTCCAATCCAAGAGCGTAGGCGATGCTTACAGAAGAAGTGTGAGAATGACGAGAGGAATCGGCTCCTTCGTGGAGAGGGAATCGACAATGGCAGGTTGGAGAGCCGGCGCTAGTTCTCCAGCATTCCACGACGACGTGACCAGAGAAGGTGCTCTAAATTCTGAACAGCAGGCTCTACAAAGATTTAGAGGCCTTAGTCTCCAGAAGACGCTCCCAGTGCATGTGCCGACACAGGCTAACACTGGAAGTGAGACGACTGCTGTGAGCTCTGGGGACACCGGACAAGCGAACATGACCAGTGTTTCGTCGAAAGACCCATCTGCTCGAGAATCCGATGCCGATGTGAAGGAGAAAGCGATGGCCAGGATTTTCTCACGCGCAGCCAATCTGATCCGCGAAGGTATCGAGATTGAGGGTGTCCTTTTTCTCGATGCTAATCTCGAGGCCTCAGCACTCGAAGGAATGCTCCATAACGATAGCCATTCGACTCCCGAATCTTCATCTAGTAGCGACGAGGCTTCTACTCAAACACCGGATGAAGAGGAACGGCGATGCTGTGGTATTCTCGGGTTTGCCACCTCTACATCATCAAGCATTAATTCAGATGCTGTGTCCGATCTTCACGCTGGCTTACCAATGAAGTTACTTGCAGCTCTTCTGAGACGATATCCTACCGGCAAAATCTTTAACTTCGATGAGGATGGTGAGCTTCTATCTAGCGGATCATCTGAGGAAGATCTGTCCACTTCTGTGTTCAGACAAGATGACCTTGTTGAGAGCTCGCCAACGGTCCTTTCCAGTAAGAAGGAGCGCCCTTGGTCAAGATCTTCAGAGGGGCCATCTCTATCAAGAGTATTCCCCGGTGCTAGAAGTGTGGCTTTCTTGCCTGTTTGGGATCCCAAGCGTGACCGATGGCTGGCAGGAGGCTTTGCCTACACTATGACACCCACAAGGTCCTTTACCATTGAGGGGGAGCTGAGCTATCTGAGAGCTTTTGGCATGCTAGCGATGTCAGAAACCCAGAGGCTCGAAGCTCTACTGGTAAATAAGGCACAATCGGATGTACTTGGTTCTTTGTCTCACGAGCTGCGGACTCCCCTTCATGGAGTCATGCTTGCGGCAGAGCTTCTTTCTGATACACAGCTGGACGTCTTTCAAGGGAACTTGCTGCGCACCCTGGAAACATGTGGTCGAACACTTTCCGAGACGATCGATCATCTTCTATACTTTTCTAAAGTCAACCAAGTTGCGGTCCACCGGAAGAGAGAACGCCGGGCACGAAAGAGATCCATCGTTGGCGACCCTTCCGCAACACTAGCAGCGAGTACTTCCATGTCCGAAGTCCGATTAGACGCTTTGGTTGAAGAAGTCATGGACAGTGTCTTTGCTGGCCATGTTTTTCGACGTAACGAAGCCGACAAAGTTTGGCAAACTAGTAATAGAAGCGGACGCCTGGATATTGACGATGCACAATCTCCTGATTCGAATGAGTTGACAGGCGGTCAGGTTGATGATACCATCAAGTACGAAGTTCCGCTTGGACACGAGAGCCAGGTGGCAATCTTCCTCGACATCGACCCCTACGTACCGTATCGCTTCCATGTAGCCGCCGGTGCATTACGTCGCGTGGTGATGAATCTCTTCGGAAACGCGTTGAAATACACGCGACACGGCACAATCACGGTATCGCTTTCCCAAAAACCACTGTTTTCCAACAACCCGGACAGTAACAGACGAGTGGTACGGATTTCCGTTACAGATACCGGTCAAGGTATTTCCCCAGACTTTCTCCGGAACGATCTCTTCAAGCCGTTCTCTCAAGAAAACCACCTTTCGCACGGTACTGGGTTAGGATTGAGTCTGGTTAAGAAGATTGTAGCGTCCATGGGCGGCAAGATATCGATAGAGAGTAAAGTCAATGTTGGAACTACTGCAACTATTACACTACCTCTGTCTCGATCGAATGACCCGGACTCTTCACAACAGGGAGAGGAGAAGAACGAGGTTGACGAGGAGGCAAAACGGTTGAAAGGGTTGCGGGTGCGGTTAATCGGCTTCCCTTCAGAGGAAGAGATCAAGCCACGCACGGCAAGTGGTATTCCAATGTCTGCTATGCGGACCATGTGTCATCGATGGTTGGAGATGGACGTTATTCATGAATCTTCATGCCGGGACGTAGCACCGGATATTGTGCTGTGCAATGAGATGGCGATGGATGATCCTGTTTTAACCAGCGAGGAGCTCGTCAGATCTCCGGTGGTTGTCGTATGTGCCAATGCCATCACAGCGCACAAGCGATCTTCGGAGCGGAAGACATCCGAGGAACAGCGAGTTTATGAGTTTGTTTCTCAACCGTAAGTAACATCCAAACCTCAAGTTCTCGACCTACTAACACGGCATCATAGTATTGGCCCACATAAGCTCGCCAGGATTCTTCACATAGCTTTCCGTCGATGGGGAGACTTACAAGCTCTGTCACCACTGATGCCGACAAAGGTTGATGGGGAACCCTTAGACCAACAGCCCGACGACTCGACAAGGCCCTCGAATAGAGGAACTAAGAGAGCCAATGCTCCAAATGATAGCCCTGCGCCGTCAGGCCCGAGAACGGAGTCTATGAAACGCCCTGGGCCACCAACAAGGGCTTCTCCAGCAAATGCACACACAGAGGTGTCAAAGGAATCATCTTCTACAGACGGAGCTAAGAGCTTCCTATTGGTTGATGATAATCCCATCAACCTCTCAGTTTTGTGCGCTTACATGAAGAAGCTGAAGAGCAAGTATGCTACAGCAGCAGATGGACTTGAGGCTGTGGAAAGATTTCAGGAAAACCCTGACCTGTTTAGCTGCATTCTAATGGATATTAGTATGCCGCGAATGGATGGCATTGAAGCTACAAAACAGATACGAGCCTTTGAACATAGCAAAGAGCGGGAACCAGTAGTTATACTCGCTCTGACCGGGTTGGCTTCGGCAAGTGCCCAACAAGATGCATACGAAAGCGGAGTGGATGTTTTCTTGTCCAAGCCGGTTAAGCTCAAGGAGTTGAGCACTATACTGAGGGAAAAGGAGCTGGTATGAGTGTTAGATGAGTACAAGACAGGCGTAACAGGTACACGATTCGATGAGGATATAATATACATAGATCGGTGGACAGGATTTGCTAGGCGTTCGGGGTATGTACGTTGAGTTAGGCATGCCAAAGACTACCTACTATATACTCAGATGGAAGATCTTTTCAGATGCGGTCCAAAACTTGATGATACTTGAGAACATTCCCATATTTCGACATTCCGATGCTATCATATGGTAGCGATTTCCGATTGCAAGGTTTGATTGATGACTGTATAACCTCAAATTGATAAGCATAAGTTTCACACCAAGCCACAAAACGTATTGGACCGGATGTCTCGGCGGGCTGATGTATTGTCATGGTAAGATGGGACTCGGGTTTTTGGCATCGGCCGAGATCATATGTTTGGATTTTATTGTCGACTCTTGAGTGCCGAGAGGTCACCAGGTCTTCGCACTAGTGAACGTTAGTGGTTACACTGCATCGATAGCTAGGATCTGTGGGTGTTAGAGTCCGTGTTCATTTTGCTTTATGGCGTGGCATGTTTAATTATCGTGGCATACAAGAGAGGTATGCGTGGGCTTGTGTCTCTGCTCAATGCGGAGTATTCATATACTTGGGTCCATCTCGTAAGGGCGTTTAAGAGACATGACTGGAATTAATTGTCCTAATGAAAAACATCCTCTGATTCTGTGATCATTTGAGTAACCGAAGGCGTCCAAGTCGGGAACCGGCAATGCTAGAGTCTCCATTGTTGTGAAGCCCAGTTTTTAGCGTAGGTCTTCCTCGTGGCAGCTGTAATACATTTACCGAATATGACGTTGACGTTACTACAGAATGCTCAAAATTTAGGCATAAATTTATGTACCTAGCTTGATTACGGGACTAGATGATTTTCGGAGACGAGAAGACGGATAGGCAGTGAATTCAATAAGGAGACCAAACGCATAAATATACCAAGCAGATAGCAGCTCTCTGTATATCGAATTAGAACACCTTGAAGGCTAGGTAAACCAATGGCGTACTAGTCAAAGACTTCTGTTACCAAGTAGCCAAGCCAGCCAAGCCGACACTATGTAAAAAGGTGATAAAGGTCCGGTGTTTTGGGGTCTCGGTCATTAGAGAGAACTTGGCAAACTGGAGAACGAAGCGAAGCCAAGATCACGATTTCTATGGAATGTACAGTTTTGTAATAAGATAGGAGTTATGCACAGACCCATCCTAAGAAAAGGTCTGCCTAGATGAACCAAATCCAAAATTTTAATTCAGTCGATATGTTCTGATACGCTACCAGATTTAGATATTGCCGTGGCATTGAGTCCGGAATATCCGGAAGGTTACTGTACCAAGACTCGGAGGCCGGGGGCGCAACGGGACGATTCATGTACAGCAGTTGGTTTGTCATCTTACCCGTCACCCCCCCCCGTCAGTGAGACGATTTTCTTTGTATCGGGCTTTTCTCAACCCCATGAATAGCGGCATCCGCGGGACATCAGGGGCTCTAGAAAGTAATGAAAAAGAAGTTTTGCATGAGCGGCTGTCGAATGATGGTGGTTGAAGGGCACGGGCAAACAACACCATAGTCACGTCTATGTACGTCAGTTAATTGTCAACCCTGGAGACATCTAGATTGCCCCTGTTTAAGCAGAGACGAAGAGACGCGGCCAGTGGAGAAATATTAGAGATCAAATACACTTTGATAACATCACTGCAGTAAGAGCATGATGCTATTTGCACTTCTGCAAGATAAGCTCAGACACTAGCCAACTCATGCTGAGACAGACTCGTGGTGTTACAGTATTTTGTCCACCTCTTACAAGCTCGCCTGTCAATGACTGGTTCATTTACCTTTTCCATCGCATGTCAGCAGTGTAAAGATGGTAGCGGGCGATCCATTGCCATAAGCATCCCTGCCTAGTTCCGCCCGGGCGCTTCTCTTTTAGATGCACATGAAGCCCTGCAATTGGCTGATCAGCTTCAGGATCCAACAAACAAGCCGGCATCCGGCAACAGGGCGGGGGTTGGAAGTGCTTGGGAGCTTGGGCTCATGGGTATTCCTTGTTTGGGGCACTTAGACAAGACATGTCGTGTGCCCTCACAAATGTCCATGACCTAGTCTATAGTAACTTACCGGGTACACGCAGAAGAAAAAAAGGAACTACCAATTACACATTGGATCATTCTTTCTTGGCTGACACTGAGCTGTTCCTGTAACGTGCCTAGATACTAGCCATGAATATCAACATCAAGTCTATGCCCGAGCGTTCCGCTGGTCTCTCTCGTTCATCAAAACCTGCCTCCGCCCCTCCTGCAAACGACTTCTTGTGTGTACTCTTCTTCCTATAATTTTGAAAGTTCTACAGTAACTTGTTTGCCTGATACCATTTTTGCGTTCTCTTTACTTTCGTTTGTCAAACCTTGGCTTGGCTTGGCAGGGGTGACGGCGCCTACCGCTTCGTACCTGACTGACATAGAGCTTCGTCAACACCATCAGATCAGGCATTTCACTACGAACAAGCTTAATTTCGCGTTCGAGTTTCTTCAGCTCTCTTCAGTATGGGAGTCGGTTCCTTTCTCGAACCACTTGTCGTGGTGACCCTCCTTTTTGGAGGCGCCTACTTCAACCGCAGCAAGGACTACAACTTCTGGACCAACAAGTCAGGCTTCGCCAGCCTCAAGAGCTACAAGCGCTCTGATGACCTACCGAATCGAGACTCAACAGACAGCTTGATGAGCGGATGGAGTGGTTCGCGCTCACCAAGACTGGACTCTCATAAGAATACACAATCGAGTCTGCGCCGTCGCAAGTTGCAAGTGTTTGGCTACAAGCGCATCGTTTCTACACCAAACACTCATGTATTTGAGGATCGTCTATTAAGTCGACTTTTGAAGAAGTTGCCTTTCCTAGTTGAGTGCTGGTACTGGTTCCTCATCTACTTCGTCTACCAGGTTGGTCGCGCAATCACTGCGTTGACTCTCGATGAGGGTACCGTCGACGTAGCCCGCCGACATGCCCTACAGATTATCCACCTCGAACAGCGTCTTCATATCTTCTGGGAGGTTGACTTCCAGAAATGGTTCCTCGCACGACCAACTATTCTTCACTGGATCAATCGCATCTATTCCTTCATCCATATTCCCGGCACGATCATGTTCCTCGTGATGCTATACTACTTCACAACCACCCGCCATCGCCGTTATGCCACTGGTCGCGTGCGCTCCGACAATGTAACTGCTGGTCCTGCTCTTTATGAAGCCCGTCGGCGAACTATGGCCATGTGTAATTTGATTGCGTTTATCGTCTTCACAAGTTGGCCTTGTATGCCGCCTCGACTTCTGAGTGACCCTGAGTATAAGGGCCCTGATGCTGAGGAATCAAAGAGTTTTGGCTTTGTCGACACTGTTCACAGTGGCACTGGGGAGAGCAGCGTCTGGACCACAAACAAATTCTGTAACCAATATGGTAAGTGGAACTCATAACTACTCAAAGCTACAATGCTAACTCACTTACAGCTGCCATGCCCTCGCTGCACTTCGGTTACTCTCTCCTCGTCGGTCTTACAGTCGCTACCATCCCCGTCACCGGCCTCCGACCCTACTCATTGAAGCGATTCATTATCGTTGCTTTAGGACTGTCATACCCAGCTCTGATCTTGACTGCTATTGTCGCTACAGCCAACCACTTCATACTCGATGCCGTAGCTGGTGCCATGGTCTGCGCAATTGCCTGGAACTGCAACGACTTCCTGCTCAATTTCTGCATTGTGGAAGACTACTTCCTGGCTTTGCTACGCCTTCACAAACCCGTGAACTGGACCGATCCTGAGACGGCTGTCGAACCTGAGTTCCAGAGTGGTCTCATGACTGAGGATGTTTGAGAAGTCCAAAATGGACGGAAACAAGAACGAGCCCCATGACCTTTTTAATTTTAATCATGTTTTTGTAAGGGGTTCTTGAGCATGAAATTCGAGGCAGTGGAGACCGATAACTTGAGAGTATAGAATTTCACTCTTCAAAAGAGGCATGATTGATCATCTCCTTTCAAATGAATCGATGGTGCGCAGACGGGAGTGGTGACAATAGGATATCATACCATGCGGTCAGCCAGATGCCGGCATTATGTAGCAGGCTCCTGACGCTCATAAACCCAAAGAGGGAACAACCTTAATTTGATATGGTTAATATAATCTGTTGACAATGTCTTGGGCTGAAATGCATGCTGTCAAGTCAGGTTTCTGCTACCCTAAAGAATCTAGTGTCCAAACCTAAGTATGAGATCAATTCGCCCCTTGTTGTTTACGTCGGCATCCACGTATTTTCAGTGCGTGGTGTGAAAAACATTGAAACCATTCCGTATGCCCGTGACGACGCTCGTTGGTGAGATTATTTCCTTTGCCTGCCAGTAAATGCAGCCATGATACCGGGGACGTGATCGACCTGCTAAGCGTTGATTATCATGGGTACTTAGGACCCTAATAGATATCGTCGATTTTACACCAAATTCAGCCACAAGCACAAGTGCCTCTGATAACACGAAGTGGGGTACCTCTGTGGCGGGGCACGTCGTCATCTGTGATCCGTTTGGGCAAGAGACAGCAGCTGCCTTCGTGCTTGCCTTTACTCACATGCCACCCAACGACCACGCATCTCTTTTCTCATCGTGACCATTTATTAAACGCCTTTCTCCTTTATACAAACTCTATCTGTGTTACCTCTGCAGTAAACCAAGTGAATAGATCAAGTTTTTACCCGCAACAACTTCGAGCTAAGAGCTCAACTTCTCGCTATGTCGCAGCAGGATACTGGGGCAGCTGATGCCCCGCCACAGCAATCCTCGAGACGATCTGCGTCACCATCAAACAGCTTCTATGCGCTGAGCGATGATGAAGAGGGCGAATACAACACAATCAGAAATGCCGATACAGGAAGAGGCGTCAAACTTCTCTTCTCCAAGAGCAAGGTGAGTAAACTCTGCATCCACATATTGCGCGAGTTGCATTTGGAAGAGCGTTGGACAGCAGCTGACAGTCGCAGGTTTATGTACACCCAACACCATCTTCAAAGGACAACATCCCAGGATATATAGCACTTCTCCAACAAAGAGGTCATAATGAAGAGCGGCCTTCTTCCTCTTCTTCTCATGATTCCCAACATATTGCTTCTTCAGACCTACTTCTTGCTTGGATCCCCGAATCGTCGCTCGGCGACTCTGCTAGCATCTACGTCAAGGTCGACCTTTGCGATGGAGACTCGCCCCCGAAACAGTCTTACCTGGTACCTCCTCCACCGACCGTTACGAGCCATGTTGGATCTGTTGGAGGCTATGCCTTTGCGATTCCAGTGAGCGCTGTCTACTCGCTTCTCGTTCGTCCTCCCAGTCTTGGCTGGTGGTATGGATCCGTCATCATAAACTCCCGTGCAGGCGACAGCTTCCCTGCTCTCTTCTTCCACGACAACGAATGCCAAAGCACGATCCTTCAAAAGAAGAAGATCGCCCGCGACACATTCGACCCTTTTGGAGAATCTGGTCAGATGTTCTGGGGTGGCGACGAGGTTGTAAAGTGGCTGCGTCGTTATATCAAGATTGAGCGATCAGGTGCCGAGCCCAACATCTACTTGCTCGAACCGTCAAAGGAGGATAGTGAAGCATTTGGTCATAAGCTTACATCCAGCCCATCGCAAATTGGTCGCCAGGATAGCTCAGTAGGAGCGCAGCAACGCGGTGCGGGGGGACCTTCAAACCGAGATGCGGAGATGGACCCTTTCGTAAAGCTGATCAAGGAGACCGGCTGGAATCTTATGGAGAAGTTCAGCAAAGTCACCACTTTCACACGAAGAGCGGCCCAGGATATCGTCGAGAACCCGAATCTGCCACCACAAGTAAGACGACTACTAAGGAATCCCGAAGTCCAGACACTCCAGGATGAGTTCGACAGCGCCAGAATATATCTAGCTCGTTGGGCTATGGGTATTCAGGAGCAGAGCGATCGCGATCGGAGACAAAGGATATGGTCCGCTCACGACGTGATGGAGCTTGAGGATACTGATGTTGGCGAGTTCGAGCTATTAGAAGGCGCCAGCAACCTCTCACTCGAAGAACGTCGCAAGGCAGTGACAATGAAAGAGTGGAATACTTTTTTCGATCCTCAAACTGGCCGCTTAGCGGTAACTATTGATGAAGTGAAGGAACGAGTCTTTCATGGAGGTTTGGATCCTGATGATGGGGTCCGAAAAGAGGCCTGGCTTTTCCTCCTCGGCGTTTATGAGTGGTACAGTACTGCTGATGATCGAAAGGCCCAGATGGCCTCTCTACGCGACCAATACTACAAGCTTAAGCTGTCCTGGTGGGAGAGACTCGAGGGCGACGGAGGCGAGGGCGAGACAGGAGAGTGGTGGCGCGAGCAAAAGGGTCGAATTGGTAAGTTGCTCACCATCCCTCAGCCTTTCTCCCCGGAACGATTTGCTAACTTTACGATTTCTACAGAAAAGGATGTCCACAGAACAGACCGCAACGTGCCTATTTTCATGGGAGAGGATATTCCTCATCCTGACCCGAGCTCACCTTTTGCCGAAGTTGGCACCAATGTGCATCTCGAGCAAATGAAGGAAATGCTCCTGACTTATAACGAGTACAATAAGGATCTCGGTTATGTTCAGGGAATGTCTGATCTTTTAGCGCCGATCTACGCTGTAATCCAGGATGATGCTGTGGCTTTTTGGGGCTTCCAGAAGTTCATGGAACGTATGGAACGCAACTTCCTGCGAGATCAGTCTGGTATGCGTAACCAACTCTTGACACTAGATCAGCTTGTGCAGTTCATGGATCCTGTACTCTGGAACCACCTTCAAAAGGCTGACAGCACCAACTTCTTCTTTTTCTTCCGAATGCTCCTGGTATGGTACAAACGCGAGTTTGAATGGTTGGATATTCTGCGATTATGGGAAGGTTTGTGGACAGACTACATGAGTGCCAACTTTCACCTTTTTATTGCGTTGGCAATTCTCGAGAGACACCGCGATGTTATTATGGAGCATCTGCAACACTTTGATGAGGTGCTCAAATATGGTGCGTATCTACATTCTTAACACGACTCGATCGTATGCTGACAATCTTTAGTCAATGAGCTCTCTGGTACAATCGATCTGGAGGCAACTCTCATCAGAGCAGAGAGCCTCTTTAAGAGATTCCAAAGACTTGTCGAGGCAGTTGACAAGAAACAAAACTTCCCTGCTCCTCGATTCAATCCCAAAAACGCCTCTGGTTCTTCAGAATCAGCGGAGTCAGGACCTTCAAAGGATGGCAAGACACCCAGTAAGGGTAAAGCTAATGAGCCTGCTGCACCCCCGCCGCAGCCAAAGACGATTACCCCTGAGTTGCGCAAGCTACTGAGTAAGGAGGTGGAGGTGCTTCCCAGGACAACTGTGGCTCAGAACGGTGATGGTATGCCGAGCAAGTAAGAGTCTGTCTTCAGTTTCGCTATATCCTGTTGGACAAAGATTGGTTGAGTGTACTTTTACGCTTCAAGGGGTTACTTCACTAGGCGTTTAGTTAACTTTTGCAGGGAGTTATTGGTATTGCGGCAACTTGAGCAACATTTGATTTAGATCGGTCAGGTGCGGCCGCCGAAGGGAATACATGATATATCTTATATTTACTGTTTGAAGCATGGCATTGAGAAGTAAAAATCCATTATCTTACGCAACGCCTTTCTATCCTTTCAAGAAACGTGAACGCCATACATCCAACAGGCCTCGACCTTCGCTCTTCGAGGCTCCTATGTGTACAGCTCCTTTCTACAAACAAGGCTCCCTTACCTGTATCCGCGCGGTCCACTAGGCAATCCTCTCCTCAGACCAGCATTACCGCCGCCACCTGCCTGGTCGTACATCCCGCCTGGCCCAAATCGGTCCTCGTAATTACCACCGCCCCCTCCATTGTTACCAGCCGGAGGCTGAAAAGGTCCTTGACTTCCAGCCTGCGGACTTGTCGTGCGTGATCCGCCGCCGCCCCAAAGCCTTTGTCGTAGCCTATCCTGTGCAGATCCTCCTCCAGTACCAGCACCACCAGGCGGCACGCTCGCAGTTTCGGGCCTACCGAACTGACCACCTGCGTTCTGGTAGCTTCCTGCACGCTGCTGGCCTGGCAGTGGTCGTCGAGAAACATCACCGCCCCCTGGTTGTAGCGAAGCGGGTGTGCGTCCACCACCAGCGCGAAGACTTTGAGGCGCTTGTTGCTGCTGTTGCTGAGGGCCATTATCCCACAGACTGCTGAGACCTCCGTGCTGCTGTTGCCCCTGGGCACCGAAGCGCTGACCGGCCTGTGGCGTCATCATAGGTTGGACGGGTTGCTGAGCTGGGGCCTTAGGGTCCGGTGGCAGCCATGCGGGAAAGGGGCGTCCTTTTTCGATGTAGTAGCCGCGGAGGACACGGCATACATGAGTATCGTCTTCGGTGTCACCATCTTGTTCGCCTGAGAGCAGGTTCTGGCGAAGAGAGGAGATTTGAGATGACGTCTTTTGGACAAGGTTGGAGTACCAAGACGCCATGATGTAATATGTTTATCCTACGATAATAATTCCGTAGACAATACAATGGTGCGTTTTCGCATCGATGGGTGTTTAAGAGCTACAAGTTGCGCGCGTGTCTCGTGATGTGGGTTTGTTCGCAGTCGGTTCAAGGAGCGGTATCGTTGTCCAGGGTGTAAGATTATGTCGTAACTGGGGCTTGCGACGATGAGCGCAGTGGTATATTGCCTTCGCAATTGATTCTGTGTGCAGCCAGCTGCTATGGTTGATATAAAATCAGGATTAGAGGTTGTTGCAAGGGTCGAGAAAAGGTTAACGCTGGCGAGTTTAAAGAGGGGAGAGTTGAGTTGGAGGTGAAAGTGACGCAGGGATTCTTGGATATGCAATGCAAGTGGGCTGGAGAGTTTCATAGCTGCCTGAGCTAATCATGCGCTGCGGTTGGGCGGGGCAATTCAAGGTAAGGAAACGGGCGAACATATGTAGGACTTGATAGTGGGGCAGGTCCTGGCTATAAAAAGAGTATGTTTTAATTAAAAGTTTACTTTGATAACAGAAGCAAGTAGGGCTTCAAACGATGATCAGTTTCGCTCAAAGAGGTATCACAATTGTTCCAACAAGCTCATTAAGTAGCAGTCTATTTGGTGTCCATCAACTGCCTTACTCGAGCAAACAACTTCGCAGAAATAAAGTATTGTACTGTAATGCGCCCAGATGGTGTAAGATAAGGGCCATCATGATGCTTTTCCTTTCCTTCTCCCCATTTTCATCTTCTTTCAGAAAACGCAAACTCCTCAAACGCCGAGGCTTTACTTTGTAGACAGCGATTACCACGACAGGTCGTTGGTCAACATCAACTTCTCCTTCTCCTGCTGTCTGGGCTTCTTGTTCTTCATCTTGATAGCCCGTCCACGCTTTCGCTTGTTGCCAGACTTCTCGCTCTCAGATTCTTCACTGTCGTCCTCATCCTCGTTCTCCTCGTCTTCCTCATCGCTGCCGAGCCACTCCTCGAGGTCGCCAAGTTCATCGTCGCTCTCGCCAATGTCGGAAACGTACTCGACCTGGTTCTCAAGGTTGTCGTCCTCCTCGCTCCACTCAGCTTCTTCGCCATTCTCGTCAAGACCCTTGTCCATATCCGCATCACGCTCGCCCTGACCCTCACGCTCCATAGCGTTAAGAACCTTCTTCCAGATGTGCTCGCTAACGTTGAGGGGCTGATCACCGTAGGCTCCCTGTCGTAGACGCTCAACAAGCTCTCGCTCAATGGTTCGCTCGAGCTTTGCAGCGGCCTCGGCCTTGCGTTCACGGGCCTGCTCACGATGCTTGATCTTGGGTGCCATCTTGGGCACAAGCTTCTCGCCCAGTCTTTCCTCTTCAGCGGCAATGCGGCGCATGCGGATTTGAACTTGAGTTAAGCGGGTCAAGCGCTGCTTGCACCGGTGAACCATGTACTTGGGCCAGTAGATCAATTGATTGTCAATCTGCGAGAGCGCCTCGTTGTACGAACGGGACAACAGGCGCTTCTCCCACATTTTGCTGGGCATATGCATTCTTTCAACCGTCCGAAGGTAAAGATATAACTTTCCTTGCTCTTCTCGAATCGTAGCATAGCGAGAGTTGGCGAGAGGACACGATTGGCGGTTGCACAGTCCAGAATGATTCATCTCGTTACGACAGAAAGCCGATTTGTGGTCCTTTGTATGCGGCATCCTGTTGAGAAGTTAGCATTCGCTTGTGTCTCATGTCCTTGAGGTTGACGGCTGGTCGTGCTGTGTCGTGTCTTGCCAGACATCGAGAAGAAGAAGAGAAGGGAAGAGTACGAAAGAACGTAGAAAATAAGGTCTTACTTTAGGCGGAATGAGCAAAAACTAGCTCCTCCATTGCCATTTATGATATTCCAGACCACTTCGTCGGACGCCATCGTGAAGAATGTTGAAGTTGGTGGTACTTGTGATGAGATGCGGAGACGGTTGGCAGATATCGCCAGGTGTAGCGCCAGTAAGTGCGCGAAAGAAAGAAAACCTGAAGCAGACAGCCCAGAGGCTTGGTAGATTCGAAACTCGTTCAATCAGGGGGAGCGCAAATTTGAAGTTGGTGAAGGTTGGCGATGCAGAGACGATGAGTTTGCAAAAAAATTGTCTACGACAAGCTACCGATAAGATAAGATAGAAATTCCAGCGTTGTGAGCCCACTATGAGCCAACAGCAGTGGGCCAATCATAGGCATGAATACCGCAACCCATCCTCGGTGGCTAATGTAGCGGATGCTGGTTTCTCCGAACCGCTTGCGCCGCGGCTCTGCGTCACCCTGCAGTACGTACCATGACAGCTGCGATAGCATCACGTTGGAACTTGGCCAGCTTCGCCGCGTAACTCACCATCAACAAATTTCACGATCACCGAGCTCCACGAATCCCGCCGCCTTGTCGCCATACGGCTTGATCATATCTCTTCGACCGATAGGATCTCTCCTTTCTCTCCCCACGGGAAATCTCACTCGTTGAAATCGCCGCATACCAGTTCGATATAAACATCATCGCCCAACATGACTGCCGGTCTCAAAACCATCATCGCACTCTCCTTCGTGCTCGCCGTTGGATTCCTCCTCGTTATTCTATCCTGCGCGCTATGGAAGGAGTACTACCCTCTTCTCGTCGTTGCCACCTTCGTCATTGCGCCCATTCCCAACTGGATCTGCGGACACTGCGCCAATCCCGATGATTTCGTCGAGAGCTCCGGTGCTGCGGTTCTAGATCTTGGACGCTTCTTTACAGGATTCTTTGTTGTTATGGGAATTGGTAAGTCTCACTGTTCCTGGTCGATTGGCGGTTTAGCGCAGGGTTCAATACCGTTCACGTGGCTAATTCTTGTGCAGCTCTTCCCGTTGTCCTCGCGCACGCCGGCCTCATCGCAGTTCAAGCCATGGTTATGTCCATCATTGGCGGTCTATTGATTTACGGAACAATTGTCAGCTTCGGCATGTTCTTCCACGAGGAGCAAGAATTCTAAATGCGCGCGCGCGATAGAAGCGCATGAAGTCAGGATAAATGAGATGAAATAGCGACTGAGAAGGCATTTCGCCTTTCAGCAGGAAAGAGGAAGGTAATTGCTAGCATAAAGCCTGTACAACGCGTGTATGATCACAAGAAGACAAAGGAGTCACATTTGGCATTCAGCGGGGTTTTAAACATGGGTCTCGGCTACTCACAAAGGGGGGTTACGGCAATGAGATGGTTATAGTCGGTCGCCAATGCTATTCTTTTTATGGGCGTCATATAAATCGTATCATCTTCTACTATTTTCGTAATGCTTGCGTTTCCTGTCTATGCTGTTGAAATTCAAACCCAAAAACTCCGACGATGTGTACGTTGAGGTATCATGTCTAAAGTCAAATGCTGCGCCAGTCCTGCCCAAACGTCTAATCCAATCTAGCCTTTCCCTTGAGAACTGGCACTCAAGCTGCGTCTCTGAATACACCCATGGGACCGGCAAGCTTGGTAAACATCTCATCCCTTTCACCTTCGGGTGTGCTGAGAATGGTTACCGCACCTCCAGCTCCAATCCTCCATACTTCTCTGGGCTCGGTCTCATCTTCTTGAGCGGGAGCCTCCTCATCATCCCATCGGAACATAGTTCGAATGGTAACACTCCAGTCGCCTGCACCAGTGACATCCATATACCCTACGACGCCCGAGTATAGACTTCGCTCGTGATGACCCTCGATAACCTGCAAGAGCTCGCAACTGCGTTTCTTTGGCGCTCCTGTCATACTTCCGGGAGGGAGAGCTGCAGCCAGAGCATCTAGGCCAGTATATGGGCAGTGAGAGTCAAAGCTGCTTCGACGAGCACCGTGAGGCTTATGTCCGTTGCGTCCAGGTAGCTGTCCATTAACAACCGTGATCATCTGGAAGACAGTAGCATATTCTTCCACCTTCATCAAGTCAGGGACCGTAACATGGCCGACACCGCAGACACCATGCAGATCATGTCGTACGAGATCGACGATCATGAGGTTCTCGGCTACTTCTTTGGGCACATGGAGGATCTTCTCGGCCTGCGCTACTGTCGACACAGCTTCTGACTTGCGAACGGTACCCTTCATTGGTCTCATTGAGCACAACCCGTTACTATCATGGCGCAGGAAGCGTTCAGGGGAGCAGCTGAGCATTGTGGCGCCACCAAGTCGGATGAAAGATCCAAAAGGAGCGGGCTGTCGGTTTCGCAACGTTTGGTAAATATGCCAAGGGGCGTTCTCGTTGTTTCGAGAACAAGGCCTCTCCATTGTGGTTTGTGATGTCAGGCAAAGTTCATACGACTCTCCTGCTGCGATAAAGTCTTGGCACACTCGAACCTGCTCCTCGTATCTATCAGGTTGCGGTGTTGTGATGTTTACTCTCTTGTGCTGAACAGAGTTGCCGTTGATATGTCCGTTGATGCCGTTGGTTCCCTTCGAGGCTCTCTGAGATAAGCATCGTTGAATATTTGCTGTCATCCTTTCGAGCCATTGGTCGTCCGATCCGCGAGGTCTTAGATTTTGGATGTATGCGACACCGGCTCGGTGATCCAAGACGACGCTTTTGGTAACCCATGCCAAACAGATATCAGGTCTCTCATGACCCCTATTCTCTGGCACCATTTTCTTCTCGAGGCCGTGAAGACCCATCTCGTAGGTGATAAATCCCATGAAACCACCCTTGAAGGCTGATTTTGACTGGTCGAACCCAGAAGGATAGCTTCGCTTCTCCCAGAAGTCTGAAATTATTTCCCAGACCTTCACTGTGCCGTCTTCGAGACTGATTGTCTCGGTCTTGTCGCTGCTACCAGCTTTACCTGGAAGCCGGACGGTGACATAATCGTTCGAGACGTTGTACTCAACTCGAAAGGCTTGCTCGACGTCTAGAGCAATAATGCTGTTCAAGGCCAACGCATCACCATTCTTTGAGCTTGATGAATCAAGAATGACTGATTCTCCTTCAGCCAGTCCCAGCGCCTCGACAATCTCCGGTACACCAGCTCCCTGGGGTAGAGATATTTCGCGATGTGTGTACTCTGCTGCTTTCGCAAAGTCTCGCAGGGACCCCGTCTCAAAATGTGATGCCGACCACCATTCTCCCGATAAGCGTTCCTTGTGCGCAGCTGCAGACTCTAGGTGGTTCGGTGGTGAGAGAGTCTGGATTTCCAGCAAAGGCCCCTGGACTTGTCGGCCGTAATATCTGTTCCACTGCAGAGCAGCCTGAAACCAGTTGATGATAACCCCTTGTGCATTCTTCTCAGTGCAAACAGACTCCGGGTGATATTGAAGACCCCAAAAGGGCTTCCTGAGATGTCGCACGCCCTGCAGAATCTGCTCTCTTCGCCCATCATCTCTTATCTCTGTAGCCCATGCCAGAGGTGCAAACTCCGAAGTCGGCTTCCAACGGTTCTCCTCCTTCCAGCCATCACTGTACTGCCCGATATCCACGCATAGACTGTGGTATAGAGTAGCCTTGAAAGATGGTACTCCACGGAAGATGTCATCTCCCTGGTGCTCAATTTCTCTCACCATACCATGCAGGCCCCTCTTCAATCTTCTCACGACCCCACCATGCGCTCCAAGTAGACTTTGGAAACCAAGACAAATGCCCAAAACAGGCAATTGGCGGTGCTCAGGAAGATCCCAGAGCAGGTTGAAAGCTCCCACATCCTCCGGGTTAAGTGGCGATCCGGGACCAGGACCGCAAACTACTGCATCGAACTGAGAGAGATTGTCGAGAAACTCTTGCTCCGTCCACTTGGCGGGCGCATCGTTCTCATCAAGTCTGTCGACGACTGAGAGATCGATTCTTATGACGAATATATCTGCTCCGAGAAGTGTTCGCAAAAGTGAGACAATGTTGTTTGTGAACGAGTCATAGGCGTCAATGAAGAGAATCCGCTTCGGCACCTTGGCCGAGGGCTCAGGGCCTACGGTCATGTTTTAATAGAATTATGCAAAGCGTTGTACGAGAGGTGATAAGCTGAAAAAGAAACTCGCAATTGGGGCGAGGTCAGAGATAAAATCGATAAGCTCTCGGCGTTGCATAGGTAAGTTTATAAATTCAAAATATTTGCCGCTACAAGCCGGAGCTGACTCGGCATCCGCTACCGCGGATTGAAGACGTTAAACCACTGGAAATTCGCAGCTGCGGCAGAAGATTATCAGGTGATCGGACAGCCCAGAGGAAAGTCAAGAGTACTTGGAAACTTAATTGTTTGATATTAATCTTGGGGTATCTTCCTGTTGGCAAATGTCGCGCGACAAGACTAAAAAGTGGCGACAACGAATCGGATGCATGGAAGGGGATTTCTAGAACGTTGAGATCTCGACGCTGCTGTTGGACAGCGGTGATAGCATGGTCCTGTAGAAACAAATCTCAAAAGATAATGCAATGCTCGTTATGAGAAGAAAATAGTAGGACATCGATCGCTATCCATGTTACTCGCTAATATCTACATCGCATCATAGTTCAGGTCTCCATTATCTAATATAGATAGGCCAAAATTCAAGTCCACAGCCCCTATCAAAATCCCTCCTCATTCTTCTAGTTGCGATCTCTCGTCATCAGCATACAAGGTTGTCTTGCATGCCAAATTCGTCTCTCCTTAACTCCCAGAGCAGCATCCTTCATAGTCTGCGACTCTGATCGCGCCCGTGTAGGCTCAACTCTAGGTTCATCCCAAACCTGCACCTCTTCCACAGATGCTGAGATCTCAAACTCTCCACGGCAGAGCACTGTCATTCCCACTGAAACTTCTGCGCTGCCGTGTCCTTCCAGTACTGGAATGAGCTGTTGTAAAGTACCATTCCATGCAAGCTTTCGTGTAAACTCCAGGCCAATATTCGCAGGTCGATGGCAAAGAGCGGGTAGAATTCTAACCAGAGGATGGATCTTCTGAGCCGTTCGGTTAGTGACACGCACTTTAAGTTGCATAAACTCATCAACGTATGCCACGCCCGTCTCAGCTGCATTGCCATCGGCATCCTCGACAGACAATTCAATATCGACTTCGTCAACCTTGATAGCCTGAATCATTCGTGTGGTCAATCTGATACTTCGCAGGTCAATTGAGCCGCTTCTCTTAGGCAGCGACGTCGTTTTCCATGTCGCTCTGAGGCAATCGAGAACCCTTTCCCTATACCAGAAACCTTCGCGGTTGGCTCGCTCCATCTCAGGTGAGATCTTGCTGGCGCTGACCACAAACTGTCGGTTTCGAGATGGATTTAGCGTTGGTATTGTGGCATGAGGATCCTCCAAGTATACTCTCTTGACGGGCAGAATAACTCGACTCGTGTTACCAGGAAGAATATCTTCTTGTACAAAGATTCCATCGTTGCTCTCCAACTGCACCAACATCTGACTAGGCCAGGCGTTGCGAAGATCCACAGACAAGAGACAATACTCGTCGGGTTTAGCTGTAAAAGAACTACCCAGACGATCCCAAAGAGGCTGGGGGATATCACCATGTACAGGTAGTGCATCGATCCGGGCAAGCTCGACGCTGGCATTTACGGTAACAGTAAGATCCAGGGAAACTTGTCTCGTGTAGAATTGATCAGGCATGTCTTCTTGAGGGCATCCCAGATGTGTGTAGTCGACCTGAATTGTTGCAGTTGTAAGCCCGGGCTTGCCTAGAATCTCGAATTCAAACGTCGCCTCTCCATTAGCCGCAATGTGACGAGTCTGCTGACTGTTAGGGAGTCGCAGTGCTTGCTTCTTCATCAGCGCAAGCTCGTATTCGTAGAGCTCAGAAGGTGTAGCATCTCGGTTGCTGATCGCAGTCTGTAAGGGCTCTTGTGTAGAGTCCTTGAAAGAGAAAAGCATAAAGTCCACTGGTGTCGATGCAAGATTCTGCAATGTTACGGAGAACACCTGTCTCTCGCCCTCCAAGATCATGATTGAAGACTGGGCAAGTGTTGTAGACTTAACTACCACTAGTGGTTGTGCTTGAATGGCTGTAAGACTCATGGATTCAGCTTCGAGCTTCGGAGCAAAAGGCTTGACATCTGTCACGGCCTCCTCTAGTGCGGCCAAACCCTTGGCCTTGATCTTGACCTCTTGCTTTGGCACCCAAGGCATAGAGAAAACAGGGAATCGTCGCTCACGACATCCTCGAACTTTGATAATGGCGCCAGTCACCTTGACAGTTCCGGCCTCCTTTGCTCTTCCTCTGAGCCGTATAACTTGTGTTCGATATGGGCCCACCACCGTTGCCTCCTTAACAGCGTCAAACTGGACGCCGTCGGTGGCCAAGTAAATGGATTCGACATCAACTTCAATATCGTATGGATTTTGTAACGTGATCTTGAAAGTAGCGTATTCATCAGCCACAAGGGTCTGGGTTACCGTCTCATCGGGCTTCTTCAAGAATGGGTTGTAAATGAAAGGGTCGACATCCTGAGATGCGCGACTAGCAGTGGCACCAGGTAAGATGCTCTTTGAGTGAGCGACTGGTGTTTTGCTAGTTAGCGAGGGTTCAAGCTTGATGCCTCTAACAAAGAACTCATCCCAGTACTCGGCTGCTATGTCACTGTAGCCTAGCCTCTGTACCAAGCCTGCAGTTCTTGATATTCCGGTTGCCAGTCGCACTTGTTCATCCCGAATGATCATCGGCGATGCGTCTTCTCGCCGGGGCCCTGGGGCGACGCCTGAACCAGCTGTGCGTAGAAGGTCACTCGAAAATCGTAGAACGCCATCAAAATCTGGCAACGCTTCCGAGAAGTTGATACAGGCTCTCAGAATATTAAGCTTGACGTCTGGGAACCCGAAAAAGCGAGCTGCAGACTGGCCACGTATCCTAGCAATCACGGCTTCGTCCGAATCATCGGCGTCTTCATTGTTCTTTGTACCGGCTTTTCTAGTTAGATCATACCCGACAATGCCATAAGATTTGCAGAGCAGAGTCATCAGAGCCTCTATGCCCTGTTCGACATCACACTCTCCAATCTCCAAGGCCAATGCGCCGCTGCTTGAACCACCACCGCCGGAGGTCAACGACATCAGACCTGCAGCAGGATGGATGCCCATATCAGCAGCTCCTCGGGTTCGTGCCTCGACGAGACCACCAATAAGAACTGAGACTAGTTCTCTTATCACCATAGCCTTCTTCCGGTGAAGTCCCAAGGGTCCCAGAACAGTCGCTATACCGCTCAGAATGGACGCTCGGTCAACGGTCGTAAGAAGCTCTGAAGCACCTGCCGGGAATGCCTTGAAAAGCATTGCTCCGATTTGTTGTCGAGTGGGTGTTACACCGAATCGTGGTGGCGCCGCAAGAGGCTGCTCAGGTACAATTCCTGTTGCTATTATGGCCAGAGAATCTTTATCAAGGTAACCGTTGGACAGGTGAAGAGCTTGATAGATCTTGGAAAACCGGATGAACGTTTCGGATAGTGGTAAAGGAGGAAGGCTGTCTGAAGAAACTCTAGAGTAGAGGAGGATAATGCGCTCGAGAAGTTCAGGCAGTAACGCTTGGAGGTTCCTAAGATGTTTCGGCTGATTGGGGTCCTCGGACGTAGGGTCTGGTGCCTGTTTGTGAGCTGGCTTGTCCGGGAACTGGATGAGTACGGTAGGGACATGAAATTCGATATTGGACCAGCCAAGAAGAAACAGGTTTACCAGGATAAGCTCAAGAGCCTTGCCGTGCCACAAATGGTCGTTGACAGATCGGGCAGCCATGGCACCATCACTAAGTTCCTTGATCGAATCGGTCCAGCGACCAGCTTGCAAAAACATAGAACCAACGACAACAGCGGCTCGTCCCTTGGTTCTATGCCTCCAGCGATCATTCACACCCCCGGAACCAAAACCTTGAGTTGATATCCGATCACGACTAGCTGATCGAGAATTTTCAGAGGTTTCTGGCAGGGCAGACGGTTCCGGCGTCGACCGATCACTAGTCGGCGGACTTGGACCATCCGTAGTCATAGGTGGATTTGACAGATTGCTCTTCGGGGGTGTTGATGACAAGCCCGGCGTTGAGTTACTTGAATGGAGTCCTGGGCGAACATTGACCGGCATAGACATGCGAGCATGGGCCTTATCCATGACCCCGCCTGCCGAGTTAGAGCGTGAGGAATGCTTCGACGAGGTGATGCTCGAGTTCCGCTTCAGGAGACTATTTAGACCGCCTTCCCCGCCCCATGAGCCAGTTCCATTCGTATGTCTTGAAGTTGTTGAATAAGGCACAGGAGACTCAATGTTCGTCATGGCCTCAAAGGACTTGGCCAAAGTCGTCATCTCGGCGAGCAGAAGGGAGGAGATGTCGCACATGACTGTCCTGATCGTAGTCACCGTACATTGCTCGGGAGGAGGGATATCGATGAGGCCCTCAGGCATTGGAATTTCAGTGGAATGGGGGTTGGCATAGTCGAAGATCAAAACGTGGTGGACGAGAGCTTTGGGGTATGTATCGCGCAGCTCCTCAAGCTCCTGGTATAAAGCCCTAATATTCTTCTCTGTTGTCGTCGGTCCCGCACCGTTCATAGACTGTCGTTTGTTTAGGTTCTTCTGATGCAGCTCGGTGCCATCCGCCAAAGCTATTATAGCAAGGGGTTCTCGATATAAGTCGAAGGGAGTAAGGGCGAGATGAGAAGGCGGCGGAACGTGAGTAACGAGGTTATATATTATGGCACCATCTGGGTAGGCCAGAGGCGAGAACATGTCTGCGCGAGCTGTGTCAGCGCCAGGGCAAGCGCCGTCTTGGACGGGGTGACGGCATCACTTACTCCTGTTGGGTCGGCCATCGGCGCTGATGTCGCGGAGGTGGACTACATGTTGTTGGTTTAATCGCTCGACAAAGGAAGCGAATCTGTCTGCTTTTATCTGCCCCAGAGGTAAAAGAAGCGTCTTCACCCTCGCGGGAGCGACGGGGGCCAAAGGATCCAAGCTCATCCTAGCATCTGGTGTTTGCTCAACATGTCCGCCGGCGCAACGTGGTTGGAGTTTCGGTAGAGAGCGACTCTAGGAGCGTCTCTTATATTCGATTGATGTGAATTGACTTCGTTTCTTATAATCGCATTATCGTATCGATGTCGTCTCGTGTAATTGTAAAGCTGAGCCTTGGAAACTGAAATGTCGTCTTTGATCGCCGGATCCTGAGCTTGGTATCGTACACCTGTCGCATGCGGCTAGGAGCTGCAATGGATAGCATGTCGGTAGCCTACCCTGACATGGGTGGCCGGATATAGTGGAGAAGCCAGGAACCGGAGGCGACTTTTTGCGAGCCGATAATTGCATACCAGCGACAGCAAGTCCACGTCAACACTTGTCTCATATCATATCATCCTACCAATCAATCTTTCAATTAATATCGCTGATATTTTATATTGGGTCGATTACTCTGTGAATGAGCAGTGAAACTTGTGGTATCTTTAAGCCCAGTCTGCGAAATACACTACACGCCAGGGTATCAGGGTTTCAGCCTCTAACAATGTGCCGTCCAGCTTTCTCAAAGATATTACCAAACTCTCACTTATATGAAAGCTATATTTTCCTTCAAATTATTGTTCATCGTCTTTATCCAACTGATGAAGGTGGTCCTTGTGGACTTTGATCTGATGTCTTTCTCTCTCTCGCTTCTGCCTGTAACTCACTCTCAAACGTATCCACAGATAAACTGGCTTCTACAAAGTCCTCTAACTCCTCTGTAACCGTTTTGAGCTTCTCCTTAACTGCGACGGCAGCCTCGTGGCCAACGATGTGGCGCGCTGGAGGATTTTCGTGTCCTCCAATTGCTGATAAAGCGTGCACCGTCTCCATGACCAGCTTATCTGCTGCGCCGGGCGGCAACTTGGGGTACCGATGCAGGATCTCGCCTGGCGCTACATCTGGTTCAATGGATATGCTTGGCGGAGACATTGGCGAAGGCCCATAGTCAGCTGGTGATGTGGGGTATGGTAAAGCTGTGTCGGGGTGAGTGTTGAGAACATTGGCGAGAATGTCGCGAATGCTTGGGGCGGACTCTTGATATTGGTCGTAAGCAGGTAACTGAGGGGCGAAGGTGAGGCGGTTGGTCAAGGACAGAATCTCCTTGTTTGGTTGAACAACTGTGACTTTGATGTTGAAGGGTGCGATCTCGTATGCAAGTGAGTCGCAAAAGCCCTCAAGGGCCCATGTCGCGGCTGTATATATTGACATTCCTGGAGTGCCAATGTGGCCGCCAGTGCTGGTGAGAACAATGATATGCCCTGTGTGCTGAGTCCTGAGCTGAGGAAGGGCAGCTCTGATAAAGTTGACCTGAGAGAAGAAGACAGACTCGAATTGGTCGCGAACGAGATTCTGGGTGAACGGTGTTGTTGACAGTTCCTCTACCGTTCCAACGACAGCTTCAAGGCAATTATGTTAGTTGCATGCATACACATGACCTATGTAACCTTCAACTTACCATCAGATTTGCAGCATAGCAAAATATCGATCCTACCAAAGACCTGGACAGCTTCTGCCACAGCAGCACCACAGCTTCCCATGGCAGCTCCATCACATCGAATGCCGCGAATTCGATCCTTCCACCCCTCTCGGTCTTTCCTTGAGCTCTTACACTCATTCACAAGCTCGCGGAACTCCGCGCTGCGGTCCTCGTGGTCGATCTCGTAAGGCGGTAGACATGCGACAACGTAGTCCCCGTGTGCCAGAAGCAACCGGATGAGTCGGACGGCCAGAGGCGACAGGGCTGAAGTGAGAAGCCATGTTCGCGGGGAATTGTGCGTGGCTGTAGAAGGGTTGGAGTCAGCGTCGGCCATTATAATGGCGTGTACATGGTTTTATAGTGTTTGTGAAATTGATGAATTCCCAAGCTCCTTCCAGACAAGTGGCAATTCCTTTTTTTCCTTTTTCCCGGCTCGTTTCCCCAATGTCTTTGATTATGTAACTCAAAGGCGTTGAATATCCAGGAATATTATCCGTCTCGGCGAGAGGAATTGATCGTCAATTGTTTGAATTCGTGCCAAGGTATGGAAAATAAAGAGATGCGGGATCCAAGCAAGTGTGGAGAGCTTGGAGCTTAACTGTAGGCAGGTACCGTAGCTGAGCTGAGCTTCCCTGGAAGAAATTACATCATTCGGGATTGGATGATGGTGAGAATCGGCATTTGAAGCCCACTCGGCAGCTAAAATACCTGACATGAACAACAAACAATATGACAAATAATGGAGAGACACGGGAAACAATTACCCAAGTAAACAGGTTTTCCATAAAAACTCGTTTAGGGCTTAAAAGGGAAGAGGCCGAAGGGGCGGGCTGGGGTCCAGTCTGGGGAATCCATCTAGAGCAGACATCCAGCGGCAAAAGCAAAATAAAACAAACAAACCATAAAAACAAAAAAAAACTAATAGATCTGGGGTCACTTACGAAAGGAGGGGTTCGGCATTGAACCTGAATTATGTCGTGGGGTAGCGGTAAATGCCATCCTGACTGCCGCGAGTTGGCCGCTTTGGCCACAGCAGCTATTGACTGAAGGATTGCCGTGACTTTGACCTAGTCAATCGTGTAAGTCGTTGTCAATACGAACTCGGTCCGATATCGATCTGAAGCAGAGTGGTGCGTCTGCAAGGCCAATAGCCTAAGTGCAGTGCAATTGACGCCGAAGATTGGCGAAATTCCTAGAGATTGGTACAGCAAAACGAAGAGACCAACAACTAATTGGTACAGTCAATGCGCTGTCCAAGTTTCGAGCGAGTCGGTGTCCGGCTGCCAGTTATCCGTATAAGTGAAAGTGCGGACCACTATTTCGATCAAGCTGAAGGCTAAGGCACAGCTATCATGCACCTAGGATGTTCAATATGGCCGATTGGATAGACCGTAGTCCATCAGCACTTGTGTCTATGCAAGCTGCAGCGTTGTGGAGTTTCGAGAATAAGGATAAGGCTTCAGTTGTTGAGTGTGTTGGGCTGAGCGTATGCGTGAAGAAATCGATCCGTGTAAGCAATGATGGGTCTGAGACAAGACCACGGATACATATACAAATACAGATAGATACACCACGCACATACACAGTTGCAGCGTAGTATAGCGAGTAGTCAAAGTCAAGTCGTTGGCAGGGCCCTTGTGAGCTTGACCCTAGTCGTGATGGGATGGGGGTCCAGTTCAATAGAGACAATAACCGTGGAAAACATCTGTTCACTTGAAAGGAAATACAAGAAGCTGAAATAGAAACTAAAAGGAACGGAAAACAACGGATGGTTACAGCCTGTACTTGAGTCCTTTTTTTTTCTTTCGGTTCGGAGAGAGCGAGAGAGAACAAGAAGCAGAGAGGAAAGATTGATGCCTCAATGCCTCAATGCCCCATATTGTTGACAAGGGCAGAGAGAACCTTTGACATCCATGTAAGTTAAGTTGGTCGGGCATGGATATACAAATACCTAGCGTATGTACAGTTACCTAGTTCAACTCTTGAAGAAGTAGAGTTAGAGTAACATCAGGCCACAAAGTAGGTAGTGCAATGTAGGTATTGCTGAGGATAGTACATTAGAAAAGATAAAATAGAAACAACCTTTAGGTTTCCAACGTCTATCCATCCATGTTTGCCTGGGTATCTATCTATCTGGCTGTGGGTCTGGTCCCTTCCTGCGCTGCATGTTCGATGTCTTTGACTTTCTTGGCCGTTGGTGATCAACAGGGCTGTGACCGAGACACCCGATTAGAGAGATATCCGCAGAGACAAGAGAGACGTTGTGACTGTCACTTGTCACTGGGACTGTGCACGTCTGTGTGTATGTGCTCTATCGTACATACCTACATAGCCACGAACTACTATTCCCATACGGACTCATAATCAAAGCGGTTCATTTCTGATAGGACGCAGTACGATACTGGTAACAGAAAAACCCAAAGTCAGGCCAGTTTCAAAAGGTTTCAGTGTCATAGGGCAGAAATGATAATCAGAAATAGCTACTGAACCTGGCCCTTGTCGGCTGATCATGGACGAGATTGGAAGAGTATTTTTTGAGGCGGCAGACGAGTCAGGGACTCGGGATAGGGCGGACCAAAGACTAATTACGTTAATTCCAAATACTATGTAGACCCTGTTAGTTAAGTCAGTTGGTCTGTTCAGTCCTGGTACAGTATGGCCTTAGCTTGGGTCTGGGGTATCTTTGCTCCTCGCACTGCAGGAACATGGAGACTATCATTATCACAAGTAACGTACGCAATACAGTATGTACACGGGCATGAATGGATGGATAAAGAATATCCTCAGGCAACACCAACGCTTACGCAATACTACACGTAGGATGCATCCGTGGAATTCCTTCCTTCATTCTTGGTCCTTCTATCCGAATGGATCCTCAAAAACGTGAAACGATGAAACGCCATCCTCAAACTTTCGAGTCCATTAACCTCCATGGGGGTCCCTTGTCAACTTAGAGCCTTAGCCCACCAGGGCTTAGTAGCTTGACATCGTTTAAATTTAAATGACGACGTTGAAGAAACGGTCACGATCTCTTTTCTACCTGTCTCCCTCTCTTATCGAGATCTTCATGACACGTACTAATCCCCTCGCAAACCAATCGATCTTGGGCGCTGCGGTCAGACTTTTGTTTTGATACACGATATGAGCACCCTAGATTTTGGGTTGGGCACATGAAATATGCCGATCCTGCAACGCAACAATGCACCAAGGGATGACGCTACTGTCGGCAGTGGCCCAACACCAAGAGACAGGAATTTTGTCTTGTTGTTCTTCCCACGTTCTCCACGAATAGGAGACACTGGGCTGAAGGTAGCAAAGACAGAAGGTTAGCGCCAAGAGGGCCTAGAACTCTGGGTCTTCTTCTATGAGAGGGGCTTTTTAACAGCTTGGGTCCTTTCTGATTGGTTCTTCGGTAGTGACCGTTGGTTCCTTGAGGGTCAGGGTCTTCCTTTGCTTTCTCGTCCTCTCTCTTTTACTCTCGCCTTACCTTTGCGTACTTCTCCAGAAGCCAAGCATATTATCCTTTTCTTCATGGATTAATTTCGCAGTCAACTAAATCCACGTCTCACAAGACCTTGTCTTCGGTCCGATATCACACTCGTAGATAATTCGTTATCAATCACACAAGCACAAAATGACGGAGACACAACCCCACACAAACTCTGATGTTCCTGATCTGGGGCTTCTCCCTCGAAGCGTCAGGGGACTTTTGTATTCACGGGCAACAGAGTTTTGATCCGGTTCAAAAAGGACGTGCATCGACTGTGCGGAAGACAAGCTCCTTTCTCCTGGGATCAAAGGTTGGATAAACTTTAGACAGGGGCCAGCTAATGATCCTAGAGAGACCACTAAATTCCAGCGCAGTCATGTTCAGACCAGCAACTCCCTGCGACTGACTCCTACATGATACAACGATCTAGTCTTTAATTGTAGCATCCGGTTACGTCCTTTCTTCCTTGAGTATTCTTAACAATCTACTGCCATTGGCCTATCGGGATGATTCCATTGCATGAGGATCAGTGACACCTGCATGCCGCACAGCATTACACAGACTCTGTGATCTACCAGGCGCATTTCGATCATGAAACACAACCTCACACTAATCTCACAGACGTTTCTGCTCGCCTTGGTTATGCACTGGTAGATGATGTATGTAGGCAGTCGATTCCCTACAACGGATATGTCAGGTTCAAAGCCACTCAATTCGCCTGCGAATCGGGCTTGTTATAAGATTGATAGGCGAACTGGAATCCTTCTTCGGACCAGGTTGAGTCAGGGGTCGTTTCTTTCGTATATTCGGGGTTAAGCTTGGCAACTTCCATATCGACTACCACAAGCAGTGGAGGTAAATCCATCCAACCTGCTGACTTTCACTTTAAACTGAAAACATCAACAAAAGACTTCTGGTCGTAATAGATCATATTTCAGGCCATCTCAACTAGTCTCAGATGTCCACATATCATCCTATAGGTATATCATCCTCGTGCATGGTCATTTGCAAGCAATCTTTCCCACTCATTACACATCAGCAAAGACGCCCCTCACGTGCAAGTCCGCTTTGTCTTCAATGCCAAGGCAACATGCTTAGCTCTTGCTGCTCTTGACATGGGCCACCTCCTCGCGGATGCTAGGAGTGCGGGCTCCCTCAGGGCCCTCGGCGTCAAGCTTGCTCTGTTGATCGACGACGCCAAAGAGCTCGTCCATCTGCTCCAGACTGAGACCCTTGGTCTCAGGGACGAAGAACCATACAAAGATACCCATGAGAAGATCAAAGGTACCGAACATGAAGAACATACCCTGTGGAGTTATTGTTAGCTGTTTTGTGGTCATCGTAGCTTTGCATATAAGTACTTACATAACCGGCAGGTCCCATGGTCTTTTGCATGGTGAGCACAGTTCGGGCAACGATAAAGTTGAAAAGCCACTGAGTAGCCGCAGCAATGGCAACATTGAGAGCTCGAAGACGGGCAGTGGGGATCTCGGAAACAAGAATCCAGCAGCAAGGTCCCCAGCCGAACTGGAAGAAAGCAGCCCAGAGGTAAATGCAGACGATGGCCACATATCCGAAGGCAGAGATACCTGCACCCTCAATGGGGGGCTCAACACGACCGTAGATACCGATGATGTACATGGCGAGGAACTGAGCAACACTGGTCCACAGAAGACTGCGGCGTCGGCCAAGAGAATCGGCAAAGAAGATGAGGAAAGTGAGACATCCAAGAACCTTAATGATACCGTAGACACCAGTAGCGAAGAGTGAGACAGAAGTGCCGGTCATACCAAGAGACAGGAAGATCTGAGGGGCGTAGTAGTTAACAGCGTTAACACCTTCCATAGGTTAGCTAAGAACATAGGATACCTGCAAGTCTGAGTCGATCAACACCTGACCTCTCAGAGGAGAGGAGGTCATTATTCGAATCGGACGTCCTAGGATAAGAGTAAATACAAACCTGTCATTTGCTGGCAGACCATGAGCAAAACGGAAATGATAGCTCGCTTTCTATTTCCAGGAATAGTAACAAGTTCTTTCCAGAGGGTGGAGGCAGAGGCGTTGCCAGTGAGCCGCTTCTCAGCTTCGAGTTGGGCAGACATCTCCTGGATCTCGGTTTGGACATATTCGTGGGTTTCAGGAAGCCTATAGCGCAGTAAAGTTATTAAATGAGTCTTTGCAAGAAAATAAAGAAGCTTACTGTCGAAGTCTGATCAAGATGGACTTGGCACGTTCCCAATCATCCTTGCGAGCACACCATCGAGGACTATTATTGTTTATTAGCAAGGGAATCTTGCCTGATTCTTTCGAAGGCTACGAACCTCTCAGGAGCAGCCAACATGCAGACAATCAAGAGTCTGGAATCTGATTAGTTTTTATCCTCAGTGCAGAAAAGGTGTTACGAACACAGCAGGGAGAGCTTGGAGAGCAAGGGGCAGGGCGTAGACAGTAGGAGCACTGAGGTGAAGAAGAGCACCGTAGTTGATCCTGTTGTCATGTTAGCTAAAGGCTTGAAGAATTGACGAAGCGTAATCATACCAGAAAGAAAGCATGACACCAGTGACGATGAACAGCTGGTAGAAGGCTACCTCGGATTAGCACTTGGCTTCCACTTATGACAAGACAGGACTTACAGGTCAAACCACCACGAATAGCTCGAGGCGCACATTCAGACACATACAGTGGAACCAAAGATGAGGCAGATCCGACGCCAAGACCGGCGATAAAGCGTCCGACGTACATGACGGGGAGAGATCCATTGGCGGTAGAGGCAGCCTGAAGAACGACACCAATAGTTGTGATCACACCAGTTGCGATGAGACACCAGCGGCGACCATACTTCTCAGTGAAGTAAGAGGTGTAGAAACAAGCAGCGAAGCAACCAGCCTGGAGAGTTGAGACAATGTTTTGATCGAGTGTGGCCTTGGCCTCGGGAGTATAGTTGAAGCGCTCCTGCGTGGCCTTCATGGCAAGAACACCACCAATAGCTCCAGTATCCCAACCGAACAGCATACCTCCAAAGCATGAACCTGCAACGACGGCAAAGACGCGCCAGTTGTAGATCTCTTCGGGGTCAGTCTTCATCGCGTCATTGCGAATGACCTTCTTGAGGATGCCCGCAAAACCCATGGTTGCGGTGTTGGAAGTCAACTCGTGGGTATTGGATGTGTGGCAACAGCCGAGGAAGTGAAGTCGAGATGGGCCTTGGAGCTAAGAACAATATAGGGGATGCTCTAAATTTAAGCTTGTTTCCCCAGATTCTGAATTGAACCAAGATGTAGAGCAATCGAGGTAACAAAGCGGTGCTCAAAGATTCAAAGACACCGAAGATTGGAGGAGGTGTGATCTCTGATGAAAAAGTCCCAATCTCGAGGGGATCCTGCAGGATATTAAATGATCAACGGGTCGAGGTGCTACTGTCAAACTCCCCCAGACCACCATCCCCAAACTGATCGCCCAAGGACCAGTAGCAGCCACGCATGGGGTCGTATCAACCGACTCTCACCCCCAACTTCGGCGCACCGGCTTCATTGGTGTGTTATGAACTCCCATGTCAATTGCATAGACTTACCAGTAGGGTTGGATACCATGCCAGCATGCGCACCACATAGAGGCACAGAAAACGCCGATGCATACTGAAACGGTATTATTCCTTGTCGACGTATCTTTTTTGCAGCTGTGTCACCAACAATGATGCGCGACAGTACAGTAGCTAGCTCGGCCTTTCAACCAACGTTCAGATATCGTAGTCATCTATCAAGCAAAATACCAGACTGAACGCCAAGAGCTCGAAACCATCGTATATCAACTAGCGCAGGAAATCTTGTTCGGAATGAACACAAGAAGATGGAAGAAATTGTCCACGAATAGCTTTGCTCGTGTCGTTGAAATTGGCTACGCCATCAAGCGCGGGGAGAAGCCACCTAGTGGAATGCCCAGGCGGCTTTCGTGATGGAACTTTGGGGGCACAAGATCCCTCCATGATGTACTTGACGACTTAGAAACAAACATCCTTGTGATGATTTTTGCCAACATGCGGGGAGACGAGAGGTTACTGCGTGGAACCTGGGGTTGTGGAGAGGTACTCCACCAAAGAGTTCTCCATCCGCAGTGCCGGCTCAAGTCGATTGATTATGGTGAAATGCGCCAGTGAATAGTGGTAAGAAGCCGCGAATATCTCTGTGGTGTGATAAGTGGAAATCATTTCTTCCGGGCGGGGATCACAAGTGTCTGGGATCTTCAGCCAAATGCGGAGCTTCTTTAAGGTTATCGTACCAAATGAGAATGGAGCATGATCACTTCAGCCTCAATAGCCGGCTCCTTTAACGGCCGCTGGATCTACAGCGAAATCGAGCTCTGCCAAGGTTTACAACAAGATGCAGCAGGCCTCCCCGCAAATGAGTGTGAGTGTCAGGCAGGCAAAGGTTGTGCTGATGGCGGGGAGCCGTCGTTGAATGAGGAGAAGGTCGTTTATTGATTTGATTGATGGAATCTCTCGTTTCCGTGCCATCCATCTCATTTCCATCCATTCGAGCTTGTTGTTGGCATTTGGGGTTAAGCACTCATCTCTTTCTCTAGCCAGCCTGGCAAAGCTGGGGTCTTGTTCCATCCATCGAGATAGCTCTCTTTACTCACCCCAACCCCCGATGGCTTGGCATATATGGCAGAGACATACCATACCGACTCACCAGCTTTGATTGTATGTTGTAAAGTTGGGATTGTACTTCGGCTCTCGATGAGATTCGAGTTTGGGTCCGCGTTAACCAGCATGGCTTGACGACCTTCTGTTGGGTCCAAAGCTTTAATCCCTACAGCACCCTTGGATACTGCAAAAGCCCCCAACTTTCCGCTTGTCCAGCCATCGGGAGTATTCAAATCGTAGTTTCCAATGATTTTGGGCGATGTTCCTTCATGCTTTCCTTCATCGTAAGGGCCCAAATATCGTCCATTGGTTGTGTTGACATTGCAGATGGCAAAGGAACCATCTGCTGTCATGACCTCACGAGCACTCTTGATATGGTGAACTCGCAGGTGCCAGTTTGGTGTTTTCTCTTCTGGGGGGACCAGAATGGTGCGAATCGTGACATCCGGAAACGGCTTCCAAATCGAGACGAGGACAGGGTTGCCTTCACGGTCTTCGATCCCCGCATACTCGCAGAGTCTTCGGGTTTTCCAATACTCGCCCCCATCATCCGACAGCCCGAGTTGCGATGCAAGTGCATATTGCTCCAATGAAAAAAGGCCAGGGGGGACTGAATATCCATAGGCACTGCTATAAGCGAATCCGCCGTACTTGGCATGCGTTCCTTTCATTGGGTAGCTGCAAGCCTGTCCTGATGAGAGCAGCATGCAGTGACCACCGAGATAACTAGAACTATGTCAGTATTACCGCATGTGAAATTGTATATGATGAGCCCTTTACCTCATAATATGGCCTGGTTGGTGCAGGGCTTTGATTTTTGGAATCACACCACTCGCCGATTCTTCCTCGGATGTCCAGAATGGGTGATCTTCTGGTGCAGCCAGACACATGAATGCGAGGCAGGCCCAATACTATGTCAAGGTCAGACGGTTTTTCTAGTTTTTTTTTTTTTGGTGTTGTTGAGGATCTTACTGGGCTTCCTGGGCTGTTGTAGTTCTCTGCCATCTAATCTGTGTTAGTAGGTGCGAACGCGAGGAACAAGGGTAGCTGTTACTTACATACATGTTTGGATACGAGTACCCAATCGACAGTGTTCCGCTTGACGTCCAGATATCGTTCTGCGTCTGCCACCAGCGCAGGTGTCGGAGAACCACTCCTTTGACCATACCCCAGGTTAAAGGTGCAGGCAACTCGACACCAGCGTGAGCCAAGGCTCCCCAGAAAGACACCATGGCAAACCGGTATCCCACACTTCGACCGTAAGGGATGGCCCTACCTTCATCGTCGAAATAGTGAATCAGGTCCAGGGCAACTTGATGTGCACGTTTCTTGAACTCTTCAGCACGCTTCGGGTCCTCCTCCCCGGCCAACTTGGCATAAAGGAGCTGCAGCAGCTGGATCGCAAAGCTCGAAGAGTAGTAGTCCATTTCTGTTTGTGTAAGTCAAAGTCGCCATATGATTTCGGATCACTCTTACGGTGGATGCCTTCGGGGCCATCGTTTGACCAGCCTCCTCCACGATAAAAGGTTTCAAGGTGTTCAATGTCGCTGTCAAGCCTCTCTTGGGAGAATTTGCCGCCATTCTTCTTCAGGCCCAGGTTTGCGAAGACTCGGAACCAAAGCCAGTTGGTGTTTGGCATACTACAATTGCGGTTAGCTAACGAGTAGTCTCCGAGCATTGAGAACAGACTTCTTCTCGTTGATTGAGTTTCCAAGCCATGTCTCAACATTACTCTTCTCCTTATCTGACAAGCTACCCCAAAAGTCCGGAGCCACAGCAAGTGCCCATCCTAGAATACCGTGTCAGACGTATACCACGATTCAACATTCGGTATGTTCCTTACCGAGAGGGCACATTTCAACCATTCTTTGATCGTTGTCTTGAGGGTATCCCCAGTATTCGGGACTCTCCGGATCGGTTCCTGACTTAATACCTTGAATCCACCATTCTTTGCCATCATAATCACCACCACCCGCCAGCAAAGCAGCCAATCCCCACATTGGACGACATATTCCTTCCACCTCGGAGGCAGTTTGGTCAAATCGGACTGCTGTTGCTCCTGGACACTTGACACGAGCCTTCCCAGGTGAAAAGAAAGGCTCTAGAGGATCAAGGACAGTACGAAGGAGCTCTTGGACTGAAGAACGGTCCTTGATCTCAACCTTGGAGAAGGGATGGATCCCATCATAGCCAAGGCAGAGTGTCTTGTTGGAAGTCATGATATGTAGTATACAACTTTGGACAAAGTACAGAGTACGTTGATCGCTGGACAGCAGGAACACAACAAAGGGTAAGTAGGATATATATATAGACCAATGTCAGTCATGAACTTCTAGCTTACCCTTGTAACTTGGTAACCGGATTCCAATGCTATGCATTTATCCTCTGGCTCTCAGCATATCCGTTCTGTAAGCGGGGACCTTGCCAGACTATGTTCGGATACATTGCCGTGTTGATCAGTGAGGGGTGACCAGAGTGGGATGCGTTTTACCCCAAGAGGTCGTGGGGGTACCAGCGTTATGAACATCACGGATTGCGAATGGCAGTGGAGTTAATTGGACATATCATAAAACCCGGCGTGTTCATTGAAACAACTTCAAACAACAATTTAACAAGCAATGATCATGTCGTGTAACAGCCGCTTTGTCAGCCTTGAACACCTGACAGGTCGCGCCTGCCTGCAGGAGTAATGATGATGAAGTTACCCTGGAGACAAACAAAGAATCTTGATTCTGCACAAGGAGCAGCATTTCAATAAATATTAATGCAATTCCCAGTTAAGAATCTGTTTTCTTACTCTTTATACTTGAAAAGCTGGCATATGGTTCCCTTTCTCGATTAGATCTGCCAATATGATGCTCACGAAAGAAACTGTACCAGGATTCCGCATTCTTTCGCCAGCTTCCTCTTTACCTGACAACATCACAAACATGGCTGACGAAGAAAAGGATACGACAATAGTCTGCGGCGAGAGTACACAAACACCAAAAGAGAATGCAATAGAGTCGTCTCCTCTATCAGCAGTGCCTGATTCAAGATTTGATGATACACCGACCTCCAAGGCTCATCAACTACCAAACACCACTGCAACTTCTCCAAACGACCAGGAGACAAGCCCGACCACCACGCCAAAAAGTGCCAAGAAGGCCAAAGCCAGGAAGAGAGTCGTTGTGAAGAAGACAGCGAAAAAATCGAAATGGAATGCAGGCAATATTTTGACTGACCAAAGATCGCCTCTAGCTTCCGCCGATCTCAGAGTATGTCTCCTCCCACCCCTGATTCAATGAAGTTACTGACGAGAGAAAACAGAGCATATTGTCAAATCCCATGGCCTGGGACGTTCTCGACAAAGAAGAGAAGGCGGAGATCCTGGCACTTTTCCCAGACTCTGAGCATATTCTGGAAGCCGGCACAGAAAATGCATGTCCCGACTTTGCGTCGCTCATGAACGACGACAGCTTCCGCCGCGACTGCGCAGCTTATACAGAGAACATCGCACAAGGTCGGCATGACCCCGAGTGGCTGGCCGAGGCTTGGTCAGCACACGAGAGACGGAAAATGGGCGACTTTGACGAGTATTTGGACAACAAATTCAAGGACGACTGGGATGTTGAGCTCCCGCCAGAGTTTAAGAAGAAGCGAGGCCCTGCTGTGTCGAATGAAGAAGGCGACGTCAAGATGGAAGATGCCGAGCCCAAGACCAACGGAAATGAGTTTGAAGCGAATGCTAGTTTGGCGAACAGCACACCAAATGAGCAGAAGGACAAAAAACCTGAGATGGACTCTGGGGTAGATGCACTACCTCAAGGTGACGCTGTGCAAGAGGAACCGACAGTTGTGGCTGATGGACATCGGGAAGACACTGCAATGGAGGTTGATGGCGAAGACACAAAGAATGAGTTGAAGCTCGTTGATGGAAAGTGAACATAAAGAACTCGGGTCTTGTCAAAGTACGCCGCGATTCCTGTAAGTCTATTCTATTTTGCCCTTGTCTTGATCTTTCTTCTTGCTTTTTGGATCTTGTTCTGAAATGCCATTAGGTCAAGGATATCGTATTGATTCCGTTCTTCCAGATAGACCTGAAAACACGGATAGGATTAGTCTTCGCCGAATATCCAATGCAGAATTTGTATTATTGAGGATGCCTTTGTGGGATGGCTTTTGTAGTGGGGGAAAAACTTGGCTGGTCCAGAGTTTTTAGATATATATAGGTGACAAAAATATTTGCTCATCTACTTTTTAGCTTCCCAATATTCTGTGGTTGATGGAGTAGTTTCCACATAGCTAAAGATTAGGTGAGCAATCTTTTCTGTCGACCTTGCCGGAAGTCATTCAGATAGATGACCCACTGAATTCTAACGTCTACCAAACAAGTTGGGCGCCGATTGGAATAATTCATTTCCTCATATTTCACGCTTGATACTTAGTAACAGAGCTCAGTATCGTTCACTCTGGCCATCATAAAATCGCGGTCTTGATTACAGCGCTCAGTGAAACTCTGAGATAGTCCTCCACAATCATGGCACCAACATCGAATATCCACGCCCGATCTCACAGTCTTCTTCTCTTACAGAAGCTACTCAACTTACGCGATGGCGCAAGTCCTCTCACTCTCATGATCGATAATCTTGAGCAACCCGCGAGACCAGTCATTGGTGAATTTGTAGCTCGAGCAAAGGTACGTTCGTCTTGAAACAAGACAGTCAGTATGACTAACTAAAATATTTCAGATCGCAAAGACACAAGTCATCTTCTTGTCGATGGTGACGCTCAAGAAACCACAAGATGCAGACGTTTTCATAAAGGCCATGGGAAGGGATCTTCAGGCTGTTCGAAAGGATTTGCTAAATCATTACCCTGCGTTTAACCCGTTGGTAGACAAGGGAAAGCCCACCCAGAGTAAGTTAAGAAAAGCTATCAACCAGACAATGCCTCTCGACTAACTGTTATAAGGGGCCGTCGTGATCATAGATTCACTCAACGCTCTCGCTTCCGCGGCTCCGCAGTCGTTGGCAAGCTTTCTATCAAGCATCATCACACCCGCTGTCTCAATTGTCGCCACATACCATGATGATGTGCCCATTGTACTACCACGGTCTTTCAGCGAATACGAACCTCATCCTTTGACAGTACTGTGCCATTTAGCCACATCTATTCTCAGACTATCGAGCCTGTACCAAGAGATCCAACGTCAAAAGGCACGTAATCGAAGTGTCCAGGAGCCAGAATGGGGTCTAAACGAAGAACGCGAAGGACTACTCGTCGGCCTTGGAGAGAAGGGCAAGGACAGGAACGAAGATAGTAACGGTGTCGTTATCTTTATGGAATTGCGTCGACGCAGTGGGAGAACCGTATCTGAAAAGTTCATCCTCAGCCCCAAGGGTTCAACAGCAGCACCTTTGCCTGGAAAGGTTTGCTTACTTACAGATCACCCCATGTTCACAACGCCAACGGATAGCGGCGAGGCAGGCGAAGGAGAGGAAGAGCCCGAGAGTACTTTTAACCTTGGCCTTACGGAGAAGCAACGCAAGGACCGAGAGGGCATTGTGCTGCCATACTTTGATGCACAAACAGACATTGGCGCAGGCGAGGGAGGAAGAATTCTCTACGAGATGGGCAGAGAGGATGACTTTGATGATGAGGAAGATGAAATATGATGAGAAGATTATCTTTTCGAAAATGAATACAACGCTTCACGACCATCCTCAAATGTTCAATCAGTGAGTGTGTATGCGAGAAGAAGTGTGAGCTTCACATCTTCCAGTGTAAGTCCCCGCTCAAGGCCATCGATTATAAGCGAGAAAGATCTCGATACTTGCTGTAATCACAGGGTTATACTTTGAGAGTTTTCCCGGGGGTTTGGTGATGCGGTGTCCGCCCTACAAAATATTCCTCCATTTCGCGCTGTTGATGTCCTGTGAACTACATGCCCAATGGCAAGTGTTTGCGGCATGATGATTCTCATGCCTGCCATTACATTTATGCGACAGGAATAGTTTCCACCCGAGACCATGTACAGATCGCCCACAACACATAAACCAATGGAATTATTTTGTGAATTTAACAAAACGGTAATAGAAGGCGTCAGGACACTTGAAAATACCATCTTGAGTATAGTACCTAGTCGGAACTCTGAGGTGGTTCGTTATCTAATCAGCACCAAGCTTCTGTCCCTCTAACATGCGCCAGCTCCACTACAACCATCAATCGTACATACAGGCACCAAAACGAAACAGGGAGTCAAGTTCTAAACTCATAAGTTCAAGTATCGATTGAATTGATCTTTTATACTCTTGAAATCAGGCTCCCGCTTCATCACGGGCTTCTCTTGGCGTGGTTCAGTTCTGTACCCCTTCGACGTCATCCCTATAATCACCTGTCTTCTTGACACGTAGTGGTATAGCTGAAGGTCTTCAAGGCAGTCAAAGAGCCACTTCTACAATCAGCACAACTTTCTCCTGTTCTTTCGCCCCTCACAACCTAACGAAAGAATGATTTACTCTACGCAAATATCAAGGCTCGATGGTAATGACCTCCCTCTACCGAAGCGCAAGCACATATACTGACATTCTACAAGGCCTCATGCTCTGCGCCTCGGTCGACGATGAACAGGTACACCCCTCATACCCTCCAGACTCGACCGCAATTCGATACTCATAGATTTCTTTCCACAGGCCGAGTCCTCCCTCGCAGAGACCAAGCAGAACGTGCGCCAAGTCCTCCGCAAGCTCACTCGCAACTCCGAGTCCCAAGCCTCTATCGAGACACCCAACCACACGCTTCATTACATGATCGACTCAGACATCGTCTTCCTCGCCATCTGCGCCCCCTCTTACCCTCGCAAGCTCGCCTTCACCTACCTCGCCGATCTTGCCCGCGAGTTCACCACCAACTACCCAGCATCCCAAGTGCACTCTCCCGCCCTGCGACCCTATGCGTTCATGGAATTTGACACATTCATCTCCAAGACGAAAACCACATACGCCGACTCACGTGCCACGGCTAACCTCGATAAACTCAACGACGAGCTGCGCGATGTTACAAAGGTCATGACCAAGAACATTGAGGATTTGCTGTACCGTGGAGATAGTCTGGAGCGCATGGGCGAGATCAGCTCGAGACTACGAGATGACAGCAAAAAGTACCGTCGAGCCGCTGTGCGTATCAACTGGGAGTTGCTTCTCAAGCAGTACGGCCCCTTTGGTGCTCTTGGGTTCATCATCATTTTCTTCATTTATTGGCGATTCTTCTGAGAAATGCAAGCGAGCTAGTTATGCTTTACACACTTAATACCTATGTCTGCTCACGTTGCTCTGCATCATGACTCTTACTTTCTGGAGGTCTGCGCAGCGACACCTGATGTATGTCGAAGGAACCTGAGTTATGATCTCACTTTAGAGGGAGCCCCGAGGCATTGAACATTGTGTGATCAATTGTGATAAGCCAATTCGTCTATCCATTGCCAATTTGGCGAATTTTTGTGAATCATAGCCTCAATCGCTCCAAATCATGCAGTCCCATCATAGGTAGACAGTTATATGTTACTCCAAACTCCAAATGCCATCTGTTCTACCCAACCATCCATGAAAGCAAAAAACACCAATTTCCGGACCCTAATCTTGATATCATGTGCGCGAGCTCACTACATGACTATGCAATCGTTCGAAGTCGCTTGTGCCTGCGATGTTGGTGCGGTCACTATATGTTGCCATTCGAGGTGCTCCTGAAGCGCAGCCATATCTTCGTATCCTAGATCTGGTCGATATGCATCCTCATCGTCGTACTGTTCCTGAGGTACTGTTGATTCTGTTTCGCAGTATTGGCACAACAAACCAGCCAGCCAGTCGCGGTGTTGCGGTGTGACATGGTTTGCGATGGCGACTGGCGCAAATACAACCTGTTTCTCCTGATGTCCAGATTGAGTGAAACCTGTCGCTTGCCAGTGGGGGTTATCGGGGGTTGGCGATAACGTCAAGATCGGAGACGCCGCGGCTTCTTGAAACGTTCGTATCGAGGGCATGTTCTCAATATCCTCCCATATTATATGACCGTCGCAGTAGTCGCACACGAAGGCAATATCGCGATCGCCGAACCTCTTGAACGATCCTATAGCGTTACACAGGCGCAATTCCTCCCGGTATCTTTGTGAATATTCGAGCTCGTCTGGTACGGTTTTATCCAATGCCCATTTGCGTTGTTGTCGATAAATAAGGAATGCTCCCAAGCATCTCGAAGATCCTTCCTTTTCTGACGTGTATATTCGTCTTGCCGCCCGACATTGCGCTCTATGTAGCTTTCGTTGTAAAGTATGCGTCTCGCGCACCCATATCGGGTTGATCGGACCGCCCGAACGGCTCCAATCCTTTATCTGTTCTATGTGCGAGGTGAAATGAGCCTTCAAAGCTCTCAGCTCTTCAAGGGATTCATCTATAGAGAAAGTCAGCACAGAGATTCCTCAGCAAATGCCTCTAGACGATGGTTATGCCGTAAAGCGTTGCTGAACATACGTTTTCGGTCGGTTTCGTAGTATATCTGACCGTTGACCAAAGGTGCCAGCTCCTGAAAGTCCTTCTTGGCCTCGTCCAGCGCAGCAGCAAGGGCTTGAACCTGCTCGTGCTCGTCAGGGCCCCAATGGCTCTTGTCAGCTAAGCTGAGTATGCGCAATCCTTGGGCGAGGAGGGTAGCAATGGCCGCAAGCAATGACCCGACTGTGTCAAGACTGCTCATGGTTTGTTGCGAGGATAAAGGTTCCGATTGCCCTCGAGGGTCGGCCGACAGAGAGATCGCGGGGTTGCGCTGAAGGCGGATAACGTAAGCTCGTAGAGTCGTAGTCGGAGATAGTTTGTATCTGAGAAAAAAGATGAGAGGTAGTACTGTGAAAAACCTCAATCACCGTCGTCGTCGCGGGGCGAAGGACAGAAACGATTGGGGGCGGCGCATGAGGTTTCGTCGACTCGAACCGGTCTCCCCGGCTCGAGAGAGTTGATCTGAGGAAGCAGAAGCTGTAGGTAGCAAGGGACCCAAGCTAAAGCAGGGTGAGGTAAGGCGGAATAAGCTGAGTGCTGGGCTGTGCTAGCCTATTTATTTACTTTGACTTGTTTATATACACCAAGCAACCGAGGATATGAGGCTGAGCATATGATAGGTACGTAATATGACCTATGTAGCAATTGGTTCAGGGTCCTACTCCCGTATTGTCAAGGTGCCCTTTGTGAAGATGAGGCTGTGCAGCCAAAAAATTACCGGGGCCGATTATTCAGACCGTTAGTTGTCGAATTTAAGGGATGGTTTGAGAACAAGGGCTGGGTTAAGGAAGCAAAGACTTGAGGGAACTGGATTCGGTCTTTGTGTTTCACTCGTAACGAACGAATCGCAAGGTGGCCAATCTAGGTCACTTTTTCCATGGTATGAAACGGCCGGTTTGATACGCAGTTTGGGTCGAATGGAAGCTGAGCTCCTCCGCAAAATGACGGAATACCCTTTACGGTGCACTAGAAACCCTGCAATTCGTCCGCTATGACGCCGGTTAGTGGACTGGGACGTCTAGCGGAACTGACCCCGGGCTCTGTTATTCGTAGACCCGTATACTTGGAAGAGACGTTCACAGGGCCGCTCCTATCGAGGATACAAAGGCACTAATTCAACGTGAAATTCATGATGACTTTTACTTGAAACAAATGATCAAGTGGTGTCTCTAACCATGTGCCCTATTCAGACTACAATATTGAGAATACTGGGCCTACCTAAGAATGCTTGTCTGGATTAGTTGTGCCTCTTGTAGAAACAGAGGACAAAAGCTTGCAAGGCCAAGTTTGAGTAACTAATCATATGCATTGGCCATCGAACTCAGGAAACAAGCCTCTTCAGCTTTTGCTGCACCCTCAGGTTCACTTCCGCTTCTTGGCCGTGCCGGCATCTGAGCCAGTAGTCTTGGCCTCGGCCTTGACATCCTCAACCAACTTGTCTTTGGCTTCGTCCTTGGCCTTCTTGTCGTCGATGGCCTCATCCTCACCACCCTGGCCAAACTCGTTGACTCGACTGTAGTCGACACGGTACGCCCATCGCTGGTACAAGTACACGAAGAAAATAACATCGTCGCGGAAAGTTGCCATGCGATGGAGGAATGGCATCTTGATGGTAAAAGCGAACAAGTCATCAATGAAGGTGTTGAGGAACTTGTAGAACATAGCCTTGCCAGGCATATGGGCAACACTCTTCAGACGGTAGTTGATGTACAGAGAAGGTACCATCATCAGGAAACCATAAGCGTAGACAGATCCTACCAGAGTTGTAATGATATAAGAATACCACGACTTGTGTGACTCGTAGTAAAGCGAGTAGATACCATATGCGATCAGGAGAGGAACTCCAGCCATGTACATGTACTTGAAAGCAATCTCGTCGTACTCTTTGGTCTTCTCCTCAGTTTCGCTCAACTTTTGCTTGTCCTCAAAAATAACGGTAAAGGGGAGGAAAGAGTCAGGGCCTCCGGGACGGACGCGAACGTTGACAACAGTGGTGATCTTCCAGAATTCGATAACTATACCGACAACCTGAGATCCCAAGATCATCCAGCTGGTGTTCTGCGAGTTATCAAGGAGATACAGGAAGATGATGGCCTGCATAAAGACATTCGCCAAGATAGATCGAACCGAGATACCGACGTTGTCCTTCTTCTTTCGGTAGTGCGCGATATCGGATCCAAAGGCAAGAGTCTCAAGAATCATGTGCAGAATACTAACCACAATGGTGATACCGAGCAGAATGGGATTAGAATCGAGGAAAACCTCCTTGATCATTTCAATCTCCGTGCCGTCGCCACCACCAGGGAGGGAGCCGCCCCACGCAGCCTGTCGGGCCGCCTCTTTGCTGTTGGTTTCGAGAGTAGACATGAGCTGGAACTGCCAGCTAGCCATGTTGTTGAGATCAATGCGAAGAGGAAGCTCCTTGACAGTATCATTAAGAATGGTCATTTGATTCGTCAATTGCCAGAAAGTGTTGACGAAGAGAACAGGGTCTACAGAAGTCAGTTGCTGTGCATTTGGTGTGAGTTATTGTTACTTACAGTACCAGGCATGCTGGCCAGAGCCATCTCGAGCACCAGTGGCCTCAAGTCGCATGTATTGTCGCATCTGGGGGGCAATACTGGCGAAGTCCTTGACACCCATATCTGGGACGAAAGAGAAGCTAGCATTGGGGTGATAGTAGTTGGCAATGATGGGTCCGGTTGGCTCTTTTTCCTCTGGTTCCTCAGTCGTAGGCACGTTCTCGAGCAGGTTTCGCGTCTTTGCAACCTTTTTCTTGGGAAGGTATTGGGTCAAGGGCCAAGTAAAGTAGTATGCCTTCGATGTATCATAGCCTGGCTGCTTGGGATCGAGGTTGCTTCCGGGCAGGCCAATGTAGAAATGTCCCCATAGAGTACCATTGCGCTGGACAGCGGGAGGGACAGTAAATGTGGTCTCGATCGTTCGTTTATCGCTGTTGTTACTCAGGTGGAATTCCTTCTCCTGCAGCACGAGATATTCTTCAGGGATGGAAGAGATGGGAGCCGGGTTGAAAGACTGCGAGAGGGTAACGGTGATGTCGACATGGCTGTCTTGAGGCCAGATAGGCGCGACGTTCTTGGGGATCTCACGATAGATCTTGCCGGGGTCTACGAACTCCGGCCGCAGTTCGAAAGGAGGAATACCTTCAACGTTTCCAGGGACTTTGATAGGCTCGCCAGTCTTGGGGTTGTTGATGGTAACTGCCTTCTGGTCCTTCTTCGTGGCATAGTTCATGGCAGCATTAAGGCCGAAATAGATAGCGCCACCGAGAAGCAGCTTGTTGAAGCTGAAGCCCTGTATGGGAAGCCAAGTTAGTATACTGCAAGGATCGATCGAGCCTCTTGATGCAATGCATTGCGATGACTTACACCTCCGCCTCCCTCTCGCTGCTCGCCTTGGCCACGAGGCATGACCTGTGCTTCGGCCATTGTGTCTGTTTCCGTTTCTATACAAGCAACGGGGCGTAACAGACGTAGTGCAATGGGTTGAGTAAACCCTGCGAAACGCTCCTTGATGTCAAAGTCAAGGTCGTGGCTGTTGCACCGATGCGAGATGTGTTTGGTTGGCCAAAGGTCAGATTGCTTAGGTCCATAGCATAGTAAAGATAAATCCCCTCGCCAGGCTCCTTAACACTTAACGTTGACGTGCTGCGGGCACCCACGAAATGGATAACGATTGGCCACCAGAACACGTAGGCACCCCTGTAGAAACCCTCTGGCCGTTGGTTATCGGCTCGGAGATTGACCACGTTTTGGAAGCTTGCGTCCACTAAAGCGAGTTTAGATCCAGTGCATCATGGCTTGAGAGATCAGCCCCAGCGCCCGGGCATGTCTACGGACGTCTACTGGCAGTAAATGCCCGCGGCTCAACGCATCAATGATGCTCGAAACAAGACGTAATTACTGTACATTGTTTACAAAGCCATGAAGATCCATGCTAAACCTTGCTGGGGATCGCCCTATCGTACTAAGTTAGAACACGCCTCATCTGACCAGCTGACCCCTTCGAATCATCCATATGCCATTGTCCAGTAATGTAACTCGTGGTAATCACCGCTGCTTTGTTTGTAGTGACACAACTTACATGAAATGCCCCATGCAGGGAGCACGGCCGCAAGCAACATCGTCGAAGACGTGGCTCCCGTCGTGGACGATCAGTAGAAGACAATCCGATAGGCTATCTTACAGGCACTCAACTTAGTCGGGCACGGCACAAACATCCATAGGATTGTTAACGTTTGTCACTAACCGCTAGGCTATTCAGACAATTCTCCTATATAAACATGCCAGTTCTCTACTCTCTTCTCATACTTCTCTCTAGTCAGATCTTGATTTGATGCTTAAACCTTTGACTCATCTGGAACCTTCTTAGACAGGTTTCTTTCCCCATTGCCACTTACTTAAGTCTCACTCTGCGAGACAAGCGTCGTTAACCGCCTCCGCCATTGTTCTCATTCTTACATCAAGCCAAACCTTCCTCTTTTAAACAACAAACCTGACTTCCCTCTCAACTTCGTTCTTAACAACCTTTCTCAAACTCAAACTTATACAATCAATACATTCAACGGAAATTCGAAGAACAAGCCCATCATGACTGCTGATAGCACAATCCCATCGCAGGCCGCCGTTGCCTCGCGCGCCAACACATCAAATGGCCAACCTCGAACCAAAATATGTGTCTACTGCGGTTCAGCTCCTGGCTCGAGTCCTGCTCATATCGAAGCTGCTCGCGCCCTTGGAAAGGCCATGGCAGAGAACAACATTGACCTAGGTGAGTCACTTATTTGCTTTCCGGAAGATGGATCCCCGGCCCCCGGAAATGATCGCGGGCCGCCGACCGCCGTCTGCCGGATATGTTCCCAACATGACTCAGAAAACTAACGAACGGTGACAGTCTACGGAGGTGGAACTGTCGGACTCATGGGCGAGGTAGCAAAGAGCCTTTGCGCAATCAACGGCCCCGAGTCTGTTCACGGTATCATTCCTGAGGCGCTGGTCAAGTATGAACGAGATGGCACTTATGGAACTGTCAACGAGAACAACCACATTGTGCCTGAAGAGTCTGTCTACGGCCGCACCACGGTTGTTAAGGACATGCACACCCGAAAGAAGCTCATGGCCGAGGAGGTGTTTGCTGGTGGTCCCGGCAGCGGCTTCATCGGATTAAGCGGTGGTTTCGGTACCATGGAGGAAATCTTTGAGACAACTACTTGGAACCAGCTTGGAATCCACAACCGCGGTATCGTTCTACTCAACATTGAAGGTTATTGGGACGGTATCGTTCAGTGGATGGATCGCGCTGCTGAGCAGGGCTTTGTCAAGCCCGCTAACAAGGACATCTTGGTCAACGCTGATACCCCTGAGGGTGCAATCCAGGCTCTCCGCGACTACAAGGTTTCGGATGCCATCTACCAGCTCCAATGGGGCAGTCAGTAAGCGATTGAATTTGAGGCGCTACCTAGATCCGGTTTAGAATTGGGTATCGGAGATGGCCTGGTGTTTTACGGTGCTAAATGGATGATTCTTCAACCTGCATTTCTAGGATAGGATAGACTGGCGCTCCATTAATAGACGAACTGATGACCTGAACCTGACACTTGCTTGTATTCCGAATGATTAAGATTCATGAAAAGCTGCCTCTGCAGCGCATAATACTACATGATCTATTTGTTTAGTCACTACCAGCGCCATATTCCGCGTCGTCATTCATAGCAGATTTAGCTGTCTACATCCATACCTTCTCCCTCGCCTTCTTCTGCGCCACCTTGGCCCTCACCAACGCTCTCGATCCAGGGCTGCACCGAGTACCCATCGTACAGCTTGAATGGCTCGACCTTCTTCTTGCCATCTACTGTGTTGATGCCCACCACGCCGACCGATGTGTTCTCCACTGACAGCTCCTTGTCCTGGACCAGACTCTCCTTCAAGGCCTTGAGACCGTGCTGGATCAGCTCTTCCCTTGAACAGTCGGCAAAGGAATCAATGTTGCGCTCGAGGTATGTTCGGGCCATTTGGCTTCGCGCGCCAATGGCAAAAGCAAGCATCTCCTCTGTCATGCCTGAAGGCTGGAACTCGAACAGGTGGGGACCACGCTCATCAACACCAGCAACCAAAAGACCGACACCGTAAGGTCGCTTGCCGTACATCTGAGTGTTCATCTGGGCCTTCTCGCCAATCATGTCGACGAGGGATCGAAGGGGAATGGCGCGGCCGTAGGTAAGTCGGTGGCCTAGGCACTGCTGCTTCATGAAGTTGGAGAGTACACGGGCATCGGAAGTAAGGCCGGCGATTGCGATACCAGCATGTTCGTCGACGGTGAAGAGCTTCTTCTGGTAGGAGGAAAGTTCCTCGGCATTTCGCTGTTATGGTAGTTAGAAAACCGTTGGCTTGGAAGCTTATGCATGGGGCAAGACGGTAGTGGTGGAGGGGAAGGAAGACGGGCAGTAGTACCTTAACAGCGCACAGAACGGCATGAGTCTTGCTGGCAATACCGACAACAACGGAACCTTGCTTCACTGCCTCTGCAGCATATTCGATCTGGAATATTCGGCCCTGGGGCGAGCTGGGGATAGTTAGCTTAGTGAATGTGCTGGGGCTGGAGCTACCAGCAGCTTAGGTGGCGTACAAGGTAACGGAATCGTTATCGTAGTTGTTTCGAAACATGGCGTAATATCAACGGCTCGAGCAACGTCGCGTAGGGTTCGAATGAAGTAGGCGTGCAAACAAGGCTCGATGTTCGTGGTGGGGGTTGTAGTGGTGAGCTTTGCTGGGATTAATAGTTGAGGTTGGAGATAGTACGTCGGTAGAGTTGAGGTGTACCTGCGCAGCGTTAGGCCAGGCAGCTCAAGCTTCGTAGCCTGGTCGTACTGGACTGCTGCCGCATCTCAGTGCCTGTATTCTGCCGTGGAAATCCCGCCACACCGCCTGCCGAAACGATTAGATTCCATGATGACATTCATCATGAAGAATGGATTTCGTTGATCTTTAAAAGCTTTGGGTGCTTAATCAATTGGAAGAGAGCTGCGAAATCTTGTCGTCTCTCATCATATGTCGTGGCTTCATTTTGAGCACCATTGTGCTGCCCTGTTCTGCGACGCGGGTTAAGCACAGGATAGGGAGAAGATAACTGAGTCGGTTGTTTCCTTCTTCTGTTATCCAAGGTGATTGTCTTTCATCTTCTCCAAAGTGGCTACAATATTTGGACGATAATGGTACTGAGAGGACCAAAAAAGAAGAGAGAAAGAGACAGAATGAGGATAATTGAAAAAACGCAGCATTTTACAAGTCATTTCTATCTATACTGGTTTGAAAAATGACTTCAACGTTGATATCAAATATAACCTGGAGACTACCTAGTCTCGAGCGCATTGGATTAAAAGAGCAATGAAACTCAAGGTAAAAATATTCAACTTACAACCGATTGTAAGGATATCATCTAATTCCCTGTTCACATTTACTTACACTCCTTCGCGAGAGAAGACGTAGGTGTTCAAAAGTGTTGAGCTTCCATGCTTTAGCGTGAGCTCGAATAGTTGTTACCTTACGCATGAGACGTATTTGTAGGTACCTAGCATAGAGCACAGTAATAGTAAGTATAGCAAAAGTCGATACACTTTCGAAAAGCGAACTCTCTTCCTTTTTTTGTGAAATGACAATGGGGGATCTGCACTATTTTGTTAGTAACTCTCTGTTGCGGAGCTAGTAATGCAGCCTTTTCGTATTTGATAGGTGTTTTACTGAAGTATCAGCGAATAAAGAGTGCATTTAACAGCCATCACGGTTCACCACTCCTTTGTATGCCATTGATGAGTACAGATTTGCTGTACATTTTTGCCGCCTCTCAAATATCCCTCATTCTTCTATCTTGTTCTTGTCACACCCAGGTAAACCCTCTAGAGTCATACGTTGAATATCGGATCCCTCTTGGTGGGCATTTCTATTGGATGACTCACTAAGACTTACATATTCGCAACTTTTAGACAACTCCAATTTTTTACTCTTTAGCATATTCACACTCTTCACTTTTTACCACGACAATACAATGCCTTCCAGATCTGATATCACATATTTCGGTGCTGGCCCAGCTCTGCTGCCCACTGACGTCCTTGAGACGTCCGCCCAGGCCCTCGTCAATTTCCAGGATACCGGATTAGGAATCGCCGAGCACTCTCATCGCTCAGAGTTGGCGACCAACATCATCAACGAGGCCAAGGCTGATCTTGCTTCCTACATCGACATCCCTGAGGACTATGAGGTTCTTTTCATGCAGGGTGGTGGCACTGGAGAGTTCTCCGCTACCATGTACAATCTTGTCGGCGCCTGGGTGACCAAGAAGAAGGCTCAGATCGTTGCCAACCTCAAGGTCCCCGAGGATGACCCTCGCGTTGAGCAGGAACTCAGAAACGCTGTTGAGAAGGATCTCAAGACCGATTACATCGTCACAGGTGGCTGGTCGCAGAAGGCCTCTGAGGAGGCCAAGCGTCTGCTTGGTCCTGAGCACGTCAACATCGTTGCTGATGCTCGTCAAATCAACGATGGCAAGTATGGCAAGATTCCCGAGGAGAGCACCTGGAACATCTCCAAGGATGCCGCTCTTGTCTACTACTGCGATAACGAGACTGTCGATGGTGTCGAATTCCCTGGTTTCCCCCAGGCATTGGCCCCTGGCCCCGATGGCGAGGGTCCCATTGTCGTGGCTGACATGTCTTCCAACATTCTCTCAAGGAGAATTCCTGTGCGAAACTACTCTGTCATCTTCTTCGGCGCTCAGAAGAACCTTGGCTCTACCGGTATCACTGTTGTGATTATCAAGAAGAGCCTTCTCCCCCCTAAGACTCCTCAACCCCCCGCTCCTCTACTCCGAAAGCTTGGTCTTCCTATCCCCCCTATCATCTTCTCGTATGAGACCATCGCCAAGAACAACAGTCTCTACAACACCCTCAGCATCTTCGAGTAAGTATTGCCTCAAAACAAAACTGATAACGTTACTGACAAGATAGTGTCTACATTGCTGGCCAAGTCCTCAAGAAGTCTATCAAGACCTACAACAAGGTCGAGGGACAAGAGGCTGTTTCTGCCAAGAAGGCTGAGATCATCTACGGTGCTCTCGAAGCTCACCCTGATGTGTACAGAATTGTCCCTGACAAGTCTGCCCGTTCAAGGATGAACATTTGCTTCCGCGTCACCAAGAACGGCGATACTGACGGCACTGAGAAGACCTTCCTGAAGGAAGCCACTGCTCAAGGCCTTACTGGATTGAAGGGTCACCGTAGCGTTGGTGGCATCCGTGCCAGCAGCTACAACTCAATTCCTCTGGAGGGTGCCGAGAAGCTTGCCAATTTTATCGAGACATTTGCTACTTCTTAATAGTAGTCAAGCTGGAAAAGGTACCAGGTGTAGGGCTTGATGGGTTTATGGATTGGATGAGATTCGCGTACGAGACCAGGGACAAAGAGTCAACTTGAATGGAGTTTGAATTCAACATGCTCCTCTATATTATTAAGGGATAAAAGTAAGGAAAAGAATGAAAAGAGGATATTCATCGTAAAAAGTGCCCGACAGATCCTGACTTTGCTATTGTAGGTAGTGAGTGATGGGTGGTTTGGAGCGCTACCATCTTGAATTCAGTGGATCCGGGCGCTGAAACAACCAAACCTCAGGCGTCCAGCTCGATTGATTCCATAGGTAAAATCTTAGCTTCTTTCATCCTAACGATCATCAATTCATCAATTGGCTTTTTCAACATGCCAATACTATTTTGTCTTTGAAAAATTCGAATAAGCTCGTCTCTCACATAATAACTCATCTGCCGATGCTCAGGCGCACCTTTTGTCCGAGGAGACTCAAATGCGTTGCGAGTCCGTCTCGAGTCTCATCCATTCTTAGAAACCGCACTGACCCTCAAATCCCATTACTACGACTGCAATATCATGATGTGAGATCAAGGCCATTCTCGCAACAGTCATGGGGAATTTCGGAGTCTGAAGCCTTGTCCAGGCTACCGACTGTGGATGACACAATCTATGCTTTGTCAACAGCACAAGGCCGAGCCGGCATAGCGGTAATTCGTATCTCTGGCCCATCATGTCTTGAAGTACGAATATTCTATGTCATGCTCAGTACATTTCTGACTATTTCCTTCAGATATACAAGGCATTGTGCCCATTCAAACCACTGCCAAAACCAAGATATGCAACTGTACGATCACTTTATGATCCAAATTCTGCCAAAAGCCAGCCACTTATTCTAGACTCAGAAGCTCTGATTCTATACTTTCCCAATCCGAAGACTGTAACTGGTGACGATGTCCTGGAGTTGCACGTTCATGGAGGGTCGGCAACTGTGAAGGCAGTACTGGCAACCATTCCGAAATGTTCCGCTGCACATCGTATTCGATACGCAGAACCGGGCGAGTTTACGAAGCGCGCCTTCTTTAATGACCGGTTGGATCTTGCCCAGATCGAAGCACTGAGTGACACCCTTGCAGCAGAAACAGAACAGCAACGTCGTGCAGCTGTGCGTGGTAACTCTGGCTCCCTCGGTCGCCAATACGAGGCATGGAGGGAACAGCTATTGTTGGCTCGAGGAGAAATCGAAGCGTTGATTGACTTCTCGGAAGACCAACATTTCGACGAGTCTCAGGCAGAGCTGCTACAGAATGTAACATCGCAAGTTGCTAGGATGCTACACAGCATTGAGCTGCATGAGCAAGGGAGTCAACGAAGTGAGCTCCTCAGAAACGGAATTCGTATTGCACTGTTGGGTCCACCCAACGTCGGCAAGAGCTCCTTAATGAATCTGATTGTTGGACGGGAGGCTTCCATCGTGTCAGGCGAAGCAGGGACTACGCGAGATATAGTAGAAGCAAGCTTGGACATTCGCGGCTATTTATGTTCTTTTGCAGATACGGCAGGATTTCGATCCAAGAGCTCACGGATGACCGACGGGGCTGACAGTGGCGCAATTGGGGCCGTGGAAGAAGAAGGAATACGGCGAGCTAAACAACGAGCTTTGGAGTCGGATCTTGTCATTGTCCTCGCGTCAGTAGAAGAGGGCCCGGGGGGTTTCTTCCTACAATACGACGAGGAAACGCTTGATCTTGCTGCTGGGGCGGAAGACTGTCTAGTTGTTGTCAACAAGCAAGATGCAGTTGACGAGGCGGAATTTGAGAAGCTTATACATGACTTTCGAAAGTGTGCTCAAATTCGAGCCCCCAAGCTAGCGGCGGCGGAGCTAGTGTCGATCTCGTGCAAGGAGGCTCAGACAGGGTCATGGGAGAACAAGGACCCGGGCGGTATTCAGGCCGTGATTACCAGGCTCGTGGCTTCCTTTGAAAAGATGACATCCATGCCTGTTGATCTCCAGGATTTGCTAGGTGTAACAGAACGCCAACGCCAACTTTTGATCAAGTGCCGCCAACATTTGGAAGATTTCATGGTAGAAGCGACCCCGGAGGAAGGTATGGACGCAGACACGGTCCTCGCAGCTGAATATCTGCGATATGCTGCGGACTGCCTTGCTCGGATCACAGGACGGGGTGAGTTTGGAGACGTGGAGGATGTTTTGGGTGTAATCTTCGAGAAGTAAGTTCTGACTGAGTGAATGTTGAATGTTGGACAAGATGCTGACTTGAGACGTGTTAGATTTTGTGTGGGAAAGTAAGCGACCCAGCGAGTACTAGATGGAAGAAGAGATCGATATAAGAGTAGAATGTCTATTTCCATCGAGGAGAGATCTATAAGCCATATTGCCGGTCTATATATGTTAGGGCTGACCACCAGGGCCACATCTAGACAAAAGAAAGAACATAAGAGAGATTTGAAATGAAAAGGAGAATAAAGTAGAAAAAAAGGAAAGATACAATGCCTATCGCTCGCTTCTATGCCATGCCTATGCTGATGCAAACCCATCCCCGCTATGCTTGTGCCCGTCTTTTCAAGTCCCAATGAGCGATGCTGTTTCTACCCAAATACCGATGCTAATGCTGAAAGAACAAACTCCGTAACAATGCTGAAAGGAAGAACAAGTTTTTAAACAGAGAACGCCCCATCCATGCTTGCGCTACCGCTTTGTGTATGCTTTTGAAAGATAGTAGACGATGAATGAGATTCTACTCGTCATCGTCACTGGGACCGTTGTAACCAGAGCGGCCCTTGTTGCCCTGAGCGTTGTCATCGTCGTCAGGGCCGTTGTAGCCAGAACGGCCAGAGTCACCCTCCTCAGGCTCGTTGTAACCAGATCGGCCACGGCCGTTTGTAGGCTTGGAGTCAGAGTCGTCGCCGTCCTTGTTGTAACCGCTGCGGCCGAAAGAGCGGGTGGTGGGAGCGAAGGTGAGAGTGAAAGCAGCCATTGTAGATGTATTTGTTGAGTTGTTCAAGTTTAGAAAATATTGAACGAGTTTCAAAGTGAGTTGTAGTTTGGTAGTTGTGTTTAAGAGAGTTGAGTTGTTGTGTGTAAGTGATTAGAGTTGTAGAGCGTGGATGTTATTAGATGAATCGAATGGAAGATGTTGATGGTGATGATATTTTTCCTTTGACCTGGAGGACATGGCACTTATATACAGAATCCGTCAGGATAGGAAGCACGCATATGGATCTCGGTAGGCAATGACGGCCAGGAAACGACAGTGAAAGGCTGACGCCTACTCGGGTCGTGTCATGACGATGGACCAGGCACACTCTCGAAGAGCAGGGATACAAAATAGAAACACCAGTATAGACACGCTAGGGTAGGGTACAAGGCTACCTAGGTAGGTAAGGTAGATTGTGCATTGCCATTGTTCCGCACATGGAACCTTCTTTCGCATCCATAGTCGTGGGAACAGTCATCAACCGGAGGACAGAGTGCACACTATGCCTGCGCCATGTCGGCGAGCTGACAGGGGCCGGTATCTGAGCCGTGAGTGGTGGAGGACAGCATCGTAGGGCTGAGGATGCTCTGGGGACCTTGCATTGCAGGGGTCCTTGAGAGTCTTTTGTTTGACAAAGAACCTACCGGGAGCGGAAGACCCGGGCCGTATCCAGTCAAGTCAGTCGAACAAGTTGCGGTGCGTATCACTTACAGTACGAGTAAGGATACTGTGAAAACCCTACCCAGTTAGTGATAGATTGGCTTACATACTTACGGGGGGGCTTGGCCAGGGGATAAGAATAAGCCACAGCCTCGAAATAAAACAACACCCCTGGCCCCAGGCCCATGTCATCCTTCTCCACGGCTCTGCCCATGGACATCAGAACGCAGATACGATACGGTGACAGTATTGTCATGATGGTAATCTTTGACCCCCAAATATTGCGTTTCGATACCACATTATTAGTCAGGGTTCAGGCTGGTGACGGAGCTTAGATACGTAAATACGCATTCGCGCAACGATACGTCAAGTACGATAGTTATTCGTATCTTGATGCTGCTCCTTCTCCATCACATCCGAAAGTCTTGATCATTGGCAATACAATTCTGCAGGCGAAACGTCATAAAGGCTGACAAATTGGGAGCCCTGTGATATGATTAATTTCAAGAAACTCCGACGACTGTCGGAGTCAGGGATGGAGATTAGATGCTGCATACATACAGAGTAGCGGAGTATGAGATTGTGATTGTGATGATATGGGAGTTGCCATTAATGGATGCGATCCTGGTTGATACCTTCTCGATGAATGCAGACTCGACATGTGCTCAATTGAGTGCGCGTCCCTACCCCAATTGGAAATTTGGTAGATGGTTCATCCCGTCACATGGGTGTTTCGAATAAGTTAAAAAGGTTGCCTAAAACACAAGACATTTACATGAGGCATCATGATGGCCAGATTGGTAGGCATATTGCACCACTTATTCTGTCAGCATCTTTGTCATCCTTCAAATGGCGGCTGCAGCCACTAAAGCCATGACGCGACTTCCCCCATTGGCGTGCATCGGTCAAGCCCGTGGCTTCCGCCTACCGAAGCGACAAACTGCCCCAGATTCCACTCCATCCCACCTTCCTTACCCTTCTTCGGGCACCTCTAACTCAGCGGGAGTCATCATTTACAGTACACCGAATGCAAAGGCAAATGCAGATTTGATCTAATCTCATCTCCGCCTTTCTTACAAGCATAACGCTTAGGCTTCATGATGCTGGCTTGACCAAACTGCCCTTGTATTTTTCTTATCGTGACTCATGCCGAATTATTCCAACATCCGTTCTACCCAAAGACCCTGGTTCAAAGTACTGCCCTGCACATGTCATGTTTCTCGTGGGGGCAGCAGCGGAATGAAACGTCACACTTGAGACAACCCAACCCTTGGACTTACACCATGAACATGAGGTAATCGTCGTCAACACCCTTGAATAGCCTATCCGCATCTGATCATTGGGTACCCGGCATTCTCTGGTTCCGGCGGCGTGGCACCTACAGTATTACCCGTCCGCCGGTTGGGCCGGCCATCTTTTAGGGCTCTCCCAGTGCCATGGGACCTAATTTCTGAGCATCCTGTCGGGTCCCTTCAATTTGGGCTGGGGGTTTCGATTCTCGATTAAGATCTATGGTACCGCTTGTCATTGGCCAGACCCCCAAACGGTCATGATACGACTCGTTCCAATGACAAGCAAGATTGAAGTCAAACGCCAGACCATATCTCCTTGGCCTGGAATATCCCATGATACGCCTGTTCCATCAAAATAGTCATTTCGCAGCCATCAATACCTTTCGCATCATAATGTCATGTGGTCTGAGCGCTCCAAATAGCCGCAACGAGACACCATCCTCACCATGCCACCAACTCTGATACCCTTGTCGGCAATTAAGCGCTCAGGCGCTTTATAAATAGAAGCGGTATTACCATTGGACAATTGGCGCGTTATCGCTCGATCTGACTGTTTTCGCTAACTAGCTCGATGCATAGCCCCGGACGTGCTCCAGTTTACCCAATCATTTTGCTTACTCACTACACTCACCACCACGAGGCGTTCTCCATGAAATCAGCCTTGCAACCTGATCCAAGCTCTACTGTTACCATCTCCACCTAAGCCCTAAGGCCATTGACCCTCTTCCTGTCATCCCGGCTACCTCTGAGACACTGCGCTATTCTACGGATACAGCCATTCCGATCCTAGTGCACATCATAAGAGGTTCGTTTCGTCTTGGTCTGTTTCTCGACCTCCCGCTAGTCCCCGAGCCATGTCTCGGGAAGGATCCCAACACTTGCCGGGGTGGGCTGCAGGGGTCTTTTAGACCTGGACTCTCATAGTTACACTACTGCAGGTAATCGGCAGGCTCAATAGATGCCTTGGTTGAAGACATGCAGCAGTTTTCAACTTCATGCAATGGAACAGTGGTGATCTCTGGCTCATTACTAAGAATGGCTACACCATGCGCCTTACAAGCCTCGGCAGTGACTCTGCGTCTGGAAACAGTATCAGGCAGAGCCAGGCACTGACCGGCAACCATTACTCACATCGTGATATTACTCACCCTCAGGCTAGCCCTTCGGGTCAATCCCGCTGACAATGATCATACAGCTGTTTTTCAATTGCTTGACAGCCCTCGGTCGATTGAATAAGTCCCACCGAAGCCACCAAATAATGACAGCCTGTCGATTCACGTAGCACGCGGGTTGATATGCAGCCAAGGAACCTTGACAAGGCACAGAGGGCCAGATCATAGCCATCTGTCCTACACAGGCACAGAACCAAAATGGGGGGCTCTGTGCCTGGTTTCCCAGAATGGCACCATGTTTCGATCCCTGTTCCTAGTTCGTCGGTCATGGCTTCAATGCCCCCAAACCTTCACATGGTTCAAGGGTGCGGTATGAGCCGTGGAAAGTGTAGGTCCGGTGTCTTGACTACAGGCAACACTCTAGCCAATGGCCTGCAATTTTAAATTGGTATGTCTACATAAACACACCATCCGTTAGGATAGCCCTACAAGGATTAGTTCCATTGCCTGTTCACAACTCGTCCCTGGCATGAGCCTCCTCACTAGGACCATCCATAGCCATAATCTTAACGACCAGACTAGTCCATCCAGTGAAATGCTGTGTTCGCTGCCCGGCACCCGTGTCCGGATTGTACTGCTCCCATGCAAAGCCTGTCTCTTCCCAGCTCTTGTACACGGTATCGACAAGGTTCTTGCGAAGACGCGAAAATAGATCCTTCGCCTTGGCTTGGAACGGACCTTCCTGCGATGCAACATTCTAGATAGACACGTTAGCAATTATACCATTTTCCCAGTTAAGTCACTTATGGAGTACTTACACGAAGCTGAGACACGGCGAGGTAGTTCATGGGCATCCACACGGGACTACGCCAATAGTTTTCGCCAGTGTTGTAAAATTCATCCTGCTTGCTCAGACTACGGATACCGTGAGGGCTCCAAAGATGGTCCTCGTCACCGATGAGATCAAGAATCTTGCCAAGTTTGGGGTCGTCAGCCTTCATGAGACCGACGAGGAAGGGGAACAGGGAAACGTAGCCCTTGTGGCATACGAGCGCGTGTTCCTCATAATCGTCAATCATTGCATCGCAATAGCAGCCCTCCTTCTCGGACCAGTGGAGATCGTTGAGGTTGTGCTCGATGCCGTCCAAGTTCTTCTTGTACTCATCTACATCCTCGGCCATACCGAGGGCGTCTGCGATGTTCATAAGGGACTTTGTCATGAGACCCACCCAAGACATGAGATCGACATGCAACTCACTAGGGGATGGGGGTTGGGGTCGAGGATAATCATCCAGGCCGCTGGTCAGGATGTGGGTTTCGGTACGGCCCCTCCATCGGTAAGCCTCCTTAGTGGAGTATGCCTCGCGATCATAGCTCTTGATGTCACCACGCTGAGTTTTGCGGAACCAATCATACTGACGACGCAGAAGAGGGTACAGCTTTCGCAAATAGCTCTCACCGAGCTCGATATTGTCGAGGTGGGCAGTTTGCAAAAGATCCGCTCCCATCATGCGCTCCTTTCCCCCGGCCTTGGTACCATTGGCTGCACGAAGGCGCTCCATGAAGCCCTCAATGATAAGAAAAAGAGTGGGAGGATTAGCGTAATGAGGGTACTGAACCTGAAACTCAGGAGGCACCTTGCTACGAGCCTCGTGGCCCAGAATCTGCTCGCGAGCGATCCAACCGTTGTCATCCATGGTGTTGTACCAGCTCTTGACAATCTCAAGTGTCAGATCAATATCCCAGTCGGCGATAGGGATAAGGTGGAAACCCTCATCCCACAAGAATCCGCGAGGGAAGAAGGGACGAGATGGTACACTGGTGAAAAGCTCGTAAGGGCCCTCGAGGTCTGGCTTGTTGCGGCTCCTAGCTTTCGCAGCTTCTACCCAGAATTCCTCGTCGTCCTCTTCGTATTCAGGTGCATAGGTTCGGTCAATGATCTGATGGCCGTGGAAGTAACCGATTCCACCGACAAGGTTGGAAAACATACTCTTGCCAAACTTCTTGTACTTCTCAAGAGTGAAAGGCTCTTTGAACTTGAAAGTGTTTGAGAAGCGCTCATTGAAGGTTTCGGAGGTCTTCTTGATCTGCTCTGTAACGTCTTCCGAGGTGAACTCCTTTCCGCCAGAAGCCGATGAGAAGATGACATCAAACTCGAATGGCCCCTCGAATGTCTTCTCCACGATCTGGACATTGGCTTTGGCGGGTGCATGGGCAATGCGGTACACTTGCCATGGTGGTGGAGGGTCATTTTGGTCGGCGTTTTGTTGGACCGGCGAAACAGCTTCCTGAAGCTTTTGGAAAACAACAGGCTTTCCCTGCCAAGTATGGTCCGCAGGAACGTCCTGAGGACTCGAGACAATGGTCTTATCACCATGTCGATCTTCAAGAAACTTGTTGTTTGATGTGGGGTGTTTTCCAGTACCCTTCGTGATAAGGAGCTTGTAATCTCCTAGGGTCTTCGAGTTGCCGTTGAGAGTGACATCTCCCTCAAAACCATGCTCAGTACCTTCGCCCTCAACGTCGAGCTCGCCTTCGCCATCCTGAGCAATGTAATAGAATAACATGGTTTTAGTATCTTTTGCGGCGCCTTCTCGAGGCTCGCCCTTGACACGAGCAGCCCAGCTTCCACCATGGCTGCCTCCTGGTATCTTGACGAAAGTTGTTGTCAAATCAATGCTGTTGGCCTTGTCGTGAATCGATTGCACACCGCCTATACGGGCATCGTACTCGTCCCATCCATAGCCATGGATATCTTCTCCTTGCTCACAAGTGTATCTGAAGCCTAAGACTAGCGTCAGTAAATTGATGTGGGATAGCTGAATGTTTCACATACCACTTTGAATGTCTTGGTAATTGTCAACCTTTGCCCACATGAGTCCTGTCCATAGAGCATCTGGGGTTCTTGGCCGCACGCCAAAATACAGATTGGACTTGTATGGACCCCAAAAGAGGCTCTGATTATTTTGACGTCCAATTTCTGTAGTCAGCACAGACGAAGCTTCATCTGCAGCTGATGCACCCAGAATGAGTGCCGCTGTCGACACCCAATGGGTTATCTTCACCATGATTTCGAGAAGAAATTGCCCTTTGTTTTGTCTGTGAAGGCAAAATTCGCGAATGATTTCCGGGCGACTTGTTTAAAAAAAAAAAAAAATCACTGCCACATTAGGTTTGTTGCAGCTTGCAGATAGAAGGAGCTTCAGAGAACACGTTGGGACCACAACTTGACAATGACGACGCAAGGCTGAGACACCACAGATCCGGGGTCCAGGAGGAGAGCTTTGACCAATCGTAGAGCTTCACTAGCCACCGCCACTTTTCTGTCGATCTCCACATTAAAGTTGTTTTCCATCAGCCTTCCGCTTCTAGAACTCTTTGGATGTTTGCTTCCTCCAAATCATCCCGATTCAAAAAGATCGCCAACTTTGAACACAGATAACAAGCATATTAAAATCGCTTATTGAAAACATGAGCGACTCAAGACGAAGCAGACGACCGGACAGTCGTCAAATGTGGGACGAATCTGATAGACGCGACAGGCGCGGAGGTCGTGATAGGGACAACGACCGTGATCGCAGAGGTCACAGGTCACGATCGCGCGAACGCCGTGGCTATAGAGACCGATCTAGGTCTCCCGATAGACGAAACAGGGATAGAGATGGAGACAGAAACCGCCCAAGGGACCGAGGTCCGCGACACCATGATGAAAGAGACAAGAGGGATAGACGAAGAGATGATAGAGACGATGGGCCGCCGAGGCCAAAGCGGGATGATCGTCGCGATGATGATAGGGACAGACGAGGTATGCGCTTCCAATTGCTTCAAAGGTTCAAGACTAACAATGTGTTCAGGCAAGTCTCGTCGCTCTGCCTCACCGCGATCGCGCAGTCCCTCCTCTAACGAAACGACCCTTCCCACACGCACTCGCCCTGAAGCGAAGCGTCCAGCACCTCACATGTCCTTCAACGTTGGATCTCGAGCCAGTCGCTCACCACCACCACAGCCCTCACGCCCTGAACGTGAAGAGGAGACCGCCCGCTCGGAGGATGGTCAGGTATCTGAGCCAGAAGACGAACCAATGGAAGAAGAGGACAACGACTTTGCTGCTATGCAAGCCATGATGGGCTTTGGTGGGTTTGGAACGACGAAGAACAAGAAGGTTTCGGGAAACAATGCAGGCGGCGTGCGGAAAGAAAAGAAGACAGAGTACCGCCAATACATGAACCGAAACGGCGGTTTCAACAGACCTCTGAGTCCGTCTCGATAAAGGAACTTGCTGCGGAGGTTGCTATCGATTGCTTTATGATATCCGAGGGGGATTCGGCGTCTCTAGTGTCACGCTTTATACATAGTCCGGACAGGCGTTTAGGAGAAATATTAATATGACATTTTGATAGCCAATATATACTCTCAACACGCCAACTATAACAGTATAAATGCTTGGTAATATTAGCGTGTCAGAACATCGGTGAACTTGAATCAATGGTCAAGCATGTAGACATTGTGATCCGTTTAAGATGAGTGCCAAAACAGAATCTTCTGGCTAAACTTGGCGAGCCTACGAGCACAGTAGCTGTGCCCACTTTCCATAACACGTTAAACAATAATCATGGCTTGTTAAATACTCTCTTCCAGTATATACTGGTGTAAACATTACGTATAGCGCGTTCACTACATACAAACGCGGTATCTTCCTTCCATCTCCCTCCCAAACCATTCCCAACACCATTGGTATGCATCGAATGACAAACACCGTACGTCCATCTCATCCTCATGCCTTTTCTCCTTGCTCTTCCTCTACTGCACCGTCCGCTACAGGATCTGCCTTTGGCGTTGGTACGTCATCTTCTATAGGGGCCTCCTCTTCCTTTGGCAGCTCTTTGACTGCCTCTTCTTCTCCAGCCTTGGAAGCTGGTCTGGAGTCGTCCCTATTTTCCTCTGCGTTCTCTTCTGATTGGTTCGTTGCCGTTCTATCCCTTCGTCTCCTTCTTAACCTTCTTTCTTCCTCTGCTGTCTGTCGTCTGGCTTTGCGAAGAGTTTCTCTCCTCTCTAGATCATCGTCATCGGCGCCATCACCACCGCGCATACCTTGCAATAGAGCAGCTGCCCGATCTGCGACATCGTCTCCACCAGAGCGAGGCGATGAGAGACCGGGGCTGAGCACGTTTGTATCCTCTTCGCTTGGTGCTTCCGCGGTTTTGAGGGTCACCTCTGCTTCTGGAATCTCGTCGAGATCCGGAATCTTTTGTCCAGAAGCAACACGAACTTGGTGACGGTCCTTGAGTCGCGCTCGCCTTCTTCGGTCTCTCTGATCCCGAGCCTGGGGCGCAGCTGCACGTAGTTTCTCCAGTAGAGAATCCATGGCGCCAGTATTGGAAGGTGATGTTGGCCCAGCCTCGGCACTGTTGCTGGTGAGCTTGAGCTGTGCCGTGTGCTTTCGCTTCATTGACGCCTCGTTGCGCCTCCTTGTCTCCTCGACTTGTACGTTCTTCTCGCGAGACTTCTTCCACTCGCCCACGAAGAGCGCTAGCTTGGCAAAGAAATCGCGGCGGGCACTATCATCGGCGGGATCTTCACCATAGAATACCATGATATCTTTGTATGTCCTCATCATCTCCTCGAGGTACAACTCCATCTGTTCAGATTTTCTTCTGGCATCCTTCATGATGCGCTGGACGACTTGGCTGACCCTGTCCTGGGGATGGAACTTCTTGGGGTCGCTCAAGTTACCCGAATCTAGCGACATCTGGATGTTGCGAATATTGTCGATGTACTTCTTTGCATCCGCCTGCAGTTGTTCGATATTGATTTTTTGCACAGTCATGACGCCGTTGATATCATCCGCAAAGCTCTCCCATTCGGGATATTGGTTTCGAACAATACGCTCCACGAGATCTGCCAACGTCGACTGATTCTTGTCGTCCTTTACCATACCCAATCGTGCCAAGGAACTAAGCTTGAAACCACGTGCTTGTTTGTTCGCATCGTTCATGTAGTTACCGATATCCAAAATAAGACCAAGAACATTCATCAATGAAACGGAATCACGTAGCGACTCAGACACTGTGACAACTTGCCTGATCTTCTCGTTGATCTCCTCGTACTCTTGCTCAAAGCTTCTAGTAAGGGCAAGTGCTCTCATTCGACTCTTCCAGTAGTGGTGTAACTCAAAGGCTGTATAGAGGTAAAGCTGATCTTGACGGGTGAGCTCAGAGGGGTCGAGTTCACGGCTCTGGGACTTGACATCGGGACCGGTCCAGTCCTTGCTATATGGGACCATCTGCTTGACTGTGTTGTCAGGAATATTGCACAAATCATCCTTTTGTAAGAAATCCATCACAACAATGTTGTCCAAGATATCCGAGTCACATTGAATGATCATCTGAACGATCTTCTCGACAGAGTGCTGTGAAAACTTGGCAAAAGCGATTTCTATATTTTGTTAGCACAGAGACTCCATGATTAATCGTGACCAACTTACCATAAGCTTTACGGAGATCAGAAGAAATGATTTGCTTCTTGTCATCCTTCTTAGATGAGGTTCCCATACCAAGTTTCTTGATCTCCTTTGCCATGAACAGCTTCTCAACCTCGTCGAGAATACCCTTCTTGCTGAGTTCCTGATACTTCTCCTCTCGAGCTTCAGCAGAAGGAGTATGTGCCGCCCAATGACTGGTCTCAGGAGCGTCTACCTTCTCCCAATGCAAAGCCTTAAGCTTCTTCTTGGGACGGACAACGGGCAAGCCAATGCCAGGAGCAGCCGCGAAAGCGGGTTGTCGCGACAAGTAGTGCCCGGACATAGCACCAGGCATAGGAGGAGGTGGAGGAGGGGGCATACCTCCAGCACCAGGTAGAGGAGGCGGAGGCGGAGGAGGTGGAGGTCCACCAGCAAGCATGCCTGGCAGGGGAGGCGGCGGCGGAGGGGGTGGGGGCGCTCCGGGAAGTTGCCCAGGCATCGGGGGAGGCGGAGGAGGAGGCGGCGGAGGGGGAGCACCAGGAATCTGACCGGGCATAGGTGGTGGTGGAGGCGGCGGAGGCGGAGGAGGAGCACCGGCAGCAGTAACTTCGATCTTCGGGGTTTCGCCATCGCCAGGGGGAGTAATGGGCGACGAAGTTTCCATGCTTGGGTGTGAAGGACCGGTTGTGTCATCCTCGGAGTCGCTGCCATCATATCTCTTAACCTTGGAGCCGATCTCACCGAGCAGACCAGCTTGTTGCTTAGGGTCAATGGTTGGTCGCTTCATTTCAACGATTCTGGGCTTCTCGTAGATAACGCCATCCTCGCCTTCAGTCTCGTCGTCTTCCTCGATAACCTCGCCATCAGAGCGTCTCTTAAGGGGCTTGCGGGGGATCTTGGTATTGCGATGGATGCTACCCAGTACACTATTAGTGAAATCTCGAGGAGGGGTTCCGCCACCAGGGGGTGTTCCAGGTCTGTCGTCCATCTCTTCACGAAGAGCTCGAAGGCGATCTGAAGGTCCAACGGCATCTCCCCATACACGTCCCTCGAGCTTGTATTGGGTCTTTTGTCTCTCGATCTGCATCTGCAACCGCTCCATGAGGCGGTCACGATCGAGAATACCTTGCATACGAGCAGGGTCTTCGGGAGCGACAGTCTTGCTGTTGGCATTCGCAGTCTTGGCGGCCTTAGAAGCGGCAACATCCTGAGCGTCTCGAAGCATGAGGTACAACTCTCTTGTCTCCAGCTCATATCGTTGGGCTTCCTTGGCTCTCATAGTTTGCATGCTATCCAACTCGGCCTTTAGTCCATCTGCCTGTCTCCTTTGGGCATCGATAAATCGAGCTTGCTCCTCTAATTGTCTCTGCAGCTTGGCAACCAATCCATCAGCACCAAGCTCAAGCTGGGCCTTCATCTCGTCACGCTCCGCCATAGCGGCTTCAGCAATCTGTCGCGATTCGAGCGCTTCATCCTGAGCTTGCCTGGCTTCCGAGTCTGTGTGTAGCTTATCTAGCAGACTTTGAACCGTGAAGTTGAGACTCTGCTTAAGATCCATGTTCGGCAACCGTCTATCCATAGCAACGTAGCTCAGCATGGAATCGACCAGCTGGAACATACGTAACCGCTCTTCGCCATCGGTGGCACGGATCAGCATGAGATGCTGCAGAGCTGAAATGAAATAATCATTTGTCTTGGTGCCATGGAGACGCTGCTGGATGGCATCTGCGATTTGTACGGGATCAGTCAAATCCTTGACTTCGCCCTCCACGTCGTCCTTGATGCTGCTGTTCTCCCGATCCAGCATGTCCTCATAGTCAATCGCCTCATTTGTCCGGAATCGCTCGATCTGCTTGTCCAGGAGTTCGTATTGGAACTCCTCCATCTTCGTCAAGATTCGTTTTATGCCACATGCTGTAAACTGAGCTCGAATGTGTATCCTCAACTCCAAGTCTCTCTCCGGTGAATCGATGATCATGTTGACAAGCATGAGAGTCGCGACGGCGTATTCCATAAGCAAGTTCTCCATTCCAATACCGCCGGTCCTCAACTCTTCGCTGGCACCGACCAAACTTCCCATCTTGCCTCTACCGTCGATGGTGACCTCAACCAGACGCATCCAAGCGTCGAACCGGCCATTCTCTCCATGTGCCGTTTTGACCTCATCGAGAGCCTGGATAACCTTTAAGTGACCCTCGGAATTCTCACCCCACGTACACAAGAAAGTAATGATTTCACTGACAAGCTTTCGCGTAGTGAGTCGAGGAGAAATGAGGGAGCTAGCAAGGGCCACCATGACCTTTTGATGTATCAAGGCATCGTCGGCACCGAATTTGTTGTTCATCAGTGCCTTCACACATTTGATGATATCGTATTCGCGGTCGAGATTCTTGTCGGTACGACCGGAATCCTGGGCAGGTCCCTGTGCTGTCTTGCGGTTGATCTTAAGCAGCAAGGTCATCAAGGCAACCTGTCCCTGGCACTCGACAAATCTCTTTACCCAACCGATCTGCTGAGTTCTCAGGTTGACTTCCAAACTTCCCATGCCCTTCGTGTCGAGTCGGTCTTCCATAACTCGTCGAACGTACCATTCTGGAGTGCCTTCCTCGTCGGAATAAGTCGTGATATCGGGAGTCGCGGTATACTGGGTTGGTCGTGCTGTCTGTCGGCGCTTTTGCTCGCCCTGCCATTCGGTGAGTCGGTCTTGGTAGAGCAACGTCCATTTCTTTTGCGCCGGGTAAGCCATCATCTGCCTCCTTGCCTGCTCAGGAAGGTTATGCCATCCTCGCTTCTGCATTAACTGAAGGAACATCTGTTCGACCACATTATCGTCGTCAGGCTTCGGGAAATAGAAGCCACCCTGAGGATCGCTTTGACCTGGGGGAGGCCCTGAAGGGAACTTGGTGAATCGGTGGGAATCGCGATTCGAGTGCTGCGAGGCCGCATAGGAGCTTTGAGAAGATGCACTAGGCATTGCTGTATTTGGTGAGCGAGACTTCGTTGTATAAAAGTAGTTTGAATTACCTGATTGTATGCTCAGGTTGTCCGCTGAGCCTCGAGCGGTAGAAGACATGAAGGAGTCGTATCGAGGGTTAGGTGGGTTATTTGAATGAGACGAACTGCCCCTGGCGGGGCCCCATTGCTGATACTGGGTCTGGCGTCCTGTCGAAGCCATGGTGACATTCGCATTAGCATAACCATATCCCGCGGGCTGGCGCCCTGGAGAACGGGCCCCAGACTGGCTTGACCCGTCCCAGCTTGGATATTGGTGAAAATCTAGGCCATTTTGATTGAGGTGGTGCGGGAGAGGTTCTCGGCGCACCGGCATCTGTTCACCTTTGGGCAGGTATTCGACGGGAACTGGAGATCGTGACCCGCCTCCAACAGCGTCGTATGGGATTGAAGTTATGACACCTGCCATCTGGTTGATACCGCCATCGGAAGATTCTGGACGGCCGTCGAACGAGACAGCAGATGACTCTCTCTTGTGGCGCGAAGAGCGAAAGCTGGCTGCATCGTCTGCGGGGTATCTCGACTCTTCAGCCAAGCGCTTGTCTTTGTGCTTACTTCGCGAGAAGAGAGACCGGCCGCCAGAGGACTGCCTGGTCTTGTCAGACATGGCGACTGCGATGTCGTGGCCGCGACAATTGTCGAAGCGGAGTTTTTAAATTGCGAATCGTATTTCGAAAGTAGTGTCGGTGTCGTACTGGGGTGTAAGGGTAAAAAAAAGGAGGTATCGGAATATCTATATCGTATAGTCTTTCACCAACGGCTACCAGTTGGAACACGTGAAGTTGGCGATGTGCTGGCCCAGGGCCGCTCGCTGCATTTGGGGCACGGTCGGTATCGACGTTGAATGAAACGCTGTGAATCTAGATATTCGGGGTGCGGAGGATCTCCAAATCGAAGCGGCGTGGGCGTTGTGGGCGGGCTTGAAACCTGGATCGCCGCGAGTTGCTTTTGACAGGAAGGAAAATGTACTGTAGTAGATAGATACTGCACTGCACAGACTGTAAGGAACTAGAAGGGGGGCAAAGGTAATGCAATGCAATAGAAAAGACAAAGAAGAAAGGCCTAAGCTTGGCCGGATGATGCCGCTGCTTGAATGAGTGGTGCCAGAATGAAACGAATCGAACTGCAAACCGAATTAACTCAAGGTGGTGTGCATAAAGGAGCGTAAATAGCGTAGCGTGCGTGGTAGCAGTACAGCGAGGTAAGTTAGAACCTGAGAGGTAGTATCTGTACCATCAGCGAACACCAGACAAGAAGTCAAGTCAGTTGGGTGTCCAAAAGACGGGGATGATCTGGTAGGTTGGATCCTTTTCCCTATCACCAGGGCCCAGGGATCTTCTAGGTTGCTCAAGCCAAGCCGAGGGTCGCAAGTAGGACGAAAGCGGATTGGCTCGAGTGTTTATGGGGATGATGGACCCAATATTGCTTAGCCGCCGCTTAGAGGTAGTCTAGGGGGGTAGTTCAGTGCTTCGAGCGCCAAGGGGGTAGATGTCTAGGTAGTGAATCGAGAATCGTCCAGGATATAATCTTTCTGGAATAAAGTGCCTTTACTGCTAAAAGCACTCAGAATGAGAATTAATTAATTGAAACCTAAGCAATTCCTGTAACAGAATCTACGTTCTTTATTGATGTTTCAAAAGTATTACTAGATATAAAGACTTTCTGTTCCTGAACATTGGGTATGATCGATAAATGGAGCTCACCTACCCAAGGTTCCATGATTTACACCTCTAAAAAAGCGCTGAGACTGAGCACTGGCCCGACCTCGAGTAAGATGGACACTTTTTAGGAGTGGTCCGTCTCCTAAGCGGGGAGCTTTTCGATAGCATCAAGGGACTTATCAGGGGAAGTGGGCTTTGTAGATTGAGGACGCGTAGACATTGTCAACCTACATATATTGTCGTTACTGCCTAGAAAGAACCATAGCAATCCAGACACGGAAGAGTAATCGAAACTGAAACTGTCACAATATGATCAACCCAGTAACGTCCATACCTACAAAGATCTTTGAGTTAGGTATCCTTTTAAATAGTTACTCCAAAACTTGCACAGTAAACCCTCGTACCAACATGGGGCACGTCCTGTATTAATATATCGTTTGGAGTGCTTACCAAGTTGATGGTGCTTAAAAATAGTTCATGCAACTACCACCTGGGCTTTGTATGTTACACCTTCAAAGTCATGAGTTGATTTTTGTTGTTACACCCATACCTAAGTACGGCATGAAAGCGATGTTGGTCTAAAAGTCCTTCATATGTACGGATAAGCTCGCGTGGAATTTCTCAACTCCCAGTATCCCTTGGGCCGCGTGCAGCTTTTGTCCTTTGTCTCAGGTTCCATCCGTATCCGTCCACTATTTCGAGACAAGACAAAGATCTCTCTTCTCCATCTCCATCCTTGATTCTTAAGCGAGGTCGGTTGTCTCAGGGCCTCTATTCGCCCCATGCCCTTCGCTTTTGACAGCTGAACTGTCACCTGTTATAGAATCCGCATGGAAAAAGAAAAGGCAGAATTAATAAACTTGAACGTCACTCAGGGTATCGGAAGAATGCCCCCCAAAAGCATGAGAGACGAAATAAGTTGGTCATCATGTGCTTGCTTGGAGGAGCTTTTAGATAACTTTATTTTGGTAGCCTAAAGTCTTGGAGGACATTTCTTATTACCTAGGTACCTGAACGTCAAGCTCTCATGGGCTTGAGTTGACAAGACCTTGCTTTGGACTCTAACAAAGAGAAACAATAGAGATCAATTCATCCTGTTACAAGTCCATCTTAATTCGAATTGATGACATAGAAGCTGGTTGTCAAAAGCAATCATTCCACTTAGATTCCCTACCTTGACCTTTTTCATGTGACGTGTCCAACGTGAGTAAAAGCTACGGGTAATTAAGAGGTAACCCATCGAGTGTTATACGACCCGCTCAACTGAAAATGGCGTGCTTGGAGATTGCTAACCATGGACATATCATCTTCTTTGGTTAGTTGAGCAGCTGTTTAAGTACATACGTCCACAAGCATCTAATTGAGTGTCTGACGAGCTTTGAAGCCATGGTCTGATTGACACGGATCCAGTTGATATACATGCGTTTCTACCTTGTGTTCAGAATCAGAAACTTACAGACATAAATCGCCCGTTTGAAAGATTCAATGTCGTTGATATTGGCACTTTCACCCCCCTTGCAAGTCTAAATCCTTTTGTTGGTCGACCCCTTTTTAGCGGGATCTTCGGCGTCGTCACCTCCATTCATCCCAGCTCCAGGTCCCGCTGGGCCCTTGTACTTGTGGCTTCAGCCACGTTTCCAGGGCAGCCTCTACCATTCTCGTCAGGGCGATCGCAACGTCGGATCTCAAACCTCCAGTCACCTCGTGGCATCCGCCGCGCCTTCGAAACTTGTATTCCCCGCTGAAACAGACTACAGCATCGTCCTCTCTGGTTTTTGAAAGGAAGAACATGGGCGCAACAATGTCGGTCATCAAGGTATGCATTCATCATGACAACTTGACCAATATTCTTGGCATTCATGGCACAGCAAAGCGCATCACGATGGTAACTAACATATGGTCGCAATCAGACTCTCGTTGTTCCCGCCGTCATTTCGTTGCTCCTCTTTATACTCCTCACATATGTTCTCATTCCCCTATGGCGTCGATATGCTCGCTATAGTCAATACCTTCCCCTCGATACTTTATCGTCCCAGACGTCTTCTTTGCGCGAGCGCATAACAGCCCGCATAGCCGCATGGCGCTCCAACCGCGGTGTCGCGTTCGCTTCTGATGATGGCTTCGACGATGGGCTGGACGAAGATGACGGAGAGGAACTTGGAAATGTCGACGAGGCCACCTGGCGTCAAATGGAGGCAGATACCCGTGCGGCCCGACCAGATAATGCAAGGCGACTAAGCAGAGAGTAAGCATCCATAGCATATTTCCGTTCAGTGTGTCAACACCAATTCTAACTTCAATAAAGTCTCGAAGAAGGATTCAGAGACGACAGTGATGATGAACCAGATCGGTTAGCGAGAAACAATTTCAGATCATAATAGCACAGTTTTTACCGGTAGTTAATCTCCAATCAAGAACACACACACATCCGTCCATCCATACTGGAAATGCTGTCACAGGTGGGTATCAGAATTATCTTCCAAGGCTTAGGCTACAGAAATAAATAAGACAGCATAAGGTGACCAGATTATTTCGTCTCTTATGCTCTCGGCGGTCATTTCTCCTCGCCGTGACGACAAGTTCACACTGGAAATGCGACGACTAACCACGGCCAATCCAGGTGATATCAAACAAAAAGTGTCAATTCATTCAATCGCTCGTTTACTCACAAGCACTTCCGCCTCTTCTTAACCGAGTCATACCCAGTGATCTGAATACTAAAAATCATGTCGCTCTAATCATGCCGCTATAAAATTCTCCATCCTGTTGATATTCCCAAACGATACACACCAGTCAATAATGACGCAACTGTCGGGTGGCTCAACCAACCCTTGAAGCGAATTTGGAGGCACTAAACTCAGCAACAGTCTCCCGAAGATCGGATTCTGATCGCCTTTTCCTTTTCCCTGAAGTGATGGCCACAAGGAAGGCACACTCGGACTTCGACTTCATCCACCTCGAAAGCTGATGGTATTCAACTGTGTCGCAGAGTACGGTCTGTGGCACTCGCTTCAGGCCTCCAGCTCTAGGTGCCAGGTTCTGCACATGCACTCTATATTGCCTGTGGTGACTGATCGCTGGTATTCTTGTTTGAAGCTTCTCCTGAATGGCTGTGAACATCCTTGGTTGAAGCTTCTTCTTTGTCACTGGCGTCCTTGGTCGAAGCCTCTTCTGGCTGGCTGCTGGTGTCCTTGATCGAAGCCTCTTCTGGCTGGTTGCTGGTGTCCTTGTTTGGAACTTCTCCTGAATGGCTGTGAACATCCTTGGTTGAAGCTTCTTCTTGGTCACTGGCGTCTTTGGTTAAAGCCTCTTCTGGCAGGTTGCTGGTGTCCTTGGTAGAAGGTTCTCCTAAATTGCCACTGCTCTGGTCTGTGTTGATGAGGTTTTCAAACCAGTTACTGACTGTATCATTTGAAAGCTCTTGTTTGGTCCTCTTCGAAGGTAGTGCAATAGACAACTTCCGAGTTTTTGTTCCTGCGGAAGACTCAGGCACTATTGTTTGAGTTCTTGTAGGTGGTATGATTGGTACGCTACGAGCTCGGATTGTAATGAGCTCATGATCCTCTTGGGCTTTATTTTTGCATAGTCCCAAGCATTTGAAAAGTCTGACGCAGATGCATTGAGGATCCTTGGAGACCATCGTATCTTGGTACTGCTCATAGCGGCTGAAGAGTAGTAGCGATGGATATGGTGTAAAGTGAGAGTAGTGATCTTGATGATGATAGCTTGTACGTGTGTTGGGGAGATGAAAAGGCGAGGATGGGGGTTCTGACATCTCTTCAATCGACGTAATACTGAGACTGTGATCAAAAAAGCAAGAGCCATCACTCAAGTCCTCGTTGTAATCTAGGTAGGTACCTAATGAGAGGAAGGTTAAGGAAGGAAGTACAGGTTGATAAGAGCTTACAACAACCCTACTACGAGTAGGAGCATAAGAGACGAAATACTTTGGTCATTTTATGCAAGCTTAGGCGCGCAACTAGACTATTTTATTTCTGCAGCCTACTTGGAGGGCAATTCTTCCAATGTCCACCTGGACGACGTTACGTGGAATCTGGTATGGCTGGCTGCTGCTGATCGTTCACATCGTGTGAAGTGATCGTTTATTTACCCTGATCTGGGGTCCAAGCTATCATCCTAGGCAAGACAAAGCTGGCCTATGCCCAGCCCTGTGCTTCTTCTTCTTCTTACTAGGCTTCCTCTTCTTCTTGCTTGATTTAGTCTTCTTCTTATTGGATTTCTTTCTATTTTCCTCCTCCTCCTCCTCCTCCTCCTCCTCCTTCTTCTTCTTCTTCTTGTAGGGTCATAGGAGGATACCAGATACTAAAGTGCACTTATTCTAGAGAGGCTCAGCTGGAAGGTGCACCTCTTTGAGTTCAATGTATGACACTCTTTGCAGGCGGTTTCACCTACCTAAACTACCTACTTGCCGTTATTACTTGGTCCTATGGTTCTTATTCCTCACAACATAGTACCTTCCACTTCTCTATTGGTAGGTTAGGCAAGTAGTGGAGACTCTGACTTACACATTGGCACGCATCTAGACTAGATGCTGCCAAATTGGCATGTATGGAATGGAGGTTGATATATGCAGAGGTAGTAGTTCTCAGCTTCTTTAAATCATCTGCGATATTGTATATACATGTGGTTGATATTTGAGTTAGAAATAATCACCTGTTCAAAGGTAATTGTCATTTCACCCCTTCCAGTGAACCCCGAATGCATATTTCCTGCCCCACAAATCCGCAACTGCCAACCTCGACATCATCACTTTCTAACTTAGGCAGGCAACCAATACAACCGCCTACCTTCCGCATTCACTGTTGTAGACTATCGCAACTTCCCATCATAATGCGCTTTCGAACGGAGCTCAAGAACATTCGCACGTTTGCCAGTAAGTCATCTTTCCTCGAATTGCTTGTCTTTTCGTCAATCTTTATTGTTTCTCAACTCTTGCTAACCGTGAATTTCTAGAGCTTACAGCTGCACTTGGCTCTCTTGAGAAGATCGCTTGGTTGCGCCTTAGCGATGATACAGCACGATTCACCGTCATCCCAGATATGGGATCTCAAGTATGGGCGTATGTATTATTTTCTTTTTCATGAATTTGTTACTGACAAGTGTCCAGCTCATTAAGCATGGACTTCATCTTTGATGGCTATCATATTCAATCCGCAGAGGCAGGCAATACCATTAACCTAGAGCTTCCTCTTCAGCCTCTTCAACGCGCTCTCAAATCAGCACTCAACAGCATGTCTGCTTCCCTACGTCTCACAAAGAAAGATGGATTGCCAGTTCTTTCCATGACAATCACGACCACTACGTCAGCTTCCAACCCTTCTGGAGCTACGAAACCTTCAGGCACTGCCACTGGCGATGACCCTTTTGATGACGACGAGATGTTTCAGCACGAACACCTGGAGACTAATTTAAGGCGAGAGCATGAAAAGATCATCACCCAGGATATACCTGTGCGAGTCCTTCACCCGGAGACGGTTGAGACGATCATGCAGCCCCGAGTACGCGAACCAGATGTTCACATCCAACTACCGCCACTCCTCCAGCTCAAGGCCATTTCAGATCGCTTCACCAAACTTGCCATGGCCTCCAACTCAGGCGCAAATAACGCCAAAGCGCCTAAGCTTGAACTTAGTGCTAACATGCACGGCGGTCTACGATTGCGAATCGCTACTGAAACCACTGATATCTGTAGCGTCTGGTCCAACCTCGAGAACCCAGAGTTAGATCCAGCACAGCTGGATTGCCCCGTTGAAGAGCATCCGAGCACAAAGTTTCGAGAAGACGGCCCTGAACGTTGGGCCACAGTCCGCGTGGACGGCAAGGACTGGAGCCGTGTCTTAAGTGTTGGTCGTCTAGAAGGCCGAGTAATTGCTTGTTTTGCGGATGATCATGCTTTGATCCTCTACGTCTATGTACCTCAATACGACGATGCCACAGCCGACGACTCAGTCGTGACAGTGAGTCCATGTTGCTCTCTCAACTGACCAGAACCATGCTAATGAGTATCAGTATTACGTACAGTCTTATAGCGTATAAGATAACACCGGATGGAATCTTGATCACGATTTCTTGGCGTTCAACTTGGTAGAGACAGTTCATTGTGGAGTTGGGGAAGTAATGATAGACGGTTATGGGTTGCAATATACATGGTGCATTAGGCAAGCAATTCATGCAAACCATTCTTCATCGTATTATCGTTCTGCATTGAACTCCATCTGAGTCATGATCGTATCTTGCCACTAGTATAACTTCTCTATGCTTCTTCTCATCCAAAACATTACAGCTTAACCTCCGCCCCAACAGTTTGTACAGTCGCTGATTATAGCCCCAGGCCAGCGCTTCTTCAGTTCCACTTCTCGCAAAATCACAAAAAAGGACAATACTCTATTATTAATACATTTCGATTCGTTCCTAGCACGAATCCCCATAAGAACGCCCGGAGTTGGTTTGGCAATTCAAATTCAGACGAAGAGATATTCATATTCGTCTTATTTGGCCATAACGTCAACATAGCGACCTCCCTTTCGAGCCTTCTTTTTATCGCTGGCTTTGCGGGGTGCCGCGCTGAGTAAGTCATCAATGCTGCTAGCATTGCTCATGCTCGTGGTCGGTCTACTGGGCGGCGCACTAGCATTGCTGGTGTTGGAAACCGATCGAGCCATAGCAGGTGGTGCCAGACCCAGGCTTTCTGTAGACGCTTGCTTCATCAGTTCAGGTGTGCCAGCGCGCACCTTTGGAGGCAGGAGCGGCGGCGGTGCACTGTTGCTCGTGATCAAAGGTGGAGGTGGAGTGCCTGTGGGAGGTGGAGGAGTTCCAGACACAGACCGAGGACCAGCCTTGGGCGGAGGAGGTGTGGCAGTCTTGGCTGGTGTGTTTTCAGCGCCAGGCTTCTTATTGACCCATCGCTTGAGGTCAGGATCGTAGACAAAGCTGCTGGCCTCACCCAGTTTGGCACGGATGGGCTTGCCAGGTGAAGATTCCCCGGATGAAGATGGTTCGAGAGCAGCCTTCTTGCTACCTCCGAACCAGCCACCGAAGCCCCATCCCTTCTTGGACGACTGCTGGGCAGCTGCACGCTTGGCTGCTGGTTGTTAGTGATGTATCATACAGGTCTAGAAGTACTGAACTTACCATCCTCTTCCGCGGCCTTGCGGAACATTTCCTCGTTCTCTCGGTCCTTGTCCGCCTTGGATTTCTCAGAGGATTTCATCGAGGGAAAGTCATCGTCGTCGTCGTCCATAATACTCTTCTTCTTGGGTTTAGGGGCTTCATCGTCGTTGTCTGCAATAGACTGAGGCTCGTAAGATGGTGGCTCGTATCCGTGAGGCTGGAAAGAAGGAGGTTCATATCCACCGCTGTGGGCCTCCCCGTTGTTCTTCTCGCTCTCCTGTTCAGGAGGGTTTGAAGGCATTTGAGGGGGCTCATAGCCGTAGCTGAGGGGCTGAAAGCCTTGAGCCGAAGAGTCGGCAGGATTTTCGTCACCACCCATCGGTGTAGAAGCTGGCATTCCGTATGGTTGGTATCCAGCAGGAGAGTAGCTTTGTGTGATTTGAGCAGGGGGAGCTAGACCAATGGAGCCACCGACGCCAGGGTTATTCGACTCAGGCTGAGGAATCGATGGTGTGAAACTGTCACCTTGACTTGTTGAAGTTGCACCTGGATAACCGGGCTCATATGGGTTACTTCCGAACTCCGCAGGGGTTTGTTCCATCGAGCTTCGACCAGGCGTATACTGAGATGTAGGAGAATAGGGGTTCAGGTTGGCAGCCGGTGTCATGGTCGCCGGTGCGTATTTGGATGCTGCAGCGTTTGCTGGTGGCTGAGCCGGTGTCATTCCGAAACCAGGCGATTGCTGGCCGTAGATGTCGAAGTTCGACACCGATGGTGATCGACTGAATTCTCCCGAAGGACGGGTAAACGGTCCTGCTTCTCCAGCACCTCCGGCATTGTCCTCGTTATCATCTCCAGCAACAAACTTGTTGAATCGGTTCCACATACTATCCGAGACCTTGTTCATGCTTGGCTTCGAGATCCATGAGCCACTCTCCTCCTTTGGTGCTGACTTCAGCCTTGACATAAAGTCTTCAACCGCAGTCTCAAGCACATGGTGATGATAAGGCGATCGCTTAGTTTGTGAGGACATAGCGGTCAGAATAGCATCACAATATTGCATAGCCTTGTCCCTGTGGCCATATTCGGCGAGAGTCATGGCATGCTCGAGCTTGTAAGCAGCCAAGTGAGGCGTTCCTGCTGCTGCGAGAGCTCCGCCAGCAAGCGATAAGCCATATTCATAGACTTCACTGAGCTGAAGGGCCTCAGTCTCTTTAGCAAACTGATCAGACTGCTGTCGATGATCAGCCCCAATAAGCACGAAATTTGCGTTGGGATCATCCAATCCACCAAAGATGGAAGAATGGCGACCAAAGATGAAGCAGATGTGAGCGGCTTCAGCTCGCCCATAGCTGGACAGCAAACTTCCAAGGGCGTTTAGTCCTTGAATATCATCAGTGCTTCGATTGCTCAGCACGAGCGAAAGAGTCTCGCGCCACTTGTCTAATCCATCAAGCGTATCTTTGGTAGGTCCTGGGCCTGCATCAGTAGACATGAGCTGAAGACCAGCCCGGGCGTGGACAGGAACAAGTTCATCAACACAATCCTCGAAATTGCCAGACAGAATCTTGTAAAGGGCAGCCATAGACTCATTAGCATGACCGGGGTAGTTGACTTCTTTGCGAACAAACTCTTGAGCCACACGTTTGTAAAGGTCTCCCTCGACAGTATGCGAGATCAGCATGGCATGTCCCCAAAGTCGCTTGTCAACCAGTGCCCAAACAGCCTTGTCTCGATCACCTCTCAAGAGATGGTGCCGAACCTGATCCATAGTGGACACATCGACGCCGTCAGCTTGCATTGAGGTAACAGAGGCGATTCCTGCCGCAAAGTTTCCAGCAGCAGGGAAGACCGCATCATCGCCAGTGGTTGATGGATTCTCTCCGGGAGAGAGGACATCTCGAACGGCTGCCTCCACAGCAGGTGTACCCTCCAGAGCACCATCGTTCTCAACGAAGATACGCATGATTTTCCACAGCAGCAAACGTTCCACGGCTCTCTTTGCTTCAAGAGAAAGCTGCGAATGGAAGGAAACATCCGGCAAGTCCTTTTCCAATAACTCGATTCCGGCATTGAGCCACGAAATTGTCTCCTTCTTCTTCGACTTACCCCTTAAAGGACCAGGGAATTTAGCCACATGCTCGTGAAGGGGTTCGATGTCCTTGACACTCTGAACCTTGACTTCTCCTGGCGTGCGCACAATCATGGGAACAGCCTGGTTCATGCCATATCGGGGAACACTCTTGGGGAACGAGGTAACAATAGTGCCTCCGACACCCCATGAGATGATAGGAACACCTTTCCATCGCTGGAGTTCATCGTGTTCCCGGCCATCCGTGGGGGCAATCATGTTCATAGTAATAGACTGGCCACGAGTGCGAACCGTTGAGACTCCAGCGGCCGGAGCTGCGGGGGCAGCTGGAGCATAAGGTGAGGGCGCTGGCTTTGCAGCCAATGGAGAAGGATGCGAGTGGGAGTGGGCAGACGAAGGGCGACGCGTTGAGTCTGAGGATCCTTGAGCCTGCCTGTGACCGAGAGCGGCACTTGGCGATTGGGTTTGAGCTCGAGGAGGAGGCACAAAGCCATGGTGGGCTGTTGGCGCAGCATGAGGTGCATACGGACCCGATTGTTTAGGCGGCGACAAGGTCAACTGCCCAGCATAGCTTGGGGGTGGTGGCGATGTTGGATTGTACCTCGACTCCTGGGGAGGGGGAGATAAGGTAGCGCTGACAGACCTTGTCTGGGTCTGCTGGTCATCTTCTTCATCCACCTCACGGGTTGGAGGAAGAGACGAAACGCGGCTCAACCTGGGCTCAAAGTGAGCCGTTTCAGAATGTGTCAATGGGCTTGATGTTCTTGGTTGATGTGGCAGCATTGGTGCAGGACCAGACGTTGCCACGGCTCCATACGACCCATGAGTTTTAGTAGCTGGGGGTGCGGGTGAATAGCGGCTCGCTACAGGAGCTGGCGGCGCAGTATGGCTTGTGCCCGGAGCGGGAGAGTATCGAGAAGCACTGGTCGAGGTTGGGGGTGGCATATGGTTGGCAGAAGTAGTCAGAGCAGCATACGGACTGACCCTTTCAGGCGCAACAAGACCAGCTCCTGGAACAGGCGCCTGAGTTGGAGGCTCACTATAAGGCTCGCTGGGGGGAGGAGCCATAACGGGAATCGATGGTGGAGGCATCTGGTTCGGAAACGAAGGCGCCAGTGGCGAAGGGACATGAGATGTGCGGGCCATTGGGGGCGCGTTCCTAGCAGGAGAAGCAGCCCTTTGGCTTGTTCGCGAGCTTGGTCGGGGCCTGGAAGTCATGGGCAACTCCTCGAAGAAGTTCTCTTTGTGCTGAGCACCAGAAGTTGTAGGGTTAGGGGGTCCTGCTTGTTGAGCAGGTAGCCCATGACTAGAAGAGGGAGGCGTGAGCTTGGTGGGAGGAGCCGGCATACCAACGCTCGCGCTTCTAGGCGGCGCCTGGACAGGGGCATGGGGGTGGTTAGGCTGTGAAAGCTGTTGCATGCTTGCCCTCTTGCGAGGTTTCACCACATTTGTGACAAGGTCAGTAGGGAGATCGTATGGCGAGTGATATCCTCCTTTTGACTTATCGGCGAAGCTTTGTGCCTTTGACATATCCGGCCGTACTGGAGGAGGCTGACCATATTGAGGAGTCGAACCGAAAGGAGCTGTGCCGGGCGCTGGAGAGTTGTACATGGGTGTTGGAGGAACAGCTACTCCAGGCACCTGGCTGACTGGAGCATAAGGCGATGGTGCTTGTTGGATCACTGGTGCTTGTGGCATGTAAGGATTAGGGGCCGGAGGCTGGTGTGATGCAGGGAAAGATGCAGGAGCTGGCGCGGGCGTTGAATCTGCAGCCGGCTCTTCGTCCTCTAAGAAACCCTCATCATCACTCCCAAAGAAGGCAGCAGGATCAACTTGCTTGTCTCCTCCAGCGTTATCGTCAAGAAGGAAGTCATCGTCGTCCTCGTCATCAGCAAATGCTTGCTCCCACTTTGAAGCGAGGTCTTCCTGTTTCGCAGGGGCTGGCTCAGACGCAGCAGGGGTTGATTCAGCCTGTGCTGCTTTTTCGTCTTCACTCTTGTCCTCACTATCATCCGAGTCTGAGTCGTCCTCCTCTTCCTCTTCGGGGGTACCCTCGAGCGTAGACTTCTTTGGAACAGAGCCTGCGTTCATCGAATCCAGGACTTGCATCGTCGATTTTCGTTCCAAGGTAGGGACAGGTTGCTCCTCACCCACGGGTTCAGAGCCCTGGATCTGGCTGAAAAAGTCCGCACCATCTTCGCCCTCTTCCTTGTCAAAAGGGTCAGCTGTGGGATGGTTTTCTTGGACAGCGGTCGCCTCGTTGGTTTCTTCAGCAGATTGCGGGATCAATGGAATGCCCTCTTCATATCTCTCATCAGAATCTTGACCTTCCGGGCTCTTCAAATCTCCACCTATAGATATAGACGATGAGTGACCTCTCCTTTTGGGGGCCTCTAATCCTTCTGATGCTTCCTCGTGTTGATATAGCTCCTCTTCTGCTTCTGCTTCCTTCTCTGTTTCTTCCAAGACGTCCATCGCCTGGTTGGTGGGAAGAGGTTGTTGATCTTCCGCATCGGTAGTCGAATGGGCAGGCGGAACTGGAGGGAAAGAGTTTGTTCGATCGCTGGGAGGCATAAACTTGAAAGGATCAGTATCAGTGCGGCTCAAATTCCACTCGCCCTCGTCATCGTCGCCAAAGCTAATTTCGTGGGACACTGTACGAGCAAATGACCTGGAGCTCGAGTGCTGAGATACCGGTCCCTTGGGTTGTGAAACGGCTTCAGTGTCTTCTGGCGCAGGGTCAACCTGCTCAGTGTCTACTTGCTCGGTATCCACTGGCTCAGTCTCTACTGGTTCAGTATCTGTTGGCTGAGTGCTTGCTTGCGCAGGTTCTGCTTGCTCGGGGGTGGCCTCGCTTTGTGTCTCCTCTTGCTGTGTCGGCTTGTGGACTGCATCATCGGAAGCTAACCAGTCATTGCCGTCATCATCTTCGGCCTCCTGCGAGAGCCAGGCATTGGCAGCACCGCTTTGCTCTGTTGTTTCCTGATCAGGTTGCGACGGGGCGTCTGGAGTGTCTTCTTGGGTTGTGGGTTGGCTGTGTTGCGCGAGCGTGTCTGTTGTTGATGACGTCGCAGGCGCGGGAACCTCGGTGGAGCTGTTGCTATCATCGGAATCGTTTGACATCGTGGCCAGGTCTTTCGGTTTTGGCGATTCGGAAGCCATCGCGAAGCCGATCGAGGCGTTGGCTTGTGATGAGAAAGAAATCAAATTTCAATGCCAGCAGCGACTACTTTGTGCGATCGTGTCAGCGGAACAGTTTCAGCACAAAGGGGCTACTACCGAGCTAATCTGCGTGGAGCTTGGACAGCTTCGCGACTTTCAGGGGGTAGAGGGGCTCAGCTTGTAAGTAGCAGGGGAAAGAAATAATCGCGTACTTAGTATACAAAGAAGGAAAGGAGAATCGAATGGTGTTGATTGCGATTAAAAGTCGATGTTCGCCATGTTCATCTCAGGAACGGAAGAGGCGTTGCTGTAGTTGGAAGGGAAACGTTCTGGAAGTACAGTACAGATCGCAAGTGCAAGTTGGCATGTCCGGGTCAGAAATATGGAGACCCAAATGGGCAACTGACACTGACAGTCCTAGTCCCGGCACGGAGTTGAAGGAATTGGATACCGAATCATGACTAGATCGAGAGGCGGAGCAACAGAGCTGTTCCGGTGGCTGCAACGGGCATGAGCCGTCTAAAGCTTTGTCCAACCTCTAATTATAGTGACAGAATATCAATTAGCAATATTGGCCTTGCATTCACATCAAGATGCCATATCTTGGATCTTTTATCTGGTAAACTATTATTTCAACTAAGCATACCCTGCACTGAAAGGTACCGCTATCTCCCCCCTAGATGTTAATCACTACGTGGTGATCCGCGGATTATCCGTCCCCTGTCTCAATAAGCTCTCCCCGTCAACGACTGGAATCTAGACCCCAACTATTCGCCATCTCCGAGCTTTGATTAGTATCTGCTGACCGCAGGGATCATTTCTGCCTCAGTAATCGTATCATGCTTTGGACGCGGCCAAGAAACGGCTCTTACTTACATTCTTGGTCGAATAAAGATTCCGCGAACGGGCCAACAGAATGTCATGGCATTCTTAGACCCAATGGACCTAACCTATAGCATTTCATGTTCCGGTCAAATATTTTAATGTTCAAGGGTATTACTATGGTATCTATGCTATCATTAAATAATTACTACTCTTTCTCTGTCTTGATTCTCATCTCAAAACCATGAACTAACCATCCAGAGCTTGTGCTTCACACATCTTGCGGTACAGCCCACCTTGAGCCAGCAGCTCCTGATGAGTTCCCGCCTCCGTGATCTTGCCACCAAGGAACACGCAGATCTTATCGGCATCTTTGATTGTGCTCAAACGATGGGCAACAGCAATTGTGATACGATCCCCTTCTTTTGCCGCTTCTGCAAGGGCATTTTGCACGATCTTCTCACTCTCAGTGTCGAGAGCGCTGGTGGCTTCATCAAGGAGAAGAACCTTGGGGTTGCGAATAAGTGCTCGCGCGATGGCAATTCGCTGTCTTTGACCCCCGGATAGTTGGGCCCCGTTTGAACCAGCCTGTGTATCGAGACCTTCGGGCAAAGAAGAGACAAAGTCCCAGGCGTTTGCAGCGCGAAGAGCTGCTTCAATTCGCTCATTGGGAACCGACGTGGCCGGATCATTCTTCTCAGTCTCTGGGTCATCGATGCCAAGAGCAATGTTCTCTCGTATTGTGCCCTGAAACAGAGTCGGTTCCTGCTGGACGAGACCGATGATGCGACGGTAGAGTCGGGGGTTGAGGCTGGGAAGAGTAGAGTTGTCGATGCTGATGGTGCCACTGGACGGGTCATAGAATCGTTCGAGCATGGCGACCATAGTTGACTTTCCACAACCTGAAGCACCCACCAAGGCCACAAACTGGCCTGGCTTGACGTCAAGGTCAATGCCACGGAGGACAGGAGCGTGAGGTCGAAGAGGATACGAGAAGCGTACGTTGTCCAAAACAATTGGACCTCCGGACTTGGGACCGTTGTCGCGGTTCTCAGGGGTTTCTTGAACATTGGGCTGGAGCGAGCTAAGCCAGAAGATGTAATTGGCAGCGTTGACGCCCTTGGTGATACTGGTTGAGAACTGGAAAAGTTGAGCAGAAGCCTGACCTGAGTAAAAGACACCGAGGAAAGCAACGAAGAAGTTGTACATAGAGATATCGCCATATGACAGAAGACGACAGCCGTACCAGAAACCAAGGGCTTGGAACCAATACTCGATGGATTGAGTCAAGGCGAAGAAGATCATGATTCGGAAAAGATCGTTCTTTGAACCGGCGACAGCCTCGTTCAGCTCATTGACGTACTTGTACAGAACAGACTCTTCAATAGCCAAGGAGGAAACAGTTCGGATGGCGGTGATGGCCTCAGAGGCAACGGAAGCGCTGGTAGAATATCTCTTGGAGGTATCTCGGTCCAGCTTGGCATCAAGGCGAATCTTGAAGTAACCTGAGCTGACTAGAGGAGGAAGGCCGGCACAAACAACCACCAGACCCAGCTTCCAGCTGTGGATGATAGCTAGAAGACCACAGGCAAGCAAGTTGAGAATGGCAATAAGGATAAGCGCAACGTTAAAGCCCATCAGCTCCAAGATGGACTGAGGATTGGAGTCGACGCGGCTAGCCAGGGCACCAGTGCTATTTTCTTCGCGATCGAAAAACTGGAGATCCTGTCGAAGCATGTCCTGCAAACTCTGCTTGCGAAGCTTGTGGCTAAGGAATTGAGCGATGGTATTGGTGGCATAACCGAGGACAAAGTATGATACAAGGAGACCGGCCGCGAGGACGATGAACATGCTGGCGTAGAAGTCTCCGCGGTCTCTCATTTCGTCACCGGTAAGTGTGAATACGTCCACAACATGAGCAAGTAGAATCGCTTGTCCAGGGAATGCCGCAACAGCTCCCAAGCATCCCGCAAGAACGAAGAAATACGACCATGCGACCTCGGGGCTCTCTCGAATGAGTCGGTAGATGACGTGCAAGATACCCAGTTGCTTGTGATTGTCATAGTTGCCATGCTCCTTTCCGGCCTCGAGGCGTTCCTGGACATGGGTTTCGTATTGAGTGACAGTCTTGGTCATGGCAAAGTCCTCTTTTTCCGTGTCAGGGACAGCTTCATCTTCCTCGGCTGCAGTATGGGTTGAGTCGTTATCCACGGCAAGATTCTGAATCTTGACAAGTTTTGCATAATCACCGTCTTGGGCGATCAAAGATTCATGTGAGCCTTGTTCAATGATGGCACCCTTGGACATGACAACGATGTTGTCGGCCTTGCGAATAGTTGCAAGCTTGTGGGCGATGACGATCGTTGTACGACCCTCAGATGCTTTGTCGAGAGCTCGCTGGACGACGCTCTCTGCATGAGGATCAAGAGCACTCGTAGCTTCATCGAGAAGAAGAACCTTGGGCTGCGACACGACACTGCGGGCGATTGCGACACGCTGCTTCTGACCACCAGAGAGAAGACCACCTCGTTGTCCGATCTGGGTGTTATAACCGTCAGGGAGTTCCATAACGAAGTCATGAGCAAAAGCCATCTTGGCAGCGTCCTGGATCCGCTCCATTTGATCCTCGGCGGGTGCATTCTCCCACTCAGTACCGACTAAACCGTGCTTGATGTTATCAAATACCGATCCCTCGAACAGAACGGGTTCTTGTTGGACGAGACGAACGTTGCGGCGCAACCAATTCAAGTTCAATTGGTCAATAGGGCGACCATCGAGTTTGATAGTTCCTGATTTGGGATTGTACCAGCGTTCAAGGAGACCGACAATAGTACTCTTTCCAGATCCAGACTGGCCAACCAGAGCGGTGACCTTACCAGCAGGAACATTGAGAGAGAAATTCTCGAGCACAGTGATGCCCGGTCTGGTCGGGTAAGCAAAAGAGACGTTCTCCAACTCAACGTGTCCAATAGTCTCGGAAGGAGTCTCGCCATCCTTGGAAAGAGGATCAATGGCTGATGCACGGTCGATAAGAGTGAACAGTTGAGCTGCTCCAGACATGGCACGGCTAAAGTCGATAGTATAAGGAGTGAGCTGGGTCAGTTGAACAGCGGCGATGACAACAGAAAGAAGAACTGTGAAAATAACGCCAGAGCTTTGGATCTCGCCACTTGCAAGCATACGGATACCCTGCCAGAAAGCGAGGCCAAAGCCAAGATAGATGATGGTATAATCAGCAGAGAACAAGAGACCAAACAGAATCGAGATCTTCTTTCCAACAGTATGAGCCTCCTCGAGGTGCTTGTCGAACTTGTCAACAAGTCTAGCTCGCATCTCAAAGGCGTGAATAGTTCGGACACTGGCCAGGATACCCTCGGCGAGCGAGTTGGCTTGGCCATGAATCTCCAGGATTTTCATCTCGTGAACAGCTTCCATAGTGGCAACAACAGTCATGACAATAATCATGGCCGGGGCAATACACAAACAAATGAGAGTGAGCTTCCACTGCACGATAAAGGCAACGATGAAGGCAGTAAGGAAAGCAGCAATGCCCTGGAAGAAGAGACCAAGCTTCTCGGCGATACCAGTCTGGATTAGACGACCGTTGGAAGTAGCTTGAGTGGCAACGGAACCTCCCGTGCCAAAGTCATAGTAGGCGACTTCCTGTCGAAGAGCAGCACGGAGGTACTCTTTTCGGATGTTGCGTACAATGCGGTAAGAAGAGTAGGTAAGGAAGACGTTCCAGACGTATGAGAGAACAAATCGTCCAATACCAAGGTATACAAAGTATAGTCTTGATGGTATGTTAGTGGGCGAGCATAGAAATACTGAATGAATGGAACTTACGCTAGATCCGCAACATCTTTTCGGAACTTGCTGGGTTCGGACACTCCCGAGGTGTAGTCGGTGATTATGGTGATGAACTCTCCAAAGATGAGGTTCTGGAGAGCAATACCAGCACCCGAACCTATGGCAGCAACAAGGGCGATAGCTTGCATAAGATATTCTGCAGGCCCGGCATATGTGAGAATGCGCTTCAGTGGTGTTAGTAGATCTTCGACATTAAATTCTGGCTTCAATTACCTTATAGTCACTCCACGAACCCTCGATTTCTCCTTCTTGACCTGGCGTGGAGGCGTCGCCACCTTCAGCGTCGACGACGACATCTTCAGGAGCTGAAGTAGCATCGGTACTACCAGCAACCTTTTCGTTGCTCTTCTCGTTGATACTTGAACCCATGGTGGCTTTCTAGCGACCTCAAAACGAAGTACAAGGCCTTACCTGGCGTCAGGGAACAAAGAGAATGACAGGTCCAAGAAACAAGAAAAAGGCCATTTTTACGAGCAAGGGGATGAGCGTCTTTTTGAACAAGACCTAAAGAACTTTTTGAGAACAAGAACCAGGGGGGTGGAGTGAAAGTACCGTACATGGTTAGCAGAACAGACCAGTTTAAGTGGTGATCCTTGGCATTTTAGTTTACATTTTTTATCAGATCCGCCTCAGAACTTAGTCTAAGTGGGGTTCTGATTGATAATGAATTATCTAGATCGGGGTCATATCAGGTCTGATTTTGCGATGGCGGAGGTTTAGGGCTTGACGGAGTTGTTTGATCTAGCAATTACTATCCATTCTGGTGAAGAGCTCAGTGATTGTCTACTGGTAGTGTTTCTGTAGTTCCAATAGCTGTACTCTGTACCGAGACTGAGGTTGCCTCAAGTTAATCCTTGCCCATCATCTACCTAGGGAGTAAACAGGGGTCTTTTCAGATGTCATGCCGCCTCATCGATGCTGAAGTCTTGGCTTATGATAAAGAAGCTGTACTTTAAGCCTACTCAACTCGCAAATAGAGTCATTGCTTATTTTACGAATGCGAAGTCTCAAAGCTTGTTGGTGATTACGCAAGCTGTCTTGAGAAGTGTCATGCCTACTAAAACTGCACCCAAAAGATGAGGCCATGATGGAAAGTTGCTCCGAGATTAGATGAACTTGGACCTTGATTCGATCTGATTGGCTCTTTCGGGCCTACGGTCTTCTCGGGAGCCGCACATGCCTGTCTCCACTTTATCGGTTTACATTCAACGGTTCCAATTCTCCGGATCCCGCGCGTTCCGTTTCGCTCATTCTCCATGTAAGTCATCATCCAATGCTGAGCTTGACAGACACGGCCATTCTCAAAACCGCTCTCTTTACATTGGCACTGAGTCACTGAGTCACTGAGTCACTGAGTCACTGAATCTTCGGTTACTTTATTCTCACCACCTGCATCCACACTGCGTCTTTCATTTGTACCCAGCGGTGTCCGTGATTCCCGAACCTCACATCCCCCAGCATGACTGAAGACTTTCAGAACCAGATGGACCCTGACGTTGATGCCCCAGAAGAGGGATCTGATGGGCCCCAGAATACCTCTAATTTGACTATTCGACGAGCAGTTAGTGCCATCTACACCCTAAACAGCCCTGTCCCTTCTCATCTCTATCCCCACGGCTCCTTAAAACTAACGGCTATTCTTAGTGTGATGCATGTCGAACTCGCAAGGTATGTGCATATCAGATCAATCTTATCAATCAGTCAGTCTCGGTGCAACAAGGGACCAGCCACAAAGTGGAGGCTGCTATAGTTATGACTTTGCCCCATATGCTCTCTCTCTGAAACGCATCCTCGTCCTTCTATAGTCAAATGCATAGTAACATCGCCTGTATAGATCCGATGCGATAGAAACTCGCCCTGCTCTCATTGTCTGCACGCCAAGATTCCTTGCACCCATCACGAAACTCGACCAAAGGAGAAACGCACCAGGATCCTACTCTCAGCCCAATAGTATGTTATGTTACCTCGAATCAGATCAGGGCTCCATACGCCAAATTGTCCCTGGTCCTCGTGCAGTACCTCGTGCAGTACACTAGTTGGCTGCAATACCAAAACAGATTTGCTAACCAGTGTGTGCATAACCTATAGTGAAAGAAAGATCGACATCATTGACCGTAGGCTTGAGGCACTCACGGAGCTCATGCGAGATATGAAGACCAACATGTCACCTGCAAATCCTCCCCAATCAAACCAGACTACCATTTCGCACTCTGATATTCCACGTCCATCACCAGCTCAGAGTTCAGGTTCAGCACACTATGGGCACCTTGCTCAACTGACTGCTGACAGCCCGGTTGTGGAGGGAGAATCTTCCTTGGCTGCCCATGGAGAATTCGCAACTGAGTTCATGAAAAACGCCGTTGGTACAGAGTCTCTGCAAGGCGCCAGCCTGGAGTTAAGAGAGACTCTGGATTCGCTGCATCATATTGTCAATTCGCTAAAACAACAGACCGCTGCTACGGAGATGTCTTATCCATATGCCAGATCAGTGCCTCGTCCTACATTCAAGAATGACCTGCCGCCGATTCAAACAGCTGTTGCACTTATACGGGAATGCGAAAGTGAGTGAACAACTTATTACTCACATCAGCGTGTCATACTAATCAATAATCTCCATGGTAGCTGAAAACTCAGAAATCTCAGCCTGGATAAGGGAGTTCTTTTCAATGGAGAGCTTTTCTGGAATGTGTCTACATGTCTACTTCTCAGAAGATGTCGCGGATGCTGATTTCATTCTTGTGAATATCGGTCTGATGTACATGTTCCAAGATCGTCAACAACGAGTAACCGACAAGAAGGAACATGAACAGAACGAAGAATACACAAAAGCACTCCGAGAAAACACAGAAACAGCGCTGGCCAATCTACCTTTCCATCTGCCGGCTACTTCAAACATGATCTCTGCCCTGCTACTTGGAGTATGTTATCCTGTTGCACAGTTCATCGCTCACACTGCTGACAATATTGATAGGCTTTCTATGCTATAGAAATCTCGAAGCCTTCACTGTCATGGACTTTGTCATGCAAAGCATCGGAGCTGTGTCAGACTCTGGGATACCATCGTACATCAACCATGAAGAACGACAAGCCTCGTGAGGCGCAGCGCAAACAGTTTCTCTTCTGGAACACGTACTTCATTGACAAGAGTCTCTCCCTCCGTCTTGGAAGAGCATCTACCATACAAGACTGGGACGTCACTGTGCCTCTTCCCTCCGAGAATCCCGTCAATGCTACGCCATTGTCTCCTTTTATCTCACTTTGGATCGCCACAGCTCGATGCCAAGGTCATATATATGAACTTTTGTACAGTCCTGGTTCAATGAAGGAGTCTGATGATGTAAGGAGGTTCCGCTCTCAGAAGCTAGTAGGCGACTTGCAATATATTGAGAGAAGGAGCAAAGACCTTGCTGTGAGTACCCCTAATTCTGGCCAACCTAACGTTTTCTAACACAGCATCCATAGAAGAACCGCGAAAAAGAAGTCAAGACTAAACTTGGGGAGTATTTTATAGACTTCATTCTTATATCAGATGACGTCCTCCGCTTGTCACTTCTCACCCTTGTTTATCGAGCAACGCCTGCTCCTTCGGGTTCTCGAGTAACCTTTATTCCGGAGTGCATCGAGGCTGCACGTGCAACATTACAGCGTCATCAGGACTGCATGGATCTCCTGGGACATGATAATGTGCTATACTTCCCGTCCTATGTTCACTGGTAAGCAGTCTTCCAAACGAAAGAATTCATCAAACAATACTGACGAGACCAGGACTCTCCTATTCGCTCCTTTCATCCCCTTCATTGTAGTCTTCTGTCAAGTCATTGAGACTCAAGACCAAACTGATCTCGCTCGTCTACATAACTTCTGCACGTCAGTTGAAACGACTATAACTCTATCAGACGCAGCGGCCAAAACGCACCGTCTGTTCCAAGTTCTCTATACGGTAGCACTTCGCTATATTGAATTCCGGACAACTACACCCCCTGCAGACCAGACGCAAGCAAGTGCTGAGCTCAACAACTATCTTGCAGCACTTGGCTTCCCACCAACCGGCCTTACCAATGGAGGGCAGCAACCTTCGCAGATGGATGCTACACAGGCAGGTTCTTTTTCGCAACCTTTGGGAGATATGGGAATGCTGGATGGTGCTGAAGGCCAGAGAGGAGCGAACACGATGATGTGGATGGGAAATACGGCACAGTTGGGTGAATGGTTCAATAGTAACCAGCAGATGATGGAATTGCTCGAGGAGTCCAGCTTTACTTTTCCTCAATAAAATCGACCCAGAAGGTGTTGGATACCTTTGACCACGCAATTTCCGGCTAGAATTCACGACTACAGCGTTATTTCAGATATTCCCCGTGGGTATGTGCAACGAAGATGGACAGTTATTTGTTGTCAAAACAAGATCAAGCACTTCTAACGGCAGCGTATGACAACGGGTATACTGTTTTTATTTACCGTAAGAATATACGGATATATACAAATAAATACTTCACCAAAATTTTATCCAATCTACCTTGAGAGCCTAAATTCTTCTGGCGCCCCCGAGTCTGCCACAAGCATAGGAGATCCTTCTAACTCGCCCTCTAGATTCCCATGCCTCTCAACGTCCTCTGAGGGCACTTTTTGAGGCGGAGACTTTTTGAGCATAACGACTCCAATCGCACTTCCAAGGATTAGAGTACATCCAGCGCCACTCATAAGCCCCATTCGATGCCCAAAAACCCAACGGTCGAAGCTTGCAGCGAAAAGCATGTGCGTGTAAACCATGGAGTTGGCGCGGTTTGACTTGTCTGCTCCAAGGCCTGATGTTAAGAGGTATTGCATTATGAACCCCAGGATACCCAGTGGAAGGAGGAGTGCCCATTGCTTGATAGTGGTCGGAGTAACCCATCGCAGACCTGGTTGCTGGATATCAAGAACAGGTCCGAGAATAAGCATGGTCAGGGCAATAAACGTGGAAATGACTCCAAAGTAGTTGACCGATATTAGAGGATGGGCTCGTTTCCCAATAGTTCGGAGGGTTGTAAAGGCGCCCGCTGCGCCAAAAACACCTAACAAAGCCACGGCCACGGCTATCAAACGTTCCTCGGGAGTGGCTTCGTGGTCAGCGCCGGGTATGCCTCCTGACTCTGGTGGTTCAGTCGTCGAAGTATCATCATTGTCAGAGTGGGAGAACAAAGTGGTAGGTCGAGCAATCAGCACAACACCGAGAAGAGCAACAAACGTCGCGAGCTGTTCAATTCGAGTGAAGGGCTCACGAAGAGCGAACCAGCAGATTAAGCCAGCAACACCTGGCGCAAGGAAGGTAATAACAGTGGCATCAGCGAGAGGGATATACATCATCGAATACCAAACGCCATAAATACCCCAGAAACCACATGCTCCGCGCAACCACAGCAGCCATCGAATTTCCTTCTTGCCAAATGGGAAATCTGGCGTCTTGTTCCACCACATATAAGTTGTACAGCAAAGCGCAGTTATCGAATGTCTCATGAGTAAAGCCTGGACAGGATGCATGCCATCGCCTTCGAGCTCGACCAAGCGAGCGCTTAGGTTCATCAGAGCTCCGAAGAATTGGGACAGGGCGACATAAGCAGCAGGTTTGTTCTTAATCCAAAACTGTTTCCACTTCGACGGTGGAGCTTCGGTTGGTAAATCGGTCGCATTATGTGAGAATTGTCTTAGGGGGACTGGCGATGGGCAAGGTGATGGAATTGGAGATAAACGACGGAAGTCGTCAAAGCTCGTGCTGTCAGCTTTTGAGGGCATCAAATTAGGTGACGCAGACGGCGGCAATAAGTGCTGATGTGATTCATGAGAGCCTTCGGGCATCAATTTATCCCCGGGAGTCTGAGAGACATGCTCATATGGTGGAGGAGTCTTGTCCATTGCGACTTAGATAATAACGAGGATCTACTGCTCTTCCATGGAGCTGTTACAAACTCACAATAGAATACTGCACATCAAAAGAAGAAGAGAGAAAGAGTCACAGTTCAAAGCGAAATAGGATATAATCGGATCTTACAAATAGGAAACGTCCCCCGGGATCGACAACCCCAGGGCGATAACCATTGAGAGCCAACCATTATGCAGGCGAAACCCACCGAAACGATCATGGATCCTCTTTTCGTCTTCTCTTTTCAAGTTTACCAGTCATTGAGCCAACGGGAGTGAGTTTCTTGCAGTGGGGGCGGAGCCCAAGTCTAACCCCCAGCAAGAGTTTCTTAGACCCTTGATGACGAGGACAACATGTGTGAAGTGTGTGTGATAGTGCGAACTAGCTAGAGTCTGAAAAACAGGTCCATTCACTCAGGAACTTCTCGTTCTTGGTAAACCAGGAGACTGCTGGGGTTACGAGAACAGTGTTGTATTGCTGATAGTCACACGACCAGCAACGGTTACAGTGGCGAGGGCCTCAGAAAAAATTGTTCGGCGCTTAGAAGACGATGAAGAAGCGAGAAGTCACGACCTGCATCTTCTCGCTCTTGGCCCTGCAACTAACGTTAGAAGAGTCCGACTTCGGTGTCGGTGTCGGTATAAGTTGGCCGAGGTTGAAGATGCCCGTTGCAGTCGAGAGTGGGGCCGGAAATAGCGGAACGTTTCCATCCGCGAATCTTAAACAATGGATCGATGAAAGATTGATCACGCCTCAATAACTAGAGGAGATATGTAGAGTAACAGATGTAGATAAAGTAGGTTAGGTATGTTCCATAGTTAGCTCTGTATGGATATTCAATTGTTCGAGAACGAAAAAGAGTAACTCTTGACATCTATATTGGTACAGGGTGATACTAGGTACATACAACGAACAAATGCACTAGGTTTTGAGAAGACTTACACTTCTCATGATTTCGAATCATTTTGCGGTTTCTGAATTTGATGGTTTTGTTGTGTTTGACTAGCATCTATTCAATCGATAGATTCTCAATCAGCAAGTTAGATGACCTCCTCATCGTGCATATGTTTATCTCGTTTCCACGTTATCCTAAGTAAGGTGTCCCATTGAACAACATGCACAGCTGAGAAAAGTTGTCAAACTCCTCCAAAGCCACATCGACAATATACATAGGCTGACTTCAATTATTCTTATTTACTCGCATCAAATCCTGATAGGGCACACATAAAGCATCCATTGGTAGCCTCAGGTGGCTGCGAAAGACAGAGACAACTTGCCTTGGATCAGCTGTGGCGGGCTGCTTCAGAATCGATGCTCAAGCATTCATGCTCCTAAGAGGCGGTAATGATGAGTTAATATCAGAGCGAACCAGTCACTTCAAGTCCGTCCTAGACAGTTCAGTGTTGAAACACACCGCTGTAAGCCTGCAGCAGAGTGAACACAAAACAGTTAACAGCAGAATCAAACGAAAACACCAATAGCAAACAAGCAAGTTGGCTTGCCGCTTTAGAGTCTTCCATGCAGGCTACCATAGTAAATCGCCACAAGATGGATTATTGCAATCTAACTTCTGACTCTGTGTGCCAAATCCTAACTCCAGTCCTATGCATGTGCCATAGTAAGTCCCATAAACGCCTGAACCCAACCATGTCCTGTGTTTCTTCAGAACGCCATAAGTGCATCAAAACGAGGTTTTCTGATAGTCTTGTCATGTCCAAAAGGTCTATCAGCGCTTCTTACCCAACGCATCAAGCTCAGCCTCAGCATCATCGTCAGCCTCACCCAGCTCCTCTTCCGCTCTCGATGCCGCAGACGCAGCAGCAGCAGCAGCAGCATTACTTCCAGAGCCTCCAGCTCTCGTATCGGGTTTTTCTTTCTTCTTCTCCTCGTCTGCAGCGTCCTTCATAATCTCGTCCTCTCCGTCGCGCAGAATTTCTCGGGCCTTCTTGATCTCCTTCTGCTTTTCAAATACCTCTTGGACCTTTCCGAGGAACGCGGGATTCTTACGGAACGCGAACTCGAAGTCTTCGTATTTTATCTTTTGGCGGCCAGAGTAGTTAGCTGCTCGTGTCGCTTCGAAAGCGATGGACTGCATGAAGTCTGTAAGGATCTCGTCGAGAACGCGGACAGTTTCGGGGAGTGGGTTTTGAACATCGCCGTGTGCGTAGAGAAGCTGTGCCACTGGTTTAAGAGTCAGCATCAATGTGACGGTTCAAGATGGAGGGAGATGTACGCTCTGCATGGCTGAAGTTCATCTTTCCGACATTCTTGCCGGCACGCGCTCTGGGCTCCATGTTGAATGTGGTTATTGGCGCTTGCGCGCTTCCAAAGTATAGATACGAAAGAAAGAGTAGTCGCTCAATTAAAAGGATGAATGTTTATGATTAGTGTTTTGAAGAACCAAAGAAGCACAGCCTTGCGGTAGGCATGTAGTTGAAATACCGAGAGCAGATTCAGGTGCTCAGCGCAGCCTTGCGACTGAATGTTAGAGGCTCAGTCCGGGGTCTCTTCAGTGGGGTTAGCATTTTTGTGGGGGTTCAATCCAGGTACGTCACCCCTGGAGTTCAACACGTCGCGGCTCCGGCGAATCTTTACCCCTAAGCACACCTGTCGCATGTGAGAAGACACAAGGACGAATCGATAAGGCAACGTCGAGCTCAACGTCGAGACCTACGAACGAAATATCCGACTGGAAACACTTATTTACACACACGACCAGCTTCTCGGGCCGCCAAAATGGTACATAAATTGCTCGTTCGTTGTTGAATCTACATACTAACCAATCTAGTCCGCCCTCTTCAACTTCCAATCCCTTCTACTTGTCCTCCTGCTGCTCATATGCACGAGCGCATACGTTCACCACTTTACACCAGGCATCATGGACCGAAATAAGAACGGGTACGGAATGCGACAACTCCCGGAATGTGCGACGAGGCTGACACGATGGTAGATTCATGGGCATCTTCTGGAAATGCGCGAGGATAGGCGAAAGATTGAGTCCATACATAAGTATATGCTGTGTCCTCATGGCCGTACGTCCAAGTTCTCTTCCTGGTTCGTCGACCTGACTAACAGTGGGATATAGGTTTCCATCCTCCTCAACTAAACCACATATTCACAACGACACGTTTTTGTTTTTATTAAAGATATCACGACAGGTTAGGAGTTGGACTGGGAGAGGGGAAAGAAACCACCAAGCGGAGTTGGCGCTGTCTGTCACGTACCTGTGCAAACCTTCGGGTTATGATCATGAATTAATTCGCCTTTGCTCTTCGCAAGATATACTCTGCCTGTCCTTGAGCGATGCGGCTTCCTGCACCATCTGGAAGCGTGCTTGCGTTACACCCCCCAGGAATTTTACCACGCAAACCGGTAGCCTTGAAACATGGAGGAAACTATGGTCCCAGTACCCGAAGTGGGATATTCCCCTTCTCTCGGGGAAGTATCGCAGGAAGTGACACGAGGTGACACCAGAATGTGATGATATCTGAAAGGAGAACAGCCGCATGCTGAAACCCGGTAGAGATGGACGCCCCAACCTGGAATATAAGCTTTCAGGATGTGATAGTCGACGGCTCAGTCGTCGGATGCCACAATCGGATATCAGCTCTACAATGTCGCTCAGCAGGAGAGCACCGTATTCAGTCCTTCCAAACAGGTATCCGTGCTGATATCACAAGCGTTTATCTCCTAACCTAGAGACAAAGACACCGAAATTAAGGACATGCAGCCCATGCACAACACCATATACAGAACTGTCTGCCGCAATCCTGCGAGAAGCCGTGCATAGTTCAGCTAGTTTTGCACATTGTTGAGGGATGCCACATTCGCCGTGATAAAATTGCAACATGCATAGGTACGGGGCAAGTCCGTAAACAACCTTTACCTTTCTCATCTCTGGCTGCTGGCTCTGAACCCTTTCCATCTTACAAAAAGCAAAAAGAATATGTGATTGGCGCAGGGAAAGGGAACACGGGACAGTAGGCAGGTCCAGAATCCGGGGTTAAGACTGGCCAATTTGTTGGGAGCTATTGAGCCGTGTTGAAAATGATTATTCCCGTCTATGTAAAGAGTGTATGGCTGGTATGTTTACTTATTAACGTTAGCTAGAAACGACGATCTGAGTCCAAGCACGCAGTTTTAAGACACAAAAACAAGCAGATGTCACAGTAACACACGCACGCGCAGTTGAAAGGCGGGTCACCTATCATTGATCAGTCATTTGCAGGAGTCTGATAAGCCTGGCGTCGTCATGTGTGTGCGACAAAGGCGTAATATCCTCGCATGAATACGATAAGCACGGTTAACCTCCTACCTGCGCATAAGAAAATAAAACAAAACAAAACAAAGTAGAGCTGAGTAGAGCCCAGACAGATGGTGTGTTGACCTGAACAGGTGCCCGTAATTGAATGTATGGATTGCACTGCACTGTACCATGCCCAAAATGCGTCTTCCGCCGTTCCTTGCTTCTAAATCTTGGCCCTAGAATTAGAATTAGAATTAATACCAGTCACTATTATCGCCGTCCACTATCGTGGATCTGCTCCGGCCCCGAGCTTCTAGCCCCGAACTCGGCCTGAAGCTTGAGGTGGCCCCCAGTCTGACTCGTTGCGACACCACCTGCTTGATCCGTAAAATGAGTTGCAATTCGAAACCACCACAGCTGCATTCGAAATGAAACTCCATTCTAAAGCTAGGCGCCTTCAAGTATAAGTTTGGGAGAGGCCCCCGAAGGAGAATAAAAAAAGGGGACAAGGCTCCGATATACGAAACGAAGTAGCGGGGATCAGCTAGTACAGTACTGTACAGTAACTATAATACATGCTACGCAGTAATTAGTTGACAGGTGGGATGTCTGGTGTGGTTGGCGTGGACGATCGATGGATCCAAGGACTGCATATGCAAGGCGAATCTAGGTGATTCGAGACGATGATAAGACATCTTGACACCCAAGAGTAGAGTTATAGAGGGAGGGATTCTTGTCATGAAGCCAAGTCGGAAGTCAGGGACTAGGTCTAGGTCTTGGTAGGCACACAGCCAGTGGCAACCAACCTGTCCCTGATTCAAATCCATCGTCTCCGTCTTGTTGCCCTGCTTCCCGTCTCGTCGAACGAGCATCATGTCCATGGCAATGACTAGGAAACCAACATGCCTGCCTGCCTACTGTACTAAAGAAATCCATACCAACAAAAGGTCCAGTGGCACAAAACACACCGTACAAAGTCAATGAATCGTTGGGTTTAGGGTTAGAGAGTTCTTCGCCTTGCATGGCACTATTGACCATACCGCCCCAGCTGGTCTCCTCCCCAAAAGTCAGCCAACATTTTTGGGTTTTGTTTAACTAAAAGGTGAGGGACAAACAACCTTTATGTTAGTGTATGGGCAATTTTCTTACCCGCGTGATCATTTGTCATGGGCGCTTGTCAGGCCGCCTCGACTGCTTGCGGTTACACGAGATAAAACAAATCGATTGTAGCGGTAACTCGCAAACCCGAGGGTCAGTGAGGGGAAAGTTACTTTCTTTACTGTGGCATGTATGCGATGGTTGCAGCCTCGCCATGTCCGATGTCCGATGTGGTGGTTTCGGACCTGAACGGACGGACGGTACGTGACACAAAGAAAGGAATCCGCCGCATGGGCAAGGTGAGCTGAACTGGACCTGGACCTGGATCTGGGGCGAAGCGGCTGCCGCTGATGGATGACTGTACGTTCCTGAATAATTATAGAGTTGTCTTTACGAAAAGCATTCCAATAAGAGACGGCATCTCCGACTCGGGTTTGGCGTTGGAATCCTGCCATGAATAAGATTTGACGTTAGCCATGTGGAAATGAACTGAACAGAACACCGTCTTTTGCGTTGCGTCGATTAGGGTGTTGCAACATGCTGTGCTTGGCAGTCTAGTCTGCTGATTGAACGACCTCATCGACCACTCGACAAACACCAAATTGCGGTTCGTGCAATACGTCGAGGTGCCATCGGTTCAGCCACAACTCGTTACACCAAGCATGGCAGCGTTGCGACTGCGACTGCGACTGCGATTGCGGTTACGGCGGTGAAAGAATCCCATCCGCATTAATAGCTTTGCAGAATCTTGGGCAGAACAGCATTAGAGCCAAGTTTTGGGCTGTGATTCAAACACGGGTGCATTGATGCGTTGGCCACTTCGTGTCCTGACGGATGGTGATGTGGTTCCACACCGATGGTGTTTTGCAAATTGATGCTTGGTATTTTATGAGTGACATATCCTTTCTTTCCTGGTTGTTATCAATCCTGACTCATATGTACTGAGCTTTGTTGGACGCTATTGCAGGGTGGGCAAATAGCAGCCCAAGCGTATGAGTGAGAATAGAAACTACCCAAGACTTGGCAATTGACAGGGCTGGCACATTCTTGTCGAGAGAGATGAACCCATCATCTCTTTTGTTGAACTGATGCATGCTCCCTGTTCTACCCTGTCTGACCAGGAATTGAAGAGGTCCGCCCTCAAGATCCTACATAACACTTAGGTAGTAGTGCTGCCAAACACACCACTACGACACCACTACCATTCGACGCTGCTGCACCTCCAGGGCCTGCACGCATGGACATTCTGGCAGGTGCAGGTGCTGAGCCTCTATCGAAATGGCCGAAGCGTGAACGAACCCCGGTCGCTCGCCCTGAATAGAATCTGTTAGTCTTGGTAGTTGGGTTGCTATATTCAAGGTTCCCAAGATATTATCATATTGTGAACATCCACCAATCCAATTCTTTGTACAAAACATTCAAGGGTCCCGAGGCTATTGTACTCTGCCAGACAAGGGGCATGCTTGTACTGTACGGAGTACCAAAGAGAGATTAGATAGGCAAAAGCATCCCAGTACCACCAGGCTGGGATGCACTATCAGTGTTACTGACCAATTAGCAAGTACGAAATTGGCGAAATGTCCTTCGCCTTGAACTGGTCGGTCATTGTGTATTGAAAGGCCTGGAGAAGGCTGTAACAACGTACGGGCAGGACGGAGTACGGATACAACCTCATATCCACTCGCGAGCGCCTCGGCAAACTTGTGTTTTGTGTGAGACTCACCTGCTGCATTGCAGAATGACACGACTGAGTGACTGCATCGATACAAGTCACCGCTCCTTACCCAGTACATGCCACGCTCTTCGTTATATGTCTGTGGCGAGACGCAGACGAGAATTTTCGATGAGCATTCTGCAATACAAGCAGCTTTTGTGGTGGCGGTAATCGACGAGGCCAGTCCTGTACTGTACAGTACAATCGAGGAAAATACACTACTCTTTGACCGAGGCTCAGTATGCAACTGTCGTCACAACACTGCCACGAGAAACATGATTTTCCATTGAGAGTCAGTCAGCATTTGGATTGCATTGCTTTGTTGGCTTCTGGGCCAGCGAGAGTTGCAGGACGACTCGTAGTGGCCGATGCTGGGGCGGCTCATTAGTCGCGCAGGGACTCCGCTGAAATCTGCACGCTTCTGGTCCGTTTCTAGATCAGCAGCGGCGGCGGATGGATCTTTCTGCGACCCCCCGAGGTGTGCTAGTGCGATGAGATGACGATGGTGGTCCCTGGGAAATGGATGCCCTTGGCCCTGGGCCGTCCCTTGTTGGGGTTATTGTTGGCGCCAGTACGGTACGGATACTCGGTTCTGTACAATATGGTACCCTCTCTGAGCGTGGCATGTCAGCCATGTACTGTGCAAAATGTCCTTCATTGGTCCCGAGTAAGTGAGATCCCCTGGATCGGTGGACGAATCGGCAGGCCAAGTTTGTTGTTCCCTGACCTGTTTGGGTCAAATGTTCCTGGAATTCGATCCGCCTTCGGCAAGTCGTAGCTGACCCTGTTTTATAACGTACGTATTTTGTTTATTTTTGTCGATGTCGCAAGATGAAGACTGCAGTGTCATGCTAGTTTCAATTTTGTGAGGTTTGCAGTATTAAGTTTTTAGAAAGTGTATTGCCTTGCATCCGAACAATTCAAGGGTGAAATGGATTAGGATTAGAATTTGGCAAGCAGGGCAGCCTGAGGATCACATCCTGTAAGGGAAGGAGCCGTTTTTTTTCTGCTGCCCCTACAGAATGGAAAGTGCCATCCACCCACAATCAGCGTCACTGCCAACCTTCAATGCCCATCTCCATCTCCAGGCCCAGTACAGGCTTTACAGGGCATCTTCATCTCCATTTCATCCCGCGGATCCCATAAATGACATCCATGACAAAACCCACTCCCTACATCGACTGGTCTTGATCACGCACTGTCCACAGTCTGTGGAGTCGTTTATATGTCGCTACTACAGTATCAGTACATTGCAGCAGTTATGGTACGGATACAACGCTTCTCGCCATGACCATCAATTGTCGAGGCGGCAAGTATCGTAATAGAGTACAGTATGAAAACATAGCAGTGTTAGTCATTTGCAGGCAAAGAAATCTCATCAGACAAAGGAAGATCGATCACGGAGAGTGTGTGGCTCGTGATACCCCCTTTAGACTGAGTCAGGTAGCGTCTGACCTTTGCTTCCTTACTCATCTAACAGAGACGAGCAGGCGAGGCACCGAGACGATGGCAACAACAGGCTCAGACAGTCAGACTCAAAACAGCAGAGGGTCACGCTGTCGCTGCAGTGTTAAGATTACGCTCCAGTCCTCACCAACATGTTCTGACTTTGGGCACAGGCTGGATTGAATGAATGAATGCATGCCACTCACTGTCTGGCCTACACAATCAAGCCCAATGGCGCTGCTCATCGCCGAACGCCCAATTGAATATGTCAAAACTATCTTTATTGATCCATACGTCGATTTCGTTCTCGAATCAACTTCAGTGCATCGACAGTTAAACCCTTTTTCAACTACACTACGATATGCACTCATTGAATAGAACTCACGATACGGATACTGTCTACATGGCCACCACCCAGCTTGCAGGACACTTAATTACAGCCTGGTACCGAGATACATTAGTGTACATCAGGTTGGCGTCCTTCACTTACCAGTGGTCCATTCCAGCATCTATACTATTCGCACACCCTACTTCGGACGCCACCCTCCCCATGTAGGGCCCTTCCACGCCGGCTTGGAGCAGCTGGGATACTGGGGTGAAGACATTACGGAGTAGAGTTAGCCGATTTTTGCCTCGTTCTAGGCACATTACTGTACATACGGCCTACACGGGCTCTCTGCATCCATGGCGTTCCGCCCACCGCCATACCCAGCCAGGCCCATCCCACGCGATGCCGCGCTTGGCCCCTAAAATTTCCAAGCAAAGGAAAAGCTTTTGCTCTGACTCGGTATGGAGACTTTCTGAGTTGGTCTGGTGGGAAAAAACGTGTCTCAAAGAGGCCATCAGAGGAGGAAGTACAGTAGACTCCCACTAGCCTGGTCTCGTCTGTCTAAGTGCCACACACCAACCCAGACTCTATCCACATATCAAATATCCCAGTCTCCCATCACTGTCGTCCCCTTTTCTTTCCTTCCTCCCTTCTTCTTGATCTGTTTTCTATTTCTGTCTTATCATACCAAGAACCTATCAACCTGCCTGAGGCTAGGAGCGTTGAATACACCCTTAATCTTTACTTTTCAAGGTTTTTGTTTTGCTAGAATACTGTCAACATCAGTTGGACGTTCCCCTACTTCATTTACTCGACGCAAGCACCCGCAAGACGATTGGTCACGTACAAAGACGACAGTATACACAACCGAGACGAACTGCGAAGCAACCCACCAGGAGGAACAGTGACGGTGAAGGGAAAAGGGTTACAGCATATACTGTCACACAGCCGCGATACTTGGTGCACACAAACAGTCACTGTCCGCTCCAAGCTCATACGATCCTTGTAAGTCGACCGCAACACCTCAGCATTGCATACGGCCTTGGAACGAAAACAATCGAAGTTCCGCCTGGACTTGATGCTGGTACACAGCATTCGGTGGAGGAATAGTTCCCCATCAAGTGTCCTGCAGCTGGCCGTACGCTCGTGACTGATCTGGCTGCGCCCCTCATGTTCACAAGATGCCTTTTGTTGATGGGATACGAAATGACTAACAGCTACTCGAACAGTTTGGTGAACTAAATAAACCAGATCTCTTTGATTCCTGGGTACCACCATCTCGAACTTTAATACGAGCAACTGAATCAATCACTCGATACTCGGAACAGCCACAAACAACAAGATGGCGTCAGATCAAGGATTTGGAGGCCCAGTTGAACGGTCAAGGCGGAGTTTGTCAACATCAGGTCCCGGGCCTAACGGTGAAGGCGAGACGAGACCAGAGAAGGAGACAACCAGAAAACCATCAACCGACGAAAAGGACGAGGCCACGCAATCATCACAAGTCTTACCACGCGGGTATGACAATGTCTCTAATGCACCAGCCCCAGTGGCAGCACCACTCTCACGAAACCCTTCCGAAATGTCAACAACTTCAACCACATCAAGTCCAGGACCTGACAGCAGGAGGTCTCCTGCCCCAAGCCAACCGCTTGAGCCTCCTGTGACAAAATCAAGTCTTGGTGAACTTGAGGTTTCCAAGATCATCAACAACCCCAAGTTAAGGCACGACATCAACTTCGATCCTGAACTACACTTCAGACCCAACGTTGAAGGTGACAAGGGACGAAGAAAGCATGATCGTGCCAGCATCTTCTGGATGACCCTCAAGGAGGAGCTCCTCGAATTTATCGTGGACAGAGACAGTTTCTACGCAAAGCACGGCACAGGCGACGACTGGTGCTTACCAAAGCTTCTCAAGTCTGTGAAGGAAATCATCCAAACCCTGGTTCCCCAGCGTGATCGACAATTCCTCGACGAGGGTCTCAACGTGGAACTTCTAATGCAACAGTTTCACCGCGGAATCGCCGATCTTGAGAAGCTTGCTTCGTGGCTCTCGAGCGTTCTTAAATCTCACTGCGCACCAATGCGAGATGAGTGGGTTGATTCTATGTACAAGCAGCTCAGCAACGGCAACAGCAACAATGATGTCGAGGAGCTTGTCAATGGCATGCGAAGCTTGCTTAGCGTTCTTGAGGCAATGAAGTTGGATGTCGCAAACCACCAGATCCGCTGTCTTCGACCGGCTCTCATTGAAGAGACAACCGCATTTGAACAAAAATTCTTGATGAAGAAGCTGCGAAACCGCAAGATGGATATTGGCGATGCTAAACCATGGTACCAGGAGGCTGCCAGAACCTATCCCAGTGGCTCCGGTAAGATGTCATCTCACTTTGGAGATATGGGCGTCTTTTTCGAGGGACTCTCGCGATCAATGCTGCCTTCTGCTGGCGAGAAGCCTCTGCCTGGCACATTCTTCTTTGACGAGGATCGACTAGGCCGTGTCCGATCTGATATCCTCGATGCCATCAACTTGGATGTCTGTATGCGCATGTATGAAGATCTCGAGCGGGTGTCACGGTTGAATTCACCTCCTGCTTGCCTCAGCGCTGTCCCAGACGATCATGAGTTCAACTTCAACACGCCACCCTCTTCGAACTCACGACCTTCAAGTGTTGCCCTTAGCTCTACAGGCTCGAGCTCATCATCACCACGATCGTCCCTAGTTTTCCCTTCATACCTGACCTCAGATACCAACGAGTCAAAATCCAAGGCTCGAAACCTTCGCGATACCCTAGTAGCCCTTCTTCAACAAGCGCCTCATGATCTTCACCACCACGACCGATGGCGAGCAATGGCCCCGTCTCTGGCCCTGCAGATTTTCCGTTTCACCAATGCACCCATGGATATGCTTGCAAGTTTCGAGGAGAAGCTGACCGAGAACGTTTGCCGTATCTCATCTCCCATTTACCAAGAGATGGAGGAGGCATACCGTCATCGACTTGTCACTGAGCTTGCTACTCGTGTCCGCTACTTCAAGTCACTATCCGGTGTTTGCCTGTTCTCGATTGCCACCGGCAACCGTGTGCCAGCCAGCAGCCGCAGCTTGGATGCAGGACGAGACCGAGATTTGGATGCAGCTATCCGCATGGGCCAGCAGGAAGGCGGCATTGAAGATATTGCAACCCGTATTGCTCACGTTGGCGTTGTTCACTGGAGGATATGGGCTCGCATGGCATATGTCGACGAGGATGACATGTCTTTGGACTAGTCAAACCGAGCAGAGCAACCCCGTGTATCACTTCGTACCACTTCGTTATACCCCATTTACCACCTTTTTAATGTCGATACATGCATGGTTACTTGCACAATATCCGGCTTGGCTTGTGGACATAACATAATACAGCCGGGACTCGATAACTATTCTTGGCTGGACCGGAACCAACCCAAATCAGTCGATTTGGCATCGCAAAATTCATACATCGAGGCTTTGCCATTGGCACTAAGCTTCTGCATGGGGTGGCGGATCTATCCCCAATCATTTTCTTGCGTCATCTGCGTCATGCTTTTAACAGGAGTTTATTTGTCTTTGCGAGGACGGGCATATGTAGCCCTTTGATTTCACGTAACGGCGCATTTGGTGTTGAGCCATTCGCCAGTACACTCGTGCCTCTTTCAGGGTGCCATGTTGTACTGGGAAGCGTATGGTTTTGTTTTTGGCTTCAGTGTACAAACTTGGGCGGCTCACTTCGCATTTAGATCAGGCGCACAGATTTGAACTCATATACCGGATATTCTTTCTGTACATACACGGCGCAATAAGTGGCATAGATTAGACAAAGAAAGACTAGAAGAGATTTAACTTATTCTCATTCCACCCTCTATGTCTGTGATTTGCTTGCCCGGGTGACTGCATCTATGTATCCTTGTTAAGCTTGGTATTATGTTACACTGAAATGCGGTGTAAGTTGAGATGTGAATTATCGATGTCCTCAGTGGTGGTCGTACCTCGAAATGACTAGAGTTGTCTTTTTTCGATCCAGTCGGCCAATGTCTTTCACTGTCCAATCTGTCACTGACCGAGAAGTTGGGCATGCTGAGCCTGAGACTAGGCTGCTGACCACCCAGTGCATAACTCGTGACTGTCGCCATGTGTCTCCTCTGTTAAATCCAATTTACCGTCGAACTGGCAACCTCACAGGTGAGCTGACTAATACGGCAGCCAGACTCGGTGTAAACTCGAACAAACCTCTATAGTGAACAAGTTACAAAAGTGCTAAAGTAACTTGAGTGTTTGCGCCTCGATTGTACGGGCGTTTTCTCAGTAGGGTTTTGTGTTGCTGAAAAAGGTTTGTATAGGCTTAACGGTTTGGTCGGCGAAAACCGTTGGAGTCAAGATTCTAGAATCCGAAATGGAAAAGAGAGGAAAACTTTAAAGACAAAGGAACATATCACAATGTGTATGAGTTATTGACGAGTATTTCCTTCGAGAGTGTATAGACGGCGTGAAGGCCACTCATGGAGGCTGAGTCATCGATCATGGCAAACTTCTTCTCTTGCCCATTCAAAGTCAAAACCAGAAGCTGCTTGCGGGGAGGTAATGACTAAACGATTATCATCAGGGCTAAAGTTTGTAACTCGCCGGAACTCACATTGTAATAACTGTCATACGAGCTGATGTAAACTCTACCTGCCTTTACGAAGAACCTATCATTAACCTTTCGGGCTTGTATCATGAAGAAATTCTTACTGTAAAACCTGTGGTGACTTAATTTGACCTTGAATTACGCCATGGCATCTATTCTTGAATACGTTGACGTGGTAATGAGGAGTCGCCGATGTGTAAGTGTTGAAGGAACAAAGTATATCAAAGAGTTAAGTTTTATGTCTCTTTTCTTATTTTACGTCAAAACATGATCCTTCTTCGTACCATGAAACCAATTTCCTCTCTTGCACTTTTTGTGATTAAAAGTTTGCGATTTTGTGTCTGTGATTTAGATAATGGGCGCAAACTCTATGTGAAGCATATCGGTTGGGCTGTATCTTATAACACTTCGCAGTTCTGTGTGATCACCACTATTGAAAGATATGATACTAGATTATTGGTATAGTAGCCTTGTGATAATAAGTTAATATTGCTTTCTGTCATCTGACATGCTTATTTAAAAGTCCCATCAACGACCCTATTCACAAGATCCTCCCAATATATCGCTAGCAAAATAAAACCGCATATCACCCCAGCATCTATAGGCGAGAACCTTCTTTTTGGTTCTCATTTTTGGAATCATTGATTCATCCTTCACATAAAACTCCTCAAATGCATATGCGCCTAACAAATACAGCATCCACTCTCAGCCCCATTCATCCGACCGATGCTTCTAAAGTAAAATAAACTGAGAACGTTTGTGTTGAAGCCAGACCACGTAGAAGATTAGTGACAATGGCCCTCAAGAAAGAAAATATTGTACATCGTGAAACATGGCGCTAGGCTTGGTGTCAATCTTGCCTCAAAGTTTGACACTCACGGCTTCTCCTCTCCCTAGTTGAGTCATTGAGGACTTGAAGGTACTTTGGTCGGCGTTTGAATGCGCTTTAATTTGGCAAGCTCTTCTTCAAGCTGGCGGGTTCGAGCACGCTCCTCCTGTTGACACTTGTTAGCATTGTTGTCATACATCTTGCAGGGTTAGAGCATGGGCCTACCTTGATATTCTCCTGGAACTTCTTTCTCTCCTCACGCATGGTAGCTCTGAATTGCTCGCTCAGCATGGAAGCACCTCTGCCGACTCCGCCGTTTGGTGGGATTGCCTTAAGACGCTCGCTGTCGAGGTCTTCCTGAAGCTTAGTGATATGCTCGCGAGCCTTCTCCATGTCTGCCTCAAGCTGTTTGCGCAACGACGTGACTTCGCCTTCAAGCTGCCTTCTCACAACCTGAACATCTTGAAGCTTGTTCTCAAGCTCGATCTTCTCCCGTTCAGCACTAAGAGTCTCCTTCGTGACATCCTCGAGTTCTTGAACAGTTCCAGCCAGTTCATTCTTGAGCCTTGTGAGCTGGTTCTGGAGCTTCATCACCTCGCCGCTGGTCTTGATCGCTGCCACGTCGGCAGCCCTCTCTGCACGGGACCCGTAAGCACCATCTAGTTCAGCCTGAGCAATGGTGAGCTCTGTCTTTGTCTCCACAAAGTTCATATTGAGAAGTTCAAGCTCATCCTCCTTCTCTTTGAGCTGTTTCTTCTTGGCTACCAACTCCTCTTTCTGACCATCGACTCGTTGTTGCAGGGACCTGGCGTTATCCTCGGCCATTTGCTTGGATCGGTTGACTTCATCGAGCTGCGCGTTGAGAGCATCAATTACTGAATCGACACCAGTCAACTGGTTACGAGTATTATTGGTGGAAGATTCGGCAGCGACCAGTCTCTCTTCAAGCTGTTTGACATCAGCCTCAAGAGCCGTGATCTTGTTGTTTCGCTCCTCGAGCTGGGCTTGAGCGGCTCCTGCAGCACCTGCAGCGCCCACGAGGTCTGTTTGGAGCAACTCCATATCAGCCTCGAGACGAGCGACCTTGGCATTTCGCTCCTCAAGGCGAGCTTCAACATCATTGGTCTTCTCCAGCTCAGCCTTGAGAGTGGCGATGGTAGCAGTGTGCACCTCAACCTGATCCCTGAAAGTATTGGCTTCCTGTGCCTCGGTATGAAGGGCGGCAATCTTGGCATCGCGCTCCTCAATCTGAGCGTGAGCAGCATTAGCTTGTTCAAGCTCAGCCTGGAGGACAGCAATCTTCTTGTTGCGCTCTTCGACCTCGCTCTGAGCTGTCTCAAGGTAGGCCAACTCGGACTCGAGAGCGGTGATTTTGCTCTCTCGGTCGTCGATTTGAGACCGCGCTGCGGCTGCGGCAGTTGTTGCATCAGCAAGATCAGATCGGACCTGGTCGAGCTCCTTCTCCAGGCTGCTGATCTTTCCTTCTCGGTCTTCAACTTGCGCATGTGCCGCGCCTGCCGCACCCGCTGCGCCAGCCAGATCACTTTGCAGACGCTTCAGCTCAGCCTCCAACTCAGCGACCTTCTTAGTGCTTTCCTCGGATTCAGCCCTTGAAGAACCGACATTGGCAGTGCTACGGGAACCTTCAAGTTCTTCCAACGCCTCAGAGAGCATGGTTTGTGCAGTCATGGCATCTCTCTCGGCTCGAGCCAACAAGACTTGTGTCTCATCCAGCTCGTCCTGCTTTCTCGCCAATTCCTCGTCCTTTTCGGCGTCTGACTTGTTGTTGAGTTCTCGCTGCTGTTTAATCTGTCGCTTGAGTACAGACTTTTGATCCTTAAGTGTAGTGGCTTGTGAGTATAGCCATTGGACCCGGTTGGAGAATCCAGGAAGACTAAATGCCTCGTCGATATCGAACTCGTCGTCAGAGACTTCTTCGTCTTCGTAGCCTCTATCCATGCGGGCTCTTCGTCGTTCCTCTTTCTCCTTCTTGATCTTGCTGAAGCCTGTTTGCATCATATTCCAGAGGTTCATAAGGATTCGCTCCACTTGCTCATCGTCCTGCTTCTCTGGCGTGCCCGATCTAGCAGTTTGGATAGCACGTTCTAGCTCCGAGTCTGCGGCGCGTAGTGCATCCTCGAGATAGTCGAGTTTCGCCTCGATACCGTCTTGTGAGGACTGAGGTGCAGCTGGGTAATCGGGGTCCACTGTCATCAATAGATCTCGAACCTGATGGTTTAGTGATTCGATGCGTTTATCGATAGAGCTGTCAACCTTGCCATGTTCGCCAGAAGACTCTTGTTCGACCTCAATGGCGTTGAGACCCATCTCAAGATAGTCCATCTGGTTGTTGAGAAGTTCTCCTGGCTTCATCCCTGGCACGCCGAACGGAGGGTCATAGTAATCCTCATTTTTGGAGGGGTTGAAGCGAACAATCGCATCCCGTAATGAGCCGTTCAGATTCTCCAGCCGAGCTTCCATCTCTGTTATCGACGTAACCAAAGAATCAGACTGACCCTTGAGATGCAGGTTCTCATCCTTAATCTTCTCCATCTCATCTTTCAGCTGGCTGTGCTGTTCTCGAATTGGCGATTTGAGCGGTATCTCGATAGGTTGCTGGCGTTGAGGGGGTCCTCTGGTCGACATTCCTTTCGCTTGATCGTAGAAGGTATCATCGTGAAAATAGTTCTCATCGCCTGCGCGGTCCATACTGTTGCGGGTATACGTATATAGGCTCTCTGGACTTCCAGGCATGCCATTGATTGGCTGAAGTGTAGGGGTCGTATCCTTCTTCTTATTCGATGCTTTGTGTGTGAGTTGAAGAATACCGGCAGTGTGTTCCAGTAGACGTCGTTGAGGCTCCATGAGCCGTTTCTCGAGATTAAAGAGCTCTGCCGCTAATTCCTCGCATTTTCGCTCGCTCGCCTGCCTCTCAACCTCGGCTTCTTTTGCGCGAGCGTGGTCACCACTGTTGCGACCCAGAAGGCTCCTTCGCTTGCCATCCAACTTTCCAGGATTGTATAATCTCGCCATTGAAATTGCTGCATCTCGGTATTTGGACTGGATAGTCAGGTTTTGTCGAGTTGACTCGACACGCTGAGACAAGGACTGGCTCTGCTTCTTCAGATCATCGACTTCTTCTTGCGACAAGATTTCATATTCCTTGCTGTCTGAAAGGGCGGTTTCGGTGAGAAGATGTACTTGGATAGGGTCTTTGAGGTCGACGAGCGCAGAACTTTGTGGTCGATCAGGATTCATCTATCAAGATTATAGTTAGAAGCTGTAAGTCGAAGACTCCACTATCATGGCTACGTACCGGGTTGTAAAGTCTGTGTTCTTTCTCGAAACCGTTCATTATATCGCTGCGATAACCTTCAACAAAGGTTTTTCCACGAGGACTTGTGGCGGTGGGTGACATTCTGGAGGAATCGAACCCATACGGGCTACCCTCTCGCGCGTACGCACTCATAGTTTCGGTGAGTTTACGAGCGTGTCGTCTTGATTATCAAAACATATGGTGAGCTTCGAAGGGGATTAATGGTTAAGATAATGCAACAGGAGCCATAGAGAGCGATGGCTGGCCAGTATCGGAAAGATTGACTGGTGGTTGACTGTTGACTACCCGAGAAGCTAAGATGAGATTGAATGAACAAAGGTATGTCGCGTCCAAAAACGGCTGAGGCTGGAGTATCGCAAAAAGTCGAGAGCAATCCTACAAGAGGCGCTGAATTGCTACCGCCAAAGACTGAGCGCAAAAGCCGTGAGGTTATTCCAAATGCTGGGGAGAGAAAAGGAGAGGTCGGGATCGACTAAGAAGAAAAGGAGGCCCATCGACAACCAAAAAGGTCAGGTACGGTTCATTACCTTAAGTTATCGAGTGGGACCCTTGTAAAGACCTCCACTGGAAGTTGAATTACAGCGGTTGAGTTGATGAGTCTAACCGAGTCAGGGCGACAGGTACGTACTGGCGCCGCGTTGATCTACCACTCAGGGTAATGCAATTCGGTTCTGTAGGGGTTTTGCGGCGGCTGGAGCAAGGCACAAGAGGGGCGCACCCGCACTGCTCGGGCATGGATCCTTCCGCTAGTCTTTATTGAGTTCGTAGCTCTTTAAAGCTGCGCCAGTAGGAATGAGCCTCTGTTTCGAGTATGGTCTTGTTGGAGAAAAAGAATAGTACCTAGGCAGAGTTTCTTTTTCTTGTATCTTCTATAGTTGCATTACTGACTCCACGTTTTAACGGCTGAGTTGACATCCTTCGACTCCTATTTTGTATTTATAGACATTGATGCTCCCTTTATAGTGGCTTCTCATGGCGTTGCTGTCATATGAAAGGCTGTGCACGCTGATCCGCGGAGTAATGCTGACAGTTGACGATGGATGGTGGCTGACAACGCCATGGACGAGCCCACTGATGTTAATGTCCTCCTCTGATACACGGAACTCCGTCAGCCCGCCTTAACACATCAGAGGTGCATATGTGGTTACCACATCAGGCCCATTCCTCCGCTGGACAATATCAGAGCATCTATTGGCATAGCATAGGTACGCTGGGCTGAGACAAATTCGAGGAGGAATGCGCTGCTAGACACTCACGTCCCGTAGTTGTTCGGAAGCCACATCGCTGAATCGGATACAACGAAAGACCGGTCGATTTCTCTATCGTATCGACTGAACTAATTAAAGGACTTCCCGAACTTGATCCATGATCTGCTGACCCATGGTTCTCCGCCGTTCTGCCTGGCCGTCCGCTGAACCCTGAGCGCCTGTTGCTGCCGCTGATGTTGAGTTCTCATCTTCAAGACGACGTCGAAGGCCTTCAAACTCGGCGCTCCGCCTCTGCGAGCTAAGGCCCACAACCCAGCCTGGCACGCGCCAGCGCACGAGGACAGCCGGAAGAAGGCCTTCCCGCCACGAATATCCTACGACCCAGCCGATGATTGCACCTAGAACCGAACCTGGCCATTGTAATAGTGCAAGGTGTAGAGCAATTGCGTATTTGTAGGACTTGTCAGAGAATGTAAGTCCCACGAATGGCCGGTCTGTCGGTGGTGCCTCGGACGTCGCGACTCGATATTTGTACATGTGCGGAACCATCGCATGATACTGAGCTAGGATAGCGAAAATGATGGGAGTAGGGCCGGCTGGAATATAGTTTAGATATCCGGCGGTAAGAGGTCGCAACACGACCGAGACGATTGGTGGGATGATGGACGTGATCAGATAAGTGACAGTTAAGAAAGACTAAGAACCACAAGGTCAGCGACGCCGACGAGAACTTGGAATTGGGCAACTTACAACGAACTTGCGAGAACCCCACATGCGCTCGACGATTCTGAGGTTATACAAGGACATGGCGGCAAAGAGGACCTCGGTTGAGTTAACATAACACAGCTGGTAGGCCAAGAGCCTCCATAATTGCCGATAGCGCCATATGTGAGTATCAATTAGGATGTAGAAGTAGTGCTTGACGTCGAGGACACTGGCTAGGATGGAGCCGGCCACAAGACCGACCACACCAAGCCGGGACACGGGTGTGTTGGTGAAAGACATATTGCTCTTGGCTGGGGGACTCTTGCGATGATTATCGTATCATAGTTCGAGTTGGCGATTGCTGTACCGGCATATATACTGTTTTATCGGTGCTATAAGTTGTATGAAAGCTCCTGAGTTGTCAACGATTGATGTCAAGTTTGACACGAGTGCAAGCTACCTACAAATGCAGCTCCAAGAGCTATCCACGAAAGGTGGCATTTCAATATCACGTGTATGCCCGGGTAATTATGGGCCTTGCTGCATCCCCCAATTTGGGCCCCGCTGACGTCGGTATAATTGAAATGTCGTTACCGACGAGTTATTTCGGTTAGAAAATGGACTCACAGGTGTATACAGGGTAAAGAGTTGCCAATAACATGAGGCTAATGGCTACAGCTAGGGTTCACTTGATATGGCGCATCTATATAACGGTTGATATCCATGATAGTATATATTCGTAGTGCGCAATGCGTGAGACAAAGATTACCGACGATCAGATCAATTCGATCGAAGTAAGTGGGTGCCTGGTACCACGTCAATTATACCGAATAGAATTTCACTATTTGGACTAGACAGATCTGGAAACTTGCATTGACGAGAACAATCATAGCACATACATACTAAACTTGCAGTTCTGCATTGACATTCGATCTGTCTAACGGGAATAGAGAGATCCTCTGAAGTTGTGCCCCTGCAACGTCACGCTGCCAGCCAGCATGACTAGCCTAGCCTATCTCTAGTGGACAAGGACTGAACTCCAGTTGGGCAGGTAAACGCCAAGCATGCAAAGCCCATCATTTCCTAAAGATTGGGATGGAGATTCACTTCAATTCCGAACACTAATGATCGTCAATTATTTATTAATATAATACATCTTCTTTTGAGTTGGACGTTGGAGTGGCTGCCCTATAATTGCATAGAAATTAAACTCTAAAGAACGCCTTCTCTACTGTATCATCAACCTCCAAAAACTTGCACCCACTCGCCTCTCTTCTACACTGAACCAACCTCACCCTCTCACCAAAATCAACCCTCCACAAGCGGCTCACGCGGCTTCGAATAAAGTCACTCGTCAACCTCGCTTCGGTACTGATCTGCCACCAAGAAACAGAACCAGAATTCCTCCCTCCCTCTTCCTCTCTAGTCCTTCCCCTTTCCTTTCCCCTCCCCTCCCTGCCTTATGCCCGGGAACAGGGCACTTTTTGATCTAAATCTCGCCTCCTCCGCCTTCAACTCCGATCATGCCGCTCGCCAACTTCGGCACCCTTGTTCTCCACCATATTGTCTTTGTCGCTCACCTGGTCTACTTCCACATTGCTTTCTCTCACATGGAACAGAGCGCTCTCGTGGCTCTCTATTGCGTCTCTAAGCTTCTTGCACGCCGCGCCGACGACATCGGTGGCCCGCCTCCGGAATGGCCCCCTCCGGTTATCCAGTGGTAGCCGGGCTTCCGTCTCCGCCTTCGGCTTCGGCCTCCGGTCTGACTACGGGCTATGAGTCTCCGTCAGAAGAGCATCCTCCTTTCTTCTCACATGTGGCATCAGCACCTGCTGCTCCTAATGGGAATGCGAATGGAGATACAAGACGTCTTGCTGTACCGCGGCCTGCGCTAACTCAACGACCTTCATATATCGCCGCTATCTCCCCTGAAGATGTCAACGGTAACGACCAAGGTCGGCCTCGGCTTGTCAACCATAGTTCTACAATTACTTCTCACAGTTTAAATCATGTTATGGCAACGTCGGAAAAGACACAAAGCCAAAAAGTTGGGATACGAGATCGGATTGCTTGTTATCAATGGACTTATTTCACTTTGGTAGGTGTTTCCGAGGTTCACTTATAGCTTCGCTGACATCTCATAGACAATGTCAACTGGCGGTATTGCCAATATTCTTCACTCATGTAAATGCACCCTCTAAAACTTACTTTGAAATACGACTGATTTTGCTAGTAAAATGGACCGCCCCCTGGCTGCGCGGCATCGGGCTCTTCTTCTTCTTTCTCAATATCATCCTATTCATCATGAACTGCATTCTTATATGTACAAGATTCCATCTTCGTCCTGGGAGCTTCGTGAATTCTTTCACAGATCAGATGGAATCGCTCTTCATCTCAGCTTCTGTAAGTTTGCCGCAGCTCATCAACGGGACTATGTATACTAATAATAACTAGGTGGTCTCGTAAGCAATACATATCTTCATATGAGCTCCCAACCAATTCTGACGATTTAGCATCGCTGTAATATTAATCAATACCTGTCAATATGGTATTCCTTATGCAGGTCCGTGGCTTCTTAATACCATGGAGTGGGTATTCTGGGTCTACGCCGCCCTCAGCGTTTCTGTCAGCGCATTTCTGTATCTTGTCCTTTGGTCCACATTGTAAGATAACTGGAAAGCTCACTCTATTTCCAATTATTTAAGCTAACCATTGGCTTCTAGGGTATTTCCTGTTCACACGATGACCCCTACTTGGGTCTTTCCTGCGTATCCTCTACTTCTTAACGCACCATTTGCAGCGAATCTTATTGCCGCAGCGGACTCTTCAGGTCACGATCTGTCAGTGAATACCGTGGCTATGGCGCTCGGGGCCACTGCGATCCAAGGAACCGGCTGTTTGATTGCATTCATGATATCTTCTGCTTTCATTTATCGCCTTATGACACAAAAGCTACCACGGGATAATCAGAGACCCGCTATCGTAGGTTTAATAGCTCGTGTTCATGTACACTTCATTGATCTTTGTTAGTTCATGTCAATAGGTCCCTACGGTTTCACCGCTGCTGGTATAGGTACGATCTCAAAACCCTTGCTCCTAATAAGTAAGATGGAATCTAATAAAAAGTCCAGCCCAACTGGGCAGCCAAGCAGACTTGCTTGTACCCGAAAACTTCCTGGGGACACCACATGTCGCGGACATAATCAAAGTTATAAGCATTCTGGTAAGTCTCTGGCTCTGGGGTCTTGCAATGTGGTTCTTCCTCGTCTGTGTTGGCGCCCTATGGAAATACTCTCTTGCAGGGCACCATATGCCCTTCCAGATGACCTGGTGGTCTTTTGTTTTCCCCAATACAGCTCTGGTAAGCTCCCCTTGACCTGGCTTCGCACAAGAGAAATCTTACATTCTGTGTTTAGGTCACGGCCACTAGTGTCATGGGTAAGATCTTTGACAACAATGGCCTACACATATTTGCATCTGTCATGACTGTTGCTATCGTCATAGTCTGGATCATGATATTCACAAGGATGTGTTGGAGTCTTAAGACAAAGAAGCTTCTTTGGCCCAGAGACGAAAAATAAACACCACCACGCAGCCTCACAGGCTTGGATTCCTTCTCAACACTTCCCTACACCTTTTATCCACAGCGACTTTGGTTTAGCGGCTCTGTGAAGTTTTTCCATAGATGATATACAATTTATTAGCATCGGGGGCGTTGAGCGGCCGACTTGACTTGACTCAGCATAATGCCGTTCTCTCACTGTAACCATATTGTATATATATAAATATATAAATATATATCTGGCCATGGTTCCGCTTTATGGATGGCTACTTTACTACGTCCTTGATCGTGTAACTTTAGTTCCCCAGCAGGACTCTTGAGGTATTATTTCGACTACCGCTCATGTAGATATAGATAGACTCAGTGGTTGTGCGCTTCATATCTTACAAAAATAGAACCAAGAAAATATTTGACGACTCGCTTTACGAGAACCCCCAAAACGCCCCCAAACTCCAGTGTAGCATTATTCTGGCCACCGTACCCTGACACCCCAGTTTCAAGATACACCAACTGTCACAGGCGGAACTGTCTTACAGCTTTGCCTTGAGGCCATCATCGGCAGTGGCCTCGAGGTTGACGGTGACCTCACCTGTCTTCTCACCATGGCCAAAGAAGATGACTTGCACAGTCAGATCATCACTATATGGTTATTAACTGTTGAAATTTGCCATGATGAACAAGGGTTCTTACCGGTAACGCCGAGAGAAGGGAGAAGGCAGGGTAAGCAGAGCGCAAACCTGCTCGTCATTGTTGCCACCGAGAGCATTTCGAACAAGGTGTGTAGCAACGTTCTTGTCCTTCACTGTGAAGCGATCCTTGGCATCCGGATCGATGCCCCACTGCTGAACGCGAATAGGGGTCTTGTTACCATCAGGTCCAGCAGTCTTACTCTCCTCGACGGGTAGAGGTGTCTTGGACGATCCAAATATCTTGTTCCAGGCAGCATCGAACTGAGAGTTGGTTCCAGACTGTCCTTCGGTTTCAATCCACTTACCTACGAGGCCGACAACCTCTTCATTGGTAAGCATCTCCCAAAGACCGTCGGTGGCCAAAACAAGAAAATCTCCATTTTCGGGGTTGACCTTGGTGGTCGTAACAATGGGCTCAGCTGTGACATAAGGGGGTGTCTTCAGCAAAGGCGAGGGACTGCGGCCGAAGAAGTTCTCGCGGAGCTTCCAAGCGACGTCTCTGCTCCACTTGTACACAGCATCGCCGAACGCACGGCTGGGTTCTAGTCCACCAAGAACACGACCGTTGCGAATAACATTTTCCTCGCCGGGGTGCTCCTTGCGCATGCGATCGACTTCCTGAGGGTTGCTACCAGTCTGGTCCTCTGACAGAGCAGTGGCAGTCCACTTTCCATTCTCCGCTCGGCGACCCAGAACAGCACGAGAATCACCGGTACATGCTACACGCAATAGCTTGCTACGGCTATCGTAGAACGACAATAAAGCACATGAGCCAGAAAGAGCAGGCTGTAGCAACTCAGCAGCGACGGTCTTGGAGCCGCCCTTGAATACCTTCTCAACGCTCTTGTGGACAATTTCGTTATCCAAGTTGTTAAACCCAGTCTTGATGGCCAGGTTTACCGCCTCTTCAGAGGGAAGCTTGCCAGGAGTCTGCTTGTAAGTCTCATTGAGTTCGCGAGCAACATAGTTAATCAGGCTCTCCCTCAATGTCGCAGAAGTAGTCCATCCCCTAGAAAATGTCAGTAAAGACCCATTTTGTTGCTTCGTAACGCAGCTGCATCTCAAAATTGCTACTTACGAGTGACCGTCAAAAACACCCCAGAACATCCAGTCGCTATTGTCAGTCTCAGCAGAAGACCTGCTAGGAACCTGCACAATCTTCTCGGCGTGATCATCCTCAATTGGGTCGTTGCTGGGCAGTTGGACAAGGTCATAACGAGTAACACCTTGACCTCGGGCTACAGAGAAGGACTGCTCAAGGCGACGTAGCTTCTCCGTCGCTTGATCGGGGGTCAACATCTCGACAATGCGCCGCCCGTCGTCGCTGGTAGTCTTCGAAATTGGACCCTCGCCAACAATCGTGCCCTGTCTGAGTTCGTCGGCGCCCACTACGAGGACGGTTCGGGTTGGTAGCACATCAGCCGTTTGTGTGGACGTAAGGCTGGTCTTGGAACTGAAGCTGGAAGTGGGCGTTAAATCAGAATTATCGTAGGAGTACCAAGCACCGTATCCAACGATAATACTGGAAATCAGCGCGGCAGGCAAGCGACGAAAGTACATGGAGGACCTCAGGGGAGCGCTTCGACTGTGTGCGCCGGCCTTCGATCGTGTTTGAGCGTGGACTGAGGATGAGAAGGAGAAGCCGCGATGTGGGGTTCGAGTAAGGACGCGGACGGTCGAAAGAGAGGTCGTCCGGAGGGCTTTGACACCAGCTCGATTCATCGGGACGGCAGCAGGAAAGCTTAGAGCCAGTCTGGTGGGGAATGACGGTCAGGAGAAGTCGCTGATTATTCGATAGGGTCAAGGAATGGTCGATGACAAAGGTGATGATAACCACAATGACATGGAGGGAAAGAAAGGTCGAAGTGCTGTGCTGAAGCTAGGACCGTAATGTACCTTGTAGTTAGTGTCGTCTACGAGGGAGTGGGTGGATAGCGGAGGTTCGTGATGGTGGATGATATGCTGCCTTTTGTGGGTCTGGAGAAGCACTACGCTATCTTATCTCGACCTTTCCATTCTGGGACATCAACTAATGATAAGTCACTGCGAACACCGGAGTGGAATGAGGTATGGATGTCAATGAGATTTTATTTTACATGATCTTCTTTCATTCTTTCTTATAAAATCTCACACAAATATCTCTGAACTCATTACGGAGACTTATTCCGAGATATTTCATACTTCCATGGTCACATCCAAGACCATCCGCCCACGTGAAACAACAGAACAGCACCCGACCAGAGGAACTCTCACCAACTGTAAACCGACTTCTACCGAGGCTCACCTCTTATTGCTGGTTCAGGGACTCTAGGCTACCCGCATCCTGAACAGGCCGAGCTTGGCTAGTCCTGTGAACTTTACTAGACCTGGGGTTCTTTTCTCACATGTTAGTGAAATCCCTTTGCATACACATGCTGGCGACACTCATTTGACCATTTTTGTTTGTCTGTTCGGGAGCTGACTGAGATCTTCCAGATACTTGATTCGTCCTTACCAGAACCAGGACCTCTCATAATGGACCAACAACAGTCTTCACAGTCCTTCAATGGAGCTGATCGCATCAGAGCTCTTAAGGATGATAATTCCATATTCACTGCTTTCGATACATACCCATGGAAAAAGGACAACAACTTTATGGTAAGCATTTCATTCGAAGCCTGCTACTAGAGGTATTGACATCTCATCAGTCTGGCCTCCACGCCATCCTCGGCGAACCTAATCAACAAAGTCCTCAAACCTCACTCGAAGATATGACCACGCACGCTCGTATATTCTACTATGCGCAACGTATTGGTGTCAACATTGACTTTGGGGCCTACAAGACCTGGCTAGCAAGCAAACCTGATCATCAGCCTCCAGATGTTCTGCCAGAGGAATACCGTCAACAGGACGGAACCACTACCGCCCCAACCCCTGTCTTGGACTGGCAAAAAGCTGCGCCAAAAACTGATCTCTATATCGACAAGAAGGCTGCTGCAGCGCAGTCTGGCCCACAAGATCAGCCGAATTATCCTATGGGGTTCGCTGAGATGATTAAACTCATTCAAGAGGGCAAGCCTGTGCCTGGAATTCGACAGATACCAAACACCATTATTAGGGATCCTGTAAGTCTAACTACAGATGTGGCGACTCCTCTGGTTCATGATATTCCTTACTAAACTTGCTTTAGGCTGTGAAGCCTGTTGGGGCCAGAGCTGTTCCTAGGAAGCCTTGGGAGAAAGATGTTAATCTCGACACTCCCGCTCTTACAGAGCTCCCAAAGGCGCTTGATACCGAGTTTCCGCCTCTCAATGATGATCTCTCTACTTCTTCTACTGCTGAGGTTTCGTAAAATTTGCACCACTGTTGTTTCATTTCTATAGCATTGGCGGCGTTAGGGACCATGCCACAATCAGCATGGGCGTGCTTTGTAGAGAATCCAAGCAAGAGAAATTACCACAAAATCAACTACTGCGCTCGTCAAACACGTCACATAGCCAGAACGTTTACAGTGATAAAATCATCAATCGTTTATTAAAAGGATTGTAATAACTGCCGTAACAAACCGTGTGTCATAGGAATACGCCTGAGCCCAGCATCGCATAGAAAAACGACATACAAGTTCATAAACTCATCCCGACCTATAAAGGAGTCCTCCAAACCACCATCATCCATACCCGTAGATTGACTGAAGAAGTATGGCCCCAGTGTCCCATGAGACACGCTCCCGCTCAGCCTGTAAAGGTGGCAGCCCATAGACGTTGGGATTCAAAGGCCGATAGTTAGTATCTGCCATCCCCTCCATATTGCAAAATCGATAACCATAATGTGTCCAATGCACCCGAGAAGGCAGTAGCCATCTGGGCGTAGGATGACGTGTGATCTGTAAATTACTTGCGTGGGAAGATGTTGTTTAAGAAAGGTCGACAAATTCTGGTGTGTTGCGTGATCTTGACGAGTGGAACGATTGGTGATTCAGATAGGGGCTCCCTGACACGGATGACAATGAAAGAACAGAAAAGCAAAAGGTGTAATGGGGAAATTTCTGCGTCATTCAGCAGAAAGCAGTCTTTGATAACAACAAAGATCAGGTAATAATTGAAATAATTCAGCGGTAACCGTTGTTGTTGTAGCGTGGTCCGGGTCCCATACGCCCACCCATTCCAGGGCCAGCACCAGGGCCAGGACGAGTTGCGACAGCATGGTTGGTGCAGAGCATGCCGACGCGAGAACCGAACTTGCTTCCACGCAAAGAGACCATGTGCTTCCGGATGTGGGCAGCGACATTCTCGCGATGCTGAGGGGAGGCGTTGTTTAGAATCCACTGGATGAGATAATTGCCGTACTGATCACTCGCGATATCAATTAACGGGATGCGGGTGCGGTCGCGACGACCCTCTGAGACTCGGTCCAGGTAACGACCGAGGAACTCTGCACCTCCGATCTTAAGACACTTTTCGACGACCTTGGAAGCGAACTGGTCGGTGCTGTATTCGGCAGCATAGCGGATGACATGGTCAACAGCCCTGCTGCGGTCTGGGGGCGCACCGTGTTCGCAGATGTGCTGGATGCACCAGTTACCGAATTGGCCATGGGCCACAATATCAATGTTGGCAAGAACCTCCTCAATGCAAGGACGCTGTTAAGAAAAGTTAGAAAAATCATACCAACGTACAGAAACTTGACATACCTTATCCTCTTCGAGGCAGTTCTCGAAGATGTTTTGCACAACAAGACTGCCAGTCTCTCCAAGAGCGACTTCGTGCCACATTCCGTTCAGAGCCTCGTTGACATACTTCATGATCTGTGGGGGTGATTCAGTCCAACGAAGTTCAAAAAGCTTTTGCCAAACATGGCAGGCGTAGCGATGAATAACCGTCTCTGGAATTCGTCGCAACAGTTCGGAAACCATGATCGCCTTGAAATTCTCAGGGACAGAATCGAATGCCTTCTGAACAACATGACAGCCAAAGGGATCCATGGAGAGATTCAAAGTGTTTCCTCGAATAGCTTCAGCTATGTGGATAACCTGGTCAGGTGTGCCATGCTCAAAGCATCGCTGCACCAAGAAATTACCAAACCGGTTAACCATCAATGGGTAGGCCTGTGCTACGATCGCATCCACGATCTCAAACTTCTGCTCCGGAGTTCCGACCTTGAGTTTCTGCTGTAGAAAGATGGAGGCTTGCTGGTCGTTATTGCAGACGATCTTGTCAACGATGTACTTCCAGTTGCAATTGACATTGCGATCCAACAGACGGCGATAGTTCAGTGGCTCAGTTGGGGGGAGGTAGGTCTGATCATTAGGAGACAAAACATCTCTCGGATCCAGTCCCTTGTGAGGATACACGGAAGGCGATCCAATCTCGTTCTTCCATCCAGACCCGGAAGTGAACTCAGAAGCGTGAGGTGAGAGAGGTGTTCCGGCAGGGAGTGGATACGGCGGATAAACACCCATAGGACCAAGGCCTTGAGGAGCATTCATAGGCGCTCCAGGAATAGGACTACCCATGTAGTCTGACTGGTTGGCGGGACTGTTGTAGCCTCCGCCATAACCAGATCCAAATGGCTGGGGGGAGTTGAATCGACTCTCCATTCGGGTGCCACGGCGTCCGTAGTTGGGGCGCATCATCTCTGCGTCAGGAGTCAGGCGTTCACTACGGTAGCCGTCCATGATAGGGTAAGGGGCTCCATTGGGCTCCGGGCACGGTGGATTGAAGCCGCGTCCGCCAAGCCACTTTCCAGGAGCTGGTTCGGCGACGGGTGCCTGAAGTGTATTGTTGAAGGGGCCAGGGTGATTTCCCCAAATTTCACGGGTGCGGTTGAATGTAGAGGCGGACAGAGCTTCGCTTGTATCAGAATGAGCATCGTCTGGAGATGGCCATTGGCCTTCACGAGCAGGATAACCCGAACTGTTAATTCCGAGGCCAGAGGTATCATTTCCGGTCTTCACGACGCGAGTCTCGGCCAACTCCTGGCCAAGTTTGGAGATTTTGTTCTCCGCTTGAGCGAGTTGTGCCTTCAGCCGAACCACTTCTTCGCTTTCGCCACGAGCATCATCAAGAGCGGCACTGGCAGGTCGTGTAGTAGGAGCTGTGCTGGGGAAGGCATCGGTGGCGGGAGTTACGGGCAAGGAGTTGCTCGAAGACGCATGATCAAAACTTCTTGCGTACTGAATCGCTTCTTCATTCGCCTTGAGGGTGTCGACTACAGCTTGCTGCTCGTTGAGCTTGGCAAGGAGTTTGTCCATAGGGTAAGAATCTCCTGTAGTAGAGATATCGTGACTGAATTTCATCTTCTATCATGTTCAGTAAATTGCATGTTGCAAGTCAATATCGGTAGTATCACCTTTGGGAGGCCTTGGTTCGCAAGCTTCGAAGTAGTGAGAGCCGAGATACTCTTCTTTGATGGGTTGGTTTTGCTTGTTTCCTTCTGTGCTTTGGGTTAGTACGTGAGTTCTTAAAGTAAAAAGAAAGGACTAATATCAAGCCGCCATACGCAAATACATATGGCTAACAGAGTAAAAGTATACTGACCGAGGCGGAGGCAAGTAGCGAACCACTTTGAGTTTCGCCCTGCATGATAGCGGTAAAGATGGGGGCGATCTTGTCAGGAGATCCTTGGGGATGCCCAGGTGAAGACATGATATCACACCGTTCAGGCTCAGGTTTCGATGCAATGAATCTGAAAAGATCGGAATCGGATAACAATTGTAGAGAAAGAGTGGACGCAAAGTAACGCTCAATGTGATAGAGAAAGATTGTGAATGTGCCGACGAACCAAGAAGAGGTTGATTGATTGTGATGGAAAGAGAGTGAAGGGGGACGAGGGAAGAAGAAGTAGAGAAAGGAAAAGGTGGTGACAAGGGGGGTGGAAGTTAATCACTGACGCAGCTTTTTTTAAAGGCCAAGAGGAAGGAAAGGGCAGATGGAAGGAGCGTAGAAGTGGCAGGTGCCAACAGCCGACAGGACGGGCTGTTCCTTCCACTTTTGATAGGGCTGCCACCTAACTATAGGTGGCACTGTCAAGCAAGATAAAGGCGATGATTCTAAATGCACTGCAGTTGCGCACTGCATCTCCGAGGCTGTTGAGAGTCCATCACAAGTTCTTTTACTTTTTCTTCGCCAGTGGTCTTTTAGAATTGAACCTCCCGAGTACTAGGTATCTGGTTTAATAAGATGCTTCAGGGGAACGTCTCTTTGGAAAGCCATTTAGCATGGATGTGAAGCGTTCATGCCAAGTTTGGAATACCTAAACTGGTTAATGAACCATATGAATGTAAATCAGCTGGAGGTTCTTTCTACGGCGGGAACTCAGCTCAGGGGAATAAGGCTGCCAGGTTGAATCGAGTACAAACAACCCAAATTGTGAAGGAAGGCCCGTGGACCAGAGGTTTTCCTTCGAATTGAACAAGTCTTGATCCGACCATCGTAATAGAGACTTTAATATTCGCTGATTCTGAAATGAACATACAGACTTTGTTTATCAGGAAAGAAGCCACTAGTTTGTCCAACGAACAAGGCATCAACAGATATGGATACTTCTGGTGTTGCAGGAAACTTTCACTCAAACAATCAGATCGAATAAAGGATCAAAGCACGCAAGCCTCCCCTATCTAGGAACCGAACAATGCATTCTTTGCGGTAATACAATAACTGTACATACTGGAACGAAAGCCATTAGAGAATGTCTTTGCTTTCCTCGTAACCCTCTCCCAGCACCATCCACAAGCAGTCACCTAATCAGAATATCGCAAAGCATTTGCAGCCCATTCCAAGAGGTTCCTATGCTGTCATGGTTGATGTCAAATTTTTCATTATATTCATTGTCTGGTTTATCGCTTCTTGCCGGTGGGAGCTGGAGATCCATTAGCGCTTGATCATAGCTGTTGAATCGCGTGGACATACCTGGAGGGCCCTTCTTCTTCTTGGGTGCACTCTTTCCACGGAGCTTGAGTCTAAAATCATATTGTCAACACTTGTGTCGCTTTCAAAGGCCGCAGTCGTTAGCTTACTCCTCAATGTACTCGAATCGATCTTCCTCTCCCTCGTCCCAGGTCGCCAGTGTTGGTCCAAACTCGCGCTTGAGGTCCTGTATCGTCGCAGTCTTTCGAGGGTAGTATGTCGCCATGGCTGGTCCTCGTAGTCGTTGTCGCAGGATCTTGTTGCCCATGCGGACGCCTTCAGGGTTATAGGAAGTCGCAAAGACCTGGCATTGCGCCTGCATCCAATTAGTAAAGATATTTCCAGTTCGGTTTCAATACATCTACCTTCATCAGGTCCAATATCCTCGCACGTGGGACACTCATTTTGCCGTGGTTGACATCAAATGTTGCTCCTGTCAACTTTTTTGATGCTTGGATTGACGTCTGATGTGAAGTCTACGCAGAAGTTGAGCAAAAGACCCGATTGGTCGATGGGCTGAGAATGTGGAACTTGTAGCTCACAGAGCCATCCTACGCAGACCAATTAAACTGCAACTCTAGAAAGTGGATCTCATCTTTGATATAACACCTGCAATTGTTTTACAACCTAGGTACCACAAAACCTCGAGAAACTCGCGCCAGAGTCTCAAAAGAATTGGATAATGAGAGACTAGGAGACGAAAGGAATTGGTTATCTTATGATAAGCCAGCCTACTGTAGCACTTAGGTCAGTTTATTTTAGTGTTCTAAAATGATGAGAGGCTAAAGAACATATTCCATGTTCCTGCCACTGCCCGGTCAAATGTGGGTCGGGTCCCTGCATTCTAGGTTGCCTACTTCAACGCAGAAAAACAACAATCTTCGTCAATCACACAGCAAGTCATGTCTAAAAGACCAGCAGAAGAGCCTCCAAGGGGAAACGACGAGCCACGCAAGCGCGTGCAAATAACAGACCCACCTCCATCGGCCTCTTCCATCGCTTCAGTCGTGCCTGGGATTTCACGATGGTCTTACTCAGAAATACCCGACAGCCTACCACCTCTCCCACCAATTAGACCTGATCTTGAAGAGCAGGTCTTCAGGCATCCTGGACTTGAAGGTCCAAACTGGGAAAAACTAGAATGGTACGGCGACGCGACACTTGAAATGATCTCAACAGAACTCATCTTCGAGACGTTTTCACATCTTCCAGCAGGAAGTTGCAGTCAAATTCGCGAACAGCTAGTGCGCAACAGCACGCTCTCTGAGTACTACCGACAATATGGCATGGAACAAAAAACGCAATTGCCTGAACATATGGGCAAAATGGCGGATCTTTTACGTACAAACAGGAACAGCCGGGACGTTATAAAACTGCAAGGTGACGTTTTTGAGGCCTATGTCGGGGCAGTTGTCAAATCGTACCCCCAGGGAAACGCCAACGCCGTCGCTTGGTTGAAGATGCTATGGGGCCGTACGATCAAAGATCAGATCAAGCGAGCAGAAAGACACCAAGAAATGATAGCCCGAGCGCAACCCGTCGTCCAACAATTTTCTACTACGGAAGGGCAACCTGCACAGCCCCAAATCAAGATGGAGCCCCTGACAGAACAAAATGCCAAGGGCCGCCTCAGTACTGCGATAGCAGTCCCTGGAATCAAGATCCGGTACGAAGATATGCCATGTAACAAGAAGGACAAGGATACAGGCCTTCCGTTGTATGCGGTTGGGATCTATCTCGATGGATGGGGCGAGACAAACAAATGTCTAGCGTATGGTGTTGCTAAGCGCAAGATTGATGCAGGTGGAAAGGCAGCAGTGCAAGCATTGGAGAACAGAAAAATGATAAAAGTCTACGAAGCTAAGAAGAAGCAGTACGTGGCTGAGAAGGCGAAACAGCTGGAGGCCAAGAAAACAGGATCTTCCGTCGAAAGTACCTAGAGGTCGCGATCAAATACCCTACCTACCTAATGTATAAAACAAATGATCTAAAATGGCCTAAGAGTTAGCTCAATGTGGTGGATTGCCCAGCCTTTTTCGTGTCTTATGTTTTATAGTACTACCTTAAGAATCCATTTGATTATTTAGGATAGAAAATGTTGTCTACGAGGCTTCTGCTTAGGCAGCTGCTTAAGGCAATTGGAGATTCCGGTTCGCACAGCCAGCGTCAAGGAGATACTACTGTACCTCAAAATATTCAACTCATTAGTCTAGGTAGTATCTTCAACAGATGTAGAACTTGCCGATCAGATGTACCCATCTTCACGTGTCTCGGTTCGTCAGGGACACATGCGGGCAGGGGTGGGTTTCCAGGTCCCGAGATCTTGAACCGTTAGTTCGATGAAAGGAGGGGAGAAGAATAAGCTCGGTACAAGGAAAAACATGGCTTTGTAGGGCTTGAGGGATCACTGATAGATGCACAGAGATCGATCTCAGAAATCATAACTCCTGTGCTCACTCGTATGAGCTTTACACATTTAACCAAAATAAGACATGTCATGTCATTGTACGGGAAATAAATTACAAGATCCATCACCTTAGGTTCTGTCAAATTTAAATGGATGCCCGCCCGCCCCAGATATCGTCCCCTCCCCCCTGGGGACGTGCCTTTTCTAGTGGAGACGGCCCTGAAAGCGCATCCCCCGAATTGAATTGGTGCCCGTCACCCGTGGGCGCCGAGGTCAATCTATGGCTTTACCGATCAACGGGCCTCCGCAGGTCCCAACCCAGCCCAGATCTAGCATCCATCATCCAGTTGCTTCTGTAGAGCTCAGAGCATTAATTCCATCATCTTAGCTTCAAGGACCCTCCTTTCTTTTCCCAATGGAGTCATAATACACGGCGACTAGGCGTTCTTAGACTGCCTTCTACCTTTGACACTTGGTCTCTCTCTTGTTTCATTCTTCTCTTTCGATAGATACCATCGTTTAATCGCTTCTTTGCTCGAACTCGACTTGGTTGTTCTCCTTTCCATTCTTGGCTTGTGGGGTCCCGTTATCTCGGCCATCAAGCCGCGGTCCGGACGGCCCAAGGTCCGATAAAGGACCCCATATCGAAGCTCGACTTGGTCCTTGACGCAATTGCCACTCCCTCTCATCGGCCGCAACTTGCGTGTCGCGAGTCGCTTTTTTTACACGAGACATAGCCGCCAAAATGGCGGATTCAGTAGGTATGTTGCATGCTACAATTACAATTCGTATTCTGCTTGAAGGTGGTGGCTGACGTGATGATACAGATCGCGTGTTTGTACACGCCCTCAACACCGTCAAAAAGATACCCAAAACAGGCGCATCAAGACCACCGCCGACCGATCGACTTCGACTCTATGGGCTCTACAAGCAGGCAATGGAGGGGGATGTTGACGGTGTAATGGAACGACCAACTGCAGCCTCGGGAATGGCATCCGACGACTTGCAGCGCGAAAAGGACAAATGGGATGCATGGAATCTTCAAAACGGATTAAGCCGAACGGAGTCGAAGAGGAGATATATCGAGGCGCTGATAGATACGATGCATCGATATGCGACCACGCCGTAAGCGCTTCCCTTTGACCATGCGGGTATTTGAATTGTACTAACACATTTGCTTAGGGATGCCGAGGAACTTGTTTCAGAGCTCGAATTCGTTTGGGATCAGATCAAGAATAATAGTCCGAGCTCATCATTATCGTCACCAAGAGCTAACAGATCGACTGGTGCGGGCGCGAGCCAGCCTTACCAACAACCCGAGCAAGCAAGCGATGAAGAAGGACCCTTGAAAGAATTAAGGCCGATGAGCGAGTACGACGAGGCAGAACTACGATCCCAGCGGCAATTAGACCTCGAAGATGATGAAATTGAAATACAAAATAGCGACCGAAGTGGTGGCCGATGGCAGCGAAAGGTGGAACGAGCATTAACGACAATGTCTGCTGAAGTAGCTGCGTTACGAGAGCAAATCACCACAGGCCGAGAGTGGCGAACAAAGAAAGAACGAAGTTTTCCAGCATGGGCGAAGTGGTTTGCTTGGTTGTTGGTCAAGCATATATTCGCCGATATCGTTATTCTTTCTATTGTGCTATTATGGTTGAGGAAGCGCAAGGACCGGCGACTGGAAGATCTTGTGAGATCTACTGTTCAGCTTTTGCGAGAATACGTTCGGAATGTCCTGCCATCGCGAGGTTAACAGCTTGAACACTATGTTGTCAGATGGTCTATATCTTGGAGGTTCGTATCGAAAGAAGCCCTATTGATGTTGCGGGTGCAGCCTTGCTGGGCAGTCTCCCAGGCAATATCAGAGTACGGAGCTCCCTCGCCATAAGGTATTCTAGTATATCGGCTCTGTTAATTGATCAGATGTGCAGTTGGTAATTGATTGTACATATTGAGTATGTTGGGAGGTGTGCTTCCACCAGTCAAGCACCCAAACAACGATCATCTTTGGATTGAGGTCACCAACTAAAGACAAGGCGCTTCTTGGAGTATGGGGTTTAGCATTGTATTTATATGGATAGCAAGAAAGGGGTGGTCACTGTGTACTAAGGACCTGTACTAAGTAGATATTTCATGCTTAGAAGTGTTATTACAAAACTACCTTAATCAACCCTGTCTATACCTTTCAAAATGTTAATTTTCTTCTCCATCAATATTATGATCATTTTGTGATAAACAATATCGAGAGTTTTGAAATGACAGTATCTCCGGGTAGCCTAATGAAGGCAGCGCGGGCTGTTGTTCAAGGCAGCCTTTAGCGGGAGGCACTGCCAGGTGCCCAGCTGGAGGTGTGCATGTTGCCCTCTCCTCTACAGCAACGCTTTGTTCAACCCAAACAATTTCATGATTGCTCGGCCACATCACAAATCAGTTCTCTAACTTCTGTTGACATCTTCATCCGCTTTCATTTATGCAGGTACAGGAGCAGTCATCAAACCATCCACGTCTTGTGTAACGTCGAACCATTTTCTTCCTCTCTCTATCCACTCATGGCCGCTGTGCGACAGCATTAACTACAGCCAGCCACGAATGTCCACTTGCAATCTACGGATACCATCTCAACCTTCAAAACACATTGTGCTTGACAAATAAACATAAACCATGGCGCAGCCACCTGAGCGCCGTGGCTCTGGCGTGAATCGTCTGGAGCACCCTACTCAAATTCCTGATCCAGAGGGCCACCCTATTATCCCCCCATTACGGAACTTTGCACCAGCCATCTTCCGTCCTATATCTTACGACGAGCCTCTGAGCGACATCACATCGGTCACTAGACTTGACCATCTGAAAGCACAGCTCAAGAGTATCGATGACCATGCTCAAAGCTCCAGAAAAAACTTTGTCGCGCTGTGCATCCGCGAGCGCGAGCGCATCTTACAAGAGGGGCGGCGCTGTGAAGTACTCGACAAGCAAGAAGACACTGTCTCGCCAGATGTTCCACTCGGCGTTGAGTCTGATACGCTGGACAGCATGATCTCAAATATGGAGGCCAAGCCGCAGCGGTCGGCTCGCCACGCGAACACCCGAGATCTACCTATCCCATTGTTTAATAAGCATTATCGATCGCTGCGCGAGTGTCAGGCTTCTAAAATGATGGGCTTTGTTTCGCACTCTACCTTGGAAGCTCGAAATCGTGATAGGACTTTGCGGAGACATCGCGACACTGTCGAGCGGAACATCAGAGAACATCAGCGCAGAGCCGATTAGGAACGGACTCGTGCATCTGAACAGCAACTCAAGTTTTCACCAAAAAAGTATGTCAACGGGACATCGAGAAACACCAACGACAAGAACATGGTCATGTTCCTTCCAAACGCAAATCGGAAGAGGAAGGTATGAAGTGGGACAACTGCACGTCGTAGTGAAGGAATTAGGTATTCAACTTATCTACCTTCAGCCCTCCGTCCGACGTCCTATATGTACATACTACGAACTTCCCAGACGCATTAAAACAAAGCTGATCTTTCTATTCTTTTACCATCGCCACATCATACGCCATACTCGACCTGGCCCATAGGCTTATCCTCCTCCATACCAGGAGCCATAAAGTTTGTCCTAGCATCGCCAGTAGCCTTGGCTGCTGAGCAACGAGCCATTGTGGGAGAGCTGGAGAATTTGTTAGCAGGGATTCCACATACATAATAAATGACGATTGCTTACCTTCGCGAGATAACATCTGTGAAGTAAAAGTTGTCGATAACCTTCTTGAGAGGAGCTCCAGTAACCTGTGCACCCTTGTTCTGGTCTACGAGTTGAACCTTGCTAAGAGCTGGGAGGGCAACGGGCTCAACGACATCGTAGGCGGCCAGAGCAGGGCTGATCTCAACCATGCGGTCACGGACCATGGCGACATCATCGTAAGGAAGAGGGGCGCCAAGGAACTCACTGGCAGCTCGGAGGATCTTCCAGTCAGTTCGCGAGGCACCAGGCAGAGAGGTAGCGGCTCGGGTCATCTGGACACGGCCCTCAGTGTTGATGTAAGTACCAGCCTTCTCAGTGTAAGCAGCACCAGGGAGAACGATGTCAGCAATCTGAGCACCCTTATCACCGTGATGGCCCTGGTAGACAACGAAAGCATCCTTGGGGATATCGGCCTCCTTAACGTCGTCGGCACCAAGGAGCCAAACGAACTTAGGCTTGGTCTCGGCAACCTCAGCAGAAGGAGTAGTGAAGCCAACCTCGAAAGCACCAGCGCGAGAAGCCTCACGCTGGAGGACATTGTAACCTTGCCACTCCTCAGTTCGGAAGTTGGAGGCGTGCTTATCAACGAAAGCACCGATGGTCTCGTAGTAAGCCTTGGCATCAGCGTGGTCAGTAACACCAGAGCCGACGATAATCATGGGTCGCTTGGCGTTCTTGAGAGTCTCTCCGAAAGGTCCAGATAGAGCAGACTTTAGAGCGGCGTGGTCGGCACCGAAATGCTCGAACTCGAAGGTGGAATCGAAAGTCTCACCAACGAGACCGATCTCGAGATCGGATCGGAGCCACTGCTTTCGGATACGGGCGTTAAGAACGGCGGCCTCGTGTCGGGGGTTGCTGCCAACGATCAGGATAGCATCGGCCTCCTCAATTCCCCAGATCTGAGAGTTGAAAAGGAAGTTGGATCGGACATCAACACCGTGGGCGAGAGGCTGGCTGCCAGTAGGGGTATCAAGAGCCAGGTTATCAGAGCCGAGCTTGTTAGCCATATCCTTGGCAACGACCAGAGACTCGACCTCAGTAAGAGCACCAGCAATGACCTTGAACTCGTTACCCTGAGGGTTCTTAATTTGGTAAGCACGGCCAATCTCGGTGAGAGCCTCCTCCCAGTCAGCAGGCTCGAAACGACCCTCACGGCGGACAAGGGGCATAGTAAGTCGTTGAGTCTTAAGACCGTCGCAGGCAAATCGCGTCTTGTCATCGATCCATTCCTCGTTCACGTCGTCGTTAAGTCGGGGGAGAATACGCATAACCTCGAGACCACGGGAGTCCACACGGATGTTGGAACCGAGACCGTTGAGAACATCGATAGACTCGGTGTGCTTCAGCTCCCAAGGACGAGCTCGGAAAGCGTAAGGCTTGGAGGTGAGGGCACCAACGGGGCAAAGGTCGATAACGTTACCGGACAGTTCGGTGTCCAGGTTCTGCTCGAGGTAGGTGCCAATTTGGATATCGTTACCACGTCCTGTGGAGCCCATCTCCGGGGCACCGGCAATATCGTTGGAGAATCGAATACATCGGGTACAGTGAATACATCGGTTCATGGAAGTCTTGATCAAGGGACCGATGTTCTTGTCCTCAACAGCTCGCTTGCCGCCAACCTCGTGGAATCGGCCTCGGTCCGCTCCGTAACGCATAGACTGGTCCTGAAGATCACACTCACCACCCTGATCACAAACAGGGCAGTCGAGGGGATGGTTGGCCAGCAGGAATTCCATAACACCTTCACGGGCCTTGTGAGTAAGGGGAGAGTTGGTCTTGACGACCATACCGGGCTGTACAGGCCAGGCACAAGAGGCAACGGGCTTCGGTGCCCGCTCAACCTCCACCAGACACATTCGGCAGTTACCGGCAATCATAAGCTTTCTGAAGCATTGTCAGCGATAGATCGTTCGTAGGAGGGCTCGGAGGTATCGTACTCATGGTAACAGTATCTATAAAAAAGTTAGCCACATCATCCAAACTCGCTACGACTGTCTTGCTTACCGAGGGACTGTTGAACCCGCCTTCTCGCAGGCTTGAATAAGAGCAGATCCAGCTACAATTATGTTAGAAGACTTCGATCAAGTCACCCAAGCATCAAAGCATACCTTCAATAGAGACCTTCTTTCCATCTGGTAACAGTATTAGCCTTTCTCGGATCGTCAATGGCTCTATGCACAAAGATGCTCACCAATTGTCAACTCCACCTCGGCCGGGCGCTGGCTTGTCGTCGCGAGGGTTCGCGAGACATTGAGCGCCCGCCGGCTCGTCCGCCAAGCCGAACGTGCTATAGTATTTCGGAGCATCGTGTCGCCTTGACGGAGGGAAGATGAAAAGGGTTGCAGGGTCGCTGGCGGCGAATATATGCTCAGTCGTTGACGTCTTGAAAGGGAACCTGCTGTTCGGGTGATGGATTTAGTGGCGCTAGTCCGCGATTAATTTACGTTAATGCTCATTGGTCGGCGTCTTTTTCTGTCTGCCTCAGGCCGCAGCATTGGACCCTCTACCTCTTATTCCGCAATTTTCGGCGAGCTTTTGGAAATTTTTCTTTCTTCTACCAAATTAATTGTACACGGGCACACTTTATTGTAGGTGAGCTTGCGCAACAGGACTGCTTCGGCAGGACTGTTGCTTCAGTCGAGTCTTCCTCTATCTTGTGCTCAAGATAAAATATTATTACGCCGTTTATGGAAGCATGGGAGAGTAACCTCCATGACCGCTGCCTCTTACCGCCGGTCGTAACATACCAACACCAAATCTTAGAATAGCTAGTAAAACCTGCGCCAGATGAAACTGTATGTGTCTTGATTTAGGGATATCTATCTCTACCTAAGAACTGCAGCTACATTGCATAGCTCGCTCAGTCTTTGGGGGGTCATCCGTCCATCGAATTTCCTCGTCCTTGTCGCCATTGTATGTCTTGCCATCAAACGGTTCGCCATCCCAGCGATCTTCGAATGGGTTCAAAGACATCTGCATGACGCGATTCAATACGTCTCTCTCGCCATCCTTCTCTACGCGTTGGATGAGTTCGTCAAGGATCCAGCCGCGAGGCACAAAGTTAGGGTTCACACGCTTCATCGCGTCGATTCTCTCGATGTCCTTTGCGTCTGATACGCTGTCTCCCTCGTCCTTCCAATCTTCGATGATGCGCTCCCGCCAGCTCTCGAGCCAAATAGCTAGGCGTGCTCGGGCGTCTTCTTCAGAGACGGTGGTTGGGGGGCCTTCTTTGTGGAAGAAGACGGACGCCTTCTCCTTGCGAGCTTCTTCGGTGGTCAAGTCCTGCAACTTGATCTTGCTAAGTCGGCGGAAGAAGTGATGGAAGTCGAGCTCCAAGGCTTCCAAAGTGTCGAGGGCCTCACTAAAAAGCACATCGAAATCGGAATCCTTGTGCGTCTTGAGTCCCAGGCGAGCAGTCATGAGTCGCTTGTACTCAGCAAGGAATACAGCCTTAAACTCTTCTCCAGCTTGTGTAATGAGTTTCTCGGCCCTTGCCACGACTTCCTCTTCTTGCTCTTTTTTAACACCCTCTGTCACAAAGGTCTCGTCGTCGACGTTGGCCCCTGCTCCCATGAGCTCGCCGATGGCCTCGCCAAAGCGAACCAGATTCCACCAAATAATGGTGGGCTGGTTTCTATAACTATAGCGAAGTGCGAAATCATCGTGATTCGGTGTATATGCAGGATCAAAATTATCCATGAAAGCAAAGGGGCCAAAGTCTATCGACAATCCATAGATGGAGGTATTGTCTGTGTTCTGTGGTAGGTCAGCACGATGTCGACACAGCGAAGAACAAGTCACTTACCAAGACACCGTTCATGAATCCGTACGCTTGCCAGTGAGCCACCACTTTAGCATTGCGACGCACGACTTCACGGTAGAATCTCGTAAATCGGTTTTCCTCAGAACCATCTGCACCCTCAATGCTGTCGGCAGCAACTCCACGCTTGAGTTCTGGAGAGTCGACAGGCTTGTCCGGGTTTTCCAGTCGAGCAGGCAGCTTATCCCAACCGCCAAAGACATCCTCAGCGATGTATGTGGCAAGTTGTCTAATCAACTTGCGGTCTCCTCTCGCTCGCAGAATATCAAAGTTACCGAGGCGTACCCACGACTGTGCAAACCGCAGTACTATCGCACCCGGCTCAATCCTTTCTCGACGAACCTTGGATTCTGGCAGTAGGGTGAGTGATAGAGCTCTAGTGGTGGGGATTTTGAGAGCATTCAGTGCCTCTGAGACGACAAACTCTCGGATACTGGATCTCAGGACAGCCTTTCCGTCGGCAAAGCGTGAGTAAGGTGTCAGACCGGCGCCCTTGAGTTGAAGCTCATATCGCTCGCCAGATGTAGTATTGGTTGACTCGAAGAGGGAGATAGCTCTACCGTCGCCAAGCTGGCCAGCCCATTGACCGAATTGAAATCCTCCGTAGCATTGCGCCCAGGGATACCCACCCTCGAGCTTCTCTTCATCCCATCCATATAGCTTATTTCCAGCTACCATCTGTTTGAAGTCGTCCGTAGTTTCCTCTCCCAGCTTGATTCCCAGGTCACGCATCGCGGCCGGGCTGACAGCTAGAAGCTCCGGGTCCTTCTGTTCGGCAGGGCGCACCCAAGTGTATATGGCATTGCGGACTTGTCGGGGACCTATCTGATCTCGGGGAGTTTTGTGTGAGTCGGCAGGTGTCGGGAACATCGAATCTGCAGGAAGGGACTCGGTGAAATGCCATGACTTGGGCAGATCCTGGAGCGTTGTTCCTTCATAGCCGGAGGCGGGCGACAATGCGCCATTTCCGTTGGAAAAGTGAGCAGCCATTTGCTTAATTCGCGGTAAATGTGAAGTTGGTTGTGAGCGCGGTACAGCTCTGCGGAGGGCGTTGCGACAGAGCATCAACGGCGAGAATTTATGTGCGGGGAGAGGTTGAGATTAAAAGGAACGTGTGAGCATTTGGAATCATCTGCTGCGATATATCAACAGAGGGATTACTATCGCCTCAATGGTACATCGGGGCGATTAGTTATGACGGTGTTTGGCTGACAAAGTGGCAAGTATTGACGATTAACGTCGTTTATCTTGACATCACATCCGGAGCTTCGGCGCCGCCCCCACGATCGGCTCTTGATCCAAATCTGACAGCTTCGGTACTAAAGTCGAAACCCCCGGTTGTTCGGATGCATGTAAGACGGAAACGGCCCGCGATTTAACTTCACTGCCAGTATTACGGAGCATGTAAAATTAATATGCGGAATAAAATATGAAACGAAATCAAAGCAACAAGAATACTGCCCAGCTGGTCACTTGTCCAGTTGTGTTTGTGATTTACCCTATAGCCGTTGGTGATGTTGCGTAATTTTCATATAAATTACATATTTATGGCGGTTATGACGTGCTTCGGTGATAATGTGTAAGTCTGGACCATAAACAATACTTTTATCATCGAAATAGAGAAGCATAACAATAGTAGTAACTGCAATCCCAACAACGAATATGAGGACTTTAGCCAGCCAACATCTGTGTTACACAGCAAAAACCTCTATACCAGATTTAAATCAAGATATACCGTAGAGGGCAACAGTCCGACCTAATTTAGACTTTGAACGGTTGACAAACTTGGCTTGTTATCATTACAAAAAAGCTAAGCTTGTGTTTAAAACGGTTGTCGTTGCTCTGATAGGGAGATAGATTGCCAGCAAATACGTTAACATACAGCGGATAGAACAGCGAAAGTCAAACTGTAGTAAACGGGTTGGCTATACCGAATCTTATGCTCTCCATGTCTGCGTACTCGTATCTCATCGAGAATACCCGATACAAAATCACCGATAGACAAATTGAGCCATTGAGTGTCTCAATTGTCCATCATGCCGTCATCGATACCAGCTTGTATTCCCCAATTGGTGTAGAAACATGTGCAAGCAAACGGCAACAAGTGTTTTGACCCATGGCAAATATTGTAACCTACCGTTGAGCAATGAGCCAAATACGACATGAGTTATCAATCACGGAAATAGTCCCACTTCAATCGCCATCTGATTACCGAGCACTGATCGATAGGAAGGGTGAGTGGGGGCAGTACTTAAACTACCTTACACTTCGACTTCACATCCTCGGCAACTCTTAATCATCAACAACAACTTGCAGAGCTGGAAACTTGAGAGATTCATCAGCTCACTATCGTATTGACCAAGAAATCATATCCAATAACATTGCTTGAAAAACCATCAAAATGGGCAGCGTTGCTACATCTCACGACATCCCCAGCTACAAGCTCAATGACGGCACTCAAATCCCGGTGGTATGTTTGTCTTCACCATCTCAACAGAACCCCACCAAAAGATCGTCAAAATCTCAATGAACAAAGCTGACATCCGGCAGCTTGCGTTCGGTTTGGGTACAGCTCAGTACAAGAAAGACTCTCAAAGTGGATTGGATCAACACGTAGTCGATATTACTACAAAGGCCATTAAGACCGGATACCGCCATCTCGATGGTGCCGAGGGTGGGATTGCACATATTTACTATACTTGATATCAATACTAACTGCCCAACAGTCTACGGCAACGAAGAAGAGCTCGGACAGGCCATCAAGGCCGGTGGTGTTCCTCGTGAACAGCTTTATGTCACCACCAAGATCCCTGCTGAGAAGCAGGGTTCTGCTATTGATTCCTTCAACGTTTCCCTTGAGAAGCTTGGCCTTGACTACGTCGATCTCTACCTGATCCATGGCCCCTGGTTTGCTGAGACCGACGAGGACCTTCAGCAGCGCTGGTCTGAGCTGGAACAGATCAAGGAGTCTGGAAAGGCCAAGTCCATTGGAGTTTCCAACTTCTTGCAGGTGCACCTTGAGGCCATTCTCAAGACAGCCAAGGTCAAGCCTGCTATCAACCAGATTGAGTACCACCCGTACCTTCAGCATGGCGATCTTCTTGATTTTCACAAGAAGCACAACATTGCCGTGTCTGCGTACTCCCCACTTACTCCCGTTGTCACAGCCAAGGGTGGTCCTGTTGACCCTCTCTACACAAAATTGGCTGAGAAGTACGGCGTGACAGAGTCCGAGGTCGGTCTTCGATGGGTTATTGACCAGGACATCATTGCTCTCACTACAAGCAACAAGGTTGAGAGACTTGAGGGCTACTTGTCGAAACTTCCCAAGTTTAAGCTGACACAGGATGAGATTGCCGAGATCTCTAAGCTTGGTGCCAAGAAGCACTTCCGAGGATTCTGGAAGAACAAGTTTGATGAGAACGATAGATCGTAAGCCCAAAGTAAGGCTGTGGCGTGGTTCATGTATTATGGTAAACAAATAGTAAAAAATCGGCCAACATTGGATGGTCAGCATCTGATATATAGTCCCAATCAAATCAACACAATGTTCAACGCTATGCTATGCTATGCAATGTCATAAATCGTCCTTCAAAGCTCATCGTCCGACTCAGTCTCGCTGCCAGCAGCGGCAGGGACAGGAGTAGTTTTTGCAGTCTTTTTTGTTGCGAATGGAAGAGCTCGAGGCGGTGGAGGCGCTTCGGCAGTTTTCGCAGGAGCCTTTTCTTGAGTAGCGGCTGTTGATGCAGGGGCATAGACTTGTTGAGAGGGACTCAAGTGAACACCAACACCAGCATCAGCATCACTTTCGCCGTTATCGCTATCGACCGATGCAGTCACTTCGGTCGTGTTCCCAGGATCTGTATCCTCGGCCTCTTGTTTGATATCGACATCCATAACGTCAGCGCCAGCATCGTCATCAGACTCTTCTACTCGCTTTGTCGCAGGCGCCTTTCTCTTCGCAGTCCTGGACTTGCCAGCTTGGCGGGCTGGCTTCTTTGGCTTCGGTTGTTCGATTTCAACCTCCACAGCCTGAGAAAATTGCGATTGACCCGCCAAACTGGGATTCGCTGCTAACGCCGCTAAGGATTGCTGTTGCTCCCGGATCTTCAACTTCTTTTCGTTCAAGAGGTCCCTGAACTTTCTCAGCAATGCGGTCTCATCCTCATCCTTCGCCCTGATGAGTTCCTCTAACTGAGACTGAAGCTGGGTTGCAGCGGACTCTGCTTCAGACGACTTGACTGATAGGTTGGCCGCAGCTTGTTTACTGGCAGCAGATGATTCAACGGCCGCACCGCACCACTCGAATAGTTCGATGGCCTCATCTGAATCATGGTTTAAAGTAATTGCACCAAGTCGTTGCTACGGCAGTTAGTCACAAACCCCTATCTCAGAATGGCATCAGTCTTACAGTAATACCCCGTATTTCTTTTCGAAGGGTTATTGATATAGACTTTTCACTTTGCACTGTGGCTGTAGCCTGGATATCCGGAAGGGGTTCCTGGTGAAACAGGTTCTCGAGAATCTGTTGCCATTCGCTCTCTGATGCGGGACAATTGTCGACACGTAAGGACATGACCCTATCATGTTTCACTAACTTTCAAGTCAGATTCAGGGATCGAAATAATAACCATTTGCGTCAACGCTGGAAATTATGGACTAGGGGTACAAATTGCGATATAGCGTCGGGAATGAAATGACTTACATGAAGCAACGTATGGTTCTTCCCCTTCAGTCCCTACCAATTTGAGGTCCAGCGGCTTTGAGCCCTTTGGAGTTACCTGCAAAAGCACAAAGGCAGTCGTGTCATCGTTACGAGGGAACCTGAGAACATGCATCGGAGCCATTGGGAATAGTAGACACAGCCGGGGCTCAAAGAGTCCAGGGAGAGTTTGTTCGTAGATATCCGCCAACACCAAGGATCTAGATCAAGACCAGTGGAATGGTGGCAGATACCGATGCTGTGGGAGTGATTTGGAACAGATACAACTCCCTTGTGGGAATAGCGAGATGGGAAGTGAGACACGGCAAACGGGCCGAAGAGATCAACGCTCGAGATTTGGCTTGCTAGAGGAATGAAGGCTTTGATGAAGTGAAGCTCGAAACTGTATGAGCTAAACAAGTGTGCCTGGATCCAAGCAGCCGAGTAAAGTAAATAGAGTAACGAAAGAGTCTCGACAGGGGCGTGGGCGTTTTGGCGTCAGTGTAACGAAAGTTGATCGTTGGCAGTAGCTTCAGTTCAGTAGGTTTGGGTTCTGGCTACGTCGTGACTCGTTTAGGATCAGTTGTTGATGGTGCTTGGACCATTTATTAAGTTGAATGATCCGCAGGAGCTGAGCGGCAGTCCAGGGTTTGGCGAGAAGCTCGTGCGTAGAGACTCTGACCACGAGAAGGGAGGGACAAGCTGAAGGACTTGAAGAAGACTAGGGAAGAGGGAATTCCTTTGTTGGTGTTTGTCTTTGTTTGACGTTATTTAATAAGACGGGAGTAATTCGATCTGACTGTAGGCAGCCATAAGAGACTGCATGAAGAAGCGGGAGGCTGCAGGCTGCAACCGGCCTCGAGCCAGGGCAAGGGCACCTCATCTCCAGGCCACATGGCCACCCGCTCCAGGCACCTGCCGCTAAAAGGAGCCCGTCAGGGACCTCAACCTTAGCACTTGAGTTCGGTCAGATTGTACCGTATTATTTCCACGCCATCACTCAATGAATGAATGTCAAGGATTCTCAATTTTGATTTTATTGACAGCATACCATTGAAAAACTCTGCTAGAGACATGAGCAAGTTCTGGTTAGCTACAGTTGTTTGACAAGAAATTGTCCCTCAATGCTTGCTACAATGCCATTCCAGCTCAGCGCTTTAAAGCTACGATGGCGGTTCCCAAAGGAGTTTATATCCCGCCCAGTAGAAATGGAGTCATTCACTAGTGAGGTGGCCTGCATGTGAAGACCCATCTTGCTGTGAGTGAGATCGTGCCTGAACCTGGCTGGTGGAGTTATGAACCTGTCAGGTCTGTACATGAAATAAAGTCATCGTGCAGGGACAGATATTTTTCCCCCTGAGACATGTTGGAGGGGAGTTCATCTACGTGATACAGCCCCAACCTTGGAAGGAAATGTAGAAGAGATCAACACAAACCAGCAACAACAATAACATCATCATCGTCAGGGTAGCAGTGTATAGTACCTGGCCCGGCAGGTTTTTAGCTTTCGTGAGATCATCAAAGATCGTCCAGGCACGCCAGGCACAAGATATGGAGGCAGAAAGCTTGGAAACATAGGTGGAAGCTGAATCCTCACAGCAACCAGCCACAAACTTAAGTGACGTTGGATGAAGAGAAGCTCCTTTTACTGATAAGGTATAGTTAGATACTGACTTTCTATCTGTACCAACCTGCTTACACGTCGCGACCATGACGCGTGAAGGTTTTGGACCAATCGGACTGCTCCCCAGCTGCAAACGGTTCAGTTGCTCATTGTTTTTGCAGCTACCGTTGTTTAGGTTGTGCAACAACAGGCTAGTCACGTGTAGACGGGACACTTTACAGTACAGTAGGTAGGTACCTAGAGAAACTCAATTCTCACAAACCAACACTCGAATGTTCCAACAAAAGCCCCTGGTAGGAACTCATTTCAGGTGTAGTCTCAGCAAGCCTTCTTTTGTAGTGTTTAAATAGCGCAGTGACCAAGAGTGACCACTTGCCCTGTGGGGATCTGCCCATAGCGATCGCAGTGCCCAGCAACAGATGGTCCCAGTGGGCACGTCCCTTAGTAGTTAGCGGGGACCACCTCCAGCCACGCTTACAGTTACCCCCCAGCCATTTTCTTTTCCCTGGATACGTTACTTGCAGCTGCTGGACAGCCCACCAAAGAAAACCAAACAAATCAATCCATCTTGTCCACCAGCGACCGCATTCCTGACCTTCGCATCCTGTTTCGCACGTCACCCTCGCGATCATCGAAAAATCCTTTCCTACAACTCTAGTATCAAAAACCGAATACCCTCCTCTTGCGATTTCTCTCTGTCGATCTTGCTTTTTCCTTTTTGTCTATCGGCCCACGTTACTTTCAATCCGTCTCCATACGGCGCCCCGACGTTACGACGTCTTTTCTTTGTTCCTCCGACTACCACCACAGACCTCTCTGCAGCTTCGCTTGTCCGCCAGCACATCAACGATACGCACAAAGCCACCAACCAGCTGTCAGAGCCCCTGCAGGATCCACGATATCTATCATTACGACTTTTGTTGATTTTTGAACTTCTTTGACGTTACTATTATTTTTTAAGACCGTGTCATCCACGCCGTTCAACGCTTGGGGATATGCTTTTGTATGCGGGGAACAATTGCCGTTGACAAGAATGACTGTACGCAATTGACATCGCGTTTCTAACAGTCAGGCCAAACGCTTTATTTTTGCCGAATTTTGGCCCCAACCTTTAATTGCGAATCACTTCTAACAACACAACCGCTATCATGGAACCTTTACGACTTAAACCCAGACAACCTGTGGAGGCCGACATTGAAAACTGGGATGACGATGATTTTGTCGTCGAGGGCGACGACCTGTCCTTTCGCAGTCCATCCACGGCCACTAACATTCCATCCCGGCCATCATCTTCAAGACGCCGGGATTCTGGTTCTTCGCACTTCTCCTTCCGATCTGAGGTTGAGGGAGAAGAGGAGAAGCATGTTCACATTCCAGGCGACGACGAGAAATCAACCCTGGATGCTATCGCTGCCGCACAAAATGCTGGCATCCCCTTACCAACTAATGTCCCATCTTCTGCCCTAATGGGGGGTACGATTAAGCGTCTTGGTGGAAGAAAGATCAGAAAGATCATTCAAGATGACTGGGAGAATGACCTAGAGATGCCCGACTCGTCCCAAGGCCTCAAGATGAAGAGACCAGAACAACCTAAATCCCCCGAGACTTCACGACATGTCAGTTTTGGATCGACTTCTACTCACACCAGTCCTATCAACTGGGGCAATTCACCCCCTACTTCTCCCTTTGACAAGGACAACCGACGAGAATCTACTCAATCTATTCAGTCTTTCCAGAGCATGCAGTCTATTCAATCTGCGACGAGTAATCTTTCAGCCGCTATCAACTTGGATAGATTCAAAGACGATGACGAAGATGACGATTTCTTTGGAGGCGACACTATCAGAGCCTCCAAGACCCGTCCACTTCCACTTCCCAAACCTGTTTCTTTTATCACACCCCCCACTCCTCAGAGAGATTCTAAGCCCGCTAATGCCAACAACACCGAAGATGATTTTGAGGCGGATCTGGAACTTCCATCAGATGGGAAACTGAAGCTTACTACGAGAAAGGAGATCCCCAAGACGCCCGCCAATCAATCCGATGATCTGGATTGGGGAGAGGGAAGCTTGGGGACTAGATGGGGTGGAACTCGGCGAGACGTGCGCTCTGCTAGGAGCTCCGCTGCTTCTGCCCTTAGCCCTAGTGTTTCGAGCTCTATCACTGCTGAGAGCGAGGACGAGACGTTTGATGGACTGATTCTGCCCGCCGGTCCTGTGAACTGGACAGAGAGACTCCAGCAGCGTCGAAAGAGCAAGTCTCCCAATCGAATCTCCGAGGAACCCATTGTGCCTGCAAAGAAGGTACCAGCTGAAGCTGACAAGCCCGACTTTCTTGACGGACTCGATATTGGTGAAGGAGATGTTTTTGACTCGAGCAAGCTCACCCTCCATAAGAATGTCAAGGTCAAGGAGGCACGTCCGGCTAGCCCGGCTCGCCCTAAAGCGGCACTGTCTCTTACATTTACGAACAAACCAGTCACTACTTCGACCCGGATCCCTCGTCTGAACCACCATGAGCGAACCCACTCAACATCCCTGGAACCAGTCTCAGAGAGTGGCGGCCCTATTCCCCAGCGTAGCCGTCGCTCACACTCTAGAATGGGCCACTCAGCTCAGTCATCCATCGCTAGTATGCCAACTCCCACAACAACTTCACCATCTCGCGGGCTCCCTCCACCACCCCCACGCAGAAGGGAAATCGGCACGCGAACCTCGACAACCTCGCTTCGCACTGAACCAACTACGACCAGCGCTCAGCTTCTTAAGCAGAAACGCTCGCTGCCAGCCATCAGAGCATCGAATACTCCGGGCAGACAGTCGGCGTATCGTCATGATAGGCCACCATCAAGATCCGAAAACAATCGACCGTTGTCTGGAATACGGCCAAAGACGCCCACTGAACGTCAGCGCCAAAATTCAACCGACAGCCCTGCAACTGTTCGCAAGTCCCACCTTCCATTTCTGCCAGCCGGTGCCTCTCAATCACAGTCGCAGCACGTTGCTACCAAGCATACTCGTGGATTCCGTCGTCATGACTCCGACACTTCCATTGGATCCATTGATTTGCGTCCCAGTTCTCGCACGCTTTCGCGATCCACAATGCGGTCGCCCAGCCCCAACCATCGCCATCGCGCGACTGCTGATACTTGGGAGCGTTTGAGTAAGCCAAAGCACAAGAAGAACTTTGGCGATGGTCACGAGTTGGATGGCTTCGATGATTTACCTACATCGAAAGAAACTGAAACAAGGTACCTGAAACAGCCTACCAGCTCAGGACCCAAGGTTGCCATGCGCAACAAACTCTACCAAAATGTTCTTCCAGACAGAAACTCGGCGAATTCTCCATCAATTCCCCCAACTCCCCGACCTTCTTTTACTCCTCACTTTGCTCGTGATACCGCTGCAAGTAGAATTGCACGGGAGACTTCACTGGCACAACGAGTCCCTAGTAACGGTCCGTTGACACCCTTGAACTCTCAGCGGACCACTCAGCTTTCGTCGAGGAGCAATTTGACCCCTACCATTCCCCACCACTCGAATATCCGATCGAGGAAACACAAACGACCTCAACAGACAAAGCCGCATCTAATTTCGAACCTGAACAGTGGCAAAGAGTCAAAGAGTAAGGCTATCAAGAATAAAGCCAGTACTCTCGCTAACAAGGACATAGTGGTCAACGGAATGTTTTACAACGCAGACACATACCGGTGGGAGGGCAATGAGAACGCGCTCAATGTTTTTGACCCCCCTGTACAAACACCCACTCAAGTGGTTGCGTCGACCACTACGCGCGAAAAGGAAAACGCAACACCTCGTCCGGCATTGATCACAAACATTAGCGCTACCAAGGGCGTCCAAGTTGTCGGCGGCATGGTCTTTGACCCTCAAAACATGTGCTGGCTCAAACTCGATAACCCAGCTAAACCATCCTCCGAGACTAGTGATACCATGGATGGATTCGACGCGCTTGACGACGAGGATGTCTTCAAGGACATTCCTGATTTGGAAGACAATACCGCTGACGATGAGGGCGCTCAAGGTCGTGTTAGCGACATTAAGGATGAATGGCTTGTCGGCGAAGAGTTCGACGTGGGCCCCGAGTTCATCAGACGACAACGGGAAGAAGAAGACCGATGGAGAAGAAAATGCGAGAAATGGATCGGCCGAGGATCCAGAGATCGCGAAGCTTGGCGATGGACGATCCGCGAGCTTGTCTCACAATTCGACGATTTGGCAATGTGAGAATTTCGAGCCTCAGGGCTCTTACCATTCTTCGGCATCATTGTTTAAGCAACAATTTGTAATGAACACTCACCATACCGAGTACTTGTGGATACCCAACTCGGCAGAATACCTACATTGCATCATGCTAGGGACGAGTAATCGGTTGTCACGAAGTATTATGACTGGATACCCCCGGGTGGTTTGGGTTGTTTTTATGCGTTATGACAAGGTAATGGATTTTTGACGGGTTATTGTATTTTTTTTCCGCCAGCACCAAAGGGATTATGATGATGACCATGTATTATATGGCAACGATGGATTGGACTGGCCTGGGTATTGATGAATGATAGAAAAAAACTGATGGAAAGCAGCAGCACCCCGCCTTGCGGAAGGGGAACTGGGCTATTTAATGACGAGATGAACTTAACGACCTACTTTAACCGACATTCTCTTTTAGATTTCTTTTGTAACTTAACTTAGTCAGCTCTTATAGCATAGCAAACGAAATTTCCTTGAACGTTGTGTGTCTTGTGATACCATACCGCCTGACGTGATGCTATAAGTTATTGCTCAGATATCAAACATCGCAGTACATATCCATGAATACGCCTTTCTTCAGAACTAGCTATCAATGCTCATTGTCACCGTAACTCTATGGTTGTTTCTCAAACAATATCACATAAAGTTGCAGCAATGTTATTATAGCTGCCGATATTGTAACTTAAAAAACACCTCTTGTTTATTATCTAACGTATAAGATGGAAGAACGTCTACATGACCAACACAAAAAGTCATCAAACCCATAACCATTTTTAGAACAACAAACTCCTGACAACAGTAGAAAAACTGATATCTACTTTTTGCTCTCCTTCTTCTCCTTCTTGGCCTTGGCCTTTTTGCTGTTGCTATTAGGATCCAAACCTCTTCGGCGCATGGCGTTCCTTCGTCCCTTCTCCATGTATTCTTGATCCTCCTCTTCGTCCCAATCACCAAAGTCGTCGTTCTTCTTTGTCTTTCCGGCCTCATCCTCATCATCGGTAGTGATGGGTGTCTTGTCGATAACCTCGACCTCGTCAGCTGGGCCAGTAGTGCGATCGCGGGCATTAGAGGCGCTGGCGGGTGTGGGACCGATCTTCTGGAACTTTGCAACGTAGAAACCGTCGACGTTAAGAGAATGAGGGTAGAATCGTCGTGTGCGGTTCAGAGAGGCATCGAACTTCTTGCCCATGTAGCTGGTGAAACCCTCCTTGCCGAATGTGATGCCGGTTTCAACAAGACGAACGTTGGGACGGCGGGAGAGAGCATAGTTGACGACCTGCTCGTTCTCCTCAACAGTGACGGAACAAGTGGAGTAAACGATGTAACCGCCTGTCTTGGAAGCGTGGTTGACCGAGTCGATAGCAGCGAGAAGAAGCTGCTTTTGGAGGTGAGGGAGTTGCATAAAGTCGAGCTCGGTCTTGTTGGTCTTGACGCTGGGATCCTTGCCAATGACACCGGTTCCGGAGCAGGGAGCATCGAGAAGGACACGGTCAAAACCACCCATAGGCTTGGGGAACTCTCGGGCATCGTAGTTGGAGACGATGACGTTACGGCAACCCAGACGGTGGATGTTACCAATAAGACCCTTGGCACGAGCCTTGTTAGGATCGTTGGCAACAACAATACCGGTGTTCTTCATCATGGCAGCCATGTAAGTAGTCTTTCCACCGGGGGCAGAGGCCATATCGAGTACGCGCTCGTTCTCCTGAGGGTCGAGAGCCATACAGGGCAGGAAAGATGAGGCAGCCTGGAGAATGTAGTGACCAGCAAGGTACTCAGGAGTGGCACCAAGAGGAACACTGCTCTCGAAAACTTGAAGACCGACCTTGGACCACTTTCCAATAGGCTCGAGGGTGACTCCACGGTTGATAAGAGCCTGTGCAAGGTCACGACGGTGGGTGCGCAGGGTGTTTGTGCGAATAACGACGGGACGCGGTGTCTCGTTAGCCTCGAAGAAAGCGAAGGCCTCGCGAGGCGTGAAGAGGTTGAAAAGCTTCTCAGCGAGGTATTCGCTGTATCCATAGTATGCAGTAATGTCTTTGACCAATTGAGCCGTGTATTCGGCTCTCGAGCGACCTTCCTCGGAAAGCTTGGCAAAGTCGTCGAGAACGCGGATGTTCTCAGTGATTCTTGTTCGCAGAAGCTGTAGGTCGGGTGCTAGGAGAGCGTTTGTCTTGGTAGCGAGCTCGTCGTCGGTGTCCTCGTCGGAGAGGATATGAGGCTTGTCACCGTCGATGTTGGTCTGGAGAGCCGCCTCGGCCATCTCAGCCTCCGCCTCGGCAGCTTCCTCTGCCCTTTGAGCATCCAATTTCCTTGTAAGACCCTCAATGTTGGCGGCTGTGAGCTTCTCCTCGGCATCTGACTCGTCCTCATCTTCAGAGAACATAGCCCTTGTGTTCTTGCCTCCACCCTCTTCGTCAGAGTCGAATACAGAGTCGTCGTTGTCAGAGTCGAGGAAATCGTCCTTGAGTCCAGCGCCGCCGAGGTCTGATGAACCATCCTCCAAATCATCGAGGTCGAACTCATCATCCATCTCCTCATCGTCGGAAAGGTCTTCTAGTACCGGCGCAGGGGCCTTCTTGCCCTTCTTCGCTCTGCCATTTGCCTTTGGCGCAGGAGCAGGCGCCTCGGCAGCCTTTACAGGCTTGGTAACCTTTGTATTCTTAACATCCTTCTTGACAACACCGTTCTTCTTAGGCTCGACGACCTTCTCCCTTGTGACGGTTTTGCGCTTCTTCTTCTCGGGGGCCTCAGCGACAGGATCAGCAGGCAGACCGGCCTTGCGCTTGAGCTTTGCGAAATGTTCCTCAGATAGGGGTTGGGGAGGACCCTGCTTCTTCATGCGACGACCGACACCCATTTTGAATTATTGTGTCGAATTGAAATTGTTGTTGAAGAATTGATTCGACCAAGATGCAAAACAGATCTGGTCTTGTTCTTTGGCCTAGGAAAAGTTACAATAGATCGCGCCCCGCCGAAACTTTTTTTCTGCGCGCGCTGATAGCAAGGGTCCGATAAGCGGCAGAACCTCGTATCGGCCAATGCGAGATCAGCTACCTTAGTCAGCCACTGGGTGGTCAGTTGCTGCGGCGTGGAGCTTGCCGTCTCGTAGAGGTGGTGTTCAATGACGATACTTTGAAGTTGTTCACTACTGATTACACTCCTATCATTGCGAGTTTCAGCTTTTACTACCCTATCAGATATTTCAGAGAGTATCTGAACTCGCATTGCCCTGGGTGTTGTTTCCTATACACCTAGATCGCATTTTCCTTATACAAGCTCAACCCCGCCTTCATCGAGCTTATAGCCAACTTCATCTACGAAGCTATCACCATGTCTGAAACCGCCTTCGCCCAGACGTTCCTCGCGTCGCTTGAGTCGCGGCCCGTTCGCCTCTCAGCCGATCATTTCGAAGACCCCAAGACCTTCCCGCCTCGGCCACCTGTATGATCTTTCCCTCTAATTCCAAAAGTCATCCTCTAATGTTGCTTCCAGTACATTATCCCCCGCATGTCCAAGGCCATGAGCAAGCCTAATGGTGTCGCCCCCGGTTCTGAACGAAGCATCACTGTCACACTCAAATCCCTTCGCAACCCTCCTCTGAGCATCAAGCTTACTTCTCAACCCCTCGATACCTCGATCCTGGATATCAAGAACAACATCCAGAAGCAGACCAGGATACCTGCCGCTAAGACGAAGCTTCTACACAACAAGAAGCCTATTCCCGACAGCAAGATTCTCAAGGAAATTTTGGGAGAGACAGATACGTCTATTGAGTTTACGGTCATGGTTATTGGTGGAGCTGCTGCTATTCCACCTAAGGAGCCTGAGGCCGCCCCTGAGGCCCAACCTACAGGCGCACATGCGTTGGAGACGGAAGAATTCTGGAGCGACCTCAAGGGCTTCTTGATGCAGCGTTTAAAGGATGAAGCTGAGGCGGAGAATCTTTCAAGCCTCTTCAAGTCAAGTTGGCAATCGAACCGGGCAAACCCATAGATTTAGAAGCAGACACAGCATGACAGGGACGCACGATTAAATAGATAATAAAATGCCAATGATTGCCATATACCAGCATGCGGTTTTATTTCCCGGGGGTACGTACGATACATGGTCAGGGCTGGCAATTATGCGAATTTACGTTACGCCTCCAGAAGCAAACTTGTTGGTTTACGTCGGAGGAAACGAAAACCCATGTTCTCCCCGCGCCTGTTTCCATCCACTCACTATGCACTCCTACTCATTTGCTTTGCTTGCTTATTTTGGTGTCTCAACTCTTGAAACGACCATAGGTATGTTCAAATTTCATAACCGCCCGCTTCTATAAGGGAGCGCGGGACGGCGATTGGGTGGTTTCGTGACAGCGCGCTTAACCAGCAAGACCCTTGCTGACGGTCTTGAGGATGGAGTCGTATTCGATGTCATCAGTGTCGTTGGCCTGGAGCTCGGTGGCAATGCCGGTGAGCGATCGCTTGAGAGCCTCCTTGGAGGAAGCGTAGATCATCTTGGGCTGTAGTGGGGAGTCAGTTGTCTTGTCCTTGTGAGTTGGCCAAATGAGATGGATCCACGTACCTGGATACCGGCATCATCGGGAGACCAGGCAATGAAGGTGATCTTGTTTCTGCCCAATTGTTAGTTTGTTGGGCTATAGAATCGGGCCTCGTGCAGACTGCATACCGGATACCATCGCCAGAGGCCAGGCTGTACTCGAAGTCGTAAACGGCGTAACGGGGACCCTTGCCAACGGCACCCTACAGCAAAAGTGTCAGAATTGGTAATTCGGCTTTTTCTTTCTCTTCATTCGTTAAATTGGCATGCGTACAGTTCGGCTCTTGGAGGTAGCGTTGACGAGCTTCTCACGGAAGTCCTCCCAGTCGCTGTTGTCGGAGGCGTGCTCGACAACGATCTCCTTGTAGTCGTCGGAGAGCTTGTAGACGATGTACTTGTACTTCTTGTTAAGCTTCAAGTCGTTGAAAGCAGTTATGCAGTCCTGGGAAACGGTGGCTCTGTTCCAAAAAAGCAAATTATGAGGTTAGCGCGGTTGTCTCAGAATTGGCTGTCAGGCTGCTGCGTGCTGCCCCGCGGCGGGCGTCATAATCATGATCGAGGGGGAGGGGAGATGAGAAGCGAAGCGAGGTCAAGCCGCGGGGAAAACGAATCTCTGCGGGCGCGCGCGGATAAATAATTAAGGAGAGGAGCGAGAGTACGAACCCGGATTGAGACTGTAAGTAATTGTTAGATTCAGGGTCTTTTGGTGGCTTTGGAGAGAAGCTTACCATGATTGCGGTCTACGTCAGGAGACGGGATCTTTAGGATGAGGGGTGGTCGGGCTGGTGGGAGCTTAGAATTAGCTATCAAACGCAACAGGGAATAGGAAAAAGAAGGAATATTGGGTATTATGTATAGTGATGGATACAATAAGAGGGTATTGACGTACCGAAAGTAGAGTTAAGGAGGAGGAAAGAAATCGACAGTCTCACGATGCGAAAGGACAAAGTCGTTGGAAATGGGCGCTCGAGAGTAAGTAAGAGACGAGAGAGTGAGAAGTGGGTAGTATCTTAGTTTAGGCGGTAGAGCGAGAGAATTGTCCTGTCCCATAGAAAGGCGGGGCCGTTGCGGGAGAAACTTGAGTCGAGTCGAGGCTGGCTCTGGTCGTCTCCTCTCCTTCTCTTCCTGCTCCTCCTCCTCCTCCTCACCTCTTGTCTTGGTGGGGGTTGCCGTGAGATTAATCCTCCACGTGACTGACCAACTGTGTGCATCAATAAGGCATTGCTTTATGCATAGCTGGCCTTCTTTTAAGAAATAATCACATACTGCAGCTTTAATAGATATCATCTCGATTCAAATGATCACTGTCTATTCCTTCACGTTTGATGTAGAATTCTCTATCTAAACTGTCGACTAAAACAAACTGAACCCTTGCTCGTAATTCGTCATCCTGTTCATGCAACGAACCCCTGCTCTGTATTTCGGCGACTCGGAACCTGTTTTCAACCCACATCAGCTACCGAAAGTAAACATTTACTTCTTGAACAGACTAGAGATGAAAGCCCAATCTCATATAGATAGTCACTTCCGGATGATAGAAAGTGGGTAGAGCAGACAGGAACCTTCACTTTGAACAGGGCAAGTAGATTTAATGTTTTACATTTTCCTCTCTTTTGTATCTCATATCTTTTCATGCTAGTGCTACAATCAATGCTATTATACATGGCCCTCAAATGGTAGCCAGAAATTCCGTAAGGGGTATGAAGACAAATGTCGTGGTCCGACAACCGATAGAGAGGAGATGAGTTTGCAAGACCACTACACCCGTCCCGTCATAACACGCAAACCATTGTGCGCCGTTCATCCGTCCAACTTTTGCTTTTTTGTTATACAACACAACGTAAAGTCATATCATTCCGTTTCTTACATCATACCTCCCATACCACCCATTCCGCCCATACCTCCCATGCCGCCCATAGGAGGACCGGCAGGGCCCTTCTCCTCAGGGGCGTCGACGATGGCGACCTCAGTGGTACCCAAAAGAGAGGCAACACCACTGGCATCAATGAGACCAGTTCGGACGACCTTGAAGGGATCGAGGATACCAGCGTTGATCATGTCAACGTACTCGCCCTTGGAGCTGTCGAAGCCCTTGTTGAAGTCAGCGGCGTGCTCATCGGTGAGCTTACCGACAACGACGGAGCTCTCAAGACCGGCATTCTCGATGATGGTTCGGGCAGGGCGAGTGATGGCGTTCTTAACGATGCTGACACCGAGCTGCTGGTCGAAGTTGGCAGTGGGGACCTCGTTAAGGGCTTGAGCGGAGGCCTTGATAAGGGCGGTACCACCACCGGGCAGGATACCCTCCTCAACGGCGGCACGAGTGGCGTTCAAGGCGTCAACGAATCGATCCTTCTTCTCACCGACCTCAACCTCGGAAGAGCCACCAACCTTGATGACAGCAACACCGCCAGAGAGCTTAGCAAGACGCTCCTGGAGCTTCTCCTTCTCGTACTCAGAGGTGGTGGGGTCAGCGATGACACCACGGATCTGCTCACATCGCTGAGCAATGGCGTCCTTGCTACCGTTACCGTTCAGGACAATGGTATCCTCCTTGGTGATGGTGATGGAACCGGTGGATCCGAGCATATCGGGGGTGGCCTTGTCAAGCTTGATGTCAAGCTCATCGGTGAAGACGGTACCGTCGGTGAGGATGGCAAGATCGCCGAGGATAGACTTGCGGTTGTCACCGAAGCCAGGGGCCTTGACAGCAGCGACCTGGAGCTGGCCACGGAGCTTGTTGAGAATGCAGACAGCGAGAGCCTCACCCTCAATGTCCTCAGCAATGATGACGAGAGGTCGGCGCTGCTGGGTGGAGACCTCAAGAGCGGGGATGATGTCCTGGACAGCAGAGATCTTCTTCTCGGAGAGGAGAATGAGGGGGTTCTCAAACTCAACCTTCTGGGACTTGGTGTCGGTGATGAAGTAGGGGGAGACGAATCCACGGTCGAATCGCATACCCTCGGTGACCTCGAGCTCATCGGTAACGGTCTTGCCCTCCTTGCAGGTGATGACACCCTCCTTGCCAACCTTCTCCATTGCGTTGGCAATCATCTGACCAATGTGGACATCGCCGTTGGCAGAGATGGTAGCGACCTGAGCAATCTCAGCGCTGGTGGTGATGTCTCGCTTGTTCTTCTGGAGGAACTCGACGACGGCCTCAACAGCAGCCTGGATACCGCGGCGGAGGTCCATGGGGTTGCAGCCAGCGGCAACGTTCTTGACGGTCTCGGAGAAGATGGCACGGGCGAGAACGGTAGCGGTGGTGGTACCGTCACCGGCGACCTCGTTGGTCTTGGAGGCAACATCCTGGAGGAGCTTGGCACCGAGGTTCTCGAACTTGTCCTTAAGGCTCACAGCGCGGGCAACGGTAACACCATCTACAATGAGTTAGTTTGAAGTTTGCTTACGGTTTATGTAGCTTGTACGAACCCTTGGTGATCTTGGGAGAGCCGAAGCTGGACTCAATGAGGACATTTCGGCCCTTGGGACCGAGTGTGGTAGCGACCGCCTTAGCGAGGGTGTCGACACCAGCGAGGAGAGAGGCACGACCCTCAACACCGAACTTGAGCTCCTAGATTGTCTGTTAGTAAACAATTCGATGCCCATGACGTCCGAGTATCATCATACCTTGTGAGCAAATCGGACCTGCTGGCTGAGGCTGCCAGCTCGGTACTTGGTGGCGGCCGAGGACAGGACAGAGGCTCGGGCCCGGGTGCTCAATGCGCGCTGCATGATTGTGGAATTATGGGGTATATGGTAGAACTACAAGAAAAGGAGAAAAGAGAAACGCTCGTGAGGAATTCGACCTTGTGGGAGAGGACGGACGAGGAGAAAGAGGTTGGGAGAGGTGAGGGAGACGAAAGGTTGAGTTCATATGATGGCGAACGACTGAGCAGCTCCCAAAAAAATGGAATCGTCCCGTCGCTCGGAGCGTCGGATTCGGTAAAACCCAGAAGCGACGCTAAGCCTAAGAAGTACTAGCCCCGCCCGCCATCGATTTCTACACCTTTCCAACGACATCCGTGAAGCTCGCTGCTAAACGCCCTGGAAGACCAGTAAATGGGGCAGTCCAAGGCCTGGAACTGATAATACCGGAGCCATAGCCGAGGGCAACAGTGCAAAGGTCGCCTCTGACTGGGTTTTGACGGGTCACGCGCGGCTTTCAATGTCCAGACCAATTCTCTCCACGGCGAAAGAGTCTCCACTGCCCGATGTTGCATGACAAATGAATCGTCTGGGGTTCGCCGATTTTCCATGGGGCTCAACGGTGTAAGTTGTCTGGCCAGTAGACAGACTATCCAGGTGGACATGTATCTTGGCCTCAAGATGCCACATCTTTGGTGTTTTACAGCACGAATGCCATACTCAAAGCATCATATAGCTATGATTGTTCTTGATCATGTTTGCTACTGAAAAATCTTTCATATGCTCAGATGTCATGACAAGACGTCAAGGACATGAGAACCTCATGGTCTAAAACCTGAGAAACATCGTGGCTGACAAGGTAAAGATGGTTCCATAAGCAGGAGATGAATCCGGTTGCTATATCGACGAGTGTCACGCAAGATATAGTTACCGGCCGTCAAATGTAAGTTAGTCCAAGTAATAGCACAAATCAATTCCAACTATGTAGAAGTACAGAAAACTCGAGAGCCATGATCTTCTCGCTATGTACATCACGTTGATCAAGTCTGCACTCCGTCTGCACTCGATCTGCATGATAATCCCCAATATTCAATCCCGTCCCCCATCTAATTCCGCGCAATACGGCGGCGCTTGAACTTGCTCACCATGCGGTAAAGAGAAGATCGTTCACTTCGCTCAATGACTTCAGAATGAGTAGTTGTCTTCTTCTGCTTCTTCCCGGGCTTCTTAGCCGCAGTGGTAGAGGCCTCGGTGTCAAGTTCGTGCTTGTCCAGAGTGTCCATAGACACATCGCTTGTAGACTCGCTTTGGGTCACAGACATGTTTCTGCGAACTCCTTGCTGCCAAATCTCAACAGCAGACTCGAGAGCCTGACGAGCGTGGAGTCGGGCAGTCTCCTCAATAGTAACCTCGACAGCCTTCTTGATGACTTGAGGGAGCTCGTTTGAGAGGTTGTTGACAAGCTGGTTAGCGCTGGCGAGGTTCTGGGCTGTTGCATGATTATTGTAGGCATGAGGCTCCAGAAGGCCTTGCATACGAGCGAGGTGAGCAGACTGGACGTCAAGCTGTTCTCGGACGGCTTGGTTCTGTTTCTCGAGAGCATCGTTCTGCTTCTTGAAGAAACGGCTCTCCGTGCGAAGAGAGTATGACTGGTTTTGTAGAAGATCGTACTGGCGCTGGAGAGCATAGTCTTGCTGTTGGAGGAAGCCAGCGTGCTGTTGAGCTAGACTATTCTGCTGTTGAAGAGCATGGTCTTGTCGCTCAACAAGGTTGCTCTGCGTCTGAACAACTCCGGCTTGCTGTTGGGTGAGGTCGTTCTGCTGCTGGAGGAAGCCAGCATGCTGTTGAGCTAGACTGTTCTGTTGCTGAATGGCGCAGTCTTGTCGCTGAGCAAGGTTGTGATGTTGCTGGAGAAGATCACTATAGTGCTGAAGAGTTCCCGTTTGCCGCGTAACGAGGTCCTTGTGTTTCTGAACAGCGCGCTCTTGTTGCAGAGTGAGTCCGTTCTGTTGCTGGAGAACATGATCCTGACACTTGATGAAATGATCATGCTGTTGGAGAATACCGTTTTGATGCTGGAATATTTCACCTTGTTGTTTGAGGTTCATGCGCAGAGGCCCAGTAGCATCGGCAATGCTCTGCTCAATAGTGTGCTCGACCATAGAGCACATATCATCATCGAAATTGCTGAAGCCTTGCTGAGTGGGACGTCGGACCACTGCGTTGGTAGCATGATAGTAGCGCTGCTCATCCTCAACAGCTTGAAGGTAGTGGTTGACACGACGAGCGGCTTCATTCTGGCTTTCACACCGACGACGAGATGCAGAGCGCTGTTGAATACCAAGTGCAATCTGCTCACGAAGGTGAACCCAAGATGGTGGAGCAGGCTTCAGAATGTCACCGCGAATACGTCGTAGATATACGAGAGAGCTAAAGTCCTCAGCAACAGCATGGGCATCGAGAGCGGTCTCCGAGGTGCCAGGAAATTCACCGTTGTGGCGGGCTTCGGCAAGTGCTAGAGACATAGCATGGATCTCCGGGTCTGTGAAGACTTGTCCATTGTGAACAGTGGTATTAGTGCCAGTGTTCCAACGGCTGTATGGTTGTTGAGGAGTCTCAGGACGGAGGAGGAAAGCTTCGATGGGTGACTCAGGAGGAGAGCTGTTCCCACCAAAGGTGTTGGTCTCGAGGGAAGGCTCATACTCAGTGGTGGCAGAGTCCTCAATTTGTTCATCCTTATGAGTGACAGCAAGCTTCTCAAGATGGGCGACGACAGGAGACATGGCATCGTATTCGGGCGTGATAGTGCCAGGCTCGGAGTTGTTGTCCTCAAAGGTGACCTCCAAAGGAGTACGAGGAGGAGAAGAAGTCCACATCTTGAAAGATTGTTGAGCAGAAATGAAGCTCAAGAATATAGAAGAAAGATTGCTCTCTTCAGCACGGTTGCAGTGATATGTGAGAGTGTCTTGAGAGTATTAGCTCGAGGTCAGGGAGGCTGCGGGGGATGCAATGAACACTCACGAGAAGCAAGTTCAAGTCGAAGATGTTCAAAGAAGCTTTCGATCAGCGAGAGAGGAAGACTTTAGCAACGAAGTTCAGCACTTGTAAAAGAAGAGACGATGGCGATGAAGCTCGATGATGTTGATAGAGAGCCAACTATGAGTGTGGAAGAGGGAGAAAAGAAAATCTCAAAGCTCAATGGGAGGAGAGCTTAGTGGAAGCAGATTCAAACATAGCTTGCAAACCATTAAACCCCCTCATTTGGATCAATTAACGAAATCTGTATTGTTCTATTCATGTTTAAGTGCAACAATACAATACGTTGCATATGCACTGTGGAGCTGCGCTGGTCGTGACGGCGCTGGCACTGGCACTGGCACTGGCAGTGCAAGGCAGCTGACAAAAGTCTGCTCTCTAGCTCGTTTGATTTGATCTCAGTAGTTCTGACATCTATAGTTCTGCGTCCAACGAAAAGGGGTTTTGTGCGTAAATGCAGCGTCCCGGTGTCGGAAAGTGACCACGGAGAGCATAAGAGACGAAATAATTTAGACGCCTTAGGTCGTCTCTTAGGCTTTTTTTGTTTTATCATCAAGGATTCAGGGTTAAAAGTCATCTGGAGTTCTCAAGAGATTATCACAACATGTATACATAGGTGAAGGGCAGAATTTATCATCAAGCATATGCTTTCACATTAATAGTCCATCGTGTTGTGACTACCTAGGGATGTCTTCAGACTATCCTCAATCTGTTGTACTGCTACCCAGCTTTGCATACGCTGTCACATCTTAATCAGATATCTGTCTTGTCATGAGATCGGTACCGCAGTATTCCATCCATTCCAAAACTCATTCATGTCCCAGTTGGATGATTTAAGACTCATCAGAGGCGGGAGCGTCTATTGTTTGAAAGTCAGTGCATGGTAGACAGATGCTATATTGACAATACATACCAGAGACAGAGTCAGGGGCCTCGACAGAAGTTTCTTTCTTCTCTTCCTCGTGTTCCTCTTCCTTCTTGACCTTGCGCTTAGTGGCAGAGGCCTTAGGCTTAGGCTCTTCGTCATCAGAAGACTCCTTCTTGGCCTTGGCCTTGGCACGAGGAGTTCGCTTTTTGGCGCTGCCGGCGGCCTCGCCCTTGGCCTTGCGCTTGGTAGGGGTGGCAGGAGGAGTCTCGGCACTAGCATCGCCGTTGTTGACGGCGAGGGCACCAGGACGAGAGATGCCGTGGGCCTTGAGCATACGTTCGTATCGCTTCTGGCTAGGGTCACGGGTCAACATTTCCTAAACTTAGGGAAGGGCACAAAGCTCTTACGCAGCGGCCTTACTGACGATGTCCAGCTCATCCGCGACGGCCTGGAAGTCGGGCTGTAACAGTCAGAACAGGCAGGCGAGGATACGGATATTCGCGACTTACTCTTCCGTTGCTAGAATGTCCGATGCATGACACAAGGAACTTGATCTGGTCGAGGGGTTCTTGCTTAGACATGATGACGGATGATAGATCGAGTTTTTTTGTTGAGTGGAAAAATGTAGACAGACAGATGATGAGTGCGATGGAAGGTTGAAAAAAGAGACGAGAAGTCCAGATGTTTTTGGGTAAACAGAGGATGAGTAAACAAACAGAGACTGGGCGACGGGAGGAAACAGAGGACGAGTAAACAAACTGTACTAGTGAAAGCGGGGAGGCAGCACTTCACTGCCAGTGACTTCAAAAGACGGGACGAAGAGGGAGCAGCCATACAACGTAGCATGGAATGTGCTAGACAGTTACAGCAAACGAATCTGATCTGCCTAGCCTGCTGCCAACTGGAGACAGCTGTCAGCTTGGATACCGTGAGCGTTTAGAAAACCTGTCTCCTAAGGCTAAGGACGTCAACATAAATTTATCTAAATGTTAGTCTAGAAGCATAAGATGGCCAAAGTATTTCATCTCTGTGGCCCTTCATCTACGGCGCATCGTCAGGTCTTGACACGGAATGATTGTCTGTTTCGTAACTAACGTCTTCTTCGGGCTTCTAGGGCTAAAATTAAACCCCATTCTTATCCTCTGCTTCTTTCTCTTCGTTGTTGTCTTCAGCTGACTCCCTGGTGGCACCGAAGGCGACGATTCAGGGGCAAGGCCTTTGATTTTGACATGTTGAAACTGAGCAATATTGACTCGGTTTGAAGTGACTATGTCTTGTAGTTTAATTATGAATATCTCAACAGTACTTGCTCGTAGTCATTTGACATAATATTCCTGAATCTCACCTAGTGAAGCATGGAGTGTGGCTAATTCTGACTTGAGGTGGATGCGGAAACAAGACTACTGCATGCGAGCCACCACTTGCAATTATCACTGGATATGATTATAGTCACATTTGGAGATTCAGGTTCTCGTTCAAAGTCTCGAGTTCATCATCGTGATAGCTCTGGGATATCCTAGCCAGATCCCTTGGGTCCCAGCTCTGTTCGTGATATCATGGTGCAGTGCAACTTATGGCACAATACATAACCAGCAGTACCATGTCCTTAATTTCTCCATGTGCACATAGCTTACTCCATGTCCAAGTCTTCATCCTCATTCTTAACCTTCTTGCCCTCGGTCTTGACCTCATCCTTGACATCCTCGTCATCTTCATCATCCTCAACTTCAGCCTTCTTGGCAGACTTCTTGGCGGCGGGCTTGCGAGGAGTGCGAGGCTTCTTGGTGACCTTGTCTCCAGCGGCGGTAGAAGCAGCCTTGCGAGGGCTGGAAGCAGCAGCGGCATCGCCACGCCAGCCGTGGCGGACGGACATCTGGCGGAAGCGTTCCTTGGCGCATTTGGCGTCCTTGAGACTGAGGGTCTGGGCAACAGCATCCCAGTCGGCGTCAGGCTTCTGGGTCATGTTGTCGAAGATGGCCTTGATGAATCGAAGCTCACCATCGGTGAGGCCAGTGGGAGAACCATCCTCGCCAGAGCTCTTCTTGGGAGGCATGATGATGGTAGACTGCTTTTGTGTCAGTGTTCGATAATGAGTGTCACTCTTTCAGATAGGACACATACTGGTGTTTTTGAATATTTGAAGGATGGTAATGGGATAAAGAGTATGGTTTCTTTCGTTATTCAGAACCGGCGGTTGTGTGGAGGCAGAGAAGTGTGGCAGTGTGGTTGGGAGGATGGAAATATTGAGAGGGAGGAGGATGGGCAGAGGGGTTTTATGGCTGGCTCCAGGCAGGAGAAGTGCCAGAGCCGGAGGATGAATTACCAGCTAGCTTGAATGGAAAATTAGCGAGCAGGCTGCCAGAGTAACCATTGTTATGCGCAGTCACAGCAATAATAATTTGCAGTGTCAGTCACTTGCGAGCAGCTGCACAGGCAGTGACAGCAAAGCAGAGGAACACAAAACAAAATTAACCGGCCCAAACACATATAAACCTAGGTCATTGCTTTGCCTCTATTGTGTGAAATAATATCCAGTTGCATGATGAGTGTGATGGGCTTCCAGTTTGCTCCCAGTCGCTTCCAGCAATCACTCGGTCCCAGTATTATGACAAGTGACACTCCTCACTCACAACTCATTCTCTTCATTCTTCATGGAATGAAGTAGTTACAGAGTTTTAATGGCTTACTGGGATCTTATAAACGTGATGGACTTGTTAATTCAGTATCGTGACTGTATTCTGCATGGTATCATGTCGCTACCTAGCCGTCACATCCTCAGATGATATGCCATTCAATATCATCAATCATTCCAGACTTTCCTCAAGACTTTCCACAACCATTATAGATCGTAGTCTCCAGCTTCATAGCTGTACTCCATCGAATTGAGTCGCCAGATTACTGCTTGAAGAAGGGGTAGTCAAAGGCGGCATCATCACTGTCGCCCTCATTGTCCTCTTTCTCGGGAGTCTTCTCCGAGTCATGGCCTTCATCCTTGATAGTGGGCTTGGCCATCTCCTCATCCTCATCGTCGAAGATATCGAAAGATTCTTCTTCCTTCTTGACCTTGTTGTTCTTTCCCTTGGCCTTGACACTGCGAGGGGTGGTGGTCTTTGAGACGCGAGAGGGCTTCTTGGGCGTGGCAGGGGTACGAGCGGGAGCCGTGGTCTCAGTAGTGATTCCCAGCTTTCGCTTGACCTGGCCGAAGCGGACCTAAAAATGTTTGAGTTAGCACAAAGACTGGGATGATACGATGGGGGTGGATGATGAGATGCGATGACACGGTAGCGCAGGGGACGGAAAGGATGAGACTCACCTTGGCGACATCGGCATTCTTGAATCCAGCCTCAGTGGCGACAGCGTTCCAGTCAACGTCGGCCTTGTTGCGAGTGTGCTTGACGATGCTGAAGAAGAGCATAGCCTCAGCGGCGGTCGGTTCTCGCTTGTCGGCCATAGTAGCGATGTTCTGTAAAGTGTGAGCTTGACGAAGAAGAATAATAAAGGGAAGTATCAATTAGTTACGTTTGTCTTGCAAGTTGGGGATTGTCTGGTATGTGGTTATTTGAAGAAGAGAAGTGCTGTGTTTGGGTGAAGGGGATGGATGGATGCAGTAGGCAGTGTAGAAGATTTAGTGTTAGATCTTAGACCAGAAGAAAACCACAATAGCAGAAGAACTACCAGAGCTAAGAAAACTGTAGAGTCAGTGTTTCGTCAGAGGGGGAGGTTGAAGGGGGCAGGTTATTCACTGGGCGAGTGAGCTTTTAGGCATCCCTGCAAATAACCTGAGCCCGTTTGCAATATTTGGCTCTGTTGATAATGTTCTTTCCCACTTTAGCTGCAGTTCTAAAGTGCAATAGCACTGCTAACTGCCAGAATTAATATTACCTTTCTATTTCCATAGACACAGACATGTATAAGCCATTATAACAAAGTCATCTCCCTGGCATATATGTTAAACCAGGACTTGAATACACTTTCAACAGGAACGTAGGCATGGTTTGAAGATATTTCTCATATTAGATTGCAAGTAGAAACGCTAGTGTACAGCTCTCAGAGCGACGTAGGAGTTTCAACAAGACGAACTCCCGTACCCAATGTCCTTTTTTATATCGAGAAATTCATCGTCCGCCCATATTCAACCACGATGGTTGTCACCAGTGGGTAGACAATAGTAGAAGCCAGAGCTGAGAGATATGTTGACAAAGGAGATAAGGAAAGTAGCCATATGAAATAAAAAAGTCATTGTCATTAAGTCATCAAAGCAAACGCAGTCTACCAAAGCACCAGTTTTGTACATCAACAATCCTCTATCCGTATCATTTCGTTCTTCTTTTTCTGTGTGGGTATTAAAAAGGTGTGTCGTTGAAGTGGCTCATCCATTCAGTGTTGCAATCAGGAAGAGATGGAGCACCACTAATGTCGAGAGCGTTGGGGCTCTGGGCGTCGCCGATGGCAGATTTGTAGGATGTCAAATCGTAAGCGGCGTCAAACGTATGGAAGGGCGACTGTTCCACGATGATGGGATCAGGCATAGGCTGAGCCATGAAGTCAGGAGCAGAGTCCATCGAGGGACCAAACCCATTACGCAACCTCACGTCCTCGAGTGAGGCTGGGTTGATAAGCCCTTGAGCCATGTCATCACTGCAAGGAGTGAGGAAGCGATGGTTGTTGAAGTCGTCTCGGTTGTCGGTCAGGTAAGGAGAACAAGTCGAGGCGGGAGAGAACTGCGCCAGATAGCCATGTTGGTTTTGTTCCTGCTTGATGATAGGACTTTGACGAACTTGGGCATAGGACTGCAGGCTCGCTGCCGAGTCTGACTTGCCCACACTTTCTCTCTTGGGCTGTTGAGTCTTTTTCGACTTTGTTACCCGGCACTTGTCTGCAGGACGAGTTCTCTTCTGTGGTTCATGGCCAGTGACAGTGGCCTTGAACCGAGCGAAGCGCATCCTTGCAGCATGGCCATTCGTAATGGGCTGGAGGAGGACAGGGTCTGAGGCGACTAGATTCCAGTCGATCTGGCAAGAGTGTTAGGCAAAGTCTCGCCATGGCTTTCATGGTTGAGTCAACTCACGTCTTTGAGGTTCTTCTGTTTTAGGATGGCCAGAAGGAACCGAGCCATAGCGTTCTCGCTGTTAAGAGTCATTATGAACAGTAGTTGTCGTGTATAAGAAAAGAAATGAGAGAAGAATAAAAGTAGATAATGATAATGATAATGAGCTGCGGCGAGAACGAGGCTGCAAATGCAGGCAGAATAGAAAGAAAGTTAGATGGATATATAGATTAGAGTATGTGAGGCTAGGCAACTATAGCTTATGGTTGCCTTAGGAAGCGTGAAGATATGGAAACGGAAGAGATTGGCGGCCCGTGGTTGAGGTTGTCGTTGATTTGACTCTGAGTCACCGTCACGGCAAATACTGACTCCGTGAACTCAAAGGAATGATTCGGCGAGGCTTGATCACACCCGATGATAAATTGAGTGGATGAAAACGGCTAAAGCTGAGTCCTGTATAGGAATCTTGCAGGAGTTGACGGTTCTCTCAGGCCAACAAGATGGACGAGGCGGAAGGGGAACGGGCCGGGAGAAGGCGTATCGGGAGGAAACCCGTCGTTAAAGAGGGGGAGGATCAGGGTCAGCTGAGCCAACGTAATCGATTTATATGTGCATGTGAAGCGTTTGGATCAACAGTTATGGATGGTTGAGGAAGAGGATTGATGAGACCAGAGGTGAGATGAGGCAGGAAGAGAAAAGGGAAGAAGCACTAAGAAAGAGGGAAAAGAGGAGGAGAGGGGATCTGTATTATATGTACCAGCGTACTGTACATTACGAGTCTGCTGCAGCTGGGCTGTTTGCTAAGATCTAACCTAAAAGTGATGCCACACACACCTTTTTGAGTACACATACACCCATCCCATCCCGACCTAATAGATCCTGGGGGAACCACCAGGCAGATACAGGGGGATTCTATCCCAGTCCAGGCACAGCATGGATCCTGTAGCGCATTACGATGCACAGTACCGCAAGCCATGAACAGAAAAATGTCTAGGAATATTGGTCAATGATGGCGACGATGCTCCATAGTTGCCTGAATTAAAATCTCCTCCTGTCGGAATCAGAGACGATCCCTCCCGTTGATGGAAAATGGGGCGCGACGAGGGGCTACCGTCGGCGCGAACACCGCGTAAAGTGGTTGCTAAGCCCACTAATTTTGAGTCCAAGACAGCGCCCCATGGCCCCCGAGACCCCCCTGTCGCCGGAGCTAGGGGGCGCTGCAGCCACTACGCTTCAGTGGGTTACCGTCTGGCACGTCCCAAACGATTGATCAATTAACGGATTGATATTGTTTCCAGACTGAAGAAGACACGAAATGGATCCATTGAGACAGTTGATTCACGGTGGGTTAATTGAATTGAGTCTTGTTCGAATCTCTGTCGCATTCCAGGTGACAACCATGCTCAATTTGTTCCTAAATAACTATTGAAGGCAAACAGCTCTCGTAAGCTCGGAACAGCCAAGGACGATTCAATTAACCAAAGACAAGATTTCTAAATAGATCCATTGGGGACACATTAAGCTAAAGCAGGCTTTGCACAGGGGTGGCAAGCCCAGGAATGGAGTGAAACCACAAAGTGTGACTCATTCCGCGGGTCACCGACGAATTATCAACGGCACTTGAGGCATACGACATGCAACCAACGCAGGGGGATAAAACCTGAAGCTGACCCGGTTGGACAACTTGACGATCCATGGAGATAGCTATAGTTGTTTACATTTGCCTCGTGGCATTTTATAGATGCATCTTCAATTGATTGAGCCTTTGAATTGGGCTCAAGTTTGGTTCTGGTGCGTAGAAAAGTTCACAGTGATGGATATGTTGAGGATACGAGACAAGAGACAAGAGACAGCATGGACTGGGTTAGGATCCAGACAAATAGCCACATTACGCCCTGACACTCAAAGAATGAAAGAAATTGCAGCATGCAGCCGATCCTCCGAGGTTTGCTTTGCCCTTTTGGCTGTCGACGCTCAGCTGAGGGGTGTAGCCTAGAAAAAGTTGATGGATACAAGCCGAGACGACGAAGACGAAAAGCAGCAATTCAACAGCCAGAAGAGCTGGAGAAGTCTGGAAAGTTCATGTGTATATTATTTTGAAGAAAATGAGCCATTTATGATAGAATTAATTGCTTCCAAGGTCGCGCATGGCCCTCTATTCAATTGTTGGTCGTTATGGAGGGCATGAGATGAAGTGGGTGGGAGACGCGACGGGCGCGCAGCTGGTGGGACCTTGCAGACCTTGCTCATCAGGAAATGGGAACGAAAGCACGTGAGACGCAGACCCACTTTCCAAGTCCTCTTTTCTTGTCCCCCCTCTTTCTCTTTCCTCATCCAAGCGAAACCCCTTGCTTCAAAGTGTGGCGCGACTGAAAGTGTTCGCCACTCCGTTAGCCCAGACGATCACTTTAATTAGTTCCGTTTTAACTACCGTTTCGCTGAGTAGCTGCACCGTTTCCAAGATCTGATTTGCCAGTTGCATAACTCGGCTTGCATTGTTGATCTGTTAACTTTTGTTTCTGTGTTGTGATGATTACTACATTCAATCAATCTGCCTATCACCGGCTGAAGATCTATATCTAACTCTACGCCTTTCTCCTAGTTAATCCTCTTACTCTTATCCACGATGGATTAGAACAAGATAATAACGCCAAGCTATAATGTTGCCTAAAGATTCAACAGCTTCTCCATGATCATAGTTACCTTCCCAAAGTATCATCATCAAACAAAGCAATCTTATAAACGAGAAATGAAGAAGCAAAGACTCGAAAAGCAAACACGACATGATGTCCTACCCAATTGCATCTCGATCTCTGAATGATAAGCTCTTCCAATCACATCGGAGCAATGATTCATCCGGATCCGACAAGCTGCCTTCCCCATGCCAAGAAGGTGCAAAGGAGCTTGGACCAATTCTGTTCAGCCCAGTCTTTCTCTTAACGTTAGACTCTCCCTACCTAACCTTGCCTTGCCTTGCCTTAGCAATTTCTCACCCAACTACACTATCAATTTTCCCATTGATCCAGCCGTTGCCTTAACAGCTTCCAACTATCTAACGTCGCGTTATCGCCTCAACACTTGTCAATTTCAGTCAAGCCGACCTCATCTGTAATTCCTCTCATTCAGAATGAATAATAAAAACTGGAATGACAGAGCAGACAAAGACTTGTTCTTTACTATTCTCTCTGTTAAGAACATTGGCATCATAAGCGGCTCGGAATGGACCACTATTGGTAACCACATGAGAAGTCTGGGCTATGGCTTCACCAATGAAGGCTGTCGGTAAGTCCTTTATACTTTTGTTCTCCAAAGCTTTCTCCTTCGTTCAATTACAATGTGATCCTCCCCCAATAAACTATAAGCTGCCTATCACGTCTTAACAATCAGTATCGTCCTATCATTGTACGCGTCAAAGTTGACTTATACCGGCTTTTATATCACTTGTATCTTTTCATCCACCAAACATATACAAACCATCCCAAACATTGAATTAACCTTGCATGAAATGTCTCAAGCTCCATCAAACATAATACTAACATCATGTCAGTCAACATTTCCAAGGTCTACGTCGGGCTCAGAACAAGACAGAGCCCACAGGACCTAATGGGGACGCAGTACGACGGAATGATCCGACTATGAATCCCATCACACGTCGTCCTGGGCCTGGACGGGGTCGTCCAAGAAAACAGCCTCCTGCTCCGGTACCTGGAGCTCCAGGAGAGGGTGCTCCTCATCCACTCCCGGCACCTGGTGCAGCTCCTGGGCCTCCCAGCTCAGCGCCTCCTTATCAACAGGGTGTCCAACCATTTGACGCTGCTCATGCTAACCATCAATCTGCACCTCCTCAACCAGTTCAAACTGCCATTAGACCGGGAAGCATATCCTCTGCACCAGCTGCGCCGGAGACACAGACTCCTGGGGACGCGCCCCCCAGTACGGGCTCAATTACCTACCCAAGCCCTCCCCTTGCGTCTGAACCTCTTCAGGAGACTCCTCATCTGCATCCCCTTCAACATGAACAACCTGGTCAGTCTAGTCAGCAGCCTCAACCTGAGCAGCAATCCCAACTTGGACAACAGCCTCAGCCAACTCAGGTCCAACTAGAGCAACAATCTCAATCCAACCAGCAACTACAGCCAGCCGCGCAGTCTCAGCCTAGTCAAGAAATTCAACCTGACTACCAACCTCAGGAGCTCCCACAAGAGCCTTCACGAGATGTTCGCGAAGCTACTGACGCAAGCGCCACGTCCCAACCTCAACCTGAACCTCGACCAGTAGAACACCAGGAGCCCGATAGTCTAATGTCTCAAGAGCAAATGGGACGGGTAAACGACGATATAGATGCCGATGGTGATGCCGACGGCGAAGCAGATATGGATAACGACGAGCCCAGCGCTAAACGACAACGTCTGGGCTCACCGGACCCTCCCAAGGGTGATGATATGGACGATGAAGCCGTATTAGCCCTCGCTGCACATAACGGTTCCGCAGATTTTGCTTCTGAGTAAGTGCCATCAGTTACTGATACTGAACTCCAGCTAACCCTTCCCAGTTTCGCTACTTATGGTGAAGCATAAGAATCCAAACAAATATATATAGATAAACTTGATACCACGGGCATGGGCGTTGGAAACCTGGAGTTGCTCAAATGTTTCAAATGTTTCATTTCACAGAATAGATACGAATCAGCGTGGAATTTTGTCTTTCGTACAGTGTCCTATGGCGACATGTGTGTATAAAAGGGGTTCAGATATCGTTGTAGGATAAACAATTGGTCAAAGATACATTTCAACTGTTGGATCATGCAAGTAGACAGAGGGCAATTGAAAGCAAATTGCCCGTCGAGAACTTGAGAGACAAAAATACTAGACCGTGTAAGCCAGGTTAGATCAGAACTTGGGCTAAGCCTCAGACGACAATTCTTCTAATTCCCCTCAGTCCTCATTCTCACCCCAAGGCTCCTAGGCACAAGTCCCTTGCACTGTAAACAGTTTTCCGTGGCTCGCTGCCTTGCAGTGACCGGCACTAGATAGCTCCCCGCCTAGGTACTTACCTACCTGTTCGCCTGTGAGGGCATGATTCACTGTTCCTAAGGTTCTTTCGTGGTAGCCTTTCAATCCTTCATATTTCCTCTTCTTCAATCCAACATCATCATCATCAACATCGACAATCCACCCCTTTCAACACCATAACACAACAACATCACCATCATCATGCCCGGAAAATCAAGCGACTGGGACAACGCCGACTTCCTTTTGGATCTCGTGGTCGGTCTCTACACTGGTGCCCAGACCAACAAGGGCTTGACTCCTGCTATCAAGGACTCGATCGAGGAGTACCTCAAGTCTCGCGGATACTCGACTTCCTTTGATGCTGTGCGGTAGGCAATGTTTTCTTCTGTTCTGCAGTGTTTTTCTTTGTTCTACAATGTTTTTCTCTTTTTATCCTAAGCAAGTCTAAGCCTAAGGAGAGGGTTGAGTATAAATTTCCCTTCCCTGACATCTTCTCTCCTCTCAACAACTTCTCATCTTCAACCTCTCTTATATCCTCTCCCTTTCTACAACTTGTTCTTTCATCTGCATATTCGACAACATGGCCAAGCGTCAAGTGATGGTTTGGGACGCCAACGTCCACGAAGATATCCTCATCAGCCTTTTCCAGCACATCAAGCCCAGTTCTGATGACTGGGCCAATGTCATGCAAGATCTTCAAGGCAAGGGGTACACGTTCACTGAGGGTGCTCTTCGGTATGATTCTCAGTGCGGTGGTCGGCTTGTTTTTGCTTTCTGCCTGTCTACCTAGTGGTTTTTTACTCTTTTGTTCGCATTGTTTCCCAACTCTTCACCTCCTCTCTCTTCACTTCCCCACATCTTCCTCCTGTCTCGGTGTCTCCCACTCATACATTCTTCATCCTTCCTCACTCCGCTTTCATATCTTTTCATTCTTGTGCATATCTTTCCATCCACCTTCATACACTGGCCACCACATACCACACACATCCATCAGCAGTCATCTTCGCCTGTTTTCCTTTATTTCATTATGTCTTCCAAGCCTACTCGCGGTTGGGATGCCGCTTCCCACGAGGACCTCCTTCTTGCTATTCTGGAGGAGATCAAGCCCAGCAAGGCCATTCTCACCAGTGTCGCCGACAAGATGCGCGAAAAGGGTTACTCTTATTCCTATGATGCCATCAAGTACTTTTGTTTCTTTTGCTTCTTGTATATCTCCTGTCGAGGATGGAGCTAACTCTTCTCTCAGCCAGCATGTCCAGAAGCTTCGCAAGAACCGCGACACCTCTGCTATCCAGAACTCCGGTGCTGAGCCTTCCACCCCTCGAAAGCCCCGCGGCGCCGATGCTTCTGGTACCAAGACTCCTGCCAAGCGTACCCCTAAGCGAAAGGCTCCCAAGTCTGCTGACATCGCCGATGATGAAGACGATCTTGAGGATATGAAGTTGCAGCTCAAGATGGAAACTGCCGACGACGACATCCTGTCCCCCAAGAGTCTCAAGCGTGCCAAGTAAGTTTAAAGCAGGATTTCGATAGTATCTATACTAAGATTCTCCAGGGTTGAGCACGACGATGAGGATGAGCTCAACAGCGGCGAAGCCTAAATCTTGGCATCGGTAAGTCGACACTCCTACTCAATTCATTCCTTTCTTTTGCTAACACTCTGTGGCAGTTTGTCTACATTGAACTACAGTTTCGGCAAGTTCTCCAGCAAATGAAGCATCATGAAGAAGGGTGGACATATTGGCTATGAGGACCATCGCAGAGAAATAAGGGATGGAATTAGGCTATGATCATTTGCATATGCCTTGATGTAACGGCGAATGATCCCATCTGAGGACGATATTATGAGCATGTCTCTGCGATGAATTGAACAATGCCACCCGTACTTTTGACCCTTAATTTTGTGACGTTATGTTATCAATGAGTGAGGTGTGATCAAAACTTGACACTGACCGTCAACTGCCACTATAATATTTCGGTTCAGTAACGTAGACAAGCATTCAGGGATTTTAATCTACCTAAGTACCTACCTAGGTAATCTTGAATCAATCTCCAGTGTAGGTCGGTTTGTGCACCTGTCGGTAACCTTTGCTAGGCAGTGCAATCAAACACCTATGCTAGAAAACAGCCCACACTCCCTCCCCTTTTTATCACATCACTACCTCCACTGAACACCAACCCCTCCTTGGGTATTCTCTTCTGCTCTCTCTTACTCTCTCATTACATCTCTACTTCTATTCTTCCATCTGCCATTTAACACTACTCATCCCTTCCACAACATCTTCCTTTCAACATCAAAACATCCTATCAACAATCATCATGCCTCCTGCTGAGAAGAAGTGGGATGCCAACGCCGAGCGCGACCTTTGTGTTGCTATTATCATGGGCGCTCAGGATGGTGAGCGTATGCGCTACAACTGGCCCAAGGTTCACAGCTCCATGGAAGCTCTTGGGTATGGCTTCACCAAGGACGCTATCTCGTATGTATCCCCAACGTTACCCCCCCTCCTTCATATCCTTCACGTCACCTTTGCCCCAGGGCATCAGAAGAATTGGCCCCCTGGAGGCATAAGAGACGAAATAATCTAGTTACTTTATGCTAGTTTAGACCAGCAGTTAGCTACCTTATTATGGTAGCCTAAGCCTTAGAGGACAATTCTTCTGTTACCCGCCTGCTTTTCCTTCCCACGCCTCCTCACCTCAAACCGTTCACTGGATACTGACTACCTTCTAGTCAGCACTTCAGCAAGACTATCATGCGCGAGTTCAAGAACCGCCACGGAGAGCCCTCGGCCAACAACTCTCCAGCTCCTACTCCCACCCCCAAGAAGACTCCCCGCAAGCGCGCCACGCCTGCCAAGGGGCGCAAGAAGAAGGTCGAGTCTGATGACGAGGACGAAGAGGCCGCTGTCGAGTCCCCCCTTGCCAAGAAGATGAAGCGCAAGAAGGAGGAAGAAGATGAGGATGTCAAGATGGGCAACATCAATTCTACCGAAGGCGGACGCGATAGCAGGTACGTCGTTACTGTCTTGGTTTAAGGATGTCTTATTGACTGTTGTTTAGTGCCACCCCTGAAGGAGATGACAAGTTCGGCAAGTGGCTCGCGAGTGACGCTGCTGCAAAGGCGTGAATTGGTCTTCACTGCCGCAATGCATGGTGTTGAAAGGTGATATTTACTGGACCAAATCTTGGTGGCCCTTTGGTGAGAGATGAAAGAAAAGAAGAGGAAAGACTCGTGGCTATGATGAACTGGATTGGTAGTCATTCTAGCATCGCCCTCAGATAATCTCAAGTCATAGCAGTTTACACCAGAGATAGGGAAAATCCATCCATTCAATCGTCTGCTTTTTCTGGCGGTCTCGCAGAACTACCTTGATCAAGGTGTTTTTCACATCATGTCTAAAGATCCATTCAAAGCTGATACTGAGTTCCCAAATAGTGATTGATGGGTGTTATACTAGAGATGATCTGGTTTATCATTGGTCTAAGTAACCTCCTTTGATGCATTATTTGTGCTTCATTCACCCAGCCCGCTTGCCGTCCTTCCTGTTGTCTATCAGACATATCAGCCGGTAGGTCCAAGTGAGGTAACGGCGTAGCAACAAATGGAGGGTTCTATGGCATCCCAGTGTCACCGTCTCTAATGCTATCGTGCCTGGACACTGCCTTACAGACTGATACGGGCTGCTCTCTTGTCAGTCTTCCGTTGATCTCTTGGATATTGAACATAATTACATTCACGTAATCTCATTGCCGCAATAACCAACTGTCTTTTGTACAAGAGCCGTAGTGGTTGGTTACTGTGTCACGAACAGAGAATTGAGACGTATATAAATAAATCATCGACCAGTCTCCAGGGCTCAGCCGCAACCGCACATAGGATTCAAGTACTGAACTCTTGTTTAGAGCCGCACTACCGCAGGCATCGGATATCAGACTACCTAGCAAAAGTTCAATCAAGTTCTAGGACATATATATATACATTGCCGCCCAAACGCCGCTTCAAATCATCAGAATAACGTCACCTATCTCGGCCGTCGTCCGTCCAATCTGTTCCCTTCACCGGTGCCCTTCTTCTCGGGAGCCTTGGTCTTGTCATCTCCTTCGCCCTTTCTCTTAACAGCGCCCCGGAGTGTTTGACCTTGACCGGCGAAATGAGGCCCGTTGGCACTCTCCTTCTCCTTCTCCTTGTCAGCATCCGTCTTGACAGGCTTGATCTCGTAACCGAAGAAAAGCTTGTTAGGGGGCAGACGGAGAGCTGCAGGGGCACCATCACGCCGCTTAGGCATGCCTGGAATCTCCACTGTGGGAACTGGAGTTGCTGGCTTGGGTGTTGATGCCTTGCTACCCTTCTTGGCAAGCTTCTGGCCCTCTCCAAGGAAGTTTGTCACATTGCTTGTTACTGACGGAGCAATAGCATTGTAGTTGATGGCCTGGGCCATGGTTCCTTGGTTGTGCAGCAGACCTCCAGCAGGAGCACCGCCTCGTGTGCTTCTGGGTGTGCTTGTTCCGCTCTTGCGTTCGGGCTCAACGTATCCGACTGGTGGAGCAAACTCTACTGATACATCGGTTTCAATCATACTGACTCCCATCTTGTCGGTCTCGGGCTTGACATCGAGCACAGCTACATCGTAGACTTCATCGTTATAGGCAAAGTTAAAAACATCGCCCTTGGTCAGGGTGGCGAAGTTTCGGAATGCCTTCTCCAAGACAGCCTTGGGATCACTAATCTCAAGGAAGTTGACGGACTGAGGCTGTAGTTTGACCATCTTGGCCAGCTCCAAGGATGTAGTTCGGATCTGGATCATATCTCCAACATCCATTCCTAGTGTTTCCATCATCTACTCAAGGTTAGCAACATCTTGGGAAAGACCATTGTATCATACCCATTGAGGAATATATGCTCGTCCCTCCTCGGCAATAAATTCTAGTACACCAGCGTGCGAGTGTCGTCCTTTCTCCCCGTTGATTAGCTCCATGAGCAGAGGCCACTGCACGTGGAGCTTAGAGACTTTGTCAAGGGCCGAAGGTGGTAGAATTATTTTGGAACCGTAGTTGAGCTCTGGTCGTTCGGCGCCGGGGGCCATGATAAGAGGATAGCATCGGTAGTATTCGTCGAAGCGCTGCACGATTGGTCGTCGTCCATGGCGAGCCATGTTGTAGAGGTGCTCCGGGTTAGCGGGATCATACCCGCCTCCAAAGCTTGAGTACTAAGATGGGTTAGTTGTCAAAAATGAGGTGTTGAGGAACGGCTGGAGTACAAACCATGGTAGCGGTGGTTTGTTCGTATAATATGTGGTCTGCTTGGTGATGTCGCAGGTTGGAGATGTCAAGGTTTTAGGCGGTCAGCGCTGAACAAGATTGTCTTGACTCGAAAGTGCGGTGCTTTGGCTTCCAAACTCTAAAGGGTCCGGCAAAATGAAGATATGGTCACTGTTGCGGTCTGGTAGTTGAAAGATTGAGCGTGTCGATGCACGTTTGAAGGTTCAAAGCCACAGGTAACGTGGGGGCCTGTGGAGGCTACAGAGGCAGCTCTTGATGACGCAGTTTAGCTGGCAGCCACTCAAAGCGAACTAACGAAGTGTAAGCCACCCTATAGCCTACAGCTGGCAAGTGATTCACAAGCTTCAATATCTCAATGCACTGGATATTTGGTAATGTAGATGATTTTCTCTATGATTACTCGGCAATCATTTCCCTTTACGGTCATTGTGAGCCATATTTGAGATCGAGTCATTTGTTTATGAAGAGACATCTCAAATAATATCCTCGTACAAGCGAAGTTCACGTACATGGGCAAGCTTAGCTGCAGCTTGGGCGACGATGATCATTTCCCAATCTGGAATAGCGTTTCCATCATGCCTAGAAATAAATGTAGAACATCTAGGTAAGCTTCTGTCAAGGTGTCAGACAACTTGACTGCCGAGACCATAAAAGAATAAATAGTTTAGTCAATTCAGGCCATACTATTCCTTTCTCTAGGTACCTGCCAGAGGATAAACTTTTCGACACGGCTCCGACAGCGGCAGATACCTACATGCGCTGCTGCTGCAAGTTGACGTTAATACGGGCCTATAACGGATACCCACTACTACACTTAAAGGTAGGCTCCATCAAGCTTCCATCCTCCATCCTCAACTTTGCGATTAACCACCCATACAAGACCAAACATTTTATTCATTTCATCACTTCACACGATCTAAGACCAGCTCTTAACTGACCTAATCCTGGCGCTTCAAACCTGAGAGGACAATCTGCCAATTAAAAATGGCGTCACGATCGTCAGTTCGTCCTAAACGTGACGGCGAGAACTTTGCGCGCACCCATCATCACGACGAGTCCGATCCCGACTCAAAAAGAGTCAAGTTCGATTTGCGCAACCCTTCTACTCTTGCACCTGACGCTCGCGAAGAAGATGATATCCTTGATGCCGATGTTATTGGAGGGTCGACAACCAAACGCGGAGCTGTCAACCTAGACGGTTATGATAGTGATTCAGATAACGACAACTCCAACATACGCGCCGAGAAACGAAAACGAGACGAGGCTACGAATACTGGAGCTAAAGCCACGGCTACTACAGCGGGCGACGATGATGACGACGACATGTTTGCTGCGGATGATGGCGATGAAGCCGGTGGAGAGGGAGGGGAGGTCCCCGAGGAAGACGATCCCGACAGCACTGGCAAGAAGAACAAGGTTCGCTTCCTTGATGCAGATCAAATTGATGGTGTAGACAATACCAGCAGAGACAAGGAAGGCATTCGACTCGATGATGCAGGCAGCAGCGACGACGAAGCCGATGTTGAGCTTGCCAGACAAGAAGAGGGTGTCGACGATGAGGTCGGTATGGGAGGACTCAAGAAAAACGCCCCCAAAGTCGAGGCTTTCAATCTAAAGCAAGAGATGGAGGAAGGTCAATTTGACCAAGATGGCAACTACGTTCGCAAAGGCGGCGATCCCGATGCAGTGCACGACAACTGGTTAGAGGGTCTCAGTAAGAAAGAGATGAGAAAGGCGGCAGCGGCGCATGAGAAGCGTGAGGCTGAGGCGCGCAAGCAGCGTCTGGAGGATGACGAAATTCTCGTATCCGAACTGCTCAAGACTCTAATACTCAACCTGGAACGTGCTGAGACGCCGCTCGAGGCTCTGGCCCGGCTCGGTAAAAAGCAAACCAAACCTAAGAAGATTCCCAAGTGGAAGCTTAAGAAGATGAACAAGGGCGCCGAGGGAATGGATGTCGACGGCGGAGAGGAAGCTGAGGATCCGGAGCAAAAGAGGATAAAGGCATCCATCGATGCCATCACGGAGGCAGCAGACAAGCTTTTGAGCCGGGATCATGAGGAGATCTACGAACAAGAGAGGGAGCTGCTAGTCCGAGAATATCGCAAGGAGACAGGGGAGGATTGGGTGGAACCAGCAAAGCAGGATGAAGACGACGAGGGACAAAGGGCAGCGGTGAAGCCAGGGACGATGTGGGAGTTTAGATGGGCGGATGGACGTGACGGGGATTCCAAACAAGGGCCGTATGACGGAGCCACGATGAAAGCGTGGAAGGATGCTGGGTACTTTCCAGACGGTGTGGTAGAATTCCGGACTACGGATGGTCAGGATTGGACTTTACAGGTTGATGCCTTCGAGTGAAGAGATTTCAACAATATAAAAGATCAGCCGAGGGGCAAAGGTTCAAGGTAATGTGGGTGTGGCTCAGCGTGTATCTGGTCTATCGCAAAATAATTGGCGACATAAGGACCCCAAGTTAAAAGGGTTACATGACTTTTACCTTGTTACGGAGATGGAAATCCGTCCGGTCTTGCTGTGTATGAATGCTCGGTCAACCAGTTTGCATGTGTATGTACGTGGGACAACAACATGACGAGGCGTATAAGTGGATGATTGAAGCTTGCAAACATGATGGTGAGTGGATACCGTTTCACGTCGAGAACTCGGAAGGCCGCATGAGAATGAATGCATGACACAGATAGCTTCGGCATTGCGACTCCGGATCTGGAGAACAAGGTTGAAGGCTAAGGACGCAGTATAGATGGCCAGGCACCTTTGAAGGGGTGCGATGATCATGCGGGCCTGATTGAGCTGGGGTTTCATGACGGCAATGGTCAAGAAAACATGATAGTGCATGATGGTGCCGCGGGAACACGACGGAACAAGGAAACTAGAGACCAAAAAGGACATCTAGAGGTTGGAAAATCTGGGATTAGATGGACATGATGGGTCTTAGTGTGGCATCTGGTTCCTGGGGATCCCGATGCGCGCCGGGGACGGGTGAGGCCGGGCAAGTGGGATCTCGAAAAAGAGGCTGAGAAGCCGGGGCAGCGAGTTCAGTATGGAGTCAAGACGATGGGGCCTTGGATCCTGTCTGGGGTTGTATGGGGTTATACGGGTGGACTGGAAGAGGTTGTCTTTGACAGGCGAAGCTTGAGCCGATCCAAGCCCGTGATCCCGTGATGCTCCGGTACGTGGAGCGGAAGCCGGGGCGGCAGGCGTAGCCGAACGGTCAAGCACCGAGGGAGAGACAGCCTCGCGACGACAAACGGGCTGTATCGGGGGAGCAGGGATTATTCGGGAACAACTCTGTGTAAGTGAGTTGCAACGGTTCGGAATTGATTCGACGACGGCGAGTCTCTGTACGTAACATGATGAAGGTTCATGTGGGCTCGTGCTGCCTTGGTTGAGTGTCGATCAAGGCGTTCCGGAACATGAATTGCAGTAATTATCGCCAATGATTCTCGTGTTTCGAGTAATGTTGATGCTGGAAGGATCGATATCATGAACTGATGTTGAAGGCCCAGATTGACGTCGGATTCGCCCAGGGATCATGGTGGAGGAGGATCGAGCTGCTACAGTAGGAGCTGGGTTAGCTACAGGAAGCAGGGGTTCAGTCAGCCCAGTTAGCCAGTCCGAGGTGGGCTCAGACCATGATCTCAGGTGAGGAATCTCGGTGAGATAGGAGAATTGAAATGGAAAATAAGACCATAAGGGTCCGTGTTTGCATTTACAATGGATGTATGTAAGTATGTATGTAGGTACAGTAGTAACTCTATGGGTTTCTGATTCAGGGTCCCCCATCTTTGAACAGTCAGCGTTCAACTAATAGGTTCTCCAACGTACACGCCGATGGGGTCTAGACAAAGGGCCGATGTCAGATAAGCGGACTGTCGAGTTGTTTTTTTTGGCGATGGAATTGACAGATGGACTGATCTGATCTGATATAATGAGGTGTTTGAGAGCAATTCAAATAGACGAATACAGTCGGACCGTAGAGCACCGTGGTCTATCGACGGGCCGACAGAGGCCCTGCTTTCGGTGAGTTGAGCAGAGTTGATAGCATGATGATGGCTCAACAATTAATGTTCTCTCACCGTAAGAGGAGGGACACTGGACAGCAAGGTAGTATGAAACAGGAAGGGTTGGAGGTTGAGGATAATTAACCATGCTATTGGTTATGTCTTGAAAGCATTAGCAATACTATATGGTTCTAATCAAGGATGATTTGATTTGTATCTGTTGTACTGAGATATTTCTGTGATCATCTATCTACATAGTAGAGAGTATGTGTATTATACGATATCTCAGAATAGGATATGTTATGGAATCGAGTCAAACAAATATTGGGAAAATGATACCCCCCGCCAGCCCCGCCTCATTGCGTAAAAAGACGCAACAGCAGCTGTAAAAGCCCGCAGCTAACGTCGAGCGAAGATCAGGTACTAAGCCTCTTTTAGTGTTACCGTCGTGATGGTGAAGCTTCTAGTGCTCGATTAAGGTGACTCCGATATAAAAGCAACGTAAACAGGGAATTATAAAGAGATTTTCTGAGGCAATAGAAGCACACCGAAAGACTTGATAGTATCAACGAGGAAGGCTGTTTGAACCGTATGACCTCTGTGGTTGGTGATCAGGGCGAACCGAGCTTTGAGATTAGGGACGTGCATAATGCCATTATGTTGATGATATGGATGGATGTTGGGTTGAGGATAGAAACAGGAGAGACATGATGGGTAGTTCTAAGATGAAAAGAGCCAATAGGCTGAAGAAAGAGCATGAAACTCTTGCGGCGTAGACAGATCTCATCGTCAAACCTACACAATACGATAGACTGACTAACCAACTAAGGTACCATGATGATTATGATGATGATGTATGTCCACCTACCGGAGCTTCCGGGATAGAAGAAGAAAACATCTGATTTTATCTGTGACGCATTTCCTGGGACAATTGAAGATATTCACGGAGAGTTGCACGGTAGAATGCGGTGTCTTGTTCGGCGGCACCTTCAAAGAATATCCATCCATCCTTTCGACGAGGAGGAATGGAATCAACTGAGGTGGCATGGCATACATGGGTGATGGAGGGGTAGAAAGGGTACTTGGGGATATAGTGAGGCGTGCATAATGGAGAAAAGTATCTTTTTCAGGGCATCAAATATCACCCCACCACGTAGCTTCTTGTCAGTAGTGGGGACCTTGCCTCAATGAACACAGAGGGAGGTACCTACTGTACCTACCTGTCTAATGAGAATGATTTGTAAGACTTGTCTGTTGTAATGGAATATTACAAGGCTGAATTGGCTATGATATTGACAGAAATACAGAGCCTAGGTTAGTAGTGTCTACTAAATAGAGACAGTAAAAAAAAAGTCTCCCACCCTCTCATCCGATATTCAATGTTCCATTGGTCCCCTGCAGAACTACGATTTCCTAAGGATGGATACCTCCCCTGTTAAGACATCCATGGAAGTCTGGGTCCAGGTCTGGGGTGTGTGGTCGTGGGATGATGAATGATGTGGTGGGTGGGTTACTAACAATCTTAACTAAACCATGAGCTTGATGGGAACCTACTGTACCTGCCCAAGCATTGAGTGAATAATCCATGAGGCTGAGACTAAGAGTATTAAGTATTTGTACTCCCGCTCATTCTCCTCGACCTTTTTTCTTCTCTTCTCTCTCATCATCCTCAACAACACAACAACATTTACTACAAACCCCTTTGGTATGTACCTCTATGGATCCATCCCCCAACTACCCCTCCATTCTCTGCTTTGCCCCTCCATTGCGACGACATACATACATACATCACCATCATAACATCCATAACATGATATTTGTGTTATCTACTATATCATGTCATATCATGTCTACTCTTGATCTTCACCTTGTTGCATCTCGATACGACGACACGTCAAGCATTGGCATCCATTGAGGGGATACCAACAAGGAGACTCGAGAAAAAAGGTTGAGCTTCAGAGCTCATTCTTTTTTTAGTTTCCTGCCCCTCCTTTGCGCCGACCTATGTTTGACCCCCCCTCCACTTTCCTCTTCCATTCTCTCATAGGTACCCTTTCCTTACTGTGGCAACGCGCAACCCGCCTCAGCAAAAAAAGCTCTACCTTACCTCTCTCCGTTATTCTGTTCTCTTCTGTCCTGTCCCACCTCCGTCATACAGATAAGACGTATAAAATACCCCACCCCATCATCCTTTATCTCAGCTCTTCCTCTGCTTTTTTTTCTTCTTCTTCTCTTCATCAAACATCCATCCTCAAGGATATCTCAACAACATCATCTAACAATCTTTCTCCTACAGAAACTACTTCCTTAAATCAAAATGGCTCCCATCAAGGTTGGCATCAACGGTTTCGGTCGTATCGGCCGTATCGTCTTCCGCAACGCCGTCGAGCACCCCGACATCGAGGTTGTCGCTGTCAACGACCCCTTCATTGAGCCTCACTACGCCGTAAGTTGATCTCCCGACGATCCCGCTTGTTCGTTCGTACGATTCTATATCATATCCTCCAAGAAGCTGCTTGCTTGATCATGCTATGGCTCTGAGATACTGCATCATATGAAGCTGGAACTAGTCCGCCATTGTGCCATTTTCGACAATAAAGTGGTATCAAGAATGGCAACCCAATCTCCAGGTTATACAGCTTAATGAATGTGGCATATCACGAACAAGCAGTAGCAGCTTCTTGCATTCCCGCCAAGCTACCCCTCATTGCCCCACGTTCCTGTCATCATCAGCCGCAAGCTAACCTCGATCCCTCTATAGGTCTACATGCTCAAGTACGACTCTTCCCACGGTCTCTTCAAGGGTGAGGTCGCCAACCAGGGCAACGACCTCGTCGTCAACGGCAAGACCGTCAAGTTCTACTCTGAGCGTGACCCCGCCAACATCAAGTGGTCCGAGACCGGCGCCGACTACGTCGTTGAGTCCACCGGTGTCTTCACCACCATCGACAAGGCCAATGCCCATCTTAAGGGCGGTGCCAAGAAGGTCATCATCTCTGCTCCTTCTGCCGACGCTCCCATGTACGTCGTCGGTGTCAACGAGAACAAGTACGACGGCTCTGCCGACATCATCTCCAACGCCTCTTGCACTACCAACTGCCTTGCTCCCCTCGCCAAGGTCATCAACGACAAGTTCGGTATCGTTGAGGGTCTCATGACCACCGTCCACTCCTACACTGCCACCCAGAAGACCGTCGATGGTCCCTCCGCCAAGGACTGGCGAGGTGGCCGTGGCGCTGCCCAGAACATCATCCCCTCCAGCACTGGTGCCGCCAAGGCTGTCGGCAAGGTCATCCCTGAGCTCAACGGCAAGCTCACTGGCATGTCCATGCGTGTCCCTACCGCCAACGTTTCCGTTGTCGATCTGACTGTCCGCCTCGAGAAGGGTGCTTCTTACGACGAGATCAAGCGGGTCATCAAGGAGGCCTCTGAGGGTGACCTCAAGGGTGTCCTGGCCTACACTGAGGACGACGTCGTCTCCTCCGATCTTAACGGCAACACCAACTCCTCCATCTTCGATGCCAAGGCCGGTATCTCCCTCAACGACAACTTCGTCAAGCTGGTCTCTTGGTACGACAACGAGTGGGGTTACTCCCGCCGTGTCCTCGACCTCCTGGCCCACGTTGCCAAGGTCGATGCCTCCAAGTAAGCGTAGAGCGCTCAAGGGGCTGGAAGCAAAACCAAACCTAATCAGACGCGATATGATGACGAATTCAAGGTGTCGCGTGTTTTAATGAAGCAAAGAAATGAAAGCAAGTAAAAATACCAAAACTGGGGAGATTGTCGGAGGGGATGACAACGAGTTTGTTATCATCGGCTCGAGTTCCCTACTAGACAATTGATCTTAGTATAGCCGTGGACAGAAAAACAAAAATAGATCCATCCCTCTTGAAAAAGACGTTTCAAATCTCAGTCGTGAATTGTAATATGCCTAAACATAGAGAGGAAGGTTTCAATCTGACTCATGCTCTCGCCAACATACGTATTAATACCTCCATCCGTCCGTTGAAATGACATCCAACGATAGCTGTGTCAAAGACCTAGCTCAGGGCTCACGATATCTCGCATGACTTTGTCATCTCACTATTACTTGCTACCAATGTAGTCAGTTGATTAGCAGTCTTCACGCGGGTCATACGGGAATTTACCAGGACCTTGATAATTCATGATATTGGCTCGAAAGCCTTGAAGTCAACTACTACTCCTTGGCCCTCACTAGGCCAGTGTGACAACAAGTTTAAGCCCCTATTTTCGTTCCATGCAGTTGTATGAATGCATATACCAGTGGTATTCTCCTGTAACCATGCTCTCCTCACTCCAGTTTCGCCAAAAAGCTCCTTTACTCCCTCCTCTCATTAACCTTTTCCCTTCCTGTTAAAGCAACCCTTGTCCGGCAAGATAGAACAACAATAAAAACACATAATGCAATCGCGGCCTGTGTATGAGGCGCAATAGATGAAACAGATCGCTTTCCGTTGTGATCAAGGGGATATCATAGTGCAAACGACGGTAGAATACTTTTGTCCTGACTGGGCGCTTCAGTGGCGCGGTGGACTAGAATAAGCTGATGGACAATATTCGCAAAGTTTGGTTTAAAAACATATCGACGTGGAAAGCGACTCCGGAACGCCTGGTTAAATGCCGGAATCGAATATTCAGTTATGGAATAGATCCGAGCGGGTTTTTGTTCAATTGTGCTCAGTAGGCTTTCGCAAGTGTATAGTGGACACATCTCATGGCCGAGCAACTCGTATGCTGGCCTCTTTGGGGTCGAACTCAGCCGACCAATCGACATTCTCATCATGACACCATTGTCGAATAACACGCATCGACGCCTGGCAAACATCCTCGACGGTTGACCAGGGCGCAATGTCGGCCCGGAGACGTGCGTTGCTAATTCCTTCGTAGACGTCACGAACTGTGGCCCAATTGCGGTAACAAATTGCTTGGTGCGCGAAGAGATCCTCTTTAGAAATGTGTTCGTAATTGGAAAAGGACTTGAGAAACTCCTCCACAGTAATGGCCTGTAGAATTAATACAAGAGCGTACATGGGCTGATATCGGCGCATGTCACGGGTGTCGCGTCGAGTTTCCTTTTGCAAGTAGTCCACCATCTTGATCAAGCTGGCCCAAGGACCTGGATCGGATGACTTGTGTTGCATGTTGCGGCTCACATTTAGAAGGTGGAAGCTGGCCATAAAGGCGACAGTGCTCTCAACCGCAAGCGCATAATACTTCTTGCGACTTATATCGCTTCCGCGGGTATCACCATCACTTGCAAGCTTGTTGTATCTTTGGTTCGCAACGTCGCCCTCATGCTTGAGTCGCCGACCTAGGCCAGAGAAGCGACTGTGTTTTTCGATGACGGCCTTGATATCAGCCTTGTCGCTTCGGCCGACCTCTGTGCCGTTAGTGGCAGGACGATCTGAGGAACCTGGCGGCACAGGGGTCACTGTAGAGGCCTCGCCGGGCGTATGGGCGTGTGAGTTACTGGAACTAACGCGGGACATGGCAGCACCTTTCTTTGATGGCGTTGATGGAGGGGGCGGTAGAGTCGAAGAAACAGAGGGCAGCCGAGGGCGCTTGACAGCTATTGTGTCTCCGGTATTCTCTGTAGATGCAGGACGCTTCTTTGCCTGGCTGACTGGCGGGGCCTCCGTGCTTTCTGAACGCTCTCTGCGCTTGGGGGGCAAAGCTAAGATGCGCTTCAACGTTTGTCGCATTCTCTTAGATATTCGCAACGTCACAACCAGTCGCCTCTTTTCTCTGGGGTCCTCATCTTCAACCTCATCTTCGTCTTCGTGTTCAATTGGCGCCTTTCTTGCCGTGGTTGATTTGTGCCGTTCTTCGCTCCGTCTCTCGCTTGGTTCGTCCCTATCATCATGTGGCTTGGATTCGGCTGTCTTGGAGGGAACCTTCCTTCGCGACAGCTCTGCCTCCAGGGCGCTCGGCAATGTCGGCGACAAGAGTGTGGGCAATCTTACAGGTGACTTGTCTCTGGCCAGCTCATTCTTTGCTTTAGGTGGTGGCGGTTCGGATTTCTTAGGCTTTGTTGATCTCGTCGAGTCTGCAGCGTCCTCGCGAATCTTTCTCCTATCGGCCTTCTCTGTCGAGTTCTGACTGTCCAAGTTCAAGTGAAGAGGTGATAGCAGTGGAGGCACGGATGATCGCGAAGCATTGTCGAGCTTGACTGGTGTACCCTTGGTGCTCCCTGATGCGTTTGGCCGACCACCGTTGACTGAATCACCACGTGCGCGTCCAGCTGGGGAGGGATTACGAACAGCAGAGCTATTGGTGCCTTTGAGAATACTACGTCCATTAGAAAGCGACGAGGCAGTCGGTTTGTCCCTAGAAGGAATGTCAGAAGGCCCTAAAGACTCTCTGTCTTTTCGGCGCGCAGGTTCGTCTCGGCTTGGGCGCGAACGATCGTCGACTGAGCGGGGGATGTCCGGCCTGGGTCGTTTCTGAGACCGATGGTCGTCGTCGGCATTGGATGCACGTTTTCTACTGTCAGGCGATACGGGTCGAGGTGGGAGAGAGGCGGGCGGTTTTGGGGGGAGTCTAGTAGGATCAGTACGATAACACACAGGCAATTACGATTTGAGTTGGACGGCGCAGCCTACCTCATATCAACAACAGGGTGTTCTCGGGCTTTTTGTGGTTTAGTATCAAGGTGGTGATCTCTTTGGCGCTGTGAATCATGTTTCCTGCTTTCTGGTACCGACTTTGGCTCTGCGGATGCGCGCTCAGGTTCGCGCTTCCTGGCGCTGGGTGGTTCTGGCGTGGATGTGTCTGAGGCAACGCCAGAAGTCTTTTTATTCTTGTAGTCGCTCAGCGACAACTTCTTCTTCTCGCCGCCCTTAGCGAGGACACCTACGTCGCGAGGGACGGGTTTGGGGGGCTCGACACGCATGTCGTAGTATGATCTGGTAAGGAGTACACCGCGATCAGCTTCCGACACAAGTGTCGAGTATTGGAGGCGGGTATTGTCCCATTCCTCAAAATGCTTGTGCCGGGACTCGTTCGCAGGGATGTTATATCGCCAGTCTGCGGAGTAAGATAGGTGATGAGGTTTCTCTGGTAAGATGCGCTGGGTTAGCTGCTGTACCGTCTTCGCCGCGGCTTCCATTGTTCATGGATGTTGGCATGCCGGAAGGACGAAGACGGGGGTGTGGTGCGATGCCGTGCAGGTTGCGGTGCGGTGCAGTACGGTACGGTACGGTACGAGGTTTGGCGATCGAGGGTGACGCGCGCGAGGGGTACGCAGGGAGGCCGAGAACGCGACAAAAGAGGCGTTTAAGCGAAAGTTAGATGAGGTCAGACACTAATGGAGATGCGAATCAGTGGAGGGTAGCGGGTTTCGAGATCGATGTTATTCACTGCTGACTCGCAGGGTCGTCGCGATGGTGATGGTGGCTGATAGTGGTAGTGGTTGATGCCGAGTGACAAGGCATGGAGGTGACCCAGTGGCATACGATAGCAGATAAGTTAAGTTAGATGATTAGCGCGCTTTGGGCACAATACAACAGCAAACGAGCGCGGGAGATCGAGGCCCCAGAGATCCGCTCAGTTGATTGATTCAGCAATTGATTGAACAAAAAAGACGGAGAATTGTTTGTTTGTTCGTTTATTTTTCTTTGGTTGTTGCAGGAAAAAAAATAAAGGAGAAGAAAAGGTGCCTTCTCTTGATTCTGTATGTCTTTCCTTCCTTCTTTGTTGTTAAAGAAAGCCCTATGTAAGGTAGTACCTAGAAGTTGGCAGGCACACCTGTGCCTTAGTAGGTACCCAGGTACTATGGACCTCAGGCGAACAGGTTTACTAAGGTTATCAATGACAGTGATTATCAGTGACAACGACAGTGACAACGGTCAGAGCATGTTTTTAGCTAGGTACCAGTACATCGGAAAGAACAAGCGTGAAGTGCTAGAGACCATCATGTGTAGATTTATTTGATAGGAGGGAGATGCTATAGTAGCTGTAGGTAGACTGTGGACTTAGATTTCCATTTCTCTTTCTTGAAGGGACCTGGGCTATTGGGGAATGGGAATGAGAATGGAAATGGAAATGGGAATGTCATCGGGCATGTCCGTCCCATCGTCTCGTTTGCCTGTGGCTGCTGTCGTTTTAAGTTTTTTGGGGGGGCTTTGTGGCTACCTCAATTAGAATGGGCCCCTGCAGTGGCCCGTTCCTTTTCATCACTAAACCAACCAGCTACCAACATTAGCTGCTCCCATCCGCACCACGATCTGTAAACTACCTTACTGACCCACGAACCTACCCTATACGATATAACTATCGATCCCTGTTGGATGCTTGTCTTCCATCAGAAACAGAACCATTTCCATGTTTACTATAGTCAACCAAAAGCGGTTCTTATGGCGGTTGAGTTGAAATCGTGAGCTTGTGCTGCTGTACACTTTGTTCTGCATAGGGGCAAGGTTTCACGTAAAGAGTCTTATGGAGGTTGGAAAATATATATCATCTCGACACAACAACGGTGCACTCCCGTTTCCCCATAAAATCAGATTGTATTCTAACGCCGTATCCACAAGGGTATAATGCTGCTGCCTCAAGTTGTCACAACCGTCCCTTGTCCTATGCCCTAGCTCAACCATACCAAAGCAAAACCTAACCCAGAGCCCATATCAACGCCCGTATGACGGCTCTATGAATCGTGACATATCCGTACAGCACCTAACGAGCACCACTCGTCACCAACGGACTGCCATTAGCTGCCCTGCGTCTCTTGTTACCGTTTTCCGAGTCATTAACTCGGTCTTCGAGGTAACTAACCCGGGTAACGAGACCATTCAACTGCACGTTGAAATGAGCAGGTATATAGCTCATGATTTGTTTGGCCACATTGTCATACCACTGCTTAGAGCTGAGGTTCTTTAACCCATCATGAAGCCATGTTATCTGGTACTGAAGATCATCAGTACAAGCCTTTGATTCGTTGCGGACTTTATCGACGTTTTCGCCCAGTACTGAGATCGCCTCATCGAACTTGGTGGTTTGTTCAGTGTTCCGTGTTGTCAGGTTGTCGCACAGCTCTTTGACCATCTTCGTTTGGCGATTGCTATTACCCAACTTATCTTCAAATTTTGACTCAAGGTCCGCGACCTCATTCTTGACGAACACCAACAACTTTTCGAACAAGTCTGTCATCTTCCCGTTCATCTCACCCTTGATACCAGTTTCCAACTGCGAGAAACTAGGTTGTAGAGTCTGCATCATTGTCTCTCTGTTCATTAAAGAATCCGGAGCCGGCGCGGGTGGAGGCGGAGTCTGCCGTGCTCTCAAACTCGATATAGATTCTTTTAATCTTGGTATATCAGTAATGAGTATCTTCAACTCTTTACCAGACGGATAGTCTGCCAGAAGGCGATTGAGATCCGTAGCAGGCGGGTACTCTTGAATCTTTCCAGCAAGTTTCTTGAAATCCTGGAGAGGCTGCTCTGAAATCTTTCTTTCTAGAGAAGCAACAGTCTCTTCCAACTCATGGCTCTTCTTCTGCTGTTTCTTGACGGACAACTGCAGGGAAGACAATTTCGGCGCCTCTTCTGAAGAAGCAGAAATAGAAATAAGCTTTCTTCCCAAATCGTCGGTCTTTTCCTGCTGATGTTTTACCAACACTTGCAAGGAAGCCAACTCCGAAGCCTGGATGTCCAGGGCCTGCAGTTTGTCTTTCACTGATGAATTCAGAGAAGTCATGTTTGAACTTAGTGTCTGCTGTTCTGTCGTGCAATTTTCTGTGCTAGAACGCAATCTGGCAACGGCAGTATCCAGTACACGGTGCTCGTCAGCCTGGTCGGAACACAAGCGATCGACCGTGGAATCTAAGACATTGTGTTTCTCGGCCAGGTCCCGAGCAGTCTTTTGCAAATACGAGACAATTTTCTTCAAGTCCTTCTGTTTCTTGCCTTGATCCTCAATGGTAGAAGATTGCTCCTCGACAAGTGCCCGCAAATCCTGGATATCGTTTGATGAATGTGCCGTAGCCTTTTCAAGGTCCCCAATTGTCTGTTGTTTCAGAGAATTCACATTACGTCCATAAATTTCAACAGTCGATTTGTGCATCTCAATGGTTTCTTGCAGGTGACGAACTTCAGCTGTGAGGTTGGGGACCACCGGGACCACTGTTTGAGGGCGTGCTGACTGTTGTTTCTCGAGACTTTGCAGCTGCTCCGTCGTCTCGGCAGTGCTCGTCATGCACTGGTTGAGTTTCTCCTCCAGGCCTGACACTTTAGCAGTGACTGTCTTGTTGACCTCTGAAGATATTTGCAGTTCTGTTGGCTTAATGGTTTGGTACATCCGCTCAAGCTGGCTGAGTCTCTCTTCCAAGGACTGACTCTTGCGCTGTCCTTCCTCTATTTTATTTTGTAAAGCCTGTGACTTTTGCCTTTCTTTGCCAAGGCTATCCCGTAGCGCCTGTATCTCAGCATTGTTGGGCTCCCTCCGTTCGAGAACAAATTGCCTGAGCGCCTCGATCTCGCGTTGAACATGAATCTCCGTCCACTTAGTTATCGATTCGTGTAGCTTCGCCAAACGTGGCTCGAACTTTGTTTGCGATACTGTGTTTTCGAACCGCGCCTGCAGCTGTGCCAATCGTGGCTCGAGGTCTGTTTGGGATACTGTGTTTTGTGCTGGCGCGGACGACGGATCTGTGGACGGTGGCTGTTTTAATACTGAATCAAGCTGCGCCTGCACTTTGACGTAGAGCCGGTCGAGTTTTGTTTCGAGACGAATCTTCTTCTTTTCGTTTATAACCAGCTGATTTCTCTTGAGTTTCTCTACTGAAGAGAACTCAACTGGTTTCGTGCCTGACACCTGGAGCTCGTGCTTGATTTTATTGTAACGGTCCTCTATACCGATTAGCTGCGTGCGAACATGTGCCATTTCGCCCAGGAGTTCCATGAAGTCCTGATTTTCGCATCTTGACTTCTGGTTTTCCAATCTTGGTACACGCCTCCCGCTTGACGTTGAAAGCGGCGTTTTCGATTCTGTTTGCCGCTAATCAGCCATGCTCCCATCTTATTAATGCTTCTTAGCTTACCATGGCTTTCAGCGGCGGGGGCGGGCTTCCAGTGAGGTTTGCCGTTCGAGTCGCGGCGCGCGAGTGCTTCCTTGTCGTCACTTCGGTCTCTGGAGATAGAGTCGCGAGGTCCACATGGAGGATCGTGACTGTGAGGTTGATTATGGTCCTCCCTACCAGCCATCGCGGCTCTGGTAGCAACCTAAAGTCGCAAGCATTCGGCGATGTGATATTGTAATGACCTGAGACAGGACGAATGCCGTGTGCCGTTTGCCTAATATGGGCACTGGCTCGATGGGAAACGCGGAAAAGTTAAACGATCAAGGATGGAAGGAGGCAGCGCTGGCGAAAGCACTTGGCGTAGGTGCCCAATAACAGAATAGAGCTCCGAAGGTAGAGCAAGGCAATTCGAGTAAGAGTGTGGCGGACTAAGTGGAGGGCAACGACTTGAAATTAAGCAGAAAGGAGTCTCCGTATCATAGGCTTCGACGAACGATGAAAGAGGGAAAACGAAGTGCAATGAGTCAAGCGTGTACTGGGAAAGTACAGTGCTGTAGAAAGGGTAAAAAGCAACAAAGAAGTGACACGGAAAGTGGAAAGCTGATGCAACCACGAATCAAGTCTGGGTTGGTCAGGTAGTTGGTTACAGGAGAGGAGTGAGAGGAGTCAGGAGAGGAGAAAAGAATGGAAGGAAAGAAGCAATCATTGCACTGCGTTGCACTGACCGTTTGGCAATCGGAATTATGTGCGTACAGTAGGTAATTACCTTGGTACTATGGAGTCGAGAGAGCCCATAAGCTCGCTTGTCTAAATCACATAACTATCAGATGAAATCTTGACAGTGAATCACAAGCTCATTGATGCTGAAGAGAAAGAGGCTCGCATAATTCGGGACATGCCAAACTTCACAGTATCTTAGTAGGTATGTACTTGAGCTTCTCCAGGACAGCAAATGAGACCAAGAGGCAAGATCTACGTTGTATAACAAAGTACGGATATCCATGTCAATTTCCCAGCTCTTCACCATTGCAGCTCCAGGTTCGCGTCAAGAGCGCGACGAGCCACTATAGATACGGTAGATACTAGGTTTATTAGGTAGCCCGTGCTAGGTTGTACATTAAAGGACGGGTCGGGGTCCTGGTCCTGACTGCCGCTACTGCACCTGGTACCTAGCGATCCATGGCAAGTGGGGGTAGGCAGGTCAGATGTCAACGGGTCTGGATTTTGAAACTTCAGACGCAACCTAGACTTGCCCTCAACTTAAGTATCTTGTATGAGGGAAGTAGAACCTCTTAAAAGACTATGAGGAAGTAATTCTGAAGAGAAAGCGACTCTTTCCATCTACTTAGGTAGATATCCAAAAGAAGCTATTGCGGGATCTCTGTTGTCTCACTAAAATGTTTTGGTCTACTCTGTAATTAACTTAGGTGCCTATTGGGTCAATATCGGGCAGGGGTCAACTCTCTTGGATCTTCTCGGTAAGGTAGGGAAGTACCTAGCCACACTTTCGAAGCTGTTCGGGTCGTTTCCCTTGGCCATTAGTGGCGGTGCACATCGAATCTGTGGCGCGATGCATTGACCGCGTACTAACATTTTTTTCGATGGGCATTTTATGCGAAGGACTCCGTGCAGCTCTCGCGCAACCTTACCTACCTAGTAGCTTCCAGCCTTGTTCATCCAGGCTTTCTTCCATCACCACACCGGCGCCGTACACCTCAATTCTTCATATATCCCGACGCCGTTTGCGCATAACACGCGAAAACATGGCTGCTGTAAGTTGAATCGTCTTTTTGTCTACGCGACTTGTAGCTCACATTGGAATGCAACGATAGCCTGTGATGACCGTGTCAGAGTCTAAGGACCTTCGAGGTCTCAACCTCATCGCAGCTCATTCTCATATTCGTGGCCTCGGCGTTGATGCGACAACTTTGGAACCAAGAGCTGCTTCCCAGGGCCTTGTGGGACAGGAGAAGGCGCGCAAAGCTGCTGCTGTCATTCTACAAATGATCAAGGACGGAAAGATTGCAGGTCGAGCTGTTCTTATCGCAGGACCGCCCAGGTATGCTAATTGGATCTCGCAAACACGAGCCCGCGAGTATTGAACTAACTTTCTTAAGCACCGGAAAGACGGCCATTGCCATGGGTATGGCACAGTCTCTTGGCCCTGACGTTCCTTTCACAACCCTTGCCTCTTCAGAAATCTTCTCACTCGAGATGTCCAAGACCGAAGCCCTCACACAAGCTTTCCGAAAATCCATCGGCGTGCGAATAAAGGAAGAGAGCGAAATTATGGAGGGAGAGGTTGTTGAGATCCAGATTGACCGCAGCGTCACTGGCAGCGCGAAGCAGGGAAAACTAACCATCAAGACAACAGACATGGAGGCTGTCTACGATATGGGTAGCAAGATGATCGATGCCATGACCAAGGAGCGCGTCATGGCGGGCGACATTATCTCGATTGATAAGTCATCTGGCAAGATTACAAAACTCGGCCGATCCTACGCCCGATCCCGCGATTACGATGCTATGGGTGTCGACACCAAGTTCCTCCAATGCCCCGACGGAGAGCTTCAGAAGCGTAAGGAAGTTGTCCACACTGTTACTCTTCACGAAATCGATGTCATCAACTCCAGGACGCAGGGTTTCCTGGCTCTCTTTTCAGGCGACACAGGAGAGATTCGCAGCGAGATCCGAGACCAAATCAACACAAAGGTCGGCGAGTGGAAGGAAGAGGGCAAGGCAGAGATTGTTCCCGGTGTGTTGTTCATCGATGAAGTTCACATGCTTGACATTGAGTGCTTCTCATATGTTAATCGAGCTCTCGAGGACGATCTGGCCCCCGTGGTTATCATGGCCAGCAACAGAGGCAACTCACGTATTCGTGGCACCGACTACCGCAGCCCTCACGGACTGCCCCTCGACTTCTTGGACAGAGTTGTCATCATCAACACACACTCCTACAACCCCGAGGAGATCAAGCAAATTCTTTCTATTCGAGCGCAAGAAGAAGAGATCGACGTACACCCTGACGCCCTCGCCCTCCTTACCAAGATCGGCCAGGAGGCAGGTCTCAGGTACGCCAGTAACCTCATCACCACTTCGCAATTGGTTTCCGCCAAGCGAAAGGCTAAGCAGGTTGAAGTTGGCGATGTGCAACGCAGCTTCCAGCTCTTTTATGATCCTGCACGCAGCGTCAAGTTCGTGACCGAATCGGAGAAGCGCCTGATTGGCAACTCTGGCGCAGTGGATTTTGCAGCAGGCGCCACTGTAAGCAACGGCGACGAGAAGATGGACCTTAGTTAATAATTATCATGGCGAGTAGAGCCTGGCGTTTAAAGGGTATTGGAATGCGAAGGCTGGTAGACCTGAAGAGAGAAGGAATATTTGTACCATACTGATTTGGCGTAGAATGGGATCGATAAAACAAAACTCGCAAAGAGTTTCAAAATGTCTACTTCACATTGGCACTTATATGTTCCACTTGTTTAAGTTTACTCTCGAGTTTACCTCGGGAGTTGCTTGACTGACTAAAAACGATCTAGATATGTATACTTTTTCTAACGATCTGAATTTAACGAAACTAGCAACTGGGACAGAATGATGAATGGTATGTGGCTGACTAGATCACATAACAAGATACATGATTTGGATAGCGACCTATATATCAGATTTATGGATTAATATTCCAGAGATATCGCTCACGACTGGGAGCAGGGTTGTGCCTTGGTAGGCGCGATATCAAAGTGCTTGGAGAAGGGGTCATCAGTCGAATTACGCGGGACATGCTCGACGATACTAGCAATGAGTTCTGACCGCTCGTTTCCCCAGAATGTGCTGATGAAAGCAAAGATGAGATCTAGGCCAGAAGTGACCTAAGACAATGTTCGGATTAGACAACCTAGCCCAAGCAGCTTTCGAGAAGGATGAAGAACTTACACCTGAAGAGGACCAGATTTTTCCGTCAATGACATAACGCGCGGGGGACACCCAGTTTACTTTGGGTCCCATTTCCTTCATGGTCGCCCAGGCATTCTTGTTAGTCGTTGCCATATGTCCATCCAAAACGCCCGCTCTGGCAGCAACACCAGCACCAGTGCAGATGGTCATCAGGACTTTGACCTTGGGGTACATCTTTGCGATATAACCAGTGACGGCCTGAAGATTTGGGTTTCTGGCGCCACCACCGCCAGGGACAATGAGAAGATCAAGGTCAAGATCGTCGTCAAAAGTGTTAGTTGGTGTGACCGCTGGGAAAAAGCTCGAGTTGAACTTGTTCATAGCCACAGGAGCTGTGGTGACTGGGTCAAGTGTTTCAGCTATGAAGTGAAGATTGAGCTGCTGTGCGCTGAGTGAGAGCAGCTGGAGAGGATCCAGAGGGCCAAAGACATCGATCATGTCGAATGCCTGGAAGAGGACGACTCCAACATTGCGGATCTGGGAGCCGGTAATGTTGGGAATGACACCAGGAGTGATACATGATGGCTCGGACTCGCGAATGTAATTTGGATAGTAGTTGTCGTGTCTAACAATCGCTGATGCAGAGGCTGAAGTGAAGAAGGCAAAGGCGCCGGTAAGAAGAGAGGTTGAGAATTTCATGATCAATGGGAGTACACTTGGCAAACAGTATCAATTTGATAGTAAACAGTGCTTGGACAAGACACTAACGACAATTTGAGGAAAGAATAAGAACGAGTGAATTGTTTCGTAACAACTCTTGAGCATTAATTAGTCCTCTTATATATACTTGCCTACGGGATCCATGCATCAAATCCTTCAGACACGGCAATTCATCCTTCAATCAACTTCCGACAAATCCTCAATCCTTCCTGCAAAGACAATAACCTTCTCAAACGCGCTCTTAATCCGTATCCTATGTGATACTGTATGGCATCCTGCAGTTCCCCGACGCCGTCGGCAATAGGATGAATTCGCTCTACGCCCAATCACCGCCAAGGTTTCATTATGAGCTTAAACAACCACAGATCCTTCGTGGGGTTGGTCAAACAATGTCCACCGCAGTCTCCAACGACAATATCATTCTACAACATCTTTTTGGCGGCGTTTGATGCGCATAGACCATGGGAAGAAGTAAATCATATGCTCCGAGCCATGTACGTGTTGTCTCTCAGAGTAAGGCTCCTATTTGACTTTGGGCTCCTAAACCCTGGAATAGCCATTGGACGCATAAGCAATATCCATTTTCAGTGTTTTCGCATCTGCGTTCCAGGAGACTTTGAGGTATAGATGGTCAAAGTTCAAATTGGTATCTGTTATATATAATTCGTTGGCAACTGCTAGACTTGATTGCTCCTGCCATTCTTGCATTCATTGCATTAGCGAAACATCCTCTCATCGTCTTGTGGCTTTCGAAAGCCAGTATATCTAGCTTAAATTCGTACATCGTTATTACGACTCATCTTGGGTATCCTACCACGCCAACATATAGCGCCTAGCTTCTTGTTGAAGCCAACTCATTGCCAAAAGGGAGAGCTTTCCTTCCACCAACGCCGGTACACACCGAGAGATGACCGCCTATCTCTTTTGTTCCTGTTTTGGAAAGTTACCATCCCAACCCATGTCTATCGATTTATACAACACAATCAACCACAATCGGCCACAAAAGCCTACGGGCGCTCCTCTAGAGCAGCAGCCTGAGCCTCCAAAGCTTTGTTACCCTTGATCAAATCATCCAGCCATTCCGCCGCCATCGCAAGCATTGTGCTTTTACTAAAACCACCGCCGCGAAGCCCGGGAACGAGCTCGCATAGATCGTCGAAGCCCTCTTTGATAAGGGTGCGCCGTTTCTGCTCGCTCTTTATATGATTTTCGCGTTTCTGTTCTTCCGAAAGATTTTCTCTCGACAACTTAGCATTATTGGCAGCTGATTTGCGACGTTTTCCACCGGGAGCCTCGCTGGCAACAGCTGAGGCGATCGACCCTGCACGCTCCGCCTTGGGCTTGCGTCTTCGTATAGGCTTTGAGGCACCTGTTTCTTCTTGTATCTCCTCATTCGGGGCATCCTTGCTATTCCTGCTCTTTCTCCTTTTCCTTGGGGGCGTGTCAATCTCTTGCACTTTCGTGAATTCAGATAGTTTGCTGTGTGGGAGTTGTGCCTTGGTTTGAAGTGGACTGCTGGGTCGCGTATTGCCAGCACTTTGACTTTGGGCTAGACAGTCGAGCATCCCTAGTTGGTCTTTTGATAGAGACTCCGTTGTTTCTTTTTCCGAACTCGGGGTATATGTAACTTGGTTGAAGTTGGCATCAGAACCCCATTGATATTCGGTAGGAGGTGCTCGATGTTGGCGTAGTTCATGTGTCCCTACCATCCAATCTGGGTAGTGCTCTTGTTCACTAGCCGCCACGCTGCGTCGATGTTCCTCGCGAAACTCTTCCAATGGCTGGTGACGGAGATGACCCACTGGAGGGCCTATTGACCTTTGCACCGAGCTATCAACTCCATTGGAAGACTGTCGTTGGTTTGAACCATTCTGAACAAGAGTAGCAGCTGCATGTAGCACATCATCAGAGGCGTGGCGATGCTCGCCCTGGTGATGGGAATGCACTGGGGGCGGGGGTGGAGGAGGCATCATATTGGACCCCATGGATGCTATACCATGGAATTCATGAATGCCATGAGACGGTCCTTGTGATGAAGGCTCGCCTAACGAAGATCCTGGCTGTTGGCCAAACGAAGTACTGGATCCCATAAACTGTGGAGGAAGATCGAACCAACTCTCACTGAATTGTAGGCCGACCTCGCCGAAAGAGGGTACATTGAATTGATCGGCGTTTATGTCGTCGAAGAACGATGAGAGAAGTCTGCTATCGTTGTCTGATAAGAGGGGAGCACCAGGCGCAGGCTCAGGCGGATCGGTAATAGGAGGGTCTTGATTAGAAGGTACTTGGTCTATTAAGAATTCGAGTCAGCATCTTGGTCTCCAAATCCATGTTTGAACAGCCATGAGAGGAGGTTTGGGCAAGTATTTTACGTACAACCAAAAGGTTGAAAATGGCCCGAGGGCGGCTGCGACGAACCCATCCTCGGAGCGTGCTGTACGACGAGCATGGGTGCGTCCTTATGAAGGGATTCCTGTTGAGAGAATACACTGCGCCACGGAACAGTCGCAGTCAACAATGGCGTTTGGGATATCGAACCAGCTAATCGTGTTGCGATTGGCGTAGTTTAGGTTCTGGGGTTTTCCAAGGGTGACAAAGCCGTCCACTTTCTTTCTTTCGTCGCCAAGTGTAGGTTGAAGTAGAGGCCGGATCAATAGACCGTCTGGTATATGGCACGAGAATCCAGGAATATTGCTAGTATTTCGATACAGAGCAAGTAAAGTGCAATGGAGCCACTCGCGACGCGGACAACGGGAGTATCGGAGACTAGATCTTCGTGATATGCAGTTCGAAGTGTCGGCGTTAATGAATCAATGTTTCGCGACGATTTTGTAAGTTTTGCTGAATGCGTATATCAAATATACTCTATCGTTGCATCTGTTTTTATATCAACATCAGGCAACTATATAGTCGGTTGCGTTGATCAGATAGGTAAGGCAGATAGGTAGGAGAAAATGCTGTCGTTCACGGCATGGCGAGGTTGAAGCTGAGTAGAAGTCGTCGGACTGTATAATGACAGAGCTGTCTGCTTTTACTCAGAAGGAAGAGAATAAGAGCGACAGGGGACCGAGACAGTCAGGGAGTTCGAATGGAGACGGAAGTGCATGTGCTAAAGACGTGCATAGATGCGTCACATCACCTCCGCGTCCCAGGCGAAGACAAAGAAGGAGCGACTAGGGCCCGAGTTGTTCTGCTCGGACCTTCATAGGACAAGAGCTGTGGTTTTGGCCTGGAAAGGTTAGAGAAATAGAGAATACCTTGTAAAAAGGTCAAATGGTTAAGTAGCGGCCGAGAAAAGGATGGGATGGTTGGGAAGGAGGGTGGAGGAGGTGGTGGTGGTGTTTAACTACCCTGCCCAGGTAGGTAAGGTAAGGTAGGCACGGCACGGTAGGTAAAGTGGTTTAGGTAGTTGCCCGTATGTATACGTGCGGTGCAGGTGCAAGCAAGTTGGAGATGGCAGGAGTCCACTATAACTGCCCTGCGTGCATGGAGAGTAACGGTGCAGAAGGTGCATGTGTGTAGCAACTACTTGTGCAGAAGGTAGCTAAGTTTTTGGGGAAACGCATTCGAGAACTAGATTTGGACGGCTATTGGACCCGTTGACCTGGTCTGAGCAAGTTCCAAATCATCCCAGCCATGTGGGGTTGCCTCGGAACTTTACACGCGCCTATTCTTCAAGTATCTTATACCTCAACCAAGTGCGCTGAGTCCCCATGCTTCCCTCCTGGATCACCGTGTCACCTGCGACTTTCATCGACGTCGACCAGAGTTTTTAGCTTTCGGAAAGCTTGGCTCATAGGGCATTTCGGATAATATAGAGCAAGGTCGCGAGATGTCGAGCCCGAACGAAAGGATAAAAGACATTCGGGTTCCCTCGTCTTGTTCAACAATCAATCAACCAAGACTCTTCAACACATTCGTCGCTACATGCCCCGAGCCTCCCGGTACGGGGTCACCATGTCATGACGTATCCCTATATCCATAATCTGCCACCCAACTGCAGCATATGCATTTATGGGACTATCACATGCTTTGATTTCAACTTCACATCTCCCAACATCTCAATTTTGCGACCCTGTTGACGACGCCTCAGCTCCAGCTGTCATTCATTCGACCGGCCAAGCCTCAAGGGACAGACAGTTACCCGATTCCTTATTGGTCTCCTTGTGCATTTTTCGCCTGCTGAGAGGGTCGAGGTTCTAGTCATCTTGGCGTAGTACCCAGCAGACTGACTGCAGATATGTTGCTGGTCACTTGACTCATTAACTTACTTCTAGTCAGCGATATCATGAGGCTGAGCCAACGGAATTCTGTTATCTGAATCAGCATAGCGTCAAGCACATGCGCCCAAACCGCCTTTTCCGTCAGAAAGGGTGACAAACGCGACCTTGTTTGCTTGACCTTACTTCCACTGCCTTTTTTCCTTTGACTCGTGACCACGACCGACCCGTACCAGGAGGTATAGTACAATATGAGAACCAGGATCAAAATCAACCAGGGGTCAAGACCGCCCAAGAGAAAGACCTTCTGAGAAAGGAATGATGTCGACTGAAATCATGCTTCAAGGGGAGATCAGGTCAGGAAGAAGAGCCGAAACCTGTTCGAGGTCCGAAATTTGACGTGGGTCTTCCCTGTCGTCGCTGGCTGTTTTCGAGAACATTTCATTTCCATGTGCGAATATCTTGGCTTTTTTCTAGCCTGATACAGACAGATCCGCAAGAAGAAAAACGAGCTGTGCCTAAGTCGAATAATATCATGGTCTCTTGCCATTCGAAATGTTAAACTAAAGATATAATATCCATTCTCTGTCCTATTTTTCTGTCTTCATGCCTACTGTCCTGCAAGAAGATGAAATTTGTCAATGGATTCGTCACTTTTTATCGTATGTAGGATTTCAGGTGTTCGGCTTAACAATAAAATTTACGTACCAGGCCCATAATCGCGTACCTGTTTCCTTCCAAATGAGGAAGCCGCACAGGATATCCCTGTACCCCAGAATTACATACAGCTCCCCTGGACTTCAGGTAGCGGGACCTGCCGACAGACCACATGCAAATTGCTGTACACGTACCTGAAAACATTAGTGATAACCTCACTCACACAGCTTAACTCAATCTGTTACTTAATTTTACACACGAATATCCTTCTTTGACAAATCTTCTGCCACTAACGGTCTGGAACGTTGCATGTTAAAACGTCCAAGTCCCGTACCTGCCTAGACAGGCACAAGCTAAACGACTCCTTCCTTTGACTTCAGCGGAGCCCCTGAACTACCGTCATCGTCATCGCCAACACCAGCACTAACATCATCAACATCAGCATCAGCATCACCAACTCCTCAAACTCGGACGTTATCCGCATAATCTACCAGAGCTTATTTCCTCGTCCTGCACTTGCTAGACTGTTTCATACTCCAGCCCACCCCGGAGTTGTTACTCAAAGAACATTGCTCCCTGGGTTAGTGTAGTTCTCTAGTTACACCCTCTCACATCTGTTATGATTTGCAGCTCTGTCACCAAATAAAGTAAATGCACACGCTACGTTCCCTACAGCCCTGCCAGGGGTCTTGCGATCTACCACCTGTCAAGGCAGAGCCGTTGAGTACTTCTCGGCCTTTGTCCTACGGGAGTACTAACAAAGGTGCGCTTTCACGCGACATCTTGGATATCAAGCCGAGGCTCAAGTGAGAGCTCGGCGATGCAATCCTACGTCTCCACCCAAGTTGAAAGAGGAAGTTATCATATCAACTCTTTATGGTTCATCTTATTAGAACAGCCTCAACTGTCCTTTATCGTCCTTGTCATTACCTTTTGACATACAATCTACGGGACGAACTGTCGGTGCCTCAGGTGGCGGATGCTGTCGGCTCTAACCTTTTGACCTCCCCTTTTCGATTTCCCTGACACCATCTTTACTGTTTTCTCATTGAACTTGACAGGGATAAACCAGCTGTTGACCGGTTAGATACAGAGTACATACAATATCCCCGCGAAAATCCTCTCGGATATCCACCTCTGAGTGCCAGCCGCCCTCGTCTCGCCGGCAGCAGGTGCCGTAGCCCTGCGTAGGATCTTCGTTTATGCCGGACTATTATGCCAGCTCTTGATCTGCGGCCTGTCCGTAAAGGGCCTCTGAGGCTCGACTCTGTCCCCGAGATCCTCCGCCCGTTGATTCGGGCCTATCTGTTAGGCTATGCATCTGCCGTGGCGCCCCGGCTCTTGACTTTAGTGCTGCAGCATGTTGCCAAGAGGAGACGAAAAGCAGACAAGCAACTGCCTTCAGACATTGATGATGGTTCATTCTTCAAGTCCGCGGTATACATAATAAAGACTGGGTTCAAGCCACAGCGGTTTCCAACTTTTTGTGCCATATTAGCTGGTGGTACTACTCTCTTGAAAGTAAGTACGCTTACAACCTCCGATTCTCCTGTCCAAGCTTGCTGGTGGATCTTACACCATGGTCATTAGACTGAAGCTAACATGCTACAAGGAACCTTTGAAGAGTGTCCTAGAGAAAACTGTTCAAGGTCTCAGTGAGGCAGGACGTCTAAGGCAAGCTTACTTCCACACCCTGGCAAAAGCATGATATCCATTACTAACTCCCTCTTCTCAGGTTGGCGAGATGGTTGGCCACATTCCTGGCTGCCTGGTTTGGCCTGCGTTTGCTTCACTCATACGAGGGCAGGGCATATACAGAAACGGTGCCGCCGAAGGAGGGCTCGCCGTCTGATGCCGAACCACAGACAGTCAAGTTCGCTGGTCGAACAATGGATCTGACCCTGTTTGCTGTCACTCGAGCCCTCGACGTTGTTGTTGGTGACATTTGGGCAAGACACAAAGCACGACGCTTGGCTCAAAACAAGTGGACAAAGGTAGTGCACACACTTCTCCTGATTGCATGGCATGTTTGCTAACATTCTCACCAGGCCGAGCGATTCGTTTCCAAATTCGTTGACCCCCTGGTTTTTGCTGCCTCCTCAGGCCTTGTCATGTGGGCTTGGTTCTACCATCCCAAACGTCTTCCCCGGAGCTACAACAAATGGATCACTTCGGCTGCTTCTGTGGATCTGCGTCTCATCGAAGCTCTTCGCCGTTGCCATTCCGGTGAATTCCAGTATGGTAAGGAGACTGGACAGGCACATCTTCTTCAAGGCATGTGCGTTGACTACGAATGGCCTCTTGCTTGGGGAGATCCTGCTGTCGTTGTACCCATTCCATGTCAAATGGTTCACATGTCAAGCGGACCTTCATGCGAGTACCATGCCATCAGTCGTTTCTTTCGCGCATTTAAGTGGTCAATGGCTACATACTTGCCCCTGACACTTGCCCTCGCTCTCCGTAACCCGTCTCGTAAAGCCCTGCGTCGAGCCATTGTCTCATCCTGCCGCTCATCTAGTTTTCTCGCAACATTCATCACCCTCTTCTACTATGGGGTCTGTCTCAGCCGAACACGCATAGGACCCCAGCTCCCGGGAGGCACAACAATCGAGCGTCGTCAACACATGGACAGTGGAGTTTGTGTCGGCACAGGCTGTTTGCTATGTGGTTGGAGTATCTTGATTGAGACTGAAGGCCGAAGGAAAGATATTGCGTTGTTCGTGGCCCCACGTGCCCTAGCTACAGTTCTACCTCGACGGTATTCGCTTGACAAGGAGTGGCGAGAGAGGCTTGTGTTCGCCGTCAGTACGGCGATCGTATTTACATGCGTTTCAGAAAATCCTGACCGAGTAAGAGGTGTTTTTGGGAAAATGCTGAAGATGGTCCTCAGCAAATAGACGAATGGGTAGCGAGCAGAAGCCCTACAGGATGTTTAGACCATTGTTTGGATCATTCTTCCCTTTCTGCTACATACACTGAATGTATGGCCATGCAGAGCTCAGTAGAATATTGTGCAAATTGATAATGTATAATTGATTTCACAAAACTGTGTTTAACGTAAAACTGCAACTCAATTGCTATGCATTGATACACATGTCTGCTATCCCTTGAACCAAGCAACCGCCCCCAACACAAAGATACACGCCAGCATATCACTTCGCACTGTCGTGAAGATTTGACCATAACGCATTACGATTTCGATATAGCCCTTGGCAGGTTGTGGCAAGAATTGCAACACTGTGCCCACAATGCCAGTAGGTGGGCTGCCCCTCCTATCGAGGAAGAAACGAGTGGTAAGAAGCAGGGTCTCGGCAGTCGCAAACGTCCAGAAGAATAGCTTTTTACGATGCTCGAGTTCCGTCTCCATCTCAGGCTCAGAAGCTGCAATAAGGGGATCCGCAGGTGTTGTGCCAGCGAGAGCGGCACGCTCACGCTCGATCTTGCTACCGCTGAAAGGTGTAAGAAGAACAATGTAGAAGCCAAGACCCAGGGCAACGATAGCGTGAAGAAGGCGCCAAAGGTTCGTAGAGGCACTGTTGCGTACAGCAGTTTGCGGTACGGGGGGGCCTTGACCGGGCGCTGCACCGGGCATACCAGGGAAAGGGGGCATGGAGCCTGCAGGAAGACCTGCACCGGCCATGAGCTGGGACATCATTTTCATCATGGGATCTTCGTCGACACCGCCGGGTGTAGGACTGGCGTTCCCGCTACCATTGCCACGCTCGAAGCCAAGCATCATCTGTCGCAGCTGATCTTCCGAGATGGCCGGTTCCGGGACTTCGGGGGCATTTGTACGTGAAGTTGCCGTGCGCTTGGTTTCGTAGTAGTGCTCTGAGATGTCGACTTCGTCGGGGTCGGCGTGATCGGCGGTGGAAGATACTGTTGGTGCAGAGGCAGCGGGAGCTGGTGTGGGAGCATCCGTCGCTGTGGTAGTCGCTGTGGTAGGTTCAGGCTCTGTGTATTCCGGTTAACATTTCGCAGTCCAATAATACAACATCATGAATATTACCTCCTGGAACACGGCCCCCTAGACCGGTAATCTTGTTGAGTCTTGCAGAACCTCCAGCCTTGAGCTTTGCTTCGCGACGTTCCTTTCGAAGACGTGCCTGCTCGGCAGCTCGCTGAGCAGCAGCATCCTCTGGACTTTGTGTTGTCTCTGTCATGACTTGATACTGTTTTGTGGTGGTATATATCAAAGGATGCAAGTTGAGTTGCTTCGAGTGACGATGATGTGGTGCTTTCACCCAAAGTGGAGTGTGGTGGGAGCTTTGAGTTGGCGGGACGGATATGACAACTGGCCATGATATAGGGCAGGCAGGCCTTTGGAACCTACCCTGTACTATCACCATCTGTCTAGATGGAAATGGCTGAAATGATTACCATAATATATCCCTCCAGTCATACCTTTATGGGCTTTTATTTTAATTATTGCTCGATTTCAACCGTTTCTAACAATATCAGTTCACCTTTAAATCTAACCGCATCGCTCATAACGAAGAGATGGTGGCATCATCTGGTGCCAGCAACCCATCGGAGAAGCGTATAATTCACATTCAATGGATTCTCAATATTCATAGAAAGAGCCATCCCAGCCGTGATAAGAAGTTATCGTCTGCAATGATCAAGAGTCAAAGCACCTACGGGAAGTAGCCTGAAAAAGATGAGTAATGTATGAACCAATTCATGCCGAATAGACGTAGATTTTGCCATCATTTCTGAGTACGATTTTTACAACTTCACACCGAGATAAATTTGTTCAACAAACACACGATAACTTTGGCATTTACTTTTTCTAATCTACTAAATGTTCAGCATGGGTGTCATCGTGATCTTCATTCCCAATCATGCACCATCCGCTAAGCTATTCAACAACCTCAGTTGGTCGTACATATTCCATAGGCAAGGTACAAAAACATGCTGTATTATAAAAACTCTGCTCATGGTGTAGCCTTGCTCATGCTAATCAGTCGCTTGACACCGACCTGTAATTGAATTAGTTATATACTAGAGTAATTGGAAATCGGGTAACTTACCATCCAGTTTCCACACTCCTCGGTCTTGTCCCGCTGAATCTCAACCTGAAGCTTGTGTGCACCTTCGTAGTTCTTGGCCTCAAGAGCACTGGCGAGCTGGGACAGTTGCTCAATTGTGTCAGGCTTAACCAGTTCCTCATTGTTAAGGTGGTCAAAGAGCAAGCCAAGTCGTTTTTGCGTATCCTTGACCTGGGGCGCAAATGTCGCAGGAGCCTTGGAGGCAACCCGCTGCATATCCTGCTCTAGAACATCTACCAAGCGCTGAGCGTTGGCAGGGATATGCGATCGGTCGCCGGCAGGGTGCCTGGCCTTGGGAGGTGCCGATGCTTGAGGAGGAGGTGTTGGTCTGGGAGAAGAAGTAGCTGCAGGTCCCCCAGGAGGAGGCCCCGTGGGAGGGCCAGGTCGGTTCATAGGAGGAGGTCCTGTGGGAGGTGGTCCCGTTGGTGGCGCAGATTGTTGGCTAGGAGGAGCACCGTATGGAGAAGGAGCATACTGGCTGGGAGTTGACTGCTGAGGCGGGGCTCCGAATGAACCGGCTGGAGGACGGTTTGCAGCTCCAGGAGGTTGGCTGAATTGTTGCTGCGGCTGAGCTGAAGGAGTAGGGGCATATCGGTTGGAGGGAGGTGCTGCAGCAGGAGGGACATTATACGGAGACGCAGTTCGTGGAGCAACGTTGGGCATAGGCGATGGGATTGCGCCAGCAGCAGGAGGAGGGGGCGCGTAAGGGTTGTGGCTACTGGCAGCAGGAGGTGGAGGGGCCTGGAAGTTTTGAGGGGGAGCTGCTAGGGGAGACTGAACTCGAGGCGGCGCGGATCCCTTAGGGGGAGGGGGAGGAGGAGTCGCCCCAGTTCGCTGCCCATAAGGAGAACCACTAGGGGGTGGAGGAGCACTCGTACCTTGCTGACCAGGGAAAGGGGAAGTAATAGGCTGGACGCTGGGGGTGGTTCTGCGTGCTGGAGGTGCCTTAGTGACAAGAGGCACGTCGTTCCAGTTGTCCATGTTCTTCACCTTGGCCGCAGGTGTTACCGACGAAGGAGTGGTGTTTCGAGGAGGGCCACCCATTGGTGGAGGTGCAAGAGGAGCGGGAGCACCATACCCAGGCTGTGGGGGAGCGCCGTAACCTGGCTGAGGAGCGCCGTATCCGGGCTGAACTGGAGGTTGATAACCACTTGGGGCACCATAGCCAGTTTGCGCGGGAGGTGCATAACTATTTTGTGGTTGATAAGGGTTTGTCGGGGGCTGATATTGCTGTGCAGGGGACCCAGTGGATTGTGGAACGGCCGGGCTTGGAGCGATATTGCTGTAAGGGTTGGCAGGGACAGAGCCAGTCAATGTTCCAGGGACAAGCGCCGGCTGAGGAGGCTGGTACCCGACAGTAGGCTGAGGTCTGGACGATGTTCGGCTTGACGACGCAGGCACTCGGGCAGCGGGCTGAGCGGCGGGCTTCTTAGTAGCCAGGCGCACACGGTTCCTCGCCAGTTCAGCAGCGGGATAGTTCGATGGAAGAAGGTCGAGATACTTCTGAGCCGTCTCCAGTTGGCCATGGCTGGCCAGGATATCAGCGTACTCGGTGTACTTGTCGTACAGAGTGGAAAGCTTCCAGTCAGAGTCCAGGTTCGTCTCGCTGTCCTGGAACTTGGTAGCGTGGCGGAAGACAGTGACCTTTTCGATGAAGTTCTGCAGTGATCTAGCATGGACAGAGAAAGTAGAATCACCAGACTCCTCTTTCAGACCAGCCTGCTCAGCTTCGTCAAGCTCTTCAGCCCAGATGGATACAACCTTCTCAAGCTTGGATCCGACAAGGTAGCAGAACGAAGCATCCTTTCGGTCACCCTCCTCATTGACCCGGTCACCTAGAGCCTCACAGAGATCAGAGAACTCGGTGGGGTCAGAGAAAGTGCAGATAATAGCCATTGTCTCCTTCCAGTTCTCCAGATCAGCATTGTAGACGACATCCCAAAGGTTCTTGGTAATGACAGAGCCGAGCAGACGCATGTAGCTTGGCATATCACTCTTGCGCGACAGGTAAGCAGCCTGGACCTTGTCAACAAGTTCTTGACCACCACAGTTGGCAATCAGGAATGCATCGGCAAATCGGTCTTCCTTGAGACACAGTTCAGTTGCCTTGGCAAAGTTACCGAGCATCAAGGCAGTGGTGATGTTCTTCTCAACGGAACTATCGGAATCGCTGAAAAGATGGAAAGGGTTATCGGTCTTAGCACCCTTGGTAGCGGCAAGGTTGGATAGGAAGTCATCGCCGTCGCCCTCAGCACCGTCGAAGAAGCTCGAAACACGCTTGTTCTTCTTTTCCTCGGCATCTTCGGTCGAGTCCTTGGTTTCCTCATCCTCTTGGGTCTCCTCAGTGGTCTCCTCCACATTGCCATTTGTGAGATCGTCCTTCTTAAAACCAAGATATTCGACAATCTTCTCACGAGGGTTTTCACCAACCAGGGTCTCCATCACCTCCCAGTCAGCCTTTTCCTCGTCAGTCTTGGCGTTCTCAACGTGGTTGGCACAAATTTCGCTGATGTTGCCAGAAGCAATATCTTCCTGGAACTTCTGGGTGGCAGTGGAAACATCAGAGTCAACGGAGAAGTTAGTGATCATAATCTTGGAAGAACGCTTCTGCCCAGGCTGAGTAGTATTGGGTTTGAACACGACAATCTTTCCACCAAAACCGAAAGAAGCACCAACGGGCCTCTCGAACCAGTTGGGAGCCTTTGCCAATGACCATGAAGCGTCTTGGGGCTGGTCCTGGGCAGCACGGAAGAAGTCCTCATCATCAAGATTCTTCTCAGCTGCGGCCTTGGAAGTATCTGGGTTGGTGTTCTGGAGAGTCTGCACAGTGATCTTGCCGTCGAAGCTGGCCGTCGCTGAGAGGTTGGGGTTGTGGGGGTTGAATCGGGTGAGGAAAGTCCAGTTGGTCACCTCGGGTAATTCGCCGTATCGCTCTCCAGTGCTAGGGTTCCACACAATAGTTCGGTTGTCCTTGCCGGATGAAAGCAGGAGATCGGCATCTTGCTGGCACCAAGACAGGGAGAGGATGCCAGACTCGTGACCTTGCAGTGTCTTCTCAGGGGCATTGGAGTTTCGAAGGTTCCATAGCAGAATGACAGGTGTGTTGTCATCTGGAGTCGCTGTCAAGAGCTTTGTCGAGTTGTTGGGATCCCAAGCAATTGAGCTAACAGCCTTTCGATTATTGTTGAGAGTCAGAGAAGCCTTCTTAGTCTTCAAGTCCCAGACTGTGACAAATCCACCGTTTCCACCAGTGGCAAGAATATGCGAAACCTTTTGGTTCCATGCGAGGCATTCGATATCGTCGGATCGGGCAGCAGCGTTTCCCAGTCGGAAGGGGTTGGCAATGTCGTTGACATCGTAGATGAAGAGCTCTCCTTTAGCGCCAGCTGTAGCAAGAATCTGGGGCTTCAATGGATTGAACTCTAATGTCTTAATTGGACCGCTGTGTTTTGATGTCTGGGAGATAAGTGCATCTGATTCTCCAGCGATGAGCTTCTCGGCATCCCAAAGGTCCAGGGATCCATTCTCGAGGGCACCGGCAATGATACCTCGGGGATGGTCCTCATTGGGGGGACCCCATGCGACATCGTAGAATCTGGGAAGTTTATCAGAACGTGGTGTTTTACATGCGCAAGCTTGGGTATCTACCTGGCGTCGGTGCTGATGCTAGCGACAGGCTGTAGCTCAAGGCCCTGCTGTTGGTCATCTAGAGCAAGATCCCAGAGTTCAAGCTTGCTCTCGTCGGAGAAATCGACGTCAACAGCTCCAGCACGAGTGCCAGTAACTAAAATGGGCTTGCCAGCACCTGGAGACCAGGCAAAGGCGGCCGTTCGGGGGATCTCTCGAAGGCGCACCATGATGGTGATGGTGGGGAGTTAATGGACTATGCGACCAAGGGACCAGCTCAGAATAACGTTTTGATACAATAGAAAGGCTTATAAAGACAGAAAATGGGCGATTATGACCAAGGAAAAGCCATACAATTCACAATGAGTTTGTCACCTCTGCCCGCAGTAATGCTTCAAAAGAGAACGAAGCAAGGCGAGGCCAGATCGGTGGAGGTGTGTCTTGTAGTGGGAGGTATGATGCCAGATTGCAGGCTGCCCCCCGTTACTTGCTCCTGAGCTCCCTATGGCCACGTCCGTGCCTCCTGAGTTGTCGAGGAGGTGGGGCAAGCTAGATATCACGTGCAGGGAAAGAGAGCTTAAAGCCTACCTAGGTATGGATCTATATTGAACAGCAGCCATTTCGTCTTCCATTTTGAGCAAACGATAAGGGCTGAAAGAATTAAAAAATGTTTTGAATGCGATCAATTGGTGATAGTTGTAAACAGGAGAGTGACAGTAGCACAATCGATGGATACTACCCATTCATGTATGACACTTACTGACAATCCTCAATGGAAACTGATGCATTCTAGACACGGTTTTGTCAACTACCTACGTGATTACCTGATAAGTATTCATACGACCGGGCACTGATATGGATATTAATACGTAACGATTTCAACTATCAGATTGTCAGTCTACATACACGACAAACAAGGGTTGACCCAAATAGTACCCAACGAAGCTGAAATCTGAGAGGTGTTGACATACAGGAAAATGCGATAGAAGGACTTGATCGATTTCCAAGGATAGAAAACAAGATATATAAGTGATAATATCAGTTCTACTTTACAACTTCAAACACTTAGCTCTGGAGGTGTTCCGTGTAAGTCAAGCTTTTGCTGTAACGTCACGTGACAGTCTAGAACCTCTCACTTTCACCCAGCCAAGCAAGGCCCATGCTATCGGATAATGTGAGTTCAAGGCGAACGACTTGCAAGTTCACTTACCACCACCCATATATCTTTTCAATCTCTTAAAATCACACCACAGATCTAAAATGTCAGACGCAGCTCGATGGAAGGCCACAGTCTATGTTGGTGGTCTCTCTCAGATGGCAACTCAGAGTCACGTTCTGGACGCTTTTATCCCATTTGGCGAGATTGTCGAGGTCAAGGTGCCTAAACCTGACACACCAAACTCTACAGAAGCCCACAGAGGCTTCGCATACGTCGAGTACGAGGATGCCGCAGATGCAAAGGAAGCTATAGACAACATGGACCAGTCGGAGTTTTTCGGAAAGGTTCTCAAAGTTTCACAGGCTAAGGCACCCAAGAGTGCAGAGGATGGACTGGGCAGCAAAACAGCTATCTGGGAAAAGGTATGTCTTATGCCAAATCTATCGATGACATGGCTAACTAGATACAGGAAGGCTGGCTGGCTGAACATGCAGCAGATGATGAGGGAGCAGTGCCAGATGCTGGACCCGACCCTATGCAAGGGTTGGAACAGCTCGATGTTGCAGGACCAAAGCCCGAGTAGTGAGAGAAGTTGGAGATTGATTATTGGGTTTATTACTGTCATAGCGAAGGCGTTTGAGGCATTAGATTCACGGTTACTAGTGGGCATGGGTGAGATAAATATCAATCACCGAAATTCATATTTTATGCCTGACGGATTTCTCTGCTACCGTGCTGTTCTGAAACGTACAGTACTGCCCTTCCCAGGATATTCAACCAATTCCATTCCCCAAAAGTCACTCTATTATTTGGCATCAGTTTAGTGACCCTCGCCGTGACCACTGTTCTCCTGGCGCGCGGCAGGACCCTGTCGAGCGAGACGAAGGTTCTTGTCGACGATGAACTTGCGGGAAATGGAGTAACCGGCAGCACCGAGAGCGAAGCCAACGACGACAGCTAGACATATGTATTAGAAGAGATATAGCCGTAATTGGAAGTTTGTTGATTTACCGAGAGGGTACAGCTCAGGAGGGATCTGCTTGAGCTTTCGGAGTCGCTGAGAGATAGTGTGGCCTTGGATCCTGTCAGTATTGTCCAATTGAAACATTTGCGCATCCTCGTTCGAAGTATCGATAGGGTCGATGAAGCTCGACGGAAGCCTCTTGTCATTACGCACCAGCCTGGTCCTCCTTCTGTAACACGAAACTTGGTCAGCGATTGATGTCATACTGAGCCGAGGGCTAAAGAGCTCGTTCTCTCAGCCATTGAGATGGAGATACTTACGGGGACGGGTCGCAGCATGCGAGGCGTCTGCCTGAACATGCGGAGAGCAGCGGTAGAACGCATCTTTGGTATGAGTGAGTGGGGAGGGTCTAAGGAAGAGAGGTCCAGAGGTGATGATTCAATTGGAAATTGAGTCCAATGTTTGGAGATGGCCGAACGAACATCTGATGTGCAATTGCGAACACCGGGCCCCACCAGCAGTGATGGGTGCCTTACGCCATTGGCCCGGGAGTGGTACAGGCCTGAGGCACACACTGAGCAAGCTCTCCCGTCAAATCGAACCACCTGATTCGAGCCTTGTCGGACAACGTCGACGCATTCAACCTCTCCATCCAAAACGCACCGAGCTCCATACTCGCCGTCATTGACCCCAGAGAAATCTCCCCTCCTTCAAGTCAATTCCTCTTCAAACTATTCAAAATGTCGGACGACGGTCAGGAGCTTGTTACCAAGCCCTTCAAGTTTGTCACTGGTACGTCCAATTGTCCCTGATAATCCCGCTGCACGCTTGCGGGCTCGAAAAAATGACCTGATTTGATCCCGAGGCTAACAATCCCACGCAGCTGGTAAGCACGATCCCTACGAACAACATCGAAACCTCGACGACGACGATGACGAAGAGCAACGCGACGCCGAACAATGATGCTCAATCGCACTTATCTCAATCGCTACGAACCGATCTGACATCTCTTAGGCACTGATGCTCGTTTCCCCAACATGAACCAGACCAAGCACTGCTGGCAAAACTACGTCGATTACCACAAGTGCATTATCGCCAAGGGCGAGGACTTTGCGCCCTGCCGTCAGGTACGACTTATCGAGCGAAGAACAAAACTGCCCGCGGCGCCTCGTACTAACCAGCATTTAGTTCTGGCTGTCTTACCGATCCCTCTGCCCTTCCGGCTGGTACCAGCGTTGGGACGAGCAGCGCGGTATGTTGAACTCCAATGGTGGCAATTGATCTTGAACCCAGACTAACGCATTGCGCAGAGGCCGGAAACTTCCCCGTCAAGCTCGACGCTTAAGCTCTACCTGTAAATACGGATTAGTGGATGTTAGAAGATTCAGAGCAGACACACTGCAATTGTATCATTTGTGAAGTTGCTTTAAAAGCTAATCCCAAATATTGACTGTTCTGTTTTGAGTACTGGGCTGGCCAGTTTGTGATGACGTCTCTTGAGTCATAGATCGTCGAATGAAAATTATTGGTATCATTCTGACTATGGAAGGCTTCATGCGACAGCGCTGTTAATTCAAATTTCCAGTAAATTCCAAGTCCATACTCCGTAATCATATAAATGCTTGTCGCGATTGGCCATGACAATACAATTGCAATGTCCAAATCCAAGACATGATGAAGTCTTATATCCGGTGCAATTCCCTCATTTTTCCTCATCTTCTTCATCTGAACTCATGAATTCATCGTCCTCATCAAAGCCAAAGAATGACCTCGCTTTGCCCTTATCGTTCTTAGAATCTTCAGCGGGTGGTGGCGTTGATTCTCCCGATGAAGCGCCCTTCTCCTCGTCAGAGCCAGACTGCTCATTACTCGGCTGTGTAGAACCGGAGTCGTGAGAGGTGCCCAGTAAGTTGTCTCTGTAATTGCCGGCCTTCATAGCTGCCAGGACTGCCTCACGAGTCCTCTCACTGCTCTCTTCCTTATCCTCAACCCACTGGCCGTCCAGTCGACTTTTGCTGCCTGTCTTGATCTCGGCCTCCTTCTGTTCAGAGATCTGGACAATCTGCTCCCATCGCTCACGGCGCTTCTCCTTCTCCTTCTTTTCCATCTCAGGCTTAATAGCCAGATATTCGGCCAGAGCCTTGGCCTCATTTACTGTGCGTAGTCTTCGCCCATCCAAGTTTCGGCTTGAACCGTGGTCTTCTTGACTCTTCTTCTTGCGCGAGGACATGCGGCCACCTGCAGCTCGAAGCTGTGATCCGAAACCACCCTTACCACCGCATAGGGGAACGGCGAGTCGCAAGGAAAGGAATTCATCGTTGATTGTGGATAGATAGTCGGAGATAGGTGAGTCTGATGAGTTTGGGAGTTGCTTATTTGAGAGAGTGGTAAGGATGAATCGTGACTGAGTTGTTGGTAGTCGATCATCAAGGCGTTCGCGCAATTCTGTAACGCTTGTTGATGGAGATAATGGAAGGACGAGGGTCGGCGGCAGACCCAAACCAGCAAAGCTGGTGACCAGCACGTTCAAGTTTCGTGGAGACATGATATAAATCCTATGGAGTCTATCGACACAAGGCGAGAGATGGATGAGTGAGGACGGGGAAAGCCTGTCGCAAAGATTCGCCGCTGGCGGGTTTGTTTGGTTGTCATGCACATGCGCCTAGGCAAGTCTCCAAATGAGAAGTGGACCTTTGGAACTGCCACAGCACCAGCCACGAAATGCTCACGCTCCTCATCACGTGCAACCACCAAAAGTTCGGGAAGTACCCACCCCTCGCTCCTGCCCTCATTTTCGCCCACAAAAGAGTTAATCACACTTTGCGATCGCCTTCCGACCGAAAACTGCACCTTCCAACATCGACCCTTCCGACGAGCAGCAAATACCGCCACGATGTTGATTCCCAAGGCCGACCGCAAGAAGATCCACGAGGTAATAACCAATACTTTCGAGCAATGCAGCGACGATGACGGCGAATTGCAAGCTGCACAGAAACAATTGCAATTCATATCAAGAGCGCACATAACTAACAATTTGCCGCCAGTACCTCTTCCGTGAGGGTGTCCTCGTCGCCCAGAAGGACTTCAACCTTCCCAAGCACCCCGATATCGACACCAAGAACCTGTTCGTTATCAAGGCTCTGCAGTCGCTCAACTCTCGCGGCTATGTTAAGACCCAGTTCTCTTGGCAATACTACTACTACACCCTGACCCCCGAGGGTCTCGACTACCTCCGCGAATGGCTTCACCTCCCCGCTGAGATCGTTCCCGCTACCCACATTAAGCAACAACGATCGCACGCTCCTCCCCGTGGCATGCTCGGTGAGGGTGAGCGCGAGCGACGACCTTTCGGCCGTGGCCGTGGTGGTGACCGAGGTGACCGTGAGGGTGGATACCGACGAAGGGATGCTGGCGAGGGCAAGGAGGGTGGTGCTCCCGGCGAGTTCGCTCCTCAGTTGTGAGTTGCCTTTACTTTCTGGATTGTTGGGACGAATCGATTGCTAACATATTACTAGCCGTGGTGGATATGGCCGTGGCCGTGGCGCTGCTCCCCCCTCTTAAGCGAACCCATTTCCTTGGGTGGTCACAAATGAGAACAATGGCGAAGGGTATCGGCATGTACTCATAAAAAATGGAGGGCAATTTCTACCATGGGTTTCGCTCGTGTGACAGGGGTTGCGTGGGGGATACCGTGGGAGTTTGAGGGTTTTCTTTAGAACCTCGGAATCATTTGCATCAGGGTCAATGTTTGCCGCCGTCAAAACGAGATAATTACTCGGGAGATACGTGAAGACGTCAATCTTTTAAGTGATGTGAGACGAGACCATATGTTTATGCCAAACGCCCACCAAGGCATGTCTGAATGAATCGTGCCGTTACCCCAACTCATACCTGTCATGCTGCCTGAGTGATTGTGGCCTATTGGATTGATGTGCGTAGGCCTGGGGTTAAGTGGAAATCTGGGTTATATGCGGCATACTGCAATCATAGCTGGACTAGGCTTCTGGGTCCTTCAGTAACATTGGGTCTCTAGGTTATGTTCCATCTAGGAAAACAGTTCTGACGTAGTTGAATGTTTCGATTCAGGAGGCGGGGTGCTCTGGGGTAAGCCATTGCAATTGAGCACAGGCACATAGGTGTTTGGTGCAAAGCAGCTCTGTACATCGAAAACGACGGCTATCATTGCTTTGGTTGGCTCTGGTAGCTGCCTTTGATAACCTGAGACGTAGGAGCCCATGTCTGGTATGATGGATGCTAACTCTTGGGCGGAGTAGCCGTACCTCTAGACAAGAAGTAGGAGAGTAATCTTCAGCTCTAACGTCTATTTTGAGTAAGAATAATCAGTTGCTGTCCTGCTTAAGTTTGCGAATGATTGGCAAGTTGGGCCTCATCGCTGTCATCAAGCTAAATGTTGTGGTCAGCAGCGACCATCACATATAGAATCAGATCTCATCACGAACCACTGGTTTTGCATGTAGCATAGTCTAAGCCTCCATGATATGCGTAATATGGGAAGAGGGATTATAAAACGTTCCTCTTAGTGCTCTATGTCAGCTGTAAGCATCGCAACATCGTGAAGTGGTACCCCGACCTAATGGTAGTAGATTTCTCGTTGCTGGCATTTCCCTTACATACAACGGCCATGACAGTACTGAGTGAGTAGCATGAATGTGACAGGCACATAGCACGAGAAACAAAATTAGATCAGCCTTTTGATCAAGGCCATAACGGGTTTTGGTCGATCTTGCTCACAATATCGGTCTTGATTGGGGTGCAGTGCTTACATCTGGCGCCTGCAGCTGACACTCGGGAACAGCTATGCATTGGGCCTTTACCAATGAACGCCAGCTCTTTTTAAAGAAGTGTCAGTATAAATAATAACAGGAATATTCCAACTGACTCGCCGAAACATATTCAAGCGGTTGTAATGGTTGCTTTGGGGAACAAATTGTTACTCATACGCATCATATTCGGTCGACTCGCGACAGTATCTTAAATCAACCAGGGCAGTAGCCATCGTGGGCAAGTTCTCATTCAACCATCATGAGCATTTCCAACTCGCCTTTGTTCAAGGAATTCGCTCGGCCAATTCTTGTCCCTGAACCAAGCCAGGAGAGAGCTTTCTATTCACCTTTTGGTCTCGTGGATACCTTTGTGAGACATCTCCTGGATACTGCGAAGCTTCAAAGCACCCGATTCAAAATCAGCAATGCTACTAAAGAGTAAGACAGCAAATGACATCTCAACATGCCACATAGCTAATCATGCTGTAGCTCTTTCTGTCTTACTATCCAGGGACGCCTTGTTGGAACAGGAACTATTTCTAGCACCATCGACGCCACTGAGGCCAATCTATCTTTCAACGGCTTCAGATTTGGAAAGGTCAGATTGCCGCAGATTCAGACGAGTTATTGGGGCACAAATTTCGCAATCCTGGAACAGCGTATCGATATCACAAATCACGCTACATATTGTGCTTTTGTTCGCAGCCTCGTTGTTGACGAAGAAACTTGTCTTCAACTCGAGAGCAAAGAGTGTACTATACGAGCACTAAGAGCTTCGCCGACATGTAGCATACATCTCGATATGCCACTACAGGCTCTGAGCGGGCCATATCTAACTCTAAAGAAAGTGAGTCGCTCGGGCAAGGATGTTAGAATGGTACTCAGCTTGAGCTACTCGGGCCAAGTAGAGATGAATTACGGTTCCTGCCTCTTTGTGCTTCGCAACGGCCCTGGAGAGATATTGGCGGAGCTGAAGGGAGAGCTGAACATCTCTAAAAGCCAAAAGGAACTGGTGCTGCACGGCATAATAAAGTACGGGGTGATACCATCACAGATAGTCAGAGTGATAGGAGTTGCGGTGGAGGAGGACGAGGAGTCATGGCTTAGCAAGACCATCAGCGATTTCGATGTTGTATTAGACCTGGAGCCTGAGCACGCAGAGATATTGTGGCTTTGACATCTGGCTGGATCGTCGATGAGGCCCAGGCCGATGGTGTCTGGAGATCTCAGCGATCCATTGCTGCTGCATAGCATGGAGTAATGATTATCGGTTTGTAATTTCGAGGTCAGCGAGCATTTGGGTTCTTGTTGATTGGCAATCATTTACGAGGATGGCTTGAAGGTTAACAAGTAACGTTGCCCGGTTATCCAAGCTCTTGTTCATCTTTCTTATTCGTAGAGACGACGAATGAGGTAGTGCATAGGGCAAGTCGCATCAAGCAATACGAATTAAGTTCATGTGCCTTGTATTCATGCTACCGTCCAACTGAACTAGCGTTTAAGCGACGGCTGACATCTGCTCTTCAAGACAGGGACCGTTCGCGGGAACTAAGCACTGATCCTTGCCTGTCTCTGGGTTGGACTTGAAGTCACAACTGCTTTCGACTTGAGTCAACGGTCTCTTAGATTTACACGACTTTTTTTTTTTTTTTTT